GAGGGACATTGACGATGAGTATAGAACTGTGCCCCTGGTGCGGAGTTCGTGTTCTAGTTTTATATTCTTCTACGGATGTAAGCGTGTCTGCATCCCACAAGGCATTACGGGGCTGTTAGAGGTTACAGCAGGAATGGTCTGCATCAGCATCCAATCGTGCATGCAGCAGAGGCTCTCGAATGCCGACTTTACATATAATCGAAGAGTGTGGATACAGAAATATCAAAATTTGACCAAGGCTACGGGTGATGATATACTATGACCAGGTCCAAACCACGGCTCTCTTGCCAGCGGGATATATTTGACTAGTCAATGGATATCTCTAGCTTGCAGCGTGCCACATCTGCCATACGTACACATACATATATACGTACATACATGCACAGATACAGAATGGGCCCTGGCCGAGTGCATGCATTGGCGGCCGTCCCTAGCTGAACGCCTCTTAGCTACTATAGTAGCTGCATGGTTGGCGAATAGCTAGAAACGAATAAAGCTACATCGATAAAAACTCGCCATATAGTCCTTGAATTGTGTCGTATCGCGGGTATGTTGATTGCAATCACCGGCGCAATTCGAGCACAAGGGATTCGGATATCTGTATACCATGGTACATACGATGAATTGGATTTAAGCTCTCCAAGGTTTGTCGGAGCCACCAGCTGGATCTGGCTTCGGTCCGTAAGGAGGAGGAGGATGACGATGGGGGGTTTGTTGGCTGAATCCGCCAGTCCTAGCCAAGTCGACATTGCAACCTTGACAGGCCCACCGAAGAGACCAGACAGCTGATTACCAACAAGAAACCGTGGCCCTTGACCAACGAAGGAGAGGACAAAAAGAGGGGAAGCCCAAAGAGCCAAGGAAATCCTGCTACGTACAAGCTTAGTTCGAATTGGGGGGGGGGGGGGTGAGTGTAGATGGCCCGCCCACCTTGCTGTAGACACGCCTTTGGCGAGAAAGGAAACAGACTATTTTCCATATTAACACTCTATTGGGCGCTTGAAGAAATCCCAACCGTCCCATTATTAGTTCCTCTTGTCATAATAATGAATAGGAGTGTTGATAATAAGCCGGCAATCATCACCATTCGCGAACTTTTCTCCACCGCCTTGGTTGTAGTGATGACAAGAACAACGACGATAATAATAATAAGTAGAGTGGTCATAAAAGAACTATAGAACATAAAGTCGGCTCAATTCCAAGGGTACTGGACCAGCCCAGGTTGTAGGTGATAGGTACATACGATTAATTAATATAAGTGGTCAAAAGAATCTTCCCCCATACTACGTAAAATAGGCCGATATCGATGCGGAGATAAGTGGTGATGCGGAGCACCGGTTCAGGGAATAGGGCCTCGCCAAGCCGACCAGCCATCAAACCCTTGAGAACGGCCGAGCAAATCTTTCATCCTCCTAAGGGCGGAGATCTTCCTTGAGTTAGCTGCGTTGAGACAAGATTAAGCGCCTGGATTACGTTTCGAAGTTCGATAGCACATGATGTACGTGTGAAGGCGTTCGGGGATCTGTTTAAGCCACAAGGTCTAGCGATGCCATGTGTAGTGTAGAGCCCGGAGTAGACGAGGTTAGATCCGAGCAACCAACAATCGGCTTCTACTGTACCCATCTTCGAAAGAAAATAGACAAAGGGAGATGAGAGGGGCCCCTCATCGTCTTACTCGGAATTACATAGGATACCTAAGTACAACACGAGAGAATTGTATTCGCGCAAGAGAATCCGTACCATTGTTATAACAGCCACACAAGCCGACAGCATCTTGAAAACACCGGTACACGATATATTAACTATGTACTTTTGTGATACGGCGCCATACTATGCTCGGACTTGGTAGGTCGTGGGAATTGTCTTTGGAGAAAAGAGAGAGATATGACTGCTTGTTTTGTCTGTACTTATTTTGCGTGGTCCGGCGGGCGATCCATACCCTATTCCACAAAGAAACCATACTAGGGCCACTCCTAGCGGAATCTGGTGACACGCCGCGCGGGTAACGCCATTTGACACTGTCCTGGTTTTTATTCGAGATTACGGAAAACGTGGGCGTTTCGAGCTCTTGACTTTTTAGGTCTGTGTCAGCAGGCTAGGGATGTTCGATGTAAGTCGAGAAGACAAAGGCTTTTTTTTTGGTCATTATTAATCGCAATGAATCAATGAAAAAGTAAAAGGTGCTATACCTTAATATCTGTTCGGTCTTCACTTTTTTGCCTGATAATATCCTAGTGAGTAAGTAGGTAGGTTTGTTACTTGTAAGGATTGTGATTTCGTAATGGTTTTTCGGTCTGATCAAAGACGGTTTCTAATAAGGACCTTGCAAATCGAATTGTTACATTAATATCTAGGGAGCTGCTACACTTTGTTTTATGTAATGCCTCGAGGTATTAGTGTCCCTTCGCCCGTCCATGTGATTGATATCTTTGTCCTCTGTCCTGATGAAAATGGATAAGTCTCTTCAAGACCAGGTAGTCCGTATACTCCGACATGTTTGTGTCCTTGCGTCGCAGGAATCAAAGTCAGGTATAGTACATTGTGGGGTCATCCACCGCCCCAGAGATGGAGATGTGGATGGCTCTTGAATTATGTATTTTCGTACGGGGAATCTATCCAGGAAGCTTGCTCGATGAATCAAACATAGTTAGAATGTGACCTTTCACATTACTCGATGGACCCTACTTTGGCAGGTCTTTAGCGTAGGAGAGATCTCATGAGATTCTACATGAAGTATACCATGGACCACGATATGTACCCGGCTCGTTCTGGGAGGCAAATTGTCCAATGATTAACAGTTCCATGTGCCACCTGCGCAGCAGGCGCCTTAACTTGTTACCCAAGCTATCGTATAGACTTAGTTCTAGTTCTTCAATCGCTAGGTATTCACTAAATAATTGAAACGAATCAACTCAAGTCTGGAGGAGACAACGGATGTAAGGCTCTAGACATTGGAGGTTGGGCAAGGAGAGGAAGAAAAAAAAAGAAATCAAGATATTCCCAATTAGCCACCATTTTATTCTATTCATACTGTGTATCTCATTTACAACATCACTATGGGTATACACGTGTATACCCGCCGTGTTAAGGGATAAACCACGGCAGCTCCGGGGGTTTAAAAATGAAAATAAGAGGTCGAAAATAATCAAAATAATACCTAGGTACCACGGATAATTACTAAGTTTCAATTGATTGAAGCTGATTGTATACATTGTGCTTATCTTACATTTTATTTTATACATTTAAATATTTATTATATTATTATGTATTTATCTGTTATAAGGCACTCGTTTGGTGGATTTTAGTACACAATTCAATACATAAAATGGTAATATTTTTTTTTTTTTGTTTTTAAACTCCCCAAGAGTCTCTCTTTCCCACTTTTACAGTTTACAGAACTTTAACTTACACAGTGTGTACGGTTTCGCAAGACTAGCCCCTCACCCCAGTAGGCACAATCCTGGTGATTACACGCCACCGAAAAAAAAAGAGCCACACTGAAGAGAGCCCTGGTGTTAGTTGTACAACCCTAGGCCGCAAAGACAAGACCCCATGCTACGTCTAGGAAGGTATGGCCTTCTTCCCAGTAAGGTACGTACTTAGGTAAATGAAAAGAGCGAAGGAAAAAAAAGGGCAATTGGGTTGTTCTAACCCCCGAACGAACCAACCTCACCAGCCCATTTCACTATCCTTATCCACTATTCATCCTTCCCCCCTCCACCCCCCCCGGCTCAACAACGAACCCTAGTAGACGCACCACACCCGGACCCGTCTAGTGCTGGCGGCTTCGCTGCTGCTGCCACTACTGCTACTGCTGTTAACTAATCCCTACAGCCTTCAGTGTGCACACAATCCACAATCTACATCCTAAAAAGCAGCAGCAGCGACCTATTCTACCTGCCCTGCCTTAACCTACAACCCTGCCTCCCTGCTTCCCTACTTCCCTGCCCTCTCTGCTACCCTTGCTAACCTACCTTACTAGTTAGCCTCTAGTCCCGTATGCATGTTCTGTGTCCCCGTCTTTTCTTACCTTGACCTCTCTCAACTTTCGCACCTCCACTATCTTTACCTTCCTGCCTCCTCCTCTTCACTACTACTACTACCACCACCACCACGAGAGGAAAAACCTTGGGCCTTTCTCTTCCCTTTTCCCCTTCTATTTTCCTCCTCTTCTCTCTTTTGGTGTTGTTTCGACCTCCTTGATTTCTAGTAGCGAAGGCCATTGAGGTCTGGAGTGAAGGTATGTGTTCGTCCTTTTCCAATTCCTATTTGCGCAAACTCTGTCCACCTCCACTTTCTTTCCTGCCTTGCATTCTACCCTGCGCATCTGGGACCTGATGTTCCTGCATTAGAGTTGAGAGAGAATTAGAGAGAGAGAGACAGCCTGACTGAGAAGGAGGAGAAAATTAGGAGCAGAGAAGAGAAGAGTAGACGGAACGAAAAGAGTATTGGGAAGAGGAGTTTCTATGCGTGCTTGTTGGTACGTGGGTGTGTCTCTGTTCGTGTGCGAGAATCTTCAATCTGTCCAAACGACCAACTACGACGAATTACCGCTGCTGTCTTGTTCATATTCCTTTCTCTTTGATGTCTCTTTAGTACATACTGTTACGCCGACCCCAGATCTTACCTTCCGAATCCCCGCGATCATAGAGCAAGGTCTTATCATATACACAAGCTGAAGATTACCCTCGAGCTTGACTGATCCTTTAGACGGGTGCGAGTACAAATTAATTAACAAATCCCCTAGAGATTTACGACCCGTAACGATAACGCCGTACGAAAATAGCGTTCTGCTGAGGAAATACTTTCACCGTATCTATTTCCCCGCAAGTGCAGAACCACCATTCGACGAATTTCCTCGTACGCGCCCATAAACCGCGACACTCGCTTGACTATCCTCTCGTCACATCGATTGACCTGTCGACAGGTCAATTGGCCCGGTCATCTCGTTTTGTCACGGCTCGTCACTCGTCCGGATAAATTCCTGGAGTCCAATCGTAATATTGGTCTCCTTTGCTCATACCTAAGTCGTATCCCACCGACTTCGTCCTTGAGCGTCGCTCTCTTCAGCCCGTCGTGGCTTTGTTCACGAGCGCCGTAAAACTGGATCTCCCGCCCATTTCCCAGTCGCAAACCCGGGGAACGTCAGACGTACCACCATACTACGGTGCTTCCATTCCCCAGCGTCCGCCGTATGTAAGTGAGAGGTTGCCTTCGCTTCCGTTGCCTCAGGCGCCATTGGCATACTCTTCGAGTACATCGTCTCCCCGGGTTAGCTCCATTGCATCTTCGACGAGTTCCAACGGAGACTCGCAGTCGTCTTTCACATCAGCCCCATCGTCAAACGGCCCTAAGACGCCGTCCCCAAGTCTCCCAGTCACGACGGCGATATCTGGGCCCACTTCCCAGGCCATTGGTGGGTACGATCAGTATTCCGCGATGAATCCGGCGCCTCCAGACATGTATTACCAGGCTTCTCACATGTCCGCCGGTCCAGCACCGCAACCTCAAACTGTAACGTCCAATGCATTGCCTCAATATGGTCATCAGCAGCCGACGTTGCTACAGCCAGGGCCTCAGTACTCTGCGCCTCAGTATCAATATGGTTACGCCAACGGTTTGACCTCTCCACAGTCTGCCCCTCCAGCCGTCTCGGGCGTTTCTCACGTTCCAAACGTGCTTCCCCTCCCGGGAGTCCCTAACCAAGCAGGCATGCAAAATCAATACCAGGGTTTTGACACAACAGGCCAAATCGCGCCGCCGGGCATGAAACCCCGGGTCACGGCTACGCTTTGGGAAGATGAAGGTAGCCTTTGCTTTCAGGTTGAAGCAAGGGGTATTTGCGTTGCGCGTAGAGAAGGTAGGAATTCAACCCGCACAAATTTTTAGAAACTAAAGAAATAAGCTAACAATTTAATTGGCAGACAACCACATGATTAACGGGACAAAATTACTTAACGTTGCTGGAATGACTCGTGGTAGGCGAGATGGAATTTTGAAGAGTGAAAAAGTACGACATGTTGTCAAGATCGGACCAATGCACCTCAAAGGAGTCTGGTAAGCATCATATCTGAGATGTTGTGAAGGACAATTGCTAATGACCATTATTTTAGGATCCCGTTCGAGAGGGCCTTAGATTTCGCCAACAAGGAGAAGATCACGGAGCTGCTGTATCCTCTATTCGTTCATAACATTGGGGCTTTATTATACCACCCCACAAACCAAAATCGGACAAACCAGGTAATGGCTGCAGCTGAGCGGCGAAAGCAGGAACAAAACCAAATGCGAAATGGACCGGGTCCCGCGCCTCCTGCCGGCGTCTTACCGTCTATACAACAGCACCACCACCACATGGGACTACCGGGTCCCCAACCTTCGCTCCCGTCGCATAACAACGCGGGACGGCCGTCACTTGACAGGGCTCACACGTTCCCGACACCGCCGACTAGTGCGTCGAGCGTAATGGGAAACATGGGAACATCTGAAAGTTTTCAATGGGGTCAGCAAGGGATGAGTGGTGCCCAAGGTACTAATCCTATGTCAATAGATACAGGTCTTAGCAACGCTGCGCGTTCGATGCCAGCCACGCCAGCCACTACTCCTCCTGGTAGCACTCTGCAAAGCATGCAATCTTACTCTCAAGGTAGCCAGCCATATGATAGCTCTCGTGGGGTGTATAACGGCCAAGCTACCCAACAGTCTCCCTACCCACCTTCAAACAGTAGTCCACAGGATAGGATCTATGGCCAACCGAGCTCATACCTCAAGAGTGAGATGGGACCACCGACCGGACGCCCAACCGGTCCAGGACCGAACGAACCGCCCGATGTCAAGCCATCGAATGGGTTGTTGCAGCATAGTGACGGTGTTCCTCACCCATCAGGCGATGACGAAGCTGAGCACGAAGCGGAGTATACTCACGATAGCGGAGCTTACGATACCAACAGGACATCGTATAACTATAATGCACCGCCCGTTGCTCCATTAACAGGCGACCATCAACATATTCCGCCGGAAATGACTGGTTCGCCAAACCATCAAGCAGGGTCTGGCCGTGCCACGCCCAGAACCGCTGCCCCGCCGCAGCCGTACTACACCCAACAAGCGGGATATAATACGCCACCACGTGTGCCGCCTTCGAGTAATCTTTATAATGTAATGAGTGGCGATCGTGCACCTACTAATGGCGCGTCGGCGCCCGATGTTTATAGCTCTCAAAGCGATATGGGTGCCCCAATGCAGAATGGCTATGCCCCCCAGCCCGTTATGAATGGTGCACCTGGCGGTTTAAAGCGAGGCCGCGATGACGAGGACGACCTCCCTCGACCGTCGAGTGGTGGCTTAGACCTGAAGCGCCGGAAAACTGTGATAGATGGACCTATTCCCCCACCTGGATACGATACAATGAATCGCCCCGCCTCGGCGGTGGCTCGTCGACGATAACCTCGACCCGGCAGTTTTTTCGTATTGTCATTTCGACAATTTCCTACCTCTACGCATTAATCTAGGCGTTGGAGCACTTATGCGCAAAAATAGATTCAACTGAGAAGAATCATTTGGGCGTTTTAGAGTGCAACGTCGACCGCAAGATACGCTCTTTTATCTATTCCCTTCAAAATCCTTTGTATTCGCGCGACAATTCATCATCGACATGTTTGGGCCCATCCACCAAAAGATACGATGACGAAAATTACGACTTCATTCTTGATTGTTATTAACTGCCCTAGAAGGCCGTGTAAATGCTTCACGAATTGACGCGTCGCATGGTGGACCTTAATTTTTTTGAGATGATTATCGATTGCCCTACTTTTTTTTTTTTCTAGCTTTCTACTTTTATTTACGCTGAGGACAACGAGACACTCGAGCAACGCAAAAGTCCCACGCCTATCACGACTTCTAGGCGAGTAATGTTCATGACCGAGGCTGCTTTCTGTTTTACTTTGTTCATCACATCCATTGGTCTCGTAGAGAACATGAGGCCCGTGGCACAAATATTTTTTTTTTCCTATTGACGACATGATGACGACCCGATTTTTCTTCTCTTCACCAAAAGGACGTGGTGTCACTGTGGGCGTGTGTTGGAAATGTCTTCTGGTATCAATGGTCATGAACTCGATGATGGAATTAAAAGCTATTGCTTGATACACAGCGAACTAGATTCTAAGCTACATACAACTGACCCAGCCAATCGTATCACATTTGGGCTGTAAAAATTTTGAGCCAATATTAGTGACTAGTGTCGGGACTTTACTATGTGATGCAACGAAATGTGCCATTATTAGACGCTGAATTGATCTTCCTAAGTGCTCGATACCTATTTGGTCACCCTGCATCTACTATCTCGTGTATGCCGTGGTTGGAGATCACTACTTCGATTTCCCGTAATATAATAGCCGGGCATAGATATTGAGACTATCCACCCCTTGTCCGTACTCGCATCAAGTCCCGTGTGACATGATGCTTCTTCAACAACTGAGTGTACCGTGCCAAGTTATCCGTCCATCTCCATTTGTCGTACGAGAATAGGGGATTCAATTCTGTGAAACCGCTCACCATTAAGCTATCGCCAAGACAATGCTGTGATAACCCAGAAAACCCACCCCTTTACCGCGAGCTCACCGTCCCGACGTTGTTAGTATGAGAGACTAGGAACGCCGGGGCGTTAGTGTCCCGGTGTAGGCAAGGCGAAGGGTATGAAACGCTTTCTTATGTCGATGAGTATGGCCTGTCGTACCGTGACGCGGCGGCCCGAACTTATGTAGAACATCCATGCTTGACAGTAGCCTACGGTGATGACAACGACGGGAGGATGAGCAATAGCGATCTCCTTTGTTTACAGAAACGAGTTACGGGCTACTAACCTCGCAAGCGAAATTCGAAGGAGACCTTGCTGCTCGTGTATTTAGGAATTGCATATAGAGTAGTTTCTTTAGCAAATTTCTGACTCAATTAGAGTAGACGGTAAATACATAGATAGATAGGGATAAGGATATACGACTGGATGACCCGTTCACTCGGCCCTCGTATGTTTGCAGGCATCGCAAGACGATGCTCCTGGTACTGCACACTGTCAGAGGGAGGGACATGTACGAGTCTAGAGTAAGTGTACAATGTCCACTTGGTACCCCAAGATAACTTCGTGACACATGGGATATGGTGACTTCTAGCTAGTTCGCCCGACCGCCTTGGGCCTTTCGCAACATAATGGCTCTTGAGTATTTCCACTATCCTGTACTACTATATCACTGCTTCCTTAGGAGCGCGAATATATCGATCGATGATCGTGACAAATTTCGGAACTGTGTTGTGACGACGACTTATTTCAATGTGGGGGTCAGGAACGAGATATCCTATTTCTCAACTCCATTGTGAACGCTCTTACCATTTCTAGAAGTCGCTAGAGAGGTCTTGCCCATAAGATCCCAAAGGAAACAGAGTATGCAAGTTTCCGCTTATATCCGTCTCTAGCAACACAATTTGGGGCCGTGTACGGCCTGAGAACGAACTTGGCTCGAGTGGCACGGCCAAAACTAGTTAGTTAGGGCGGTAGGGATGGAGACATGGCTACCGTGACCATGAAAGAGGAGTTAGCATGAATAATACAACTATAATGGGTTTAGGAAAGGCAGTGTATTTTAACCTGGATACCTACTTACGTGATAAACCAAAGAGGTGTTGTGGCTAGGCCTAAAAGCTCGCTATATGCTGACTATTCACTGGGGACGTAGCATATTTATATCAGACCCTAGCTCAATCCTTGAATATTTTATCGCTTGCGAATGAATTGGAAGGGTACTGCTGTCACCATCACTCGGTTGAAAGGTAGCGACGCCTCTCTTTGGAGCCAGAACGATACTATCAGCAAGAATAGAATACCTTGAAGAAGAGGCATCATAGGTACTTAGGTAGAAACGTTTCATCTTTTCTTGGACAACTAATGTTGATCTGATAGATACAATCTGCCAACGTTGTTCGCTATCGTATCATTGGGCCGTGTAGGCCGAGGAAGTTGTAAATTCACTCTCGCTACCACGAATACTAGCATGATGATGGGCCGCGTGTTAAGCTGAGTGTTGGCTAAGAATAAGCTACCTGCTCCCCCGCCATACTGAAGGGCTTTAGGCAAGTGTCTCAAAGCTTACGGACATTTTCCTATTTTGAGCTGTCCGGAAAATCGACAAGGCTTCATAGACTGGAATGGTTCAAGTTTGGGATACACGGAGATGATGGTGGAAAGGAGGCAGTTGCGGGCATATCCGGAAGGTACTAATAGTTACGGGAGAAACCTAATTCCCGGCATCATTATCTGCCGTGATATTACGTCGTCGATATGTGATCGAGTACGGAGTGAGAGACAACGATGTTGCTATTAGTCACTTCGGACAAGAGGGCATGCGATCGGAGGAAGTTGACCTAGTAACAAACACAATAAACACAGATGTAGACAAATATACAGATGGACGGGGATGAATTGCTTATCTGAATCCTCCACCTAGGCTAGAAGTCTTGTAGTATGGTCATCCTCAGGCTTACTAAACCTTGTGAGTTGCTGTCTGCCCGTAGATTGCCACGATTCGTGACATACAAATTGCTAGAACAACAGCCACTTCGGGATACAAGCTCAGCAGAGCTATGAGTATTAAGTAGTAAGGGCTGGTATCCTGTAGCTGAATTACCCCCGATGGCCAAACAAAAGATAGGGATCGACCATAAAAGGACCCCGGCCATGATAGTCAAAGTAGACTGCCGTCTCAACAGATCTTGGCTTTCAGCCAGACTTTAGCTTCCTCTTTAGCCATGACCAGCAGCAAGAGCGAGATGTTGGAGAAATGACTAGTCATAATTCCTCAAAGACGGAAGCTGGATGTTTCGTGTTACCCCAGAGTATGGAAATACAGGGTCCGGACCCTACTCCGATTCTTCATCCTCGTCGCTCGTAGCCTCGATGTTGGCCTTAGTTTTCTTCTCTTGCGACTTGGCCTTCTTCTCTAATTTGGTCTTCGCAGGAGATTCGGGGGCGTCCGCAGTGGGTGCGCTTGAGATATCCGCAGTCTCGATACCCTTTTCTTGTAGCTCGGCGTTGATGGAGGGAATGACTTCAAGCAACTTGTTGTATTGTTCGGGAGTCAACATGATGCCCTATAGCAGTGGTAAGCGATTAATCACGAAAACGCGAATCACCATTACCCTTTGACAGACACAACAACATACCTTCTTGCCTGGTTTGAGATCGCCGGAAGCATCTGTCCAGTACTCGCGGATATTGATGAATGTCTTACCCTTGAAGCCACTGACAGTAGCTCTGCGAGTGCCGCCCAGCTGTTAAAAGACGTTAGCACCGAATACCTCATGTGGATAACCGTAACGCGACGACGTACGCTCCAAAAAGAATTACCATCGTCATCCTTGCCAGAATCGGCAGCGCTGCTTGTCTTAGCCTTCTTGCTAGGCTTAGACTTGGCCTTGCTGCTTGACTTGACTTCTTGATCGCTTGCTACTTCTTCATCCTCGTCATCATCGCGACGCGATCGCTTAAGGTTCTTGGTACGACCCATTTTCGAAGTTGCTCGTGATCCTTTATTAGAATAATATATTTCTTCCTTTCGTGTTGGGGTGATGAATTTAGTTGAGAAGTGGCATCAATTGGGGGGAGAGAAAGGAATAAAGAGAGTGAAAATGAAAGATTGAAGGAATTGGTGGTAGTACAGCCTGGAATTTCAGTAATAATTCATATCTACAGGTACCTATCCATGGTGGGGTCGCGTCGGGTAGGTACCTAGCTGCTGGGAGACGCGCCTTCTCTGCTTCTGCGATGGTGATATCAGATTTAATTGAAATCGATGGCGTACCTTCCAGTTAGGTACCTCCTAAGTGATAGCGCTAAAGCCCCTTGTAGCTTAGCGTGTTAATGCTAATTCAGGCGTCGATAGGCTAGAAGTTACGATCTGTTACCACTAAATTGATTAACTTCCGGGTTACCTAGGTAGTTGGACTCCTACCCTTCATTACCTGGTACCAAATCTGCACACCTTCTGTAACCTTACCATATACGTACATAATGCATGTAATTGGTCTATACTGGGTTTGTACCTGCACTGTGCCTACTTGGGTATACCGGATATGAACGTTAAGGGACGGTGGGCGCTAAAACCCCTAAACACATTAAGTATTGCTAAAATTAAGAACCACGAATGCCTTCTCTGACTTGGAAATCCAAAACGATTTTGTACACGTATACTTGGAATCTTACAACACCTACCCGATAGTACAAATTCATTTGAACTGGACTACCATATCAAACTACATGTCACTCTCGTTCGTTTTTCGTCTGACTCAATCTTTTGATTAAATGCCATGCGACTCTTACTTCTGACCGTACTTAATTAGTCCTTTTTTCTTTTTTAGTCTTCCTATCGATCCCCCTAATGAATACTGTTGACGATGCGCAATCCGGCGCTGTTCCCGCCGTATCGCAAGATGAAACGAAATCAAATTCGAGCTCGATAGAGACTAGACCCGTTGGCAAGATACAAAGCCGTCCAATAAGTCCGACACAGCAAGACATCCCTACGTCGACAAGCACCCGACAAGATATCGTCACAAAAGCGCTACAATTTCTTTCCACTGCGACCCCTAATACGCTCGGGGCTATTGCAATTGGACTTGCTGCTACAACATATTTTATTCTTGGTCAGATTGGCCTTGTGTTGATTGGAGCTTTTGCCGGCATTACATTGTTCGCAACATGGGAATCCCGGCATCCCGAAGTATCACGGGCTGTCCGGGGCGAAAGGGGCTACGATTTGCTAGACCGTATCTTAGCAACTTCAAAGCCGGGCGTTGGGCTCGGGCAAGACGACGGAAACAATGAACAGAGTCTAATCCAGACATTCGAAGACTTCCGACCGGAAACGCGACAGGCGCTCAATGCCCTTGTCGACGCTGTTATTCGTGATTATGTGGACTGGTGGTATGGACCTATTGTACCATCAGATAGATCTTTTCCCTTCTCCTGCAGAAGAGTTCTTGTTAACTTTGTACTTTCTATTTCTAACCAATTGGGGCGCAAACGACCTGCCGATGCTTTTGTCGACTTCCTTACCCATACGTGCTCTATCATCATCGTCTTCCTGTCCGAGATGGCATCCGCCTATTCCGAACTCCCCTCCGATACGAATTTAACTGCGGCCGATGCTATATACAATTATCTTGCCTCAAACACTGAGGCCCCGTTGTCAAACCTACTTAATCAGAGACAGCAGGCGGGGAAGTTTAAAATGGTCGCTGAGGATTTGTTGGGCTTCCTTGATAAATCTGCATACGATTGTGACCCTGCAAGAGTATTTTTAAGGGAGATTCTATCAACAATCGTCCTCGAGGGTACCTTACAAACATGTTCTAAAGCGGAGTGGATTAACGCCTGGATCGTCTATCTCCTCGAGTCTGGAGAAACCGATCTGTCGCAAGCCATCGACGACGCCATTCAAGATCAGAAGGCCTTTGGCGATGTTGATGGCAATGTCGGAAACATTGGACTCTCTAGGGGCAATCGCAATTCATACGAAATGGATCGAGCGCGTCGCAAAGAGGCAACACACAAGAAACAGCTATCTAAAGCAGACGAAGAGATGGAGAGGGCCATGGAAGAGATGAAAAGACTTAATGAAATGATTGCGGAAGCCGATAAAACAAACGTAGTACCGAATCTCCCGAATGGGAGCCAAACAAACGCTCCTGGTCTTCTGAATAATGCCCTAGAGAAAAACGGCAAGGAGCTTGATCTGAAAATCAATGAAAAGTCGAATGGTATCCCACCAGAGAAACCTAAGAGTGCAGACTCGAATCCCAGGGTCATGGCAGGAGAGGCAAGATCTGGTAAAGCTGAAAATAAAGAAGAGCAATTGAAGTCTCCCATCTCTCTCAAGTCGCCTACGGATACCTCAACTCACGTTTCATCGCCTTCCAATGGACAAGTGGGACACCACAACCACCGATTTACAAGCTTCGACCAAATAGTTCCGCCAGCGACAGAAGAACCAGAAGAAAGCGATTCGCATAACCCACCGCCACTCACGTTGCACAATGCTACTATTACTATCCACGACGATACCACAAATGATAAGGGTCGGTTACGCGGCAAGCCTACTTGGGAGTTTCTCCTTCAGATCGAGCCGGCAACTTCTCATTACCCCGGGTGGATGTTGATGAAAACTTACGTCCAATTCGAGAACCTCCATGAGAGCTTACGGCGAATTGCAACCATCTCAGGATCGACTGCTTTTCTAGAAGCTTTCGCCGTTTTCCCTAGCTGGAAGGTCCACACAAGATCATCCTTACGTGGCGAGATTGAGAGATATATGCGGACAGCATGTGCTGAAAAATCTCTGGCTGAATCAGAAGCGTTTAAACGTTTTCTTGACAAAGGCCAGGAAACAAGAATGGGTACCAACAGAGGATTCTCTTTCGAATCGATGGGCAAAGGCATGCTCGACGCCATCCAGAATGCACCCAAGGGAGCATTAGACGGCGGGAAAGTTGTAGTTGGTGGAGTAACCGGTGTTTTTGGAAACATTGGTTTAGGGCCAAGAAAGTCGACTAACTCATCATTGAGCGAGCTCCAGACGAAGGAAATTAGTAAAACACAAAGCCCTAGTAGCGCACGACCACTTTCGATGTCTGCACTTCCAAGGATGGATAGCGTCTCTTCGATAAATGGGTCGGGGAAGTCTAGGGACAGTCTCGACAGCCAACAATCGTCCGTCATTTCGGTGCAACCGGGCAAAATGGCCCCTATGGAACGGCGCCCTAGCTACCAAGTAGATATGGACCAAGATAGCCTTCATCCGGCAAGGGCCGACCGTTGGGAACGGAATTCTGTTAGCGCGACGAGTAGTAGGGTACATAGCCGTGCCTCGAGCGCTGCGGCGCTCCGCTCTCCTGTACGATCTCCTTCCGAATTGAGCTTTACTAACATTAAATTGCCACCTCCACCGGATGAGATCACAGACGATTATGGCTCCCCAACGAGCACTCGTCTTAGTGTTGACGGGAATTCCCGATTTATGTCAACGAATGGCACATCACCCGTCCAATCTTCCAATTCAAATCAACAAGGGAAATTGTCACAGGCAAGTGCGCCTATCAAGAGGCCAAGTAGGCAATATGCACCACTCTCAGAGCAGGAGACTCGTGTAGCAGTTGAACTCTTGTTCGCAGTAATCAACGAGCTCTACACATTGTCATCGGCTTGGAATATCCGCAGAACACTCTTGACAGCAGCAAAATCGTTCCTACTCCGACCAGGCAACCCGTCCCTCATATCCATCCAATCCCTTGTCCAGGAGTCGGTTCTGGAAGCAAACACGTCCGATAGTAGCATTGCTACATACCTGCGTAAGCTTCGGGAGAATTCCATGCCAACAGAGGAAGAGCGAAATGCTTGGCCAAAGGAAATGACTACAGAAGAGAAAGAGGAGCTAAGGGTGAAGGCCAGGAAGCTATTCATCCAAAGTGGGGTGCCAGCTGCGTTGATGGGGATTATGGGGCAATCGGCGACGAGTGAGGCACTTGGTCGAGTTTTCGATTGTCTCCAGATCGAGGAAGTAGCCAGGGGGCTCTTCTTTGGAGTTATGTTGCAAGCCGTAAGAGTCGTGACGCACTGAACTGGATTACTAAAGGCGTTTTACAAATCAACAGGTCGGCGCATACGAAGCGGGAATGGGCGGTGGAAATTGTGTACAAGTTTGGTACGTGTTATATGTCGACCTATCATGGCGGCCGGTGTACATCGGGTTTGGTCATAATCCCAATTGGGTGTGTATGAATATCTATACGACGATGTTGTACGACTACGACTATACTACTTTTAAACGAACGAGACTTCGAAAGTCCACGAAATTATCGGCGGCGTTTCCAAAATAGGGAATCATGAAGAAACGATACTACCATTTAATTACATTACATACATAGGGTCCTTATTTAATCCACCGATAAAGGAAGAATTACTTAACACGATTCAATTCACATATTATTTACCATTTAGCACCTAAGCATTTATTATCTAGTAGCTGTCTGATTATTATAGCGTATTACCTAAGTATCTACCTAGAAGATTGTTTAGAGCTAAGTAGGTACCTAGGTAGGTGCTTGTAACGACTTGAATAACTTCCAAGGTTCTAGGCTAACCGATACTATCCAGCTCTTATGTCCACTAAATTCCAAGGCTATAAGCCCACTGCGGGGTAGTCGATACAATGATGATGGGGTTAAGTAATTAAGTGCTAGCAGAGCCGAGATAAGTTGCCTTCGGTCTTCGGTCTTCAGTCTTCAGTCCTACTTAGTTCATTTTACGTCCACTGTAGATAAATAGGTACTTAACCTAGGTCCTACCTAGGTAACTCGCTCGCTCGCTCAACTCCGGTGACGGCATCGGCATTTTGCGATTCTAAAGCCCTGATCAATTTCAAGGCGCTGTTAATGTTATTCTATTAAAGAAACAGCATATCGATTTACTTGCCAGCTTATAAATCAGTCTATGGTATCATAGACCTTACAAATCATCTGTCGTTTCCATCCCGTTTGTTTGCTCTCGTGCCCCCGGCTTGATGCTAATAGGGCGCTGCCGTATTGCGGCCTCTAGCGTCCCGGACAAGATAATTAATATTCGTTGTCTAGAGGCTATTAATCTAAGTACATAAGTGAACATCTAACATCGCGATTAGAAATTACAATTTACGAATTGCTACTCTTTTCTAAACCATCTCTCTTTACTTGCCTATCCGTCCACGTGCCCACCTTGGGTACGAAATTGATATATGATGGGTTCAACCGATCATAAAGACCGTGGGGTTCGTATCGCCATCGACCGCGGTGGTACCTTTACCGACTGCGTCGGCACTCTGAATGGGAAGGATGTGGTCATCAAACTTCTCTCCGAGGACCCAGCCAACTATGATGATGCGCCTCTAGAGGGTATCCGACGTATCATGAGCCACTTTGAGGGGCGCGAAATTCCAAGGGGGGAAGCTCTGGACACCTCCAAGATCGATAGCATACGTATGGGAACTACGGTGGCTACCAACGCACTGCTCGAGCGCAAGGGCGAGAAGATGGCCTTGGTCGTAACTAGGGGTTTCAAGGACTGTCTCGTCATCGGCAATCAGAGTCGTCCCAAGATCTTTGACCTCGCTATAAAGAAACCTGACGTCCTATATGGGGAAGTTGTCGAGGTAGATGAGAGAGTTACGCTAGAAGATTATGCCGAGGATCCGGAGCGAACAATCAGCAAGGCCGATGCCAAGGCCGGGACCGCGGAGGCGGCAAAAGCAGATTTGGTAATGGGTCTCTCGGGTGAAGCCGTGCGGGTTTTACAACGACCCGAAGAAACCCGTATTAAGGATCAATTAAAGAGCATCTACGATAAAGGCATCAGGAGTATAGCCGTGTGTCTAATGCATGGTTACACTTTCCCGGATCACGAAGCCCTAATCGGTAAGATTGCGAAAGAGGTCGGCTTTGATCACATCTCACTTAGCCACGAGCTCATGCCTATGATTAAGCTGGTCTCTCGAGCTACAAGCGTCTGTGCCGACGCGTACCTAACACCGGCAATTAAAAAGTACATTGCCGGATTCCAGAAGGGGTTTGCTGGTGGTTTAGGAACTCGGAGCGTCCTCCATGAAGAAGGCAGCAAAGGCGCAAGATGCGAGTTTATGCAAAGCGACGGCGGCCTAGTTGATGTCGAAAAGTTTACTGGATTAAAGGCTATCCTGTCTGGTCCAGCTGGCGGCGTGGTTGGTTATGCCATTACGAGCTACGACGAGGAAACGAAGATTCCGGTCATCGGATTTGATATGGGTGGCACCAGTACTGACGTTTCACGATACGGCGAAGGCCGGTATGAGCATGTATTTGAGACCACAACAGCAGGTGTTACTATTCAGTCACCTCAACTTGATATCAACACTGTTGCTGCCGGTGGCGGAAGTAGACTCTTCTTCAAAAATGGTCTCTTTGTTGTCGGTCCTGAGTCAGTAGGCGCTCATCCGGGTCCTGCTTGCTACCGAAAGGGTGGTCCCGCTGCCGTTACGGATGCGAACTTATTTCTAGGCCGTCTGTTGCCCGAGTTCTTCCCAAAGATATTTGGTAAGAATGAGGATGAGGGATTGGATTTTGAGGCTAGCAAGAAAGTAATACAGGAGCTCACCGATCAAATTAATAAGGAGACTGGCAAGAACATGAGCTTGGATGAAGTAGCGTATGGTTTTTTAACCATTGCAAATGAAGCTATGACCAGACCAATTCGATCTATTACCGAAGCAAAGGGCCACGATTCCTCAAAACACCGACTGGCGACGTTTGGTGGCGCGGGTGGTCAGCATGCTGTTGCTATTGCTGAAGCCTTAGGAATCAAACAAATCCTTGTCCACAGATATTCATCAGTCCTGTCTGCATACGGTATGGCCTTAGCGGATGTCGTCGATGAGAGGCAAGAGCCGGATTCAACGGTATGGCAGGATAAAGGCGGCGTCGTGGATGAGCTAAAGGCCAAGATGCAAAAGCTTAGGGAGAAATCCCAAGAAACCTTGAAAGCTCAAGGCTTTGATGAAAGCGAGATTGTATTCGAAGAATATCTGAACATGAGATATCGCGGGACCGAGTCGGCTCTCATGATTGTCAAGCCCAACGAAGAAGAGGCGAAAGCATCTTACGATGGCGAAGACTGGGCATTTGGCAAAGAATTTGTAAATCACCATCGTTACGAATTTGGATTCACTCTGGATGACCGAGACATTATTATAGATGATGTCCGAGTACGCGGAATTGGAAAAAGCTTTAGATACCAAGACAAAACTGTGGACCAGCAATTGAAGGAGGTCAAACGACAAGCCGCCGGCGAAAATAAGGCCTATGGAAAATCTCAAGTTTATTTTGAAGGTGGACGTTTAAATACGCCAATTTACAAGTTGGAGGATTTATCAGTCGGCGATGAAATCAACGGTCCGGCCATACTCGCAGATGGTACACAGACAATCGTGGTGACTCCGAAAGCAAAGGCCCTGATCCTTGAAACACACGTTGTCATTGACCTAGAGAAGGATAGCAAGGACGAGTGAGTTTCTACTGTTTATTGCAATATTTTTTGAGATGAGACTAACATATCAAAAGCTCACATAAGAAAGATTCGTCCGAACGTGAGGTAGATCCCATAATGTTGAGTATATTTGGCCATCGTTTCATGGCCATTGCAGAGCAGATGGGCAGGGCGCTCCAGAAGACAAGCGTCAGTACGAACGTTAAGGAACGTCTTGATTTCTCGTGTGCTATATTCGATGCCAATGGTGGGCTAGTAGCAAACGCGCCACATCTACCTGTTCACCTTGGATCTATGTCGACATGTGTTAGGACACAAGCCAAGATTTGGGACGGCAGACTGAAAAAAGGAGACGTCATTATTTCGAATCACCCCTCATACGGCGGCACGCATTTGCCAGATATCACCCTCATCATGCCTGCATTTGATGAGAAGGGGGAAAAGATCCTCTTTTACGCGGCATCTCGCGCACATCACGCCGATATTGGAGGAATCACCGCAGGTAGTATGCCACCCCATTCGCGAGAATTATTCCAAGAGGGAGCTGCTATTAAGAGCGAGAAAATCGTTAGTGAAGGAAAATTTAACGAGAAGAGAATCACAGAACTGCTCTACAATGAACCGGCGCAATATCCTGGCTGCAGCGGTACCCGATGCTTAGCAGATAACATCAACGACCTCAGGGCCCAGGTTTCTGCGAATCAAAAAGGCATATCCCTTATTGAGGGTTTAATACAGGAGTATGGTGAAGAAACTGTGCAATTTTACATGGTGAACATCCAGAACAATGCAGAGCTCTGCGTCCGACAGCTACTCAAACAAGTGTACAAGAGATTTGAAGGGAAGGACTTATCCGCAGTTGATTTTATGGATGACGGAACTCCGATCCGACTACGCATCACCATCGACCCGGATAAGGGCCAGGCAGATTTCGATTTCGAAGGTACAGGCCCCGAAGTCTACGCCAATATCAATGCACCAGAAGCTGTCACTTATAGCGCTATTATCTACTGTTTACGTTGTCTCATTTCTGAAGACATACCACTAAATCAGGGATGCTTGAAACCCATCAATGTCAATATTCCACCTAGGTCACTCCTGTCACCATCGACGGGAGCCGCAGTAGTGGGTGGCAACGTTTTAACTAGCCAGAGAGTTACAGATGTCATTTTCAAGGCATTCCAGGCATGTGCTGCGAGCCAGGGTGACTGTAACAATTTGACTTTCGGCTTCGGAGGTAACATCTCGGGCAAACAAGAAGTCCGGGGTTTCGGGTACTACGAGACAATCGCGGGTGGCAGCGGAGCTGGGCCTGACTGGGAAGGCACTAGCGGCGTCCACACGCACATGACTAACACTCGTATCACGGACTCGGAGGTGTTTGAGCGGCGGTATCCCGTCATCCTACGCGAATTCTCAATCCGGCCGGGTTCGGGTGGCAATGGCCAACATCGCGGGGGTGATGGTGTCATCCGCGATATTGAATTCCGCGTCCCCTTACAAGTTTCTATTCTTAGTGAACGCCGTGTCTACCACCCTTACGGACTAGCCGGTGGCGAAGACGCCGAATGCGGGCTCAACATTTGGGTACGCCGCGTGCAAAAGACGAACCCTGAGAAAGACTTAGCAGCGCAAGGAGAACACCTACAACAAGACGAGAGTAACGCCGAATACGAAGAGCGCTGCATCAACCTAGGCGCCAAGAACAGCGCTCCTATGAAGACCGGCGATCGAATCATTATCAACACGCCCGGTGGAGGAGGTTGGGGCAAGGTTGGCGACGAGAAAGTCGAGAGGAAGCGCGAGGATCACACCGAGTCCTGGAGGAAGGGAAGCCATGCTGCTAGGGAGGATACCGCTTTGCAGGTTTAGTCAGGGATCGTTTGTATGTGAAGTATGTAAAAGGGGGATGAGCGTGAAGAATTTTTCTTCTCTTCTTCTCTGCATATATGCATAGGGGGTGTGCGTATCGTAATGTCTTAACATCTAGATTTAAGAACAAGGTCACCTTTTGAATCCTGAAAACCAGTCCGTCCATACACCGCCAAACCCACGATGTGAAATTGGATAGCCACATATGTAGCCATTAGGAGGAACACACCGGCCTAAGGATTACATAGGGGCAAAACAGTGCTACATCATGTTGCAACCTGAAACATTACCGCTCATCTTTGTCGGCACCGCTACTCAAATCAGGAAGGTTGGAAGCCGAGAGGCGGTTAAGTTCTATTCGCCGACAGCCTATCGGGTGTGCCCGTTGTTTCCTAACATAAGGGATCAACCCAGCCCGTCGGCCTGGGACCCGCTAATGTTAACGGGAAGACACGAGAACGCGTGGCGGCGGGCATAGGCGGTCCTGTCAATGGTAGGTAATGAGATCGGTAAGCAGAGGATTAGAATAGGATTTCATTATTAACAAGACAGGGAGGAAGGGAGGGAGGGGGGAAAAAGAGGAAAAACTGGTAAGGAGGTTTGGGGGCCAAAATGCAATCGTAACAAGCGCCAACTGCGTGATGTAGGCCCCGATTGGCCCCCAATCCCAGGAAGTTGGTAACCCATCACTCGGAGATCCACGATAGAATGGGGACTTGCAGCAAGTGATCCCCTTTTAAAACTGTCCCCGCGTGCTCAGCAGTTGGAGGACTGCCTAGAAACACCCGTCCATGCATGCTTAGTTCTTACTCTTCTCTAGACATTTGCGGACTTTTGTCGTCGAGTGACTTTCTCTATAGGGCAAGAGATGTAACGTCGTGGCCTTGGGGATAACCTCTGATATACCCCGAATATTGCAAGGTTCGCCTAGGCCGAGGCAGAAGTTGTCCTTCTGCCTAACTATTCGAGCAAGTTCCCGCGAGGTCGTATCCACGGAAATCCACATATAGCATCGTTTGATTAGTCAAGGTTGAGGCTCAATCTCCGGATATAATGGCAAGCTAGACGTGACTTGCACTTTCACGTGGATCTTCTAAGTCGAAGGCGGCGTGACTTGCAGGAGAGCTGAGACAGTGCGAGCCGCATCGTGGTTGATGTCGTAGGTACAACGAAGAGACTTTTGCTCAGGTAGGGGGATCGCCAAGGTAAAAGAACATCTCGGCCCGCGAAGAAGTCGAAATTTCCGAGAATAGATTGCACCGCATATAGGCCTTCTATAGGAAGCAATTACTCCTACCCCGGAGATAAGATCTCGATTTCCTACTAGCCCAGGCGTAAGAACCCTTTATTACGAATCCTTTGTTGAATCTGAAGTTATTTTTATCGGCTGCTAGCTGACTTAGTCATCGTCTCTTCCAAGACTATGCTGAACAGGTACTCGTATTTTCGGTGTGTCGTTCCCGTTTAGGGAATTATCTGTTAGTAAGGAGTGTTACGTCGACTCTTCTCGACGCATACGAATATTTAATTGTGTGATATCCATCACGTGTGGTTATCACGAGCAATGGATGCGAGAAAGAGCTAATGTATGAACGAAATCTGAAGTTGGGGAATGGTTTTTTGGTTGCAAATATGTTCGCCCATATCAGATTTAAAATAATGGACGTCCACTTTTGAAGCTATTTTCGAAGTGATCGTAGTAAGTCAAGAAGAAGAAGGATATTAGTAGTAATTTTACGTCAAGATTAGTGATAAGAAAATCTAGAACCCCATAGGCATAGATATATAATACGACAGGGTCGCTGAGCATCTTGAACGCGGCGAGTGACTCTTCTCGCATGATACCCCCGAAGGATCTGTTGTAGTCGGTCCCGATCCGAGTATGAGAGATCGATCCGGGTTCGTCAACCGACGATCTCCGGCGGCGTTAAAATTGCCGGTGATGAAATTGCGCCCTATTGTCTTTAACTAATGCGGGAGGTAAGAGTGAACCCTGTTTCTTTGATGACAATCTTGCAGATATCAGGCCTTGTGAAATATTTTTTTTTACCGATGACTCGACTGTTGATTGTCGGGAAGGAATTGAAGAAAGAAGGTTGAAGATTTTAGAAATGTCTAGGGGAATTTGGGGATTTAGTGAAGTCAATAGGCTTGTAACACCTGACGGACCGCTGTAATCCGACCTAGCGGGGAATATTATTGGCGGATTTCGTGGGGTAAGATAGCACTCCAACAAGCTGACAGTACCCGATAACCCTCCAACTTCCAACTTTGGTAAATACCTAGGTACCTAACGGGTATATCTCGACGGGAACTCTAAACTCTCATATTAAGTCTAAGTCTATAAATTCTATTAAGCCCGTAACTACCTTAAGATACTTCACTCTCTTGTTAATCTTTAATATCGATATCTACGTCTCATAAAATAATCACATTGTCTGTTTGTTTCGTATCCCCCTCCCCCCCTTCTCAAGTTAAGTGGGTACTTGCTAACATCTAATCTCAAGAAAAAGAAAAACCAAACAAGATGAGTTATGGGACATATACCGACGAGGACTGGGGTGAGATCAAACAGGATATTCCGAAAGAGACCGACCCTTTTGTACAAAAATACATCCAGGGTCGCGAGGCGCTCATAGCGCAAGAAAACAAGGAACGGAGCGGTTCGTATAAATTACTCCTTCATTAGCTAATCAGCTACCCCCTCCCCCTTTTCCTTTTTCCTTTTTCCTCACTAACGTGGCTGAAAATATTAGATGCGTCATTTAAACAGAATCTTTCTCCTATCGCCAAGCGCGCCTGTGATATTGTAGGGCGTATCCGAGAAGAGGAGAAGAATACAGTATGGACGCCACAGCTGGAAGACTCCCTCGCTCAAGAGGCCGAGAATATCACCGTACATCCGGGCATGATGTTCTCGCTATCCAAGGAACGAATGGAAAGCACGAAATTATGGAAAATTGTGCGCAGAATGCCCAAAGGGGCGCTCCTGCATGCGCACCTAGACGCTATGGTCGATTTTGATCATCTTTTCCAGAAGTTATTTGCCACTCCAGGGATGCATCTAGCTGCGGATCAGCCACTTACGACAGCCAAGGCGAAAGAAGTAGCCAAATTGACTTTCCGCTTCTTTAAAAAAACGCGCACCGAAGGTAACATTTGGAGTGCTGATTACAAGGAAGAGACACCAATCCTGCTTACACAAGTAGCGGATGCGTTCCCCGGCGGCGGGAAGGCTGGTTTCTTGAAGTGGCTTTACGGACGGTGTGCTATATCGCAGACCGACGCTGTTTCACAACATCATGGCGTCGACCACATCTGGCAAAAATTTCAAAAATGTTTCCGGGTTGTCGGATCCATTATCCACTACGAGCCAATGTTCCGCGCTTTCTTACGGCGGCTTATGAGCCTACTGAAAGCGGATGGCATTAATTGGTGTGAGATGCGATTCTCATGGGCAATGGACTACTATACAGAAGGTAGCGAAACGCCTGAATCGGATTACGGCGCTATGATGACTGTTATAGACGAGGAAGTGGCGCGGTTCCAGGCGACCGAAGAAGGGGAGGGATTTTGGGGTTTGCGAACAATCTGGGCTACGCTCCGATTCTTCTCCACACGGGACATTTTGCAAAATATGGAGCAGTGTATCACGACTAAGATCACACATCCGCATCTGATCGCGGGGTACGACCTTGTCGGTCAAGAAGACGCGGGGCGGACTCTACGCGATTTGCTCCCCGAGATCTTTTGGTTCCGCAAGCAGTGCGCCGAAGAGGGTCTCAATATCCCATTCTTCTTCCACGCCGGCGAATGTCTCGGGTCAGGTAACGCGACCGACCACAATTTATTCGACGCCATTCTCCTAGGTACGAGGCGGATTGGACACGGATTCAGCTTGTACAAGCATCCGTTGCTCATCGATCTTGTCAAAGAGAAAAAGATTCTAGTGGAAAGTTGCCCTATCTCCAATGAGGTACTTCGCCTCTGTGGTTCTGTGATGAGCCATCCTTTGCCCGCCTTATTAGCTCGCGGGGTGTCTTGCTCCATGTGCAATGACGATCCGGCAATGCTGGGGCAGGACACTGCAGGATCCACACACGATTTTTGGCAAGCCCTACAGGGCTGGGAGAATCTTGGATTGGCAGGATTAGGCAGCCTGGCTGAAAACAGCATTCGCTGGGCAGCGTTCGAGGACCAGACTGCCGAGGAGTGGAGTAGGGATATTAGGGAAGCGAGCACGGGAAGTGGGATCAAGGCACAGCGACTCAAGGAATGGGAGATCGAGTGGGAGAAATTCTGCCTGTGGGTCATAGATGAATTTGGCGAGGAATAAAAGGAGAGAGAGGGCGGGAAGGGGAGAAAAGGGGGGGCGTAAGCGTGAGAATAGTGCAGGTTGCCTGGAAGCAAATAGCGGAGACATGTGCCGCGCACTTACAAACGGGGCCGAAAGCCCACATCCCCGAGATGATTTACGATGAATAGGATGGATGGGATTACTTACCCACACGTCTTTCCATCATGGTTCAACCCAAAGGATTTTTTTTTTTTTCGAAAGGAAGGGAAGGAAAAATTTTTAATTCTTTAGATTGTTGCGGCTCTGCGACAAATGTATGACGGAACGAAGGTGACCCAAAGCCGGCTGCATATATGGTACGGTCCCGTCGCTCGCAACTTAAGGGTGGTTACAGCGGCTTACCTGCATCACCCGGTGACGCTGACGTGCAGCGGCATAGGGCAACGTATGTATGTTCCACTCAGGACGCTACATCCGCTACTTTAGGGCGTTAGGGAAAGAAAGGGATTTTATTTTGTTTTTTCAAGGCTTATATTTGGGCGAGCAGGCAAAGCAAGGGCGGGAAGACGGGACGGCACATAAATCAAGCCAAGGCCGCAGGGTCGAAGATCATGACCTAGTTCAACACACAGATTATCCTGCCTGCTTCTTCCTCATAAGGCAATCATCAATGTGTGTACGTAACCTCATGTATGTGTGTATATGCATGTATACGTCTTCGTCTCTCTAGTAAATGGTATACATGTGTGTGAGATTACATATATGTCGGAGTAGTCTGACACTGCTCACACGCAGCACCCGCCTGCTCGTACCTTAACTCATGAATGTTCGGGAAGAGGAATTACGAGTAACTTATTGATGATTGATGGAGGGTATAGTGAAAGCATCGCCAAATGATCGCGAGCCTGTCCCCGCCAGTCGGATGTCGTGCAAGTCATACTTCCATTTTGCGGTCAACGAATTGCCATCGATTGGACCTTGGCAACCAAAGGAAACTTCGAAATCGATGAAGATAGTTGGAACGTGGGGGGCACCGCCTTAATACTATTGAACCCGACTGTTTGGTAACGATTTGGCGATTACTTTACGGCCTTCGCGGCAAGGAGGGGCGGCATGGTAGGTGAATGGACCACAGTACGCAGCTCTATATGCAACCACCTTACGCTCGTGGAACACAAAGAGGGCGTAGCGTGTCTTAGCTTATACTGTCTCACGAGATCTCCTGCAATAAAGTAACATCACTCCGAGCGTGCGACAGCGGGAACTTCGGACAAGTGTTTCCTTGTCCTTGTAAGAGCGACGGCTATCTGATTCTTTAAACTATGATGCCTAGCCAGCAGGCATGTAGTCAATAGATAACTAGGTAGCACTAAAAGCTGATATGCATACAGCTCGAATATGTAATGATAGACGCTAAACAATGATTGGGACAGGCGAACACCGAATAACAATGAGGAGCAGTGTTTGCTTTTCAATTTCGCCTTGATGCATTCTGAATCATTGGTAGACAAGCCACGTAGCCCCGTGGAATAGCCGTCATAGTTGAGAAAGCGAGCAAACCAGTCGGTGGTGTCGATTGTACAAGGCCTCTTAGGCTATTCGGTCACAGAAAAGTAATGGCTACCTAGTTTTTGATGCTTGGTAGGACTATTAACGATGATTACCTTAGGTAGTCCTACTCCGCCGGGCCCCAGGTTTCGTATAGCCACTGCCGAAAATTCGTAGGTTGCACTGGTACATCATTGTTAAGGTTGGTATCTCCGAACGTATAGCGACCGTTTGCGGTTTGAAGAAGGTGTTGCATCGAGTGCCACCTAGTTTCGTCTCCGACTTGCTCGTAGTAGCGAAGCCATTGTAGTATCTGGTCGTATGGCCTTGTTACCACTTGGAATTCGACTACGGTGTGTCAGTAATCGTATTATAGGGCGATGAACATTCACGACTTACCGCCCCGGACTTCGCTGCAAATTTCGTGAAGTCTTTGAGCAGTCATACGAGTACCACGCATTCTATACTCATTCGGCCACTCGTCAATTCCTAGTTCGACCGCTGCAGCTACGAACCGCGCTACATCGACTGCGGATGTCATTGTAATCTGCACTGGACGGCCCTGTGGGTTTGTTTCTGGTACTTCGGCGGTTCCTTGCCCTACATCCACCATGTAATCTCCCTGGTTCCGAATCCGACAGGTGAGCCCCATGTCGTAGGCTTGAAGGCCACCAGGAGCAAATCGTTCGTAGAATATTCCGCAGGAAAATACGGTGAACTTCATCGGATACTGTCTTGATGAAGACCAGTGTTGGAGCTGCGCTAAGGCCGTCGAAGAACCGTTATCGAAAGGGTCAGTTCCAGCGGCTGGTCTGTGGCTGATGGCACCCTCGAATTCCGAAGGCACGAAGCAGCGCACACGAGCCCGTCTTGCTGCATCGATCAGGTTAAGTTGTTCGGCACCTGAAATCGTGGAAATCACGAGGTCGATTCCCTGGAGGGTAAATTGAAGGCGTTCGAGGCTAGTGTAGTCAACTACGGCTACTTGACAGTCGTAATTTTCTTCGAACTCCGGATGTTCCTATCAATGTATTAGCTAGCCTTAACTATGGTAGTTGTCCTGTTTCGATTACCCTTGTTGATAGAACTAGAATGGCGTAGGCGCTGCGAGATAACTCTTGAACCAGGAGAGAGGCAAAGCCTCCGGCACCCGCGATCGCGATTCGCATCATCGCCGTAGCTGAACGTTTGCCCATGGTCGAAACTAGTTGCGGGATGATGGATAATTTAATCTCGGGCTCAGGACAATAGGTTGATGGTGGTATGGTCACGTTCGTCTAGAAGAATTCTACTGCTTTTCCACCAGTACGTTGTAAAAATCTCGCACTGGTAGTTGCTACAAGAAAGATACTTGATTGTATATTAGTACCGAACCTGCTTTGATGAGTCAACCCCTGGGGCTCGCATTCTGAGTGGTGGGCGAGTAGAGGGACGGTCGGTGTCACTCGAGCTTCTGAAACTAGCAGGAGGAGACAGCCGAAAGTCGAGCCAAATACGTTTGACTGCCTACGAACTTCCAAGATGGAAGACGCCGAAAATTCGGAAGGAGGTCCTTGGACGATGCTCACGAGGTAATACGTACGTCAAGGTAACAGTCCATATGGTACAACTAAGTCGCGGGATGACCTTTCGACAAGTGGGCCTCGGTACATGTATATGGTGAACTGGGAATCCTTAAGGGGATGTCGCGCGGAGGTGGGCGATCTAAGCCGATCCCCTGAAATTATTCTTCAGTGGCACCAACAGAGCTGTCCCGGTTCACACAGTAGCAGTGAAATATGTCCACCCCGACAAGGGTTTGTGGACTCCTTCTGCAAGACCCTGGAAGATACCTAGGTAGAGCCGCGTGGGCGTCCACACCTATGGCCTAAGACCCAGTGACAAGTCCATAGACCATCGAGATTGAAGTAGGAGCTAGTGCTGCCTGACAGAGCGTAGATATCGACCCGCCTGTTGCAGGAATAAGTAGGTGTCAGTTTCGGCTCAAGGGCCACTTTGGTACCGACCCAACAGACATAAGGTAGGTCCCTACGCCTATACCGAATTACTGCATGGTGCTCCACAATCTGGGCTGCAGTCTGTGGCCCCAGGAACGGCCATGTGTAAGGGTGTGAGCAGAGAACGCTTTCGGTGAGCCTCGAGGCCTATTCAACCAATAGCCACCTAGGTAGACAGCATAGGGTGGCTCGTAATAGCAGATAATCAAGCGTGGCAAACGAATTAGAAAGGAAGACGGGAAATATCCCTAGGTCACTAAAAATATAGTGCAAGTTATCCATCTCTAGGTTGTGTGAGGAGCTCTGGGATACCCTCGACCACACTAAGGAATAAGACAGTCTTCTATAGCACACATAACCCAAGGATTGATAGAAGCGTACTTCAGTCAATTTCAAACGTACATCATGAAATTCATCGTCCTGAATAATGGCTTAACAAGACCAAAGAATAATATAAGCCAAAAAGTAGTACATGATATAAATCAGGATGGTTAGTTCAAGAATAGATCTCTCGAGTCTTCCTTACCAACAACGGTACGGTACCTAGTGAAACTCGAGAGTATAGTAAGAGACATCCACGGACTACGGTACCAAGGTAGAGAGGAATTATTAGGACAACATGAGTCAGTCCATAGTGATTAAGAAGAGGGCGGGATGGAAAAGAAGAGCCAGGGGATCCATTGTTGGTGACGGAAGATGGGACTGGCCGCGGGCCATGCCCCGGTTGGTAATAGATTGAAGGCCCCGAAAAAAATAGGGAAAAAAAATAGAAAGAGGAAAAAGCTCTAGAAATTGGGGGCCAGTGATTGGCATATAGCAAAGCTTGTCGTGCATAAGTGTAAAGGTTGCTTGTACGGCGTAGTCAGCCCTGAGGACTGGAAGCCTGGAATTTGTCTGCGGCTCTATGCTGAATTGAGGTTGATTCAGGGTTGAATCAGGGTTGATTTAGGGAGAGTTTTGGGGGCCGAAAGACTTCCTTACTACCTACTTAGACTTTCCCAGCACGCACCGTCGCACGGATCAGGCCTAGGGTATGGCGGCTCCACAGCATCCTTTTTTTACTTTTACTGTACCCAGGTACATAATACATTCGCAGCCCGCTTACAGGCTGGACTTTCCGATGTTCTAGAGATGCTAGTCACCCCTCCAGTGGCTTTTTGGGGGGTACTCCGCAGCGGGTAGTTGGGGTACGTATCCTGATACGGGCGATGGAAGCTTCACCTGATACAAGCTACGAGCTAGGTACATGTACTTACTTCAGTACCTAATCTAAGGTACATCGATGGGACAAGAGAAGATCGTTTAACTGCCACTTAGAAGGCTGCATTACATTCTTTCTCTAAACTATAATTTCCTTTTTAATATATAAAATGTTTCAATGGCATAGCCAATTTTAAACGTCGGAAAGAGGAGGAAAAAATAGTTAAATATAAAAGAGTCAAGAAAAAAGACCAAAGAAAGATATTGTATTACATTTCTAACCAGTTTCCTCGTTCGTCAGCATCTATCAAGATCACCCCGTAATATACACCATACATACCTACAACGACGCCCTGTCCCTTACAATCGACGATGTTACTTCTCTCTACAACCATGCGAGTATCCGACAAAGGAAACTGAATGATTCATCTGATCTACATACGGATATGCCCGGTGGCTGGTGTCATGTGAATTTTAACCTAAGTCTCGAAACAACAGAACTCATTTGATTCGGTATGATCATTTCGGTCAATTGCCTTATGACTGGGATCACACGAACGGACAGACGGACGGTATACTAATAGTATTTTTCTATAAGAAGATATTTACTACTGCCTAAATAGTCCTAGACAGTATCCGGGTTCTTACGTGCAGAATGCCTAGGTACCTAGGTAAATAAAAGGAAATCAATATTGCAATAGTACGATTAACCAGTTACAATCGAGAAAAGCATCTCCTTCTGCCCTATAGGGCAGATTACAGAATCAAGCACTACCCATGTAAGAGCCGCGACAGGGATAGTTATCGAGTTTGAAAATGCATGTTTCAATTATTATTCGTCCGCTGGCTGACAGCACTAATACATGGCTGACATTTTTTCGGTAATGATCGCAACCGATTACTCTTCCTGGGCACTGTTATCGAGATTTCTGAGTGGTCACTTAGTTATTTTCAACTCTGCAGCAATGAAGTGAAATTGGTTAGGTCTTATTCCATACATGAATTCATTCTATCATACCGATCCACTTCCACGTTGTTTTTATGCCATGACAAACCCTGGCTCACTCCATGTGGGTATCATAATCTCCTTCATCATTCTTAAAGAATCTTCTTATTCCCCAGTGATTCATCATCAGCAACAACTAAATGAAACCGTCAGCCTACGACTTCTTCGAGGCAGAATTCTCTGCGTCTGCCTTCTTGACAATGTCCTGTTCTGCCCCACGTTGAGTGGTCTTTCCCGCGTCATGCTGATCTTGGTAATTTGCTTGGGCGGCTTTGTTACCGGTAACACCGGCAAAAGCACCACCTACGGTACCAGTGACACGATCGGAAATGCCGCTAACGTAATCGTTGACTTGGCCCTTAGCCTCCTGCTGTTGGCCTTCTTGGTTCTGTTGACGACCCGCTGCCTTCAAAGACTGGTAGATAATGTCAGCATTGTCTACGTTCACGGATTTATTCGCTTATTTGGTTAAATAAACTTACCTCAGATCCAGCCAATCCGCCGACGAATTCCTTGGCGGAACCGACTGTTTGGTTGTATGAACCAGCGGTTCGGTCAGGGTCATCCTTGGTAACGGCGCCGGAAGATGATGCAGTGAAACCCGGAACTTTGGCAGTAGCTTGGGATGCATCATACTCGGCATCGGCCTTGTTTTGCTTGGCTTGACCCTCAGCCTATTGGGTACATCGTTTAGTTTTAAGACATTGGCATATTGCAGATTATGCTAAATTGAATCATACCTGATGAGATGTGTTACCCGTCACGCTGCCGAATGCATTTTGGACGGCTCCGGTGGCAGAGTCGACCACCGACTTGAGAGTAGAGGTGTTATCGTTGGTAGACATATTGGTAGAGTGGATATTGTAAGAGTCTTTTTAGGGTTAAATATTATTGATAAATCTTAGAGTAGATTGGTGTTGTTGTAAACTTGTAATTGTGAATGGGATCTATTGAGATGGAGGAGGGGAGTTAAGGTAATTTATATTTTATGAAAGGCAAAATCGAAATCCGTCCCGAAACAAGCATTTTCAAAGTATCTACAGCGATATCTAGATCTCAGGTGTAAGTAAGTACGATCCATGGTGTAGAGGTAAGTACCCATGCCAAACATTTGGGCTTGATGGTACAAAGGTGGAGGAGGGTATTACTCTTTTAGGAAACTAAGACGTCATTTGGTGTGGCGTTGGGTTCTTTTCGTTGATGTCATTTTTTGGATTTCACTATGTCGTCTTTCAAGCCACCTCGGACTTGTGACTGCCTAGATGTTGTACATTAGAATCACGCAAACCTGCATTGATTGCCCACTTTGATGGCTTCATTGACCCGTCTTGCCGCTGACTACGTAATTTCGTCTCTTTAGTTTCAGCCTTTCCTCTATGTTGGGAAGGTTTAGGGATGTTCTGGTGATTTCTGCGATGACGTACTTGGGGTCTCTTACGTAGATTGCCATGCGTTGTTAAACTTAATTTGCGCAAGTAGTACATGTACGTATCTTTAAGATCAAATGTACTGCACGGGACAAAAAAACGAAGTTGAGACGTACACACAGGCACCAATTCATGCGTATAAATGCAGCAATGTTATTAACTGAGTATCATATTAGTCTGCCTTGGAACATCGGGGTCATCCCGGCAGCCTGGATGGAATTGCATCCTCAGCCTTAGGAGTGCTTCCAGCAATGTAGGTGAACTACCTGGAATTCTTAGATTTTCGCGTAATCAATGTCGCAGTGACGTCACTAGAGTGACCATACAGAATACAAAAATTTCTCGACAAATTTGTTCATGAATTCATTTTTAGCACATCGTGCCGCAGGTATCAATAAACGTAACGCGTTGTCCACGACTTTTCCGGTGATCATATCAAATAACCGCAAATCCCTATACGGGCCAAGACCACACATTTCCTCGCAGCGAGCGGCGATGCTTGCAAATGACCATAACTCCTAAAATACAAGGTCCCTTAAATACCCCAATCGCCCAACTTTAGCAATTGCGAAACTGATCGCATCGACCAGATCCTAGCAGCCTTCCACAGTTCAAGCATTGACTTGGATGCAGCAAGTTCCAGGGAAAAAGAGTCATACGTTCAAATAGACCAATGGTCTATTAGTGCTGGCTCCATTCGATGGTATTCAGATCGATACCTTCCTGTACCAGTTCCCATAGAGGACTCAATTCGCGTAGGAAGGTAACACGTTCTGAAACAGCCTTGAGGACGTAGTCAATTTCTTGCTCTGTAGTAAATCGGCCAATACCAAATCTAATACTGCTATGCGCGCTCTCATCGCTATTGCCAAGTGCCCTCAGAACGTAGCTTGGTTCCAATGAGGCGGAGGTGCAAGCGCTGCCAGATGACAAGGCGATATCTTTGAGAGCCATTAGAAGAGACTCGCCCTCAACGTATGCAAAGGATACGTTAACACATCCAGGGTAGAAACTGTTTGGGTCCCCATTTTGGTGTGTGTGTTCCAAAGCCAAAAGACCATTCAGTAATCGATCAGATAGAGTCTTGATGCGCTTGGAGTCATACTGTATATGTTCGTTAGCTCCGAACGCTGTGGGAATGCTAATTAATTAAATTTATAAACAGGGATTTGTCAGACGCATTTGCTGTTTCTCAACATAGTAATCCGGTCAAGGAGCTCAGAAAGCCATGCATGTGTAAAGCGATTCATCAGTAGAAAATGAAAATAACAGGTGTGAAATACGGCTAGAAAAGGAAATAAACCCACCTCCAACTCTTGTTTGGCGATGCGACAGGCCTCGCCAAACCCTACCACAAGGGGTGGGGCGAGAGTACCGCTGCGTAGACCTCGTTCTTGACCGCCACCACTGATAATGGGTTCCAATCTGACTCGGGGTCGTCTTCGGACGTAACAGGCGCCAATACCCTTGGGACCGTAGATCTTATGGGATGAAATTGACATCAAGTCAATATTCATTGCATTGACGTCCAACGGAAGCTTTCCTACGGCCTGTGCGCCATCCGTGTGGAAGAAAACCTTCTTCTCGCGACATAACTTGCCAATCTTCTCCAAAGGCTGAATAACGCCAATCTCATTATTTACGGCCATGATACTAACGAGTACCGTGTCCGGTCGGATTGCTGCTTCTAGCTCTTGAAGATTAACCAAGCCATTAGCTTGGACTGGAAGGTATGTAACGTCGTAGCCTTCGTCCTGAAGATGTCGGCAGCTGTCGAGGACGCATTTGTGCTCGGTTTGGCTAGTAATGATGTGCTTCTTCTTGCCTGATCGTCCGAAGAATCTCGCAACTCCCTTGATGCTCATATTGTTACTTTCGGTAGCGCCACTGGTAAATATGATTTCCTTAGAATCAGCACCGATAAGCTTAGCGATATGCTCTCGCGCGTCCTCAACAGCCTTTTCACTCTCCCAACCGTATGCGTGTGTTCGTGAGTGAGGGTTGCCGTAAACGCCGACGAAGAACGGTAACATGGCGTCGAGAACTCTAGGATCTACCGGAGTCGTAGCTTGCATATCAAGATAGATGGGTCGTTGGCCTTCCTCCAAGACAGTAGCCTCTTTGAGAACTTCGGCCATCGGGCTAATGGTAGCATTCGCGGGATTACCGGGCCCTGGCATAACTAGCTCGCCTTTCTCATTCATAAAATCCTTCTTGTCTAACTTGATAGCCGTTTCAACATTGACCTGGGCATTATCTCGTTTCGTCTCCGATACGTAGCTTCTGCGTGGGATCTGCGCGGCAGTCGCGGCGACGGCTACTCTTGATATGGAGGGGATTCCTCGGAGAGGAGTGGTGTTAAAAGACTGTTTGAGACCGAGGCGCGAGGCCTGTCTTAGTGCTGTCGTAGCCACGTTCACCATGGTGGCATCAGTGAATTATTAAATGAATACAAAGAAGAGAAGAAGAGAAAAAATGGGTAGATAGGAAAGGAGGGGAAGTTGTTAAAAATCCTGGAGACTGATGGCGAATTTCAAAGCAACAGTTAAATTGTCAAAAGCCGCGAAAAAAGCTCCGAAGCTCGGGTAACGGCGTTGTAAGGTGAAAAATGGAGAAGAGCTCGGTGATATCGGTAGCGCACTAACAATGATCCATTGCATTTGATTGTTCTGAAAGCTCGGGTACCTCGGAACCCTGTTTGATTAAGTAATCCTGATGGTGGGGGTGACGCTTCCAATTGATTTAGTGCCTGCGCAGGTACGTACTTTAAGTACCGTATTGATGACGTTAGGCGGCAGCTTGGCGTAGAATGACACGGCAAAGCTTGCCGTACAACCCTACGTTAAATTCGGATTTAACGGTTTAGCGTAAGAAGGATGATGCGGATTCGCGGATACCTACATAGTTGTGTAACAAGTTTAGGTTTTCTTTGTTTCTACCTAGGTACGTAATAAGAAGATTATTATTAGTGCCTAGGCACCTACAATATGTACCTACAGTACCTAAGATAGATCCAATACTGAATTCGATCAATGTTAAACAAAACAATTTTCCTCATGATTCAGGTCTACTTAGTACCACTACCGCACGCATTTCTTACTACTTGGGTATTCCCGACTAACCTAGGTCCTTATTCTTCCTGTTTAAGGTAACGAACAAACCAAGCCACAATATTTGTCGGGTTCTTTGCGAGGCCGAGCTGAGCACTGCCACGAGAAAGACGTCGTCAGTGGATGCAGTGGATGAAGAAGGACGAGGGACCACTCACTCCTAAGCCAAGTTCAAGTTCACGACCAGCTTACTATTAATTCTTTTATCTTGTCATTCTCACTACTACGAAACCACTCTACTCTAATACTTCTTTTCCCTTCTTAACTCTTCCTTACTATTACTCTGCGATAAGGCTCGGCATAGATTCAACATTGCCAGTACTTCATACCAGAAATATTTCCAATCGAAATCAACAATACCCCGCCAATCCCACCATTTTCCCTTGGTCCCTCTATTACTTTCAAAACCTCCACTATCGGGCAGATCTCTTTAATCTCGCAGAGCGATGAGCTTCCGAGGCTTCCAAAAGAGCGTCGTCCGGGTAAGTAATATTGCGATTAAATTAGGACAATTCCCAGGCTTACCAAACCCCCCTCAACCTATAGGCGCCGCAGCAATTCAAGGCGAAGTTCAATATCGGCGAGCACTCAAAAGATCCCGTATTCATCGACGCAGAACGACGTTTCCACGAGCTCGAGGTTGAGACCAAGCGCCTTCACGATGAAAGCAAAAAGTATTCCGACGCCATTAATGGCATGCTCAACCACCAAATCGAGTTTAGCAAAGCGATGACCGAGATCTACAAACCTATATCCGGCCGCATGTCCGATCCCGACTCTATAGAGATCTCAGGCAATCCCGATGGTATCCGCGCATGCGAAGAATACGAGGCCGTTGTCAAGGATCTGCAAGAATCGCTCAAGCCCGAGCTCGAGATGATTGATTCGCGCATTATACGCCCAGCTAATGAACTGCTTGATGTGCTCAAGGTCATCCGAAAAACTGCGACGAAGCGCGAGCACAAGAAGCTAGATTTCGATAGACACAATGCGACACTCAAGAAATATCAAGACAAGAAAGAGAAGAGCGCAAAAGACGAAAAGGCACTATGGAAGGCCGAAAGTGACGTTGAGCAAGCCACCCAGGAGTTCAATTATTTCAACGATCTGTTAAAAGATGAACTACCGAAGCTGTTCGGTCTTGAGCGCCAATTCATCAAACCACTATTCCAATCTTTCTACTATATGCAACTTAACATCTTCTACACCCTGCATGAGAAGATGCAACATTGCGATATCGGATATTTCGACCTAACACTCGATGTTGAAGAGGCTTTCATAAAGAAGCGGGCCGATATTCAAGAACAGACTGAACTGTTGACCATTGTTCGATTCAAGACCAGCGGCCAGAAGAAGCCACCACCCAAGTATGGAAATAAACCAGCGGCGATCGAGGCCGGACCCGGTCCAGCAGGATTACTCACAGCAGGCCCTTCCTCTACGCCAAGTCTAGCGTCTACAAAATACGGCCAGCAATCGCAGGCCGAGGTTGTAGAAAACCCTCCGCCGCCATATTCCGTGGCAACACCCGCCCTAAAATCACCCATGTCTCCGCCCTTGAATAGCCCCAAGTCACCGGGATTGGCAGCACTCGCAGCAGGGAAGCCGAAACCCCCTCCACCAAAGCCAAAGCCGAGTCGACTCAGCGGAGCACCGGCGGTGGAGACAGTTACGGCTCTATACGATTACTCGGCCCAGGCGGAAGGCGATATTAGTTTTAGGGCGGGGGACATAATAGAGATTGTCAATAGGACACCGAATGAAAACGAATGGTGGATTGGTAAATGCCACGGGAAACAGGGTCAATTTCCAGGTACGTCCCCATTTACGATATTCTATACTCTCTAGCTAACATCCATATTCCAGGAAACTATGTTAAAGTCGGTTAGAAGCCTACATTACAACCGTCGGATCGCCAGAGATCAGTCCGACCGCAACACAATTCACCAAAAAGTACTTAGCGGGGGTAAACGGGTTGATATAGGCCGGCTACATAAACTCGGTTATTAGGCGTTGATTTTATCGGCGATCGAGCAGGGTTACCTTCGATGATATCAATTAGCAAAACATTGGATTGTCACTGGAAACTTTGCTGGACCTCGTAGGGTAGAAGGGGGCAGAGTGACAAAGGAGGTATTCTCGTAGCAACAACTTACAGTATTACATGAACACCCCAGAGCATGGAACACAATTATCATACCGGGCGGCCTCTTGTATTCATTAGCGAGTCAAGAGCACGACATGTCCGTTGGTAAAGCCCAACTCAATCGAGATTTAACCATGGCAGAACTTATTAGCATCCTAGGCATACGACATGGCATGGAGAGGCAGACTTGAAAGAGTTAAGCACCTATCAATAAATAAAAGCATGATTAATAATAACATATTCTTGCCTAGGTACTTCCTTTAAACGCCTCGTAGATACAATATGTCGACCCGTAATTATTGTACAGCCGGTGAAGATCATTTACTTGCTTGTCACCAACGCCCAGAATCCTTCAATAACCAGGTAGCTATCGGGCGTCGCAAAGCCACACGCTTAACCAGAACAGAATATTTCTTGTTATAACAGAAAAGTATACCCAGAGTATGCCAATTCGTATTTTTAAGGATATAAACCCTCCTCAGTAACCGATTTACGGAGCTTTTACCTCGAACTTATACCACAATCGATTCAAAATAACCTACCTCGATATTCTTAAGTGATTAATTTACATCACAACATGGGGAAACCAGAGCATTCGGATCACCAAGCAACAATTAGTAGTGATGCACCCCCACCACCGTATACAGAAGGACCTCGTCCTGAGTCTTCAACATCATCAAATATCAATCCTCTCACAAAAGTGAATAGTCCCTACCAACCATTTCCACCAGTTTTGTATGCACACTATCAAATGAAGATTTTCACCACGGTATTCCACCTCGGCGATGAAACGAACAAAAAACTATTCGCTGTCTCGGTACACACAGGATGGACTGGAAAGGGACCGGGGAGACCAGGTACAATCCTGCATAATGGTCCTACAGATAAAGACCCAATGTTCGCGGCTGCCGGCGAGGAATTTGGCGAACCGGGCTCAACTATCTCGCCTAACAGCGCCATTACACTGCCCCCGTTATCCGCTGGCGCCCCTGGTGGCCGGTGCACGGAAATCATGCGTTCGACTACAAGTCAGGGCACGGCCGTCTTTCGATTTACGATCGAGGTACAGCAAGGTGATGGGAGCTTACAGCGGGAGAACTTCGAATGGCGGAAGTGCAAAGGCGAGGAGGCGAAGATCATCGATCCTCCGTGGAAGACTGGGTTTAAACTGGTGAGGCTCTCCCACCGCCCTTCAAGCTCGGTTGGTGAGAAATCCCAGGAGGTTACAAGTGAGGGGCTAGAGGTTGTTGCTACCTTCTTCTGGAATGATAGTTGGTCTCTAATGGACCCCTTCAAGCTTGAGTTCATGGGAAGTGGACGGACAGGTGCGCTAGGAGACCGCTTCGCGCTCATGACTATCATTACGGGCTTGAGGTTGCAGTGGCTTAGGATACAGAGTAGAACTAATGAACGGAACATTCAAAGGGGGGAAGCTAGATTTGTCCCTGGGGCCTAGATGCAAGGATGGAGGGGGCGTACAGTCGGAGAAACTTGTGTAACTTGACAATATACAGCATCAATCTCAGATTGACCAAACTAGTTACAGTGTTTGAGGGTTACTACTATATGCATGAAAATGTCCTTCCTCAAAGTCCCATTTTCCAAGATATCACCATGTTCGTGTATCTAATCCTTAAAAGTCGCATCGTCTGGTGAGCTTTTCGCGTAAATCCAGCCCCAGTCGGATAGTCCATTAGCTCGTCTACAACGTTATACGTTAGCCTTCGGAGGTGCCGGTTAGAGACTTGACTACCTAGGTACAGAGTGCCTACCTGTTAGACACGACAGCCTTAAGAGGATCTCGAGTGTTTTATTGCATAGGCCACGACGGTACCAATTGCGCCTCCTATCACAATGCCACAGATCAAACCGAGGATAATGGCCTTTGGATAGTTCTGCTTCGCCCGCGGAGCAGGTGCCGTAGCCTTTCCAAGTTCAACCTTATCAAAAGATGAGACAGAAGAAAGACTAGGGGGTTTGTAATCGGCCATGATGATGTGTAATGTAGGTATTATGATAGAAAGGCCTGCCGTTCACCGATTTTCGAAGACTAAGAAATGAATAGTGCCATGGAACGAATCGCAGCAAGGACTACGAATCAAATAAATAACAGGAGTGTTAGGGGTTGGAATTGAAATATCATATCATGAACGACTCCTATACTTGGTTAAGGAATCGAGTGGTCGCATTTCATACATTGTCTAACAGCAGTTATTACATTACCTGAAACTTGCCTTCGCAGACCCCTATCCTTCACACCAATTCTCGCTAATTCAGCTAGGTTTTCTCGAGCTATCATGTTGTTGTGTCGTTTTTCTTTCGTGTCGCGATTTCAGGATACCATTTCAGTTCGGATGCTATTTAGTAAGATATGAAGCCACATAATTGGGCGTGTAACCAATCCAGCACGCCGCTGATGACATCTAGCTGATTTCCGTAGGAAGCCGAGCGGGGTGGACTGACGTGTTCATTTGGCTTTCATGTTCAGAAAAGCAATAAACCTTCACTTTCGGCGTTGGTGTGGTAGGGCCCTATTGTTAGAAGGCAGTTGGTCTTATCGCAACACAGCCTATTAATATAGAATGGGTTTGAGGATTTGTATAGAATCTTGACCTTACGCTGGGATGTCAGTTGTACCATTGGTTTTTTCTATTTTCAATCTCACTTGTGTCATCTTTAGCGATTTGGTTACTGTTAATTGCCCACCTGACTTGATGCCGCCCAATAGGAATAAACTAGACTCTGATAGCTGAGTGTACCTAATTCGTATATAACGTACCTAAGTTTTCTTCAGTCAAGTATATCAAGATTGATAGTAAGGAAAGTGAAGCATTTCGATATTGTAAATGTTAAGCGACTAATTATTGTTGGGATGAAAGTAGTGTAATTGAGGTTGTCGACACAAGGAGATATTAAGGTAGGGTGGGGGTTCTTCCCTTATAAGCCATAACTACAACACAGCACTGTAGATTAATTAACCTTAGCACCTATGTAATTTATTAGCGGCGCTTGATAGTTCATATCGGAATGTGATTGGTGGATTCTGCTAAATGATAGCGTTCGTGTAACTGCTAGCACTAAGTACCTAATATTACTTACTCCGGGGTGCCGTGTTGCCGTATAATACTACCCAATCTGTCCGTTCTAGCAGCATCGCTAATATGCACGATAAGCCCTCGGGAATTGGCCGATCCCATCCGATCCTACCATCCGCCTGTCTTTTCACATAAGATACGGTTTCAAGTGGCTGCTTTCGGAGTGGAAAGGGAATGCTGATCATTAACAGAATAGTCCCCTTCTAATTTGTTTATCGACCACTAGTCTTACTTACTCCAAGGTACAGGCAGATTCGCGATACCATGCCATGTTTTTCTTTATCCCCTAGAAGGATTCTTACACCGAACATGGCTTTTCAACCTGCCAAACCTGCCCTGATTGCTATTAATGGTGTAAGCTAGGCTATCTATTAGGGGAAGGTAGGAAGGGTTACAGTCAAGAATAGAGGGAGAACGCAGAGGTACCTGCAGCTTGGATGTAACATCAAATCGGTAAATAAACCCGTACCTAGAATCCTAGAATCCTAGAACCCTAGATACTTAATTGGAATTCGAATCATGCAGGGGATTCTCTCTTCTAATCTTGGGCTGGGTTCAAGGTTGACCTAGGTAGCAAAAGCTTGACATTTACTACCTGAATCGCATGCGACCTGCATGATTTTACAATTTTATACAGGGATGTCTCATACTTATTAGAGCCTTCTACTTCCCAAGTCTCACGAGAGCTTTGTTCCCTTCCCTCCCCTCTCGACTTCTTACCTTCTCTCAAGGGGGTAATTGGCTGGTAATCGCTCTTTTTATTGTATTATCGCTGTTCTGGATATCCTCCGCAGCTTACAATGAGGTCTATTTCATTCATTTGCGCGGCAATCGCGCTGCTCCAGACTTCTGTCGAGGGTAAAGATGTTGTTGTCGAGACTCTGCCAAGGGTACCAACCGGATGGAAGAAAGTGAAGGACGCCAATCCAAACCAAGAGGTCAAGCTACGAATTGCTCTTGAACAACCTCACCTAGATGAATTCGAACAAACCCTCTATGATATCTCTACTCCTCAGCACCCTCTCTACGGCCAACACTTGTCGCGTGACGAGGTTAGAGAATTGATGAAACCCAGAGAAGAATCTACTGCTGCCGTGTTGGAATGGCTTGAGGCGTCTGGCATTCCCTCATCAAATATCGAGAATAAAGGGGAATGGATCAACTTCAAAACCACCGTGTTTAAGGCTGCAAACCTATTAAACACCAATTTCCAAGTCTATAACCATGTCGACACACAAGCTCGCCGTATCCGCACTCTGCAGTATGTACCATCCTTGATTGAAGCATTGAGACTTACTAACCCGAAATAGCTATTCCGTCCCCGAGGAGGTCAGATCTCATATCACCATGATTCAGCCGACAACCAGATTTGGCCAGATGAAACCCCAGGCTGCTGAAGTATTCGAGGTAATTGAACAGGGCGAGATAGCCCAATTCTTTCAGACTGCCGCTCAAATTCCAACTAAGGATTTGAATGTTACTTTCTGTAATACCACGGTCACCCCTGAATGCTTACGGGCGCTGTACAACATCGGCGATACCATTGCGGATTCGAACGTCTCAACCATTTTTGGAGTCTCTGGATTCTTGGAAGAGTACGCAAAGCACGACGCACTAGACACGTTCCTTGAGCAGTTCGCCCCCTATGCCCTAACCCAAAATTTTACCACTATCCTAGTCAATGGCGGCATTGATAATCAGACCGACACTGTCGACGATGACATTGAGGCCAATCTAGATATACAATACGCATCGTCAATTGGATTCAACACAGAAATCCGATACTATTCCAATGGTGGCCGTGGCCCCTTAGTTCCTGATCTTGAGTGAGTACTATGTCCACCGCTTTCATGAATTGACCATGTACTAATTGTGTGTAGCCAACCTGACCCAGCTACCGTGAGTATATCTCATACCTGGATATTGAAAATTTACTAATTATTCCAAAGGGATCAAATGAACCGTATCTAGAATACGTATCATACCTCCTAGACCTGCCTGACGAGGAGCTCCCTCACACTTTGACCACATCGTACGGCGAGGATGAGCAATCGGTACCCAAGGAGTACGTCAAGAAAGTATGCACCATGTTTGGCCAATTAGGAGCTCGTGGTGTCTCGATTCTCTTTAGTTCCGGAGAGTAAGTCTTACTACACCTGTGCCGTATCAACTATACAGCGGACCCGATTGACTAACTCCCTACCAGCACCGGCCCAGGCAGTGCATGCCAAACCAACGATGGCAAGAACACCACACGTCTCCTCCCCATCTTCCCCGCTGCCTGCCCCTACGTCACATCCGTAGGCGGCACAGTAGGCGTCGCCCCTGAGGCCGCCGTCTCTTTCTCATCCGGCGGTTTCTCCGACATATTCCCCATTCCCGAGTACCAGAAGTCAGCCGTTACCACGTATCTCGGTACAATCGGCGAAACCTTCTCCGGCTTATACAACCCCGAAGGCCGTGGATTCCCGGATGTCTCAGCGCAGGGGCGAAACTTCAACGTCGTCGAACACCAGGGCCTTATTAAGGTTGGCGGTACCTCGGCGTCGGCGCCGACTTTCGCGGCGATCGTGAGCTTGCTCAACAATGCGCGCATCAAGAGCGGTCAGAAGCCCCTTGGTTTCTTGAACCCTTGGCTCTACAGCGAGGCTGCTAATGGCGGTCTTACGGATATTGTGGATGGGGGTAGCAAGGGATGCACTGGTACTGATAGTAAGTAACCCATTCTTATTTATTCCGATTTGATTGTCTTCTCTATCTCTAAACCGAACGGTCGCGTTTTGAGTTCGGAAATCATCTTCGCGAAAAAAGCTAACACATCGCAGTCTACAGCGGCTTACCTGCGCCTTACGTCCCGGGAGCAGGTTGGAACGCGACCGAGGGTTGGGACCCAGTTACTGGGCTTGGAACCCCCTTATTCGACAAGCTGTTGGAGAAGGCCGCCCCGGGCACCAAGCTACCGACTTTGAGCAGCTCCTAGAGGTGAGGAGGGATCCCGTTGAGTGGGCAAAATCAGTTCTTTGATATCTATAGATAAGCGGTTGGCCTTTGTTACTTAGTGTAATAACCGAGAGTATTGGATATTCAAGGATGAGGTATGCGACACTTACTCTGTATACCTACTTGCATTGCTGAATATATTCTTTGCCGATGCTCTTATTTCAATTTGTGACACGCCACGTCGTAGGTACCATCCTCGGTTCGTAAAATCGCGTATTTATCAGTTTCCAGCGGAATTGTAGGTTCCTCGACTCGAGATGATTTAAAGTATAGAACATCCCGCACTGTCGAGCCCTTATGAAATTGAACTATTGGAATATATACCTCGTATGTAGTTGGGTATTTCAAGGACCTGATTGTCTCTGATTACTACGCCAATAAGGCCTTGGAATATTATAGAATACGAATAATGATTCGTATATCGCTAGAACCTCGAGAGGCAGAGCGAATTGAGAAAAGAAGTAATAAGCATAACGGGCATACGTAATCTACCTATCTACAATACCAGCCCACCTGAGTAGTAGTCGTTAATCTGGACCGTCACCCTGAGAAAAAGATCCAATAGACGCGCCGCCCGAGCGGCGAAGAATGCGCACGAGAAAAACTATGCGTACATGAGAAACAATGCATTAAGGATTTCCACACCTCCCCTTGAACTGACTGGAGGCCGGAAGGGTGTCCGCCGCCTCCTAGATATCAGACGGAAAGGTCAGTAATTAATATAACTTTTTTCGTAAGATCCATCACCCGCATGCCCTGGATGACTCTTGTCGCGAGCATTTACCTCCCCGTTCGAAGGGAAAAGTAGACGCGTTTCAGTCCATTCATATTTCTAAGCATTTAAGCTCCCTCGATTTAGGAGGATTTATTAAATGCTCCGCCCTGAGCCGCAAGACCGACACCCAAACCGACGGCGAGAGCGATGATAATAATGCAGATGACTAGACACCACCACTTCCACTTTCGGCGGTTGCGTGCGTGGACGATGCCTTTCTTAACGTGTTGGTTTCCTACGTCGATTTGCTCGGCCGTCTTCGTAGCATTCTGTTCGGCCGACTGGACGTAGGTATCCTGTTGCTCGACCAATATAGCGAGATCTTGGAACATGCCTGCGAGCTCCGTTAAGGTCTGTTCGATGCGTTGCAACTCGTTGTGGCGAGCGCGTACGGCGCCGAGAACCGAAGATGCTTGGCCGGTACGGTTGGCTCGGAGCTATTATTTTGTGTGAGTGTCATCTGTAAATAATTTAGGTAACTGGGGAAAAAAAAACCTACAGCGGTCTGGAAAACACCCTCGTTGCCCCAATCAGCTTGAGTGGCCTGTTGAACCTCATCCTCGGTCGCGTCGGGGTTGACAATTCGGAATTGGCGCGCAATTTGGTCGCGATACCGTTCTTTGTAGGAAGTCTCTTCAGCATTGTAGTTGCGTAGCTCTCTGTCAAATTCGTTTCTAATTGCCTTGACCTGTCTCTGCTTCACGCTGCGACCAGCGTCGGTCGTCTTGTTGGCGTCGTTTGCTAGAAACTTGAGTTGATCCCGAATACCTAAGTTAAGAGTTCGCGTGTCGGCGATAATGCGTTCGAGTTGCTGAGAGGCTGCACCACCGTCGGATTCGGCTAGAGCGCGTTGGTGCAGGGATGCGATCGAGCTGACATTGTTTGTGAGAGTACCAATTTCGTTGCGGAGGAATTGAATTCGGCCGAGGAAGTCCTGCTGCGAGAGCACATCTGATGCTGGTTGTTGTTGAGGATAGTTTTGTAATTCATGGTCCTAAAAAATTGTTAGAAATTTGGTTGATTCGCGCCCGCTCGAATTCCCCAGCGATGCATGTTTCCGCCACTACTGCTGTTGTTGTTATTACTTACTTGGTCATAACCGTAACCTTGCTCGGCCGGCGGACCTTGCTGGTACGGGTCATTTTGATATTGACCGTAAGACATGATGGCTGTTATTTAGACCGTCACGCCCTTATGAGATCTAAAAAGCCTAGTCGTCTACGGATCGAGTCGTGGCGACGGATGGTGAGCGGTGTACTCGTCGTGTGATGATGTGAGAGGGATAGAAATTTGAAATTGAAATTGAAATTGGAGAGGAACGAAATTGATGGACGAGATCAATTCGCAGCTGATTCTTCCGGTACACACGGGCCTTGGAAACGGGCTGGTTTTCCCTGCTACTGCTGCTGACCGAAGTGACGTCTGGGCAATTTTACAGGGCCTTTCTGCTCCAATCACCAATCAGCTCTCTCCGAGTCGATCTCGTTGGTGTACCTGTCGGCGGAGACCCAGAGTATACCTAGGTAGTAATTTGGATGAGAAGAAAGGGTTTTAGGACGCGAAACGGGAAAGAAGAAAAAAAATAAAAATAAAAGGGTTGCCTAGTCTAACCTGTTTCCTTATTCAAGTATCAATCGGCAGTTTCGACATCAATCCAATCAAGTTGCCTTGTCTGTTTTTTTTTTTTCACAAACAATATGTAGTAAGTGGGCGCACAGTCAAGTAGTGCTGATGGGTTGATGTGATCTTGTTGTGGTATGGGTTAGGTACTTTTTTAGGGAAGCATGGGGGCGCCTGGGAGCTGGGAGCTTGGAATAAAGAAAAGAAGAAGTTTGCCAAGCTACCTAGGTACTTGAGGTTACTCTGGGACGAACGGACGAACAGACGAACACTCCCCTGATTGACCAAGTCGGGTAGGATGTTTGCATATGAAAGTATATCTTGTATTAACTAAGGTATGCGAGATACTTTTTAAGGAAGTACCTTGTTATCAACCACGAAGTGCGCTACTGCCCCTAAACAAACTTATTTTTTGCTACTCATGCACATCAATATTTCCAGCTTGGAAGGTACTCGGGAGTGACGGTGACGAGGAACGGAAGGCAAGTTGGTACTTACAACCTTCTCTGCGACGCTAAAAATAAGCATAGCCCTGCTGTCCTGCTACCCTCCGCGGGTTAGCGGGTAGGTACTTAAGGCATTGCCCACCAATGGCGAATCCTTAGCGTTAACCTCTGGGGCTGTGAGTAGCATGTCGTCACTGTCCGTCAGTTGCTGTATCGTAAATACAAAACTTTAATAAATATCAATATACGTATATCCCTAACTTTGCCCCAGTACTCGTACATATGTACTCACAGAAGGGACGAAATGGCGAAAATTACCTAGGTATATGTACTTGCCTATCATTTAATGCATGTGTTATGACCCTGCATATACCCGATCTTACTTATGTAAGCTATGATAGAGTAAATGCCTAATACAGTTAAGTCCGTAAATACATGTATCTAAATGATCCAACCATCTCGTATGCATAAGCATAAGGCTTAGAGTACACGCAGCTTATGTTTTCGCGAATCTTTCCATATTCGTCTTTTTGCCAGTACCATATCGGCCTATTCTTTTTCACGGTTGCCTATATAGGTACGTAAGGTAGGTCGCAGGTAGATGTTGGATAAATGCGGCAAAAGCTTCACATATTGAGTGGGATAGAAGCTAGTGCCTCAAAACCGACAATCGTGAGAAAACAACTGTTTGACGACCACATTTCATTATAATATTGTCTTTTTATCATGATATCCACCGGCCTAGATTCAGAGTCACCTTGACAAGGTTGTGTTCTAGAAGCCTTTCTGGTGGATGCGGATTCGGTCTCAGTCTTGGGTACTGCCATGCTGTGAAGATAGCTTCATCCGAGACTTAACTCTTTGCTAATTACTCCGGATTTGAGCCAACAGAATATGGCTGTCTTGACTTCTCCCACCATATGAATCACCTAAGGGCGTCACGGACCCGATTTCCTTTGCTATCAGGGCACGCTCTTTTAAGTATCCTCCTGTATCAGTCTCTCGGCATTTTCTCGTGATTGTACGTTGCAGAAACATGTAGAGAATACTTTCGATCTCTATAAGATGGTATCGTGCGAACCCAGGGGCTACTCAATGGCGACGAAGGATACCACAACGTAATCGCCTCTCATCCCTTGCAAGGCCTTTTTAGTATGAGCCAACCACTCCTAGAGGAACTACTCGTTTTCGAGATCTTCCACGTTTTGAGCGGCTATTGTATCAACCAGCTTCCCCAGGACGTTTATACGCTCGTATGGAAATTCCTTTGGATACGGACGGAGATCCATCATTCCCCATGGCGCCACGTATTCCTCTAAGTCATACGTAAAAGTCAAGCCGTACTACCGGGTATTGGCTTCCTCGAAAAATTAATATAATTTGTTTTCATAGATAATCCTTCTTTCGGCTAGTTCTCGTGTACTGGTTCAAGTGCCACTCGACGTCTCCGTCTTTGTTCTCCAAAGTGCCGCTGCGGATCTCGAATACCTTCATAGTCATTCGAGGGCCGACTTCGGACAGTTCTACACTGTCATACCCGGTTCTCACAAAAACGTGATGGCGCACTTCTATCGAATCTTCAATGTTCTTGAAAGTGACCACTCGGCTTCCAAGCTTGTCTTTGCTCGTCAAAGGTTCCCTTGGAGGGAATATATGCTTCAATATTTTGACAACTCTCGCGCCAAGGCGAGACGTAAAACCTAACAATCTTAGGATTAGCAACGATTGACGCCATTAAGATACGAGGACCTTACCATCAAATATCAGATGCGGATACGACTCGCTCACAGTACCTCTGATGCTGTTAGGGATATCGTGGCGTAATACGACATTGTGCAAAGAAAATGATATTGTCGGGCCATGAGGAAAATGGGATAATGTCAAGGCTGTTGGTACACCACGATGCTCATGGAGAAGAACCAAGTCGCTCAGACCACTAGACTGAGCCGATCGAACGAGATCTGGTAGGATCAAATTGCCACGATTTAACCGTATGGCAGTGGGGAGCAGCAAGCGGATTTCTTTTGCGAATGCGGATAAGCGGGCAGATGGGTCTCTCGAAGTGGTAACAAGAACTCGAGGGTCAACTATTCCGGAAAGTTGGGAGTATTCGTCATCAAGATCTAGTTCCTCATTTGTACTTCTCTCTGGCCGAGACTCGTCGAATTGGTAATCCTTTCTTAATTCCTTGTCATTTGCGATGGATGGGTCCAAAGGTCGACCAGTTGCTAAGGATGCTCTTAGCTTCGCTCTCTTCTCGCTGATTTCGGAGTCGCGTAATAAAAGGGCTCTTCTATAGAGGTAGTCGCGGCGTTGCCGAGCTTGTTTGCGCTGTAAGTAGCATCGCATATGTTAGCAGCTAAACATATTGAACTTAAGAGAGGAATAAACACACAATCATGATTGCTGTTGGTCAGTTAAGTAATTAGGAATTATGTTTCAACGAAGATGTGTGTTCTGTGGAATGAATCAAAACAACAACGGGTATTGCGCCTGTCGATTTCGCAATTGGTAGTGTTGAAGAGTTCAGTGATGGTTGGTGTTGAAATTATAAACTTTTTGGCGTATACCTTCAACTATGTAGAAAAATTAGTACTATCGGGGCTTATCAATACCGATAGATAAGCTAAGGTACATTGTGGAACCCTCGGACGAAGACGGCTATTGGTCCAAGGGTGAGACCCACCATCCCGCCTGGATTTCCGCCCGCCACATTCAAGGATGCAAAGCGCGAAAGTTATCGCAATCTGAGAAATCCAAACTTCAGAAATTCCACAATGTGACCACATCCTTTTATTTTTTTTTTTAATACTACTCTTTAGATCAACAAATTTACCAATCATCTCCTTGCGCCGACAACGGCTGCGACAAAGAGAACATATTTGTGGTCTCTATCACTCGCTACTTAGTAAGGTACTTGTTAACAATTATTAACTTTCCCACATGCTTGTCCTCTCCCTACCTACCAACTTTGACTGCCGCACCATCTTTTTTTTTTTCGCCGACTACTTTGTCGAGTGCTTGCTTTTCTAGTCTCCTTCAGCCCTATTGTCTTCTTTCTCTTCTATTTCCCTATTGCTACTACATCTCAATTTCACATCAAAATATTAATACTGACACACACAAGGTGGAAAGCAACCGCTTCTCGATACCCGGCTGTCTCAGCCGGCTGACGGCGCTATAATGGAAGGCGCTTTTACCCATCTGGGTAACCACCTTGTATCCGACTCTGCTGCTGCCATTAATGCAGGCGACGACGACCTATCCACGCTTGATCCCGACGAGAGCCTCCTCTATGGCAAATACGGTGGCCGCGGAGGTTTGGGCAGCGCAAGGCGACGAAACGACGATGACGATAATGAGACCGAGGCCTTCGATGACGATGATACCGAAAGTCTAGCTAGTATTCCCGTTGGAGGAATCAAAGGTCTGAATCTTAAGGCTCCCGTGGAAGACAAGAAGCTACCACCACATGCTTGCGCGTAGGTGTTTGGAATGTTTATGTCCGTTAATCGTTATTAAATGGCTGATATGACAACATAGATACTGCGGTATCCATTCGCCAGGCTCTGTTGTTAAGTGTCTTGCTTGCAATAAGTGGTTTTGCAGCGCCCGAGGTAATGCGAGCTCGTCGCATATTGTTAACCATCTCGTTCGAGCTCGACATAAGGAGGTACAACTCCATCCCCAGTCAACTCTTGGAGACACTACCCTCGAATGCTATAACTGCGGTACAAAAAACGTTTTCCTTCTCGGATTTATTCCCGCAAAGTCCGACACCGTCGTTGTCCTCCTCTGCCGTCAGCCATGTGCTGCCACGCCCTCTTCCAAGGATATGAGTTGGGATACTTCGAGATGGCAACCTTTGATCGAGGACCGAAGCTTCCTGCCGTGGCTCGTATCGCCACCGAGCGATAATGAACAGCTTCGTGCTAGGCATCTGACGCCCCCAATGATTGCGAAACTAGAAGAGATCTGGAAGGAGAATGCTAGCGCAACTATAGCCGATTTGGAAAAAGCGGCTAGCATCGATGACGATCCTCTTCCGGTTCTCTTGAAGTACGAGGATCCTTATCAATATCAGAACATTTTTGGCCCCCTCGTAAAAATGGAATCGGATTATGACAAGAAGCTTAAAGAAGCACAATCCGAAGACGGGCTAGTAGTTCGATGGGATCTAGGCCTTAATACGAAGCATCTTGCAAGTTTCACGTTCCCAAAACTAGAATCCGGCGATGTCAAGCTAGCGGTCGGTGATGAGATGCGTCTCAAGTATAAAGGCGAACTTCGTCCTCCTTGGGAAGGTGTAGGATATGTGGTTAAAATCCCTAACAACCAATCCGATGAGGTCACTTTGGAGCTGCGCAAGACGGGAAACGACAAATCCGTACCGACTGAATGCACCCATAACTTCTCGGCTGATTATGTCTGGAAAGCGACGTCTTACGACCGAATGCAGGCCGCCATGAAGACCTTTGCGGTGGACGAGATGAGTGTTTCCGGATATATCTTCCACAAATTGCTCGGCCACGAAGTCGCTGTTGCTCCTATGAAGACCAACCTGCCTAAGAAGTTCAGTGTGCCAGGCCTTCCAGAGCTGAACAGCAGCCAGATCAGTGCTATCAAAAATGTTCTGCTTACTCCTCTTAGCCTTATCCAAGGGCCTCCTGGAACTGGCAAGACGGTCACATCTGCGACTATTATTTATCACTTGGCAAAGATGAACAACGGCCAAGTCCTCGTCTGTGCACCTTCAAACGTTGCTGTGGATCAACTTTGCGAGCGAATTAACCTAACCGGACTAAAGGTTGTACGCCTTACAGCGAAGTCTCGTGAAGACGTCGAGTCTTCAGTCAGTTTTCTTGCGTTACACGAACAGGTCCGCATGCTCGATACGAATCCCGATCTGATGAAACTCTCGCAACTCAAGAGCGACGTTGGCGAACTCTCGAGTCAGGATGAAAAGAGGTACAAACAGTTAACCCGTGCTGCTGAACGTGAAATTCTCAACAATGCGGACGTGGTCTGTTGTACTTGTGTCGGTGCGGGAGACCCACGTTTGGCTAAGATGAAATTCCGCAATGTCCTCATCGACGAGTCGACACAATCCGCTGAACCCGAATGCATGATTCCTCTTGTTCTAGGCTGCAAGCAAGTCGTTCTCGTTGGTGACCACAAGCAGCTCGGACCAGTGATCATGAACAAGAAAGCAGCCAAGGCAGGACTGAACCAATCTCTCTTTGAACGTCTTGTCCGACTTGGTTTTACTCCTATTCGGCTTAATATTCAGTACCGAATGCACCCTTGCCTTTCTGAGTTTCCGTCGAACATGTTCTACGAAGGTTCATTGCAGAATGGTGTCTCAGCGCCCAACCGAATCCGTAAGGATGTGGATTTCCCATGGCCAGTTGCCGAGATGCCCATGATGTTCTGGTCTAATCTAGGGAATGAAGAAATATCAGCATCCGGAACATCATACCTCAACCGAACTGAGGCTTCCAACGTGGAGAAGATCGTGACACGCTTTTTCAAAGCCGGCGTACGCCCTTCTGATATTGGTGTTATTACTCCATATGAAGGCCAGCGTAGTTATATCGTCAGTACTATGCAGAACACGGGCACTTTCAAGAAGGAGTCGTACAAGGAGGTTGAAGTTGCATCCGTCGACGCTTTCCAAGGTCGTGAGAAGGACTTTATTGTTTTGTCCTGCGTACGGTCCAACGATAACCAAGGCATTGGATTCCTTTCTGACCCTCGCCGCTTGAACGTAGCCCTCACCCGTGCGAAATATGGACTTGTGATCATTGCCAATCCTAAAGTTTTGTCGAAGCATGAACTGTGGCATCACCTATTAGTGCACTTCAAGGAGCGCAAGTGTCTTGTTGAAGGTCCCCTAACCAACTTACAGACATCGTTGCTCCAGTTCAGCAGACCCAAGAACACATTCCGCCAGCGTCCACAGCAAGTTTCTTACGCCTCTGGCGGTTACTCCAATGGTCGTTCGGCTGGCTTTAATGGCCACAACGCGAATCAAGATTTCGAGTCAAGCTCAATGCTTTCTTTCATACCCGACGATACATCGAGTCTTCATAGTTCAGCTCTCGGTGGTGCCGGCATTGGCAACACCGCATTCCCGCAAATGTTTTCTAACTTCAACTCCGAACAATGGCCTGGGCTTCCAGGTTTTAACGCGACATCAGGTGGTCGAACAGGGAGTAAAAGTAGAGGCCGTGGGACGGAAAGCATCGCTGGTGAGAGTGTTGCTACTTCCGAGTACACTGATGGAACCTCTAGTGTCATTGGTAGCAAGGGCGTAGGCCAAGGTGGTGCCAGTCTCGGGGCAGGACTACCGGATGCTCTTCGCTCTCGACCTACGTCATTTACCCAGAGTGACCGATTAAAGCAACACGTTGCAGATAGTTCTGGATATACGGCTTTTTCGAACGGCTTCCGACGTCGGTATGACGATGACGAGAAGTCTGTCAGCACGGCCTTTGCTAGCCAGGTCGGAGGTGGGCTAGATTGATTGACTTGTGACAAACGAACAACACTATCACTTGAACAAGAACAAGTAGGCTATTTAAGCGAACTCAGAGTCTTGGTGCTATCCAACTCTAGACGCCTGCCTAGCAATCATACCAACCAACCAACCAACCAGAGTTCTGTGGGACAGCTGTGATCTAGCACATGCTGACCTACAAGCCTCAGGAGCCCTTAGCCCTTCAGAAGTTGCTAGTTATAGCTTTTTCGGCCGAAGTGGCGAAGCTCAGTCTGATGCCAATGGGTAAAACCCGGTGGAGGTCATTTTATGGACATTGCAATATGAGCTATCAAGCTCAGAATTTTGGTCTGATGGAGGAAGAAGGGGAAGGAAGAGAGAAGATGATAGTGGCGCGATGGAATAGTCGCAGCAGCTATATGTGCAACCCGCGCGAAACCCGACGCTGGAGACCGAACCAGCCGTTACAAGCTACAGGAGGCCGGTGTGTGTTCAATGCCCTGCAACCAAGAACCATTCCAAGTCAATCTCGGTAGTCAGCCGAACGTGAGTAACTCCGTTCAACAAGATCCTACTGCGACTACGTTGGCTTCAGGATTCTTCAAGTCTTATGAGGCTCGCTACGTTTGATTCATCGCAGAGTAGATGTTACCCGTTAAATATACATTCGTTTGCTTTATTTAATCCGCCTTCCAGTCGCATCCATATTACTGGTTGTCTAAGGATAATTTTTGTGCAAGGTGGTGTGTAAATTATTATACTCTAACTATATGTATTCTATGTAGGTACCGAACAACATTGAGTGTCAAATGCTGTATGATAGATCCTTGCCAAGAGATCTATACATGTATAATCCTGCATTTATGTAGGTCTGTGAATCTTATTCGACGCTGCGCCATTGGGTTGCAGGGACCCTTTAAGAAGCGGGTACAACCTTGCCTGAAACCTTAACCACGTGGTTGGGATTTGCTTCGTTTGTACTTAGCAACATGTATCACAATTCTGATTCAACATATGTCAAAATACTACCTACCTAGGTAGGTATGTTAATTGTATTTTATATAGTAATTCATCAGGTAGGCAGTGATACTGACCTGGTTTCATGGGGATGGGATGGTATGTGTGGGAAGAGCCTGTACATGTACTACGCACAAAAACAGGTACATGCATGTATCTAAGTATCTAAAGTCTAGTAAAAATAAACGTTGAAGATGCTGGTCTCTTTCAAAATGTTTGAATACTAATCGATTCTTTATATACGACATGCTATAATTATTTAAGAATTTTAAAGGTTGGGCGATCAGGCACCTACAACGTCAAAGTCAATACTTGCATGTTACTCGACTCGTTCAGGTACGATGTTCATACCTAACATATAGCGTAAGGAAGGTACAAAGGGAGGGAACCTACAGAATTAGGTATGTACATGAGTTATGCACCCACGCCATAAACTGCATTAGCTCCATCCAAGTTTCAGTGTCAACTTCTCTCACCCTCTTCCTTCTTCTATCCAGAAACTTGATAATTGCACTTTCTATTTCTTTTCGCTCTCCAGCTACATAATAGAGCATTAGGTCAGACGTGAAGACAACTTGGAACTCAAAATTAAGATTCACCTTGTTAACTGGTGTAGCAAGTGAATTTGATAACCCCTGCATTATTCAATCTTATCTACACCATTACCTCCCAACCCCGTCATCTCATGTCACTAATTCTTCATCCCACCAAGAGCTGAGAACAAGCATCCAGATGGCTTTACCAGTACAGTCAACCTCTCCAGACGCTACAATGGCGAGTGAAGAGAAGCCCCAGGTGCCGCCCGCTGCGAGAGTCGGGCCAGCAACGAAGGAAATTCCCCCTCTGGATACCACAAATACACGGGACGCCAAGCCCACTGTAATCACAGATGCGTCCTCCCCCGCTACCAAGGAGACGATCGACTCAGCAGCACAGCCCACGATTACCACTCAGGCCGAGGATGATTTAGTGAACCCTCCAGATTTCCAAGGCGAAGTTCAAACCACCAACGATTTGCCCACAATTGAGACATTGCGTAAGATAGAGACATACACAGTACTCGACAGTGACGGGAAGACCCACCAATTCAAGAGTCTGTATGCTGGTCACAATTCTGCGCGTCGAGTACTCATCATCTTTGTTCGACATTTCTTTTGTGGTGTAAGTTACCGACAACGGATTTTGTACTATACCTATAACTAACACACATGCCATAGAACTGCCAAGAATATTTACGTACTCTCTCAGCTTCAATCACTCCCGATGCTCTTCTGCAATTGCCCGTCAGCACTTTTATTGCTGTCATCGGATGTGGCGCGCCCGAGTTAATCAACTCGTACATTCAAGAAACTGGTTGCCCCTTTCCCGTATATGCTGACCCAACCCGTCGATTGTATTCCGAACTAGGAATGGTCCGCACTTTGGCCATGGGCTCAAGACCTGCCTATCTGCAAGGAAAATCAATTGCCCACACCGTTGTTTCCGGCGTGGTCCAAGGTCTCAAGCAGATAAAATCAGGCCTAGTGATGAAGATGGGTGACCAACGACAAGTAGGCGGGGAATTCCTTTTCGAACCCGCAACAATGGAACTAGATACTCCCGTCACTACTCCACGCAGTGAAGAGGACAAAAAGCTCGAGCCGACTGGTGAGGTCGATAAGCCAGATGATCACGAAGACCCTAAAGTCGAAGAGAAGCGTGTTACATGGTGCCATCGTATGCGGACGACGCGAGATCACGCTGAGATGCCCGAGTTAATGGAAGTTCTTGGATTAGATGGTAGCGGTGCTCCCATCAAGGACAAAAAAAGATGGGCAAAAGCGCTAAAGACGAGGAAGGGCACCGGCCTGAGCATGGCCAGCCAGATGAGTCGGATGAGCATTGATACTACACACACTAATGGTAAAAGCTCAACCAAGGCGTAGGTATTAGATTGCCTTACAACGGCCAATATATCGATGGAATTGGTGGGTGTTACACACGAGCATTCAATAAATTCAGACTCAGCCAAATCCCATGAGGGATTTAGGATGACTACATCGCAAAACAAGATTGCAACAAGAGGCGAGCTTGGAAGATAGCAAGGAGACTGACGGACATCCCAACTAATCGGTCATCATAACATATCAGCCTGCTTACAGAAAAAAATAACGGCGTTTCAGGGTTGCGTCATAGTTTTGCCTCAAAATAGGTCACGTCGGCCATGAAGATCAATTTATAGTAGTCAATGATACCATTTCGTTTTTCATTTTTCATGATCATATTGAATTGACTACCTACATATGTACCTAGATAGGTATAGGTACCTTTGTAGGTCTTACTTCTTATTTTCGAACTCTCTAGCCCCCTATTTCTCGTTCGTCGTAGTTAAAGGTGGGTTACACGGCAGGGAACTATCAATCGGGAGCGGGCAGGCACATATCAACTTTTATTGCCTATGTACCTAGGTATGTGATTATATAACCAATAGCTATGAGCCATTGTGTAACACCATTCGGAATCTGTTACCGCTTCCTCTCCTTAACCTTTACATCCCAAACCCGAATTTTTACATCTCTTCATGTTACCCAAGATCAATGCAGAAAGAAAATAATATCTACTCCTTAGTCCGCGAAACTATCAATGCCGCCAAATCCGTCACATTTGCACTTGTTAGCAACTCTAGAATCTCAAGAGTCGCACCAAGCTCCCTTGTAATCCAGTTGCGCACCTCAATTGCGGTTAGGGAATCTAGACCGTAAGATGCCATACTCCGCTGGGCATCTACATCTTCGCATGCTACTGACAGTACTTCGGATAGCTTCTGCAATACGCCCTGTACGGCAATTTGGCGGGCCTCCTCTTTACTAGCTGCAGCACGGAACGCATTCCTGTACGAGATGGCTTGCACTGTGCCACTACCCGCATCTCGTATCTCCGCCATTGTTGCCACCTTGAGGTGCGCGAACCGTGGATCGTCCGCATAATAGGGTAACCCACCCGTGTTACTTGGAACGAGCTTTAAGCCCGTCAGGCACTGTGCGCCACATTTGCCCGACGTAGCGACTGCTAGGAGACCTAGTGCCTCGGCCTCGGAAATAGACTGTCCACCAAAGTTTTTGATGATCTCCTCCTCACGGGCTGCATTTTCAGCAATATAGCCCGCACCCGTCACCGCTGTAAGATCAAGGGAAACTGCGGGCTTTCCCTGTGCTACCCTACACGAGGCAAACCCATCCAAAAATGTGTTAGCAGCAGCATACGCTGCCTGGCCCCGACTGCCGACAATGCCTGCAGCACTCGACAATAGGACGAAATAGTCCAGGCGTGCATGAATGGACTCCAATGCGTTGTGTATGTTCCAAGTGCCCTTGACTTTGGCACGGATCGCTGCGGTATACGAGTCATGGGTCATCCCTTCTATTAACCCGTCCTATCATAATGGTTAGTTATACCTCGTAACGAATGTTCGATTGAGCCCGCTGTGGGCCAAAAAATGGACGTACATGGAGCATCATGGCGGCATGGATTACGCCGCATATTGGTGGGAGCGTCTCAGCGCACTCCCTCACAAACCGGTAGGCGTCTTCTTCGCTAGCAATATCACATGTTTTGACGACAAGATTGGCTCTGCTCTGAGTTTCATCAATGAGCTTTCGCAACTCATCAGCTCTTCCTCCGCTCCTAGACAAAAGCACAATATGTCGGGCCCCACGTTCGACCATCCATCTAGCCATACTACGTCCTAAACCACCGGTACCGCCAATAATCACATGGGTTCCATCAGAATTAAGGAAACATTTCGAAGTGTGGTGTAATGCCTAGTTGTGGCGTCAGCGACCGGTCCAATAATCAACGATTTGTCCAAGGAAATGCACGCTACTTACCATTACCAAATCACCATTCTGAGCAGAGACAACCATTGGGTGTAGGGTGCCTTGTTGGATCTTCCGCAAGCCCTTGGCAAGATCTGACATTCGCAACACCATCATTCTCTTCAATGGCCTAAATATGCCTCTTGAAAAGTATTCAAGCACTTCTTTGATGATATCTCTTATAAGCCGTGGCCGGGTTATGGCTAGGCTCAGCAAATTGATAGAGGTAAAACTCATATTCTCAGCTAGGTCAGATCTAGCACTCCAACCTTCCTCGGGCCGAGGATGGAGTGCTCCCTGCATATGGACAATACGTGCAAACGGTGCAGCACATGCCCAGACCTTACGAAGTCCTTTGGCGGCTGTCAATAAACTAGACGAGCTAGTGAAGACGACGTCTACGCCAACTCCATTGGAGGCATTTCGTACCTCGCGGTCAAAATAGATGCTAGCCGTGTCAAAGATCTTCTCGAGCTTGATGCCAAATGATTTTGCAACGAAGTCTCTTCTCTCACTACCGTGGACTGCCACGAGTACCTCGGCGCCAAGATTTTGTGCAACCTGAATTGCAGCAATTCCCTCAGCGTCGCTTATCTGAATAAGGACACGTTCCGACTTTCGAATACGTGCGACTTGTGAGAGCGCGTAAAAGGCCGCACCGAAAGCAGATGGGACCACCGCTGCATCTTCAAAGCTCACTTTCCCGGGTATCTTGACGACGCTGTTTGCTGCCACGCAAATGTGCGTTCCTAGCCGACCATCGCCCAAGACACAGACCACATCCCCAACATTAATGTCAATCACTTCGCACCCAATACGAACGACGGTGCCGCTACATGACCTTTCTGGTTTGGTGGATATATGATCGCTAATATGCGTAAAAACGTCGCCCTGGCTAAGCCTACTTGCTTTGATTTCAATCTCAACCTGGTCATTGCCCAAATACTCGCCAGACGGTACATCCTCGAAATAAAGCTTATCCAGAGAGCCCTCAATCTGCGTAGTGACCCGTAACCGGCGTCCAGCTTGTCGAAAATCCTGCGGGTATGGTATAGATTTACCCAACTCACGATGGACACGTAGATTCATATCATCATCAACGATTAAGCGAGGCACGACTAGATCACCTCGCTGCTCGGCAAATTCAACTTCAGCCTCGGGTCTATCCGCTAGCACAGTTCGCCGGAAAGCATCCTCGATTAATTCAGCTTGTCCTTCGATATCTAAGGTGCTATCCGGGTCGAGATCGAGAGTAACGGCAATCTTTCCAAGCTCCGAGCGTACCGTGCGGAGTAGACCCAAAGCCATATTGGTACTTGGATTCATAGGGACCTTTGATGCGCCGCAAGTCACCCACAATATGCCCCCTGCTCGTGTTAGTAGGGCCTGGACTTGCTCAAATTCGGGTTTGCTGATAGAGGACAAAATGGAACGGTCAAGTTCCGAGAGTATGACGAAGAACCCACTGAAATCCCTGACTTGGAGCAAGCTAGATATGCTTGGGACGATTCCGGAGTGTAGTTTGATAACGTCGCACAGTGAAGCTACGAGTGTGTTGTCTCGGCTACGTTCTGTTACCACCGTCACGCGCTCTCCATGAAGCCTAATATGCTCATGGCTCACTCCGTTGGCATGTCGCTCTTCGGTTTGCTCCCATTGTACTTTGTAACACAATTCTCTGGGCTCGGGAAGCTTGGGTGTCACAGCCTTTAATGGGGCTAACTCCAATCCCAGTATAGAGATGGAAGGCGATTCGCTCTCCACCGATGCAAATAACTCCGTTAAAAATGACCCTGACTTGGAGTCTTTCATCGAATGGACGATGAACTTAGATCCAGAGCTTCTCTCCCAATCGTCACTTATGTCGATATGCACCTGTTTTATGGCAGATGGTAGTTGGGGTTCTGCTACTCCATCGAACCCCAAATCAGCTTGAGATATTTGAATGAGAGGTTCCAACGTGGCTGGATGGGCCAAGTACGATGATTCGTACGCCAATGGCATGATAAGCTTCGTGTCCTGAAGAGCGCCGTGGGCAATAACTCCATATTCATCCATCCTCACATTCACTAGGTTCCAGAACGTATGGGGATAATTAATGCCTCCAGAAGTGAGATTGAAGTAGAAGCCTGCAGCAGGTATCGACAATTGATTCCTTTCCAGTTTGGGGTGGGAGTATGCTTTAGAGCGCGCGACTGCTGCGTTGCCGCTTCGCGAAGGATGTGCTTCAACAAAACCGCGACAATGTTCTAGCCATCCTCTTTTTGACTCGAAACTAGATACCCGAAATTCATCCCAATTAGTTTTTGATGCGGCTTGCGATCTAAAAATGAGCAGGAGCTCAACCGGCTCATCGTCCGATAGAAATAATTGCTCCGGGACAACAATATCGTGCACATCGACGCTGCCTGCTTCGAATCCCCTAAGCGCTGCTCGTTGGCTAGCTGCCTCTACTACCATAGAGATAAATGCGGTTACCGGAAAAACAGGTCGATCTTGAATTCGGTATTCGCGCAGCCATGGCAATTCCTCTAGCCGAATGAAATTGCGCCATATCGGCTCCAAGTCGCCGCTCCAATCGGTCAGTGTTCCGAGTAGATCGTGACGTGCAAAAGGCTTCAGTCGGTGCTGTCGTGTGATCCGACTCTCATACCAGCAGCGTTGTCGTGACCATGGGTATGTGTAGAGGAAAGGAATTATATCGGGTTTTTCAACTTCGGACCGGTTATGATTGATGTTGAAAAAGTCGATATTCTCATAACCGCGGACGAAGAGCTGACCTGCAAGTTCCAAAGTCGTCTCAGTAGCATCGCGGCCCCGCACGAGAGTTGGCATATACGTTGGCGCCTTAGAAGACGAAAAATCCAAGGTTTTTAAGGTCTGCATTATAGGTCCTTTGAGTGCAGCATGTGGACCAACTTCGACGAGAATATCCGGCTTGCTCTCCTCACAAAGTACCTTCAATGCTGTTGTGAAACGTACTGGGTTGGTCAGGTTTTCTACCCAGTATTGGGGGCCGAGCTCGTTTATGCTAACTTCGCGAGAGCGGAGAGAAGAGAAGAACTCTACATCGCTATCTGTCTCCTTTAATTCGATATCCGCGATCATACTATGGTATATCTCGGCTATTAGTTTCATATGCGGGCTATGGTAGGCGACATCGACGAAAAGTTTGCGGTTGAAAATCTGATTACTTGTCATTATTTTCGAGAGTTCGTCAATAGCGTCGGCGTCACCCGATATTGTGGTTGATGTCGGCGAGTTTTCGCAGGCTGCTACCGCTTGAAGGGGGTATTGCAATTGCTTGAGATAAGGCTGCAGTTCTTCCGCACCCATACCTACCGCCATCATTGAGCCCTTAACCTCCCGGAAATTCGAGCTTAAGGCAATAATAGCTTGGCCACGATAGTACGCCGCAGACATTGCCGCTTTCAGTGTTAAGGCTCCGGTTGCGTATGCGGCACCGATTTCTCCACTAGAATGGCCAGTGACTGCGGAGGGCTTGATTCCCCACGATGCCAGGAGATCAACCAGTCCGATCTGGACGGCGCTGCATATCGGTTGACTAATATGCGCTAGACCAACGCGAGTATCTTTTTCATCTCGCATTAATTCTTCCAGCAACGAGAAATCAGCCCCGATAGAGATCAAGTGCTCATCAGCTCGCCGGATGGCTGACGCAAATACAACGTGCGACTCCAGAAGTTCCCGGCCCATGCCATACCATTGTGCACCTTGCCCCGTGAAAATGAAAGCAAGTTTAGGAGGTTTAGCCGGCGCACGTTTGGGTACTACATCGGGGCTGTTGAGAGATATCGCCAATTTGCTGCACATATCCGCCACCAAAGCTATACGCCACGATAATTGCGAACGCCGTTGACATAATGTGTCTAATTGCACGTTAGCAGACCTCCTTTCTAGCTTTCGAGTACCTTATGTCAAAGCTTACACGCTAGATTCCGGGGCATAGTGCTCTGATAGAGCTCAGCGTGTTGTTCGAGGAAAATGCCCAATTGTTCCATACTATTTCTCGCGGCCGTCTCATCGTTAGCACTCAATACGAACAACCGTTTCGTTTTGATGTGACCTTCGAATTTGTCGGCGTCCAGAAATTCAAGCTCGTTCTCCGCCGGCAAGGCCTTAAGTACTGCATGTCCATTCGAACCGCTATATCCAAAGTTATTCACACATATGTATTCCTTATTCCGCGGAAATGGTTGCTGTCTTTGTGGTATCTAAACATCGAGGTAAGCCAGTTTTCTATTCAACTTGCTGCAAACTAACCTTCAAGTTCCATTCGGATAATGGAATGGCTGGGTTCTCCTTCTCAAAGTCGGCATTTGGTACGATGAACCCCTTTTCTAACATGAGTGCGGCCTTCATAACGGAGATTATACCACTGGCATTTTCCAGGTGACCAATATTTGATTTTACTGACCCAATACTTAATGGCTCGCCCTCTGTTAGACTTTGGCCAAGCGCTCTATAGATACCTCGAGCCTCTATAGGATCACCGACTTTAGTGCCGGTTCCATGAGCCTCAAAGAAGCCGACATTTTGTGCGTCGATTTTGGCCTGTGAAAGAACATTCCGTAATAATGATTCTTGCTCGTCTGAACTAGGCGCCACGATACCTTCAAGAATACATCTATAAGTAACCCATCAAAAAGTAGCGGGGAGTTCGGATAGCTGTACACACCAACTGTTCGGCCGTTGTGACTAATCCCGGTATGCGAAATAACGGCTCTGACGTAATCTCTATCCTCAAGTGCTTTTTGTAGTGGTTTGAGGATAATACATCCTACCCCTTCGCCTCTGGCATACCCGGACTTTGCGCGATGGTCGAACGCATAGGTTTTGCCTGAATCCGCAAATAGCCTACCTACTGAGTTATTCGACCCTCACAAAGTTAAGAGCATGAGCTCACTCACCTTAATTTTGCCATGGATACCCATACATCTGGTTGTGTGATTAGATGAGAAGCACCAACAATAGCCTGTTCTGACTCCCCCGACCGTATACTCTGAACGGCCATGTGTAACGCATGTATACTGGATGAACATGCTGTGTCGACAGTGAATGTGGGTCCGCATAAATTGAGAAAGTAGGATATTCGCCCAGCTAAGAATGCGCCCTGGCTTCCAGTGGGATCAAACATGGGCGAGTCGTCTAGATCCCTTAGGTTGCCCATCCTGTGTTCATTATCGGGACCACCAATGAACACGCCAACTTTCCGTCCTGAGATAGACTCCTTAGGAATGCCGGCATTCTCGAGAGCCTCGTATGAGCATTCAAGAAGAAGCCGTTGTGTGGGATCTTGTACATGGTTAGCCTATTGACACAATTGCGATCTAAAAAGTGATTACCCATGGTCTCAGCTTCTTTGCGTGTTATGTCAAAAAAGCCCGGATCAAACATCTCGAGATTTTGAGATAAGAAGTACCCTCCTTGTGAGTTTATTGTGCCCTTTTTCTCTGGATTAGGATGATTATAAGCCTCCTGGTTGAACCGCTCTCTGGGTATCTTGGACCATGCGCTGCGGCCCTTGGTTAACAGCTTCCAGAAGTCGCCCGGCGAAGATACATCGCCAGGCAGACGGCATGACATGCCAACGATGGCAATTGGCATCGGCACTTCAGACTCCATGTTGAGGTGTATACGGAGGAGAATTAGTGAAAGGGATATGAGGAGGCAAGGAGTGATGCCAAGGAGTAGTGGCTGGATAACTTCGAGAGGACCATGGAATAGCCTCGATCGAAGGCGCCAGAAACCGTGTATATGTCAACGAGGACGTAAACGAGTCTGAACTAGTACTCAGGCACAACCGACTATTATTAGGAACGCTTACTCGTTATTAATCCAGCTTCGGCTTGCGTGGCGTTCTCTACCGACCTAAGGTAGAGAATACCCAGAGCTAATAAAGTCGCTGGGGACCGATGAAACCGGTACTCCAATCTACAGAGAACATAATATTTGGGACGAAGCCTGATAAATGTCACGACTAAGTCCGACGTCCTGGACTTCTGGATCGGGCCACTTTTGGCTTCGATCTGACACAAGTTACATATTAGACAGGCAGCACATCATATCAGTCTCCTTTTCACCTTTGCAATGGTTAATTACCATCACCCTAGTTTCTTTTTTACTTTATAATTTCTTTACATTATTCTATTGTGCCTGGTAAAGTCACCCATTGCATCCTAGAAAAACTGGTATTATGTGACCGAACCATACATAGCAGATATCTTGGCTAAGCCAACATCGAATTATATGGCATCATGCTTGTTCTTAGAGTTCAGGTTCAGTCAGTGCGACACCTCATGAACTCAGTCTCTTTTGGGTCCTACATACAAAATAAGAAATAGATGTCAGGTCAATCCGGACGAGGATCGGAAGTCCGTTGACGGGTTGTCAGCGCCAACCTACGAGGAATGAGCCGTTTGTCACATGGCTGACAGCCTTATCTCTATCACATCAATTTTATCTGGTATCAATTCCAACACCTAGTGGTTGCGCCCAATAAGTATCTAGGTAGGGATTGTTGGCACATGGAGACGACGCTTTCGAAACTAATCCACCGAGGGAAGCAAATTATTCATCCATGAAGGCCCCCTTTATTTTGATTGACACCAACTAATCATTATTTGTGCAGCTCAACAAGGGTGTAGGCACGTATAAGTTCCCATATATGGTCTTTATGGATGCTATTAGTATATGATTCACATGGCTATCACTCCATCTGGACTTACGGGCGGTCCCCACGGGCAGCAAGACAGCCTCAAAGTCACCATTCAGCCTTCAGACCGAAGAAATCGTCGGAGATGATAAATACCCAAGCCTGATATATATCACTTCCACTCGTACGATATCCGGACTCATGAGAGGAATAGGTTTCCTGTTTGCTTTTCCGCACTATAGCCTAGTAGAGAACTAGTTGAGGAATGCTCGTCGTCGTATGTAGCATTTTATTCCACGAGATTGATAAGTCGAATAAGTTTCCAAGAAGAGAGAAAACACTACTACGATGAGATTTCTCTGCTTACCCGGCGCCTATGGAAGTGCTAAGGTAATTCCTTACCATCCGTCATCTTACCAATAATATCTTTCAGACGTTAACTATTAGAGCACAGAACTTCGGCGTCCAGCTCGGACCGTTCGCCAAACACATGGAGGACCGAGGCCTAGCAACGTTCGCTTTTACGCAAGGAGCGCATGAGGTAGAGCCGCCGCTAGGTTGGGAGAACTATTTCGGATCGCGGCCGTTATACCGGTTTATCGATGCAGCGGAGGGCGATGCGTTCGAGGTGGTACGGCGTGTGCGGCATATTCCGCGGGGTCTTAGTCCCGAAGCCACTTTACGCTTGTTCAAACCAGACCGTCCTGTTGATGTCGACTGGACGACGTTCCGGGATGCACTGAGCGGCATACTTAAGACTATTGAAGATGATCCCGAAATCGATGGTCTCATTGGTTATTCAGAGGGTGCTATGATGGCCGCGTCAATTTGCGCGGAGGAGCATAGAAGGTGGGAGGAAAAGGGAACTCCTAGGCGGATCAAGGTATGTCTCACTTTGAAAAACTCTTCAGCAATGGTACTGGTCACACATAACCCCGCTCACCACCCGTCTACAACAGTTCGCTATCTTCTTCGCCGGTACACCGCCTCTAGTAGCTGAAGGCGACGGGTTCATAGCCAAGCTCGCAGATGAATACGGTACGACAATTGATATCCCGACCTTTCACGTCTTCGGATCGAATGACCCTCTCGTATACTCCTCCGTCGCTCTTTACAACGCGTGTAACCCAGACCTAGCCCAATTATACGACCACGGCCTCGGACACTTGGTCCCTCGCGACGCGGATAACGTCGAGCAGCTCGGAGATACGCTTTCGGATGTAATTACAAAGATCAATAAGGTACAAGAGAAGGAAGCAGCTGCGGCTGTGGCTCGTGGCCGGTCTGAGGAGGGTAACAGTGAGAATAGTGATGATAAGGTTCTCCGGGACAGCTCTCGGCCCGGTACTGAGAGTGACTTTACTACCGAGGAGTTCACCATTGAGTCCTCCGCTCCCACCTCCTCTGCTTCTTCTTCTGGATCCAGCACCGGGTCTACGGCTGAGACGTCAGATCTGGAGTCGCGATCTAGTCACGGAAATGGGCCTGAGGAGGTTAAGAAGATCTAGGGTGCCTAAGGGCTCGTAGAAATTGGTACTCGTCGATCCTAGACTTAACCTAGTGTTGTTATCAAACCTTCTGTGTTGGGAATGTATAATAGCTGCATTTAAGAGATTCTTTGATAGCCGATTTGGTTTGTTTAATAAGCAGTTGTCACCTTCAGTGCTGCATATTTATACTCAAGTTCACATCTACAGATCTATAATATCGGGTAATAAGATAAAAGTAAGCTATCATAACCATTCCCCCTTTTTTATTGACTATCTACCTACGTACCAATCATGAGAGCGTGACCCAAGGCGGACGACTGTCAACTACCTCGATGTGTGAGTGAAGGGGTTATCCACAACAAGGAGAGGGAGGTATTAATTATGTACAATACTAGGTACAGTGGGAGTAGGATGAATAGCATTACCAACAAGTCGTCGTTCAGGGGAGACTTATAAACTTCAGAGGCCTCGGAAATGTAAAAAAAAAAAATGTACGTGCGTAAGGTCCTCAAGTACTTTTCTTTCAATTTTTTTTCTCGTGCGAACCCGAATTTAAATCTTGCCCAATATTTCACCTCTTCATATTAGTAGTAGAGCTGCTCCATAATACTCTTTTGTACGAGCTATACGCCCCTGAACCATCCCTAGATCGAGTCTAGCGACCTCCGAATGCGCCGGCTCCCATTCCGGCAGCACCCGCACCCATCCCTTGTAGCTTGGCTGCTAATTGAGGGTACTTTTCTTGGACCTGGATTTGTGTCCGCGTGGCTTCGGCGTAGGAAAGCGCGTTGACGATCTCACCCGGTGTCCTGGCAAGCTCGGCTGCGCGTTCAAAGTACTTGAGTGCTTCCGTGATTTTACCCTGTTGAAGGAGAAGCTGAGCCATCGTAGCTACAGCAATATCGCATTCAGGGTCAACTATACATCAATTAGCATCCCCCTTTCATCCGAAATCTGCAATGGATGGAAATTCTTACTAATTAATGCTTTCTCGCATAGCTTCTCAGCTTCGGTAAATTCGGACTTCTGTTGAAATACTGCGAGCGCTTTGTTGATAAGAGGTAGGACGTTCATCGCCATAGGCTTAGTCTGCTTCTCCATTTCCATAGCTGTGTCAAATTTTTGGATTGCTTCGTCATACTTGGATTGGTCAAGTAGTAATTCTCCATAGTAGTTGTACACGTCGGGGACCTTGTCGAAGTTCTTAACACATCGGCGGAATGTGGCCATCGAAGACGCTACGGATCCCATCTTATATTGCGTTACACCAAGCTGAATATGTGAAAAGATGAATGAGCTGTCGAGATCGATCGATTTCTGGTAATCCTTGGCAGCATCTTGGAATTCACCATGGATGAAGTGAAGCTGTGCACGGTGGTAGTAGATATCCGGATCGGAGTCATTTTGCTTTAGCGCCTGTTCCAAGTCCGCAGCAGCCTTAGCCCGGTCGCCTGTCTATAAGTTAGCATTAAGGGGCCTCCTTAAAAAGGCGTACGTAACACCGAGTCGCTTCGCTTACCCATTTCTAGATGCATGCTTGCCCTCTTAACGTAGCTTTGAGTATAGGACGGGTCGAGCTCTATACTCTTATCCATATCTTGTAAAGCCAGGTCTTGAGATCCACGTAGATTCCTGAAGGTGCCTCGTAAGTTGTAGGTGAGAGCCTCGTGTTCGTCTAAGTCACCATGTTCCAAGGCCTTTTCAAATGCGTTTGCTGCCTCTTCATATCCCTCATGTGTCCTCTTCTCCATAGCTCTGAGCCCAATTTGCAGTTGTCCCTTGCCGGTTGATTCTGGTAGTTCGACGGAATCGTCTAGGTCTTCAGGTCGGGGCTTCGCTCGGAAACTCTGGATATAGTTGGAGACGAAAGTAGGGCTAGGTAGCTTTTTAGAATCTTTGGACTTGATGATATCCTCAGCTTTCTGCTCTGCAACCTTCTTCAGTAATCTCTCAACGGCATTTGTACTAGACTCGGTCTTAAACTCGTCAATAATACAGCTGGCCGTATAATCCAGGAGAGATTCGCTGAACTGAGATAGGTGTTCGTAAGCATTAGCTCTTCGGTTTAGCGCTTTTACGTATGTGGGATCGAGGCTAATAGCGGCGGTGGTATCCTCGACGACCTTGTCCCAGTCGCTAAGAGCATTGTAGCAAGCAGCCCTGTTGGAGTAGAAAATAGAGTCGGGCTTGCAAAGAATGGCCTTGGAGTAGAGGTCAATAGCCCGATTATAGTCTTTACTGCCATAGGCCTTGTTGCCAGCATTCTTGAGTTGCAGGGCGTAATCTCGGCGTTGTTCATCGGAGAATGTGCCGACTGTTTCTTCGGTGATTTCTGGTAGTTCGTCGGCGGTTTCTACTGTCGGAGCTTTCGGTTGTTCGCCCGAGGAGGCGGGGGACTTCGGTGCTTCGGCTTGGCGCTCTGCTTCTTTTCGCTTCCTCCTTTCCTTCTTGCTGAGTTTTGATTGCGCAGCGGGCTTCGGCTGTTCGTGGGGTCTAGGTGTAAGCTATAATCTCGAGGACAATATTGAATATAAAAATAAAATAAATGACTGACAATATCGGTGTTGAGATAATATACTACGCCCGCACCGGTGACGACAACAGCCACACCAGCGATGGTATATACAATAGCTTTGTTCTCGGAGGCCCAATTGGACAATCGATCCCATAAGGAGGGCTCTACAGAGACTGCAATGGGTTGGGCTAAGGGAGGCATTGGCGGCGGAGCTGCAGCAGCACGAGACATTATGACCGGATGAGTGGGATGTCGTCAAACCAGAATAATCGAAAGAGGGAAAACGAGCGGTCGGTGACGAGGGGCGACAAAAGGAAAAAAAAAGGGACGAGGTCGCAAAATACTTTTTTTTTTCCTTAATCGTGTCGCGGTTGGACGAGAGGTGTTGAAGAGGTAGGTCGGTATAGCTCTTGTGAAAAAAAAAAAGAAGAATATAGGTAGATGTTCGAGTAGAAGTTACGTTTGATAGGTACCGAATCGAAAAAAAATGTTATACACAGGCGCAAAAAAAGTTGACTTTGCAACTGTAATTCCTAGCGCGACCCAGTTTAAGGTGCGCTGTGCTGTTGAAGCTTAGACCCTGGTTGGCCCACAATCACTCGTCATCATTCAAAAGGAAAAGCAAAAGCTATTATATTTTGATGTATCTAGGTACATAATGTACCGAAGTATATCATCATCGTACCAGCCACCCCGCCAACCCGCCAACCACCATCTAGGTACATACGTGTACGTACCGTATTTGTCATCCCGCTGCGTTTGATCTGATAGCCATGCCCTAGTAGTCCCACTTCTATATGTCTTATATATGTACCTAAGTACTTACATATGTAGGTACATCGATCGTCTACTTTGCTGCGGATTCGGATATACAAATGATAATTTCCACCGATATAGATCTAAGATACTCTACCTGCAACTAACAACAACATAGTTAAATACCAGGGTTTATTAACGCCAAGTAATTTAATTATCATATACGATGGCTAATGACTTCCAAATATTCACATCTATACGCTATGATCCCTCTCTATTAAAAGTCCCGGAGCTCGGATTTAACAATGTCGGATGGAACCAGAATCCTTCTCCCTTTTACATGCTTGACTTCCACCGGGATCGCATGCTAAGGGCTGCCGTATATTGGGATTGGAATGCCGCCATTGCCACTCTTTCCGGAGAGAAAGGCATCGAAAATCTACAGAGCTTTCTCAAAACCAATGCCGCCGGATTGGGAAGCGGACCTCACCGAGTAATGATTACTCTAGCTTCGGATGGAACTTTGGGTTATCAGACATCACCTCTTCCAGAAACACACATAAATAATCTACACCCCGAATCCTTACCGAGCCCGAACTCAGATGATCTGGATTCAGTTGGAAAGGGTAAGGTTGTTGTGCAAGATCCCCTGTACGACATACTTCTTGATAGTCAGAAGACAGCGAAATCCGAGTTCACTCATTATAAGACCACTTTTAGAGACATATATAATTCCGCACGAAAAAGAGCTCAAATAAATCCAGGTGAGAAGAAAGAAGTACTTCTTGTCAACGAAGATGGTCAAGTTATGGAGGGTAGTATTAGTACCCCTTATTTTTGGAGGGATGGAAAATGGGTGACTCCGCCCATTCCAAGCGAGTATGACGCCTCACAAGGTAGCGGCGGGAATGATGGTACGACTAGAAGATGGGCACTGGAAAGGTAATTCTTATCACGAAACTATGACCTTGACCTTGAGCGACCAATGCTAACCGAATTAGAAACCTTGCAATTGAGCAAGTCGTGCTTGTCGATTCACTACTTGACGGTGAAAATTGTTGGATAAGTAACGGCCTTCGAGGCTTCATATCTGGAAAGGTGAAGCTACGTTGAGTTTCATGATACCTTCCTACATATGTAGCTGATCAACTCTACACGAATCCTGCCGGTAATTACTACTCCTTGGAAAGACCTAACCGACTGTTGGCGCACAATTAAAACTTAAACAACTGTACGAATGAGATAAGGAGTGTAGTATATCAACAACACTACAGCATTTGGCGCGCCATTGTACGATGCTCGAGGAACGACCACCTGGATATTAATATCCGCAGTAGTAACGGCTTTCCCGTGTCACTCGTCAATGATGTTCTACGGTGACGTCGTTCTGTGCAACCGAACCTTTATCAATAATAAGTCCCCTTAAGAGTTTCTTAAAGCAGTCTTTCCTTCCAATAGAAAAGATGTCCAAGTACCTACATGTAGGTAGGTATTGGCAATGACGAGGCTAAATCAAGACGTATCACGAGTCACCCGTTGCTTGTACCACGCATTGGGAAGGCAGCATCTTGGGATCTACTGCTTTTTGTGCATCTGCTTCACCTTGTGGGAGGAGTGACTTCCACCTCGTAACCATGGTCTAAGAGTTGAGCAACTTCTAGCTTCACACATCTGGTTGCCTCTTTCTTCCTACCTCGCACAGAAAGTGCGAGGCTGTCAACGAGTGTTTTATAATCGACACTTCACTCCATTTGCTTTTTTCGCCCTCTCTCATCTTTCATCTTTCATCGCCCCTCGTCCTCATTTATCAACTCAGTATCTTTTTCCTGCAATCTATTACCATACATACATTTAGTAATTCCATTCTCAGCAAGACACCAACCATCATCCACTCCCAACAAGACGCGTTATCAAAATACCTAGAACTAACCTAGAAGTCATCATGAATTCCATCTACTCCGTTCAGAACAAGATCAAGCAGGAGCTGTCTCTGTCCAAGGTCAAGGCCATTCAGAATAAGAACTACAAACGTCATGGCACCAAGTCCTATGTCTACCTGCTAAACCGGTTCGGCTTCCAACCTACCAAACCCGGCCCCTATTTTCATATCGACAAGGTTAGACAGCATGGCATTGTCCCTGAGGAGCTGAAGGCCGCCCTTGGAGGCGTCATACATACAGAGCGAACACTAGTCAAGAAGGCCGGTCCTGGCGATGATGATCAGACCGGTGATGTCACTGCCGAAGACCAGCAGAATGACTCCATGTATGTCTGCAAAGTCGATATTGGCAGCCCTCCTCAGTCACTATTACTCGACTTCGACACTGGTTCTGCTGATACTTGGGTTCGTGAAGATCGTTCAATCCTATACCTATTTTGAGCTGACATTGGCATCAGGTTTGTTCGACCCTTCAGGGCAAGTCTGCTAACTCGGGCCACAACGTCTTTGACCCCAAGAAGTCGGAGACCTTCAAGAAATTGACTGGGAAGAAGTGGAAGATCCAATATGGAGATGGATCGACTGCGTCTGGTGACTGCGGCAGCGACACTCTTGTCGTAGGTGGTCTATCCATCAAGGACCAGACGATCGAGTGCGCGACCAAGCTGTCCCGACAATTTGCCCAGGGTACCAGCGATGGCCTGCTTGGCCTCGCCTGGGGCAAGATCAACACAGTCACAGATTCTGGTGTGCCCGATCCCCAGGCAACACCTGTTGAGAACATGATTGACCAGGATGATATCCCCAAGGAATCAGAGCTTTTTACTTCAGCGTTTTACAGCACTCGTGACAAGGATGCCGAGTCATTCTATACCTTCGGTTATATCGATCAGGACCTCGTCCAGAAGTCTGGTCAGGACATTCATTGGACTGAAATTGACAACTCGGAAGGATTCTGGTCATTCTTGTCAGAGTCAGCATCGGTCAATGGGGAGAGCATCGATCTTAGCGGCAACACCGCCATTGCTGATACCGGTACCACTCTAGCACTCCTATCGGACACGGTTGTCGAGAAGATATACGATCAAATCCCTGGCGCATCCTATGATTGGCTCAACCAAGGCTACATCTTCCCGGTTATTGTCAAAGCAGATGATATCCCTGAAATCAAGGTGGCTGTGGGCGACCAGGAATGGCTAATCCAAAAAGAAGACTTGGCCTTCGCCCTCACGGATGACAAGCAGAGTTGGTATGGAGGTATCCAAAGCCGCGGCATGATGCCGTTCGACATTCTTGGCGACACGTTCCTGAAGAGTGTCTATGCTGTAAGTTCTTTTCTCTTACCCATATTGTTTTTTTCATTCTAGTTTCCGGACTGAGCTTATTGACCTAACTTGTTATACAACAGATCTGGGACCAAGGCAACAAGCGCTTCGGTGTAGTACCCAAGATTCAAGAGACACAAAATCTCGACCCGCCCCCTGACAGCTCTGACTCTGATGGTGGAGACAAACAAAGAGTCAGCAGCATTGATCTCCTTGCTGCTGATGCTATTTGAATGGGACGTTCCGCGTGTCTATGGGGGTGCACTTGAATGGCTAGTTTCAAGAATTGGGCATAAGAGTCGGGGGTCGTAATGCTTCTAACGTTTCTTTGAGTTCTAAGATTGTGTTTTGTTAGTGGTGATAGTTCGCTGGTCTCCCTAGATAGAATGGAATTGCCGCATTATTACCCTATTTCTTGGTCACTGCTAGCTCGTACTGAATTTGGAATCGTCATATCAGCTGGCATGATTTGGCCGTCTTGAACATATGATTCACGCGATCCCTATGACCTTAGCTGAAACATCAGCTTCCCGAACCTGGCTCGATGATAACTATGGGTCCATGATGCCTACCCCTGAGAGTTAGTCAATCCTCCAAGTACTCATTATCAATGTTCCCTTTGTATCGGCAATTGTCATAGGCAGTGACGCAGCAGGTCGAGAAAATTAAGTGACTTGCGGTCTTCCATGGCCATTCGAATTAAATTAACCTATATATAACAGTCCCCAACGCCTTCAAGTGCATGCATAAACTAACTACATCTAACGCTACGCTAGAATCGAGACGAGACATACAATACCTCCTTAGCAGAAGAGAAGGATACGTTGGTAGATATTACATAAATAGCCCAAATATATCAAGTCACAAATATATATCCACGGCGAAAGGGAGTCCTGGGAAGGGATTCTGGGGAGTGTAGATAATATAGGTTTTCCTACGTCCGCGACTGACCGCGCTACCTAGTCACACTCTCGTGTCTTGCCCTGTATTGTCTCTCGTCTTGCCTTCCCATTGCCTTTCGACCTCGCATATTTGCTTGTATGGTTGGGTTCGGTAGTGAACTAAGCTCTTCTCCCTCTCTCTTCCCCCTTTAGCTCGACCGTGCGTTCGTGATGACTGTCCCTAATTACTACCACTGATTCTTTTTTTCTCTTCCGATGACCCGGCATTTTGCTCCAACGAAAAAAGTCTCCACCAAGTAACATGCGATGGATGAATCTTCCTCTAAAGCCAATGGCTCGCTTATCATGCGGAGAAAAAAAGCAAATGGAGTGAAAAAAAGAAAAAATCACAAACTCCACCGAACGCCTATGCGGTATGGACCCTCCCAAAGTCACCGAAAAAGCACAATAAAAGCCAGAGCCGAAAGAATCGAAAAAGGGGATTTGCACAGACGCAATGGGAGATGAAGCGCCTCGTTCTCGTGAAGAAGAAAAAAGATCATGTCTAGGACAAGTTCGGATCAGGAAAGCTCTCGTAAGGTTATTATAAAATATGATAACCTTGTGCATCGCCGATAGGAATCCGAGGATGCGAGGTTCAAAGTTTCAACACTTGTAGTAGATTAATGCCCAAAGCAATGATACCGATTATACCGAATACCCCAAGCTTCGTTCGCAAAGACGTAAAATAGCGAAGTGGTCCTCTGCTTTAACCAGCTGATTAAAGCCAAATGTGTTTGAGGCCACCATATTGAAATAGCTCACTGTGGGTAATAGACGACACCGGGACCTGGAGGGGAAAAGTAATAGCCATCCGGGTTCGGAGGAACCATACCATTCATGCCAACCACTCCACCAGGCATTGGATAGCCTTGCGGTGTCGGATACGATGGGTACGAGGACACAGGCGGCAATTGAGACGCATCGTAGTAGTATACCATGCCATTGACCTCCTGAGCAACCAAATTAGAGCTCGGCGTATTCTGTCCATTTGGCTGGCTGCTGGGGGTTTCGCCCTGTGGCTGAGCTTGTTGGCCTCCTGGGACGAAAGCGGGCGCCGTGGCGGATGGGGCTAACGTGCTAGGATAGGACGTCTGAGGGTAGTAATAGCCCTGTTGTTGCATTATCGGGTAGGGTTGGTAGTAGTTTTGTTGGCCGAATTGATTTGGCTGGAAGGGAGCGGCATGAATGGCACGCTCCGGAATTTGTGAGAGGGGTGTTCCTGTCGAGTGTTGGGAAGGGTATGAGGGGTGGCGTGTATGAGACTCTTGGCCCAGGTTAGTAGACACTTGTACCGGAACCTGTTGATGGAAAGCCTGTTGATATGGTTGGGACGAGTTATGCTGCATCTCTGGTGACTCGATGCCGGCCACCGAGACAGTCTTCTGGGGCCGAGGCTGATGCATAGGAATAGGAACCGATCGATTCTCCTGGAAATGCGGCTTCTGCATTAGAGGCTGTGATTGCGGAGCTGGGAAGTCATTGATAATAGGTTGTCCAATTCCATGTGGTCCCTCTCCCGGCGCACCATCAACGACGGGAAGCTGCTGCTCGGTCCGAGCTTGCGGAGGTAGTCTGACAATCGGGCGGCTTGTGTCGTATGGCATCGGGGGACGTGACATGGTAGAGCCGGTTGGAGAGACGATATAATCCCTACCCAAGTCGGGGGCAATAGAGGATCGTCGGCTCAGAGCAACACTAGGAGTGTATGCGCTACCTGCATACACACTTCCCCCAAACACGCTTGTCCGCCTAGAGAAACCGCCAATAGAACCAAGTCCAGATCTTGGCTTGCCTCGTAACCGTTGGTTCGGACGCATTGCTCGGGGGATAAAGATAAAAGATCTATCTGTAGCCGGAAAGATATACCGCGGAGGGTTGTCTGGTAAAGAAATTCGGACTGGCTTGTCACGTCTTAACGGCGGCCGATGATCTGGCAATTTCGTGTACTGTCGTACTTGTATGCCAGGAAAGATAATTGCCTCTTTAATTCCCGGGAAGAACACCCTGACCTGTACATTACCAACATACTTCTCCGTAGCCATCTGCCTATTAATTGGTTGAGCACTGGGAGGACACGTCGGAATAAAGCCATCGCCATTTGGTGGGCCATCGTCAGTAAACGAAGGTCTTGGTTGCTGAGAGTGTACAGGTTGCGCAACCACATCGTGCATATCGTGGGCCCAAGGCCCGTTGGTCGTAGGATCGGCCGGACTATGTACAGGATGACTAAATATGTTAGTAAAAGGGACGACAGATGGCTGCTGACGTAGAGCGGCATACTTGATAGGAGCGTAGGGGCCACCAATACCACCACGGCCTCTTCCTCGACCGCCCCTTCCAAATGGGCGGAAACCATTCGCAGATGGTCCGGCATGTCTGTGGTCATGCATGAAGAAGGCTCCTCGGTTAGGGACGAAAGACGGATCCTCGTCTCGCTTGCGCCTGTATTCATCGTGCTCCCTACGTCGCCGATCGGTGGAGGGATCGTATGAATGGTCCGCGTTCGTAGCAGCGGAGTTTGAACTAACGACTATAGGAGCCGAGGATTTGGACTGGGGCTCGGATGTCTCCTCGAAGTTCATCGCTTGTACTGGGACAGCTTCATCCGAGATATTCATGCTATTCAGCATAAATTCGGTGTCGGACACGGCATTTTGGGCGACCTTTCTGGCACCCTTAGTAGGCGGGCTGCCGGAAGACTTGGAATGTGTCCTCTTCACGCTTCCATTACCATTGGCTGTTTGGTTGGACAATTTCGGTGCAGCGGGTGTCGTCGGCGAAGCCTCATCGACGTTACTGGTATCACTATCATCTGCGGGATCGGGGTCCTCGGAAGCCATCGATCCATCAGTCAACGAGTCATCGTCAAGTTCCAACTGTTCATGGCCTCCCTCATCCTCTCCTTCGTCCTCGACCCGGCGGCGGCGGCCGATCATCTTTCGTCGTGGGACGGCGGGTGCAGCAGCTGCCATTTTGGATATCGTGTGCTGTCGGAAATGCGCTCACAAGCGTATGGGGTAGATGGAGGAATTCGAAGCCGGATAGAGACGGACTCAAAGCTTCCTAGAAGAGCTGTCGGCGGTGGTTGGGCACGACGTGGGCGTCGTGATGGATACGGATATCATACGTCGTTCGGATTGGCGGGCGAGATATCGGACGACGGGCTTCCTGAATGAACAAAAACCTAGAGGCGAAATAACCGCCTGCGGTGCAGAAAAGAAGGGAAGTGCTGGTGAAGAATGAAAATCAATTAAAAATCCAGTATGCCGTATTTTTCCTAGGATCGATCCTTTTATTTTTTTACCCCCCAAAAAGCGACAGAAGGTCTCTGTCCCCGTCCAGCTAAGTCGCTAATAAGTCGGACAAAGCAGGACAAGAAGACGGAGAGGGTAGAAGACGTGAACGGAGAAAAATAAGAACAACTTTTTTTTAATTAGAAAAAAAGGCCTCCAGGCTTGTGAAGATGAACTACACAAGCTACGACGGAGGTGTATTTTTTGTGATTTTATTATTTTTTCTAGGTGATGTAGTGTCAAGGAGGGCTTTTTTGTTGGACGGGGAGAAGCCAAGCCAAAAGGTTTAATATTTTGGAAGTTCGAGGTCAGGTAAGGATTCAGGTAGGCTTGCTTTGGTTTGGTGTAAGGTTGAGGTAGTAGCAAATAGTGGATTTGTGGTGGAGACTAACAGTACGGTACGGTAAGTACCTTGTCTGTCCGCTGAAGGTAGGACAAAGTACAGTAGGTAGCGTCGTACCCAAAAATGCGTGGAGCGGAGTCCAGAATCAGTGCTTAAAAAAGTGAAAAGGCGCCTATTCAGTGCTGATGGTGACCTAATAATTCCATAGGAAAGAACCGTCCATGTGTGTGGTCTGTGCATATATCCCTGTCCTCTTATAAGATTGGACCAATGGGCTGAGTTTCAATTGTTTGAGACCTTGGCAGCTTCGATCCATGGACCGGATGGATCCACGGATACTTTGGTACAGATTCGGTACCCTTGTACCTTGTACTTTATCAATGAAGTTTTAAATGTCTTTCCATTGTTTGTTTCACGAGAATTCTTTGCTGTCTCGTCGTCAAAAAAATAAAAAAATATTATTATATAATTACATAATATAGTACTCTTAATCAATTCATTATCATTATTTATACATTAAGGCATGCAATTCATCATTCTTTTGTCTGTCTATTATATACCATGCTGATCAAGCTACAGATTACTTTTCTCCATCTTCATTCTGCATTTTTATTAGCTGGAGTGAGAGAGGTGCGGACCATCCAACAGTTCTCTTTTCTAAACTACTTAACCTACAATATCTCTTCTTCAATTACATACATATGTATTGATACATTGATATATCCAATCCGTATAGTACGATGATGCATCGCATACCTTAGGTATGTACCGAAGGCGCACGTACGGTACTGTGTGCGTGCCACTCGTCCGCTGGCCTTCAAAACCCCTACCTACATGTATGCCATAAACAGTCATCTTGCCCAACATACATGGTCCGTCTACATACTTCATACATACATATATACAACATATGCTACTCACATGGAGCGGAGGTACCTCTCCTCCTCCCTACATATATGGAATCACCCACTCACGCGCAGCCAGTCGCCGAGACGCCTCCGCATGCAGAAATCACGTCCAAATCATCCGAGTACAACTGTAATGTACAGCACAGTCCAATTTCTATTCACCACGTCCACCAACCACTCTTTACACGTATCGCTGCCATGAATCACTACCCGTATCATCCCTGCACCCCTTGGTCAACAGGATCTTCAAATTTCCACTCTCGCCTCGTAACTAATATTTTAGGAATCACATTTGGCTCGGTCTATTTTGTATGGAAAATTGTAAGGTCTGGCAGGGCATGAAGAAAATATTAGCACCGTATTGCCGTTATCCGCCCGTCTTTCACTGGGAAGAACCACATTAGTAAGCTAGGTATCTACTAGGCATCCAGCCTATCGCCGTTACTCTTAGGTATCCGTCTCCGGTATCGCCAATCTGCTGTCATACCTGACTGGACGATTCTCGATCAGGCTTGGTCGTTATCAGGCCGTTCGGTGGTGCAAGGTATTCCTTTTTACGTACAATTACTGAGGCAGTTCCCTAATACACACGTCCGCCAAGTACCAATTCACGATGTTTGTTTACCTTCCACGGCCGTCAATTCCTAATTGCCAAAGCAAGGAGCCAATGAACTCGAACGTGTCGAGCGTTACGAGACCGATGGGCGAATCCACTACGAGTCTACTACGCCTTTGCTGATCTTGCCGTTTTTACCGCACGTAAGACCCAATGCCGGCCTTGGAAGTATGTATGTCGTGGCCTATCAACAGCGCTCGCTCAAGCTTAGCGCAAGCGCGATCCTACGGCCGCTTCTTTGGACCCGATAGGTAGAATCGGCCGACGTGGAATCGGGACTCTGTCCAACTAACCCTACAGGTGAAGAGAAAAAAGTGGTCTCGTGGCTATGGTTACAGCGTTGATTTGCTTGCATCGTGCTGTTGTAGACTCTTTGATTATGACTACCTAGGTATGAAATATGTTTACTCGCGAGTAATTTACTATTGATAGGACCAAGTGTTTATTTTCCTAGCCAGTACCTTGTCCGAAATATCTCATTTTGTCACATTAGGGGCTGGACATCGTTAGATGAAGGTAACAATATCTTATACTAGGTCGCGATTAGGAGAGGGATGAAATGCCTTCCCGCTACATGATTCTGGCCATTTGCCTGGCAATCAATAATGTTTAAGATGCTAATCGGAGCCCGTAGAAGAATCTTCATATGTAGGTATAAAAGGTATATGAAAATCAGTTGTGGTTACTGCTGGTTGGGCCTAACTTGGCTGCGAGTGACAATCATTAATGAAACAACAATCAACACAGCCGAAGACACAACACGTCAGGGGGTATCGCGGTAAGTATTTTTATTGGCTAGGTTGTTCGACTTGTCTAGGCTTTGCTGATGGATAGGTTGAGTTATAAGTCGTCATAATTTACCTTATATGTGTATTGACAAGGTAGCATAGGCATCCTCGATACCGTAAAAGGTATTCCGTTATGTCTCCTACATACCTAGGTAGTAACGACAATACAACAATACAGCGGCTGCCCCCACGAAGCCATACTTCACAGACCGCTGACAAAAGTTAAAATACCATTCTATCGAAAAGGCCGCCGGTGCTTGCTAGATCAGATTATGACGGTTCCAATCACGCGTATATCATCTAAACAGGGGAGCTAAATAATATTTGATGATAATAGAAGCATGACTAATATACCTGGTAAAAAGGAGTTTGCCCTCTCGTGAAGTTTATAAGGTAAGTGCGCAATTGACTCGTGAATAAGCGTGGCGCTTCGCTGAAGAGACCACCCTATATTAGTACGCGTAAAAAAGGGGGTGTGCTGACATGTGGTATGTCAGATATTCATTTAAGAACGATGCTTGAGGGACACCATCTTCCGAGCAAGCCAGAATATACTTCCGCCCACGTGTTGAGACTGTGAAAGATCAGAGCCACAACCACCTACCTGTTATGGGCATCTTTAATCTTTATATAGCATCCCGTCTTTCTTTTAACCGCAAGATTTCTGCCTCAACAATTAGACGGGAGCGAACACATGACAACGCCGCTTGAGAGTTCTTTATGCCTTGAGACATTGGGTCTGGCATAGGGGCCATTATTAGGTAGGTATGTCTCGGTCAAGGTTCCACAGGTTCTGATGCGGCAGCGAGGGTTCGAGGACCAAGTCGGCCGTACACGGAGATGAAATTGATGGGCAAGCCACAAGCTATTTTCGATCGGAGCTTAGATGCGATCAACCTCGGATATGGCGAAAGGAGAAGCTCAAATATTTGGATATGGCTTCCAAATCACTCCGAAGTATGTCGTGCGACGGTCGAGTATACAATTGCCTCCCAGCCAATATTGGAGATGTCCACGAATAAGAGGCAAAGAGGAAGTTTTGGCTGGATCATCATGCGAGTCAATTCAACCAGCATACCTGCTATTATAACTTGGATTTTAGGGGTGGAATCGATAAGACGGATCTGTGATACTTGCATGTTCAGTTCAACTGAACTCTGTAACGATTGTCCCAGACCACTGATATCATTAGACAAATTCGAGTCTCGGCTTGGTTAGCAGGGGATAACGTCCTATATATATTAGTAGGAGGGAAGTGCAACTTATGGTTGAGTACTACTTAGACCACTGGTAGCATACAGAATGGGTTGTGCGACTATAACCAAGACAGACATATATGTGCCTTGTGGTGGTAATTGGGTTGTCATGGTAGAGAGGCGTCTGCTAGGCGGCAAGCCGCGTCATGAAGTCTTGGACATGATGCAAGATACGAGTAGTTGAGAGGTCACGTTCGGGTTCAATGCATCAGTAAAGCCGAACCTAGTGCCTAGACTTCTTTCACCCTTCTATCCTGACGATGACCCCTCTTAGATGAACGAACTTATTGTGAACTGACATCTGAGTAATTACTAGATGAAGTTATATTCTCTTCTGCCTTGACTTAAAATTGGATGTATTATGGACAGGGAAGTTCGGATACACCGGGGTAGAAATTGACCGAGCTTGTCACTACGTCATTCTTGGTCTAGGCACGGGCAGACGTGGAAGTATCTATCCTCGTGCTGCTGAACCTGCACTTTGCCGTCATTTTCGTAGTACATAATTTGCATATACATGTCTACTTGGGTACATGTGTAAATACCCGTGAACCTGTCAGCGACGTAGCATTACATGTATGTTGATAACTTCTAGCGCTGTATTCGTCATTACCTCGCAGCCTGGAGGGGATTAGTAGCCTCTGAATTTCTGGAATACTCCCTGAGGCGAGTTTTTGATGACTACCTACTAGGTGGATTAACTGAGAAATACACACCTGAGACGCTTGAATTTTCTACTAGAATGTATTCGTCAAGTAGGTGCCTGTTGGTATCAAGCCTGAAACTTCGCAAACAGCGAAAATAGTCACTGTATGTTTAGCATCAATGCACCGTGTACTGTGCTAGTTTTTATGTAGTATGGATTAGTGAGCCAAGAAAGTTTAGGTGACAGGTTAATGGCAAATACATACACATTTAAAGGTAAGAAAGGTACTTAGCTGTACTTAGCTCTCGGGTAATTGTTTGTTTGTACTAGTTAAGCGGTGATAAGAAATTACTGCACCATCGATAACAGCCTCACTTTGAAAACCCCACACTGTATCCAGGTATCTAGGTACCTAGGTAGCTTTAGAGCATGTTTCGGCGCGCCTTATTTGTTAAGACCACCGCTGCCCTTGACTTTCTTAGGTACATAGTTAGGGTACTTAGTGGAGCGTAAGCCCACCTCCGCTTGCTAAACTCACTTTTCCCCATATCCAATAGGTGGTTTGATTGGCAGGTTACGAGGAAACTTATCTGCCTGCAGTGGCCAATTGCCGCCCTCGTCGAGCTAGTAGGTACTTAGGTACGTGCACACATACGTATGTACTTAGCTGCTTAGCTAGCTGCCTGGTGTATTTATGGTTTTCTACTCTTCCTTACTTCCTCAAGTTAACCTCACCTACACATACCGAAATCAACATCACCCAGCAATACCTGAAGTCGCATTACAAAAAAAAAATAGGTGCAGCCTAGCGAACGGCGCAATTGAACATTTGCGTCCGTAAGTATATGTAAGTAATATTCAACTTTCGTGGGCATAATCGAAACAACCTTCCCCTCCTGGGAGTCCTAGGTATCTCCTAGGTAGATCAGCGGCGTTCTTACCTTCGGACCGCCTCTTTCCCTCCCCCCCAAAGCCTAAGGTTTCCTAGGGCGGACTCCTAAGGTTCTCACTACCTAAGGTGCCTTTTCTCATTAAACTCATTAATGCCGTCATCCCCTCACTACCCAGGTACACAGAAACCATTGAATCTTCCATTTCTACGACGGTCCCCTCCATCAACTTTTCACCTTTCATCTTCATTTTCACTTTCCACTATTCAATTTCATCAATTTTTGTTGGGCGCCATGCGTCATTTGTAATCTATGTACACTACTCCCTCCTTCGCCGACGACCTTTTTACGCTTTGCACCCTGGCGCCTCTTTGTGTTTAGACCAGCCCTTGATTGAGGCCACGATTGATACCTACCGGACCATTGAAGCTGACCGCCTAAATCCAGGTGGCCCTGTACTACACTCCCTCCGCAACTACAGTGCAGTAGGGTAGGGTACATACCGAACAACAAGCAACTATACCTATCGCCGATAAGCGATCTTGAACACCTGACACTTTAGTAATCTTGGGATTGTCCTAGCCTCCTAGGTATGTTGCTAGTATTATTCTAGCTCTAACTCTCTTTCTCCTACCCTCTTCCCACTATCTTGCTACACCTCCTTCATCCTACCCTCCCTACTATGGTGCCCTTGAGTTTGCACCACTTCCGATCATCAAACTCAACTTAATAGGGCACCTATGGTTATCATTGCCTTACCGCTTCATTGGCGGACACCCGATCCCTTCATTAATTTTTTTATCATCTCTCCCAACAAATCGTTAAACTATTGATACTGATATTGTTATCGTCCCCTAGTTTATCGGTCAAGATGGCATCGTCATCATCAGCCACGCCGGAGAGCCTTATTACTCTGAAGGTTAACTTCGATGGTGTAACTCGTCGATTTAAGCTACCCCTTAAGGATTTGGTTATTTCCACATTGGAAGACAAGGTGAGTTGCATCATTCTACAACCTTGTAGCATAGAATCCCCGACTCGTCGATCAATCCACCTTCAGTATGACGGACTATCGGTGCTAGTCCATCTTAAGTAAATAGTTACTAACATCGCATTGTTCGTTAGCTTCGTGCTTTCTTGCAGATCCCTTTTGGGACTTCTGCTATGTTCGAGCGTTATTCCGATTCGGCAGCCTCTTTCGTTGTCCTTGACCAGTCTAATGTCCCTGCGTACAAGCAACTTTACCGAGCTGCCAAAGCCAAGCAAAAGTTAAAGCTACGAATTACTACCCGGACTAGACCTGAACCCAAACCCGAATACAAGCCTGAACCTGAAGAAAATAAGGTTCCCAAGCCTGTAACTGTCGAAGATGAGGTTGAGGCTCAGTCAAAGGAGGTTTTTGAACCTACCGCTCGTGTTCCTTCGCCCGTTGCTATCCCGTCACCCCCTCTACCAATTTCGGAACCGGTCCCAGCGTCAGTTCATAGCGAGGATTCTGTTGGTGTGATAGACACCATTCCCGTGTCGGACATTCATTCGAACTTGCCCGATTTCATTAAGCTGTGGCGTACACATGGTATGCCCAGAATCCACCTTAGACGAGACGGTGAGGGTAACGAAGTAGTTGACCTGGTTGGCTCTCCATCTTCGAATGAGATGCCAGCATCAATCAACTCTGATGCACCAGAGTCGGCCGTTTCTCAAATAGTGGATCAGCTTCATGACACCATCAAGACGAGAACAGTACTAGAGCGATCTATCGCAGAGGCTCAAACCTTCAAGGATGAGATAGCGACCGTACTCAAGGAGAAGAAAGAAGCCGACATGGCCGAGGCCCTGGCTGTACCCAGCTGCCCTAAGCGACCATTTACTGTTTGCTGTAACAGTTGCGACCGAGCTGTGCCGGATGCTCATTTCCACTGCTCCATCTGTGATGATGGTGATTTTGATCTCTGCCAAGAGTGTGTTAATCAAGGCATTACTTGCTATGGCGATGGTCACTGGCTCATCAAGCGAACTATTAAGGACGGCGAGATCAACTATAGCACCACCTACGTCAATCCCAAACCTCCTCGACCTCAAGCCGCCAAGGAAGCTGTTAAGGAAGTGCCGGCTCCTACAGTAAGCCTTCCTATTAGACCCGCTGAGGGCTCAAATTGGGCAACAACTTGGGCACATTCTCACAACGATCGTACTTGCAACTCCTGTGTTCAGGATCTTCCCGGAGAGAATTTCCTTCACTGTACAACATGCGATGACTACGACCTCTGCAAGAGCTGTTTCGCGAAGGACAAACATGGCCACCATCCTGGACATGGATTTACCCCTGCTGTGAAGGGTACGACCTTCGATACGTCCGTTTCCTTGCGTTTGTCGCCTGGCCGAAACGCTAGCCACAATGCCATCTGCGATGGTTGTGACAAGTACGTGAGAGGTATTCGACACAAGTGCCTCGATTGCCCCGACTGGGACTATTGCTCGGAGTGTGTTCAAAATGCCAATTTCATTCATCCGGGTCATCGTTTCGTACCTATCCACGAGCCCTTAACTGATCGCCCGCCTCATCCTGCCTCCCGTATTACGCACTACGGCATCTGCTGTGATGGACCACTCTGTGTGGGAACCCGTGCAGGTTCGAAGTACATTGTCGGTATCCGATATAAGTGTGCTGTCTGCCACGACAAAGACTTCTGTGCCAACTGTGAGGCTAGCCCCTCTAACACGCACAACAAGACACACCCCTTGATCAAGTTCAAGACTCCGGTCCGCCACGTTAGTGTAACTACCACCGGCGAGCATGAGGATGGCCAGCGCCTCCCTACGATGGGTGACCGCGTCCCCCAGGTCTATCAGACCCGCTCAACAAGCACGGCCGTCTCAACCCATGAGAGTATCGCGGCCACACCAGTACAAACTGTAGTCGACGTGCAACCTACGGAGCAACAACCATCAGAACCCGAAAAGAAGGAAGATGAGGTAAAGACAGAAACTTCCGTAGATGCGGAGGTAGCAACCTTGGTTGAGAAGCAGCCGGAGCCGGAGCAAGAACCAGAGCCAAAGGCCGCTAACCTCGTCGCTATCTTCCTGCGTGACACCGTCGCTGACGGAACTGTTCTACCCCCGAACCACACCTTTGAACAAGAGTGGGTTCTCCGAAATGAGGGTTCAACTGCATGGCCAGCTGGCTGCTCAGTTAAATTTGTCGGCGGTGATTACATGGGAGCTGTTGATCCTACCCACCCTGCTGGTATTCACGAGTTAGTCTCGGCTTCCGAGTCAACGGTCTGTTACAATGCACTTAAGCCAGGCCAAGAATTCGCTTTTACTGTGTTGATGCGTACTCCCGACCGGGAAGGCAAGGTAATCTCATACTGGAGATTGACTACCCCTGAAGGAGACAAGTTTGGCCACAAGTTATGGTGCGACGTGAATGTTCAGGCCCCCGCTCCCAAGGCCGTTGCGGCGGATGTCCCGGCTCCCAATATGACCGAGAGCCAGATGATCATCCCCAAGTTGGAGCACGAGTCTCCATCTTCCAGCATGCATGAGATTGCTCAGTCTGAAGCTGAAGTAGAAACCGAGGTGGCCGAGACAGATAGCCTCACGCAATCTGCGCACGAGGAAGAGGAAGATGATTTTGAGGACTGCGGCGAGGATGAGGAATGGGCCGAATCGGACAGTGGGTTTATGACAGATGAGGAGTATGATATCCTCGACGCGTCCGATGAAGAATACCTATCGGAGCAGCGCAAGTCAGTATCTAAAAAGTAAAGTGCAGATAAAAGTGAAGCTGCGAGATAACCTGAGTCTGTCTTGGCCCTAGGAGTCCCAGGAGTCCTAGGAATCGGCATAGCAGGACAAGTTCGGGAACGGCTTGATGGATAGCAGGGGCGTTATTTTAGTGACAAATCGCTTTGCCTTTTACCTTCAATGGCGTCTCTTCGGAATGGAATTTACTCAACGGTGCCTTTATTTCATTTTTCTTTTCCGGCTACGGGGTTTTCATGACCTCTACGAAATACCACCCGCAACTCACTCATTAGTTAGAGAAATAGGAACAGATTGACATCCGTAGGGGCTGTAGGGTAATTTCTAGTAGCTTAATTTACACGATGTTTTTTTCTTACTAACATATGATATCGGCCGTATTTAAATATTTTAAATACATTGGTGTCGGTGGTGCTGGACCACTTGAGCGTTTAAAGGAGGAAGTGAATGCTTCCCCTTGGAAGGTACCTAAGCTACCTACCTAGGGTAGGTATGTACTGTAGGTATGTGCTGTAGCTAGGTGTCTTGATTACGACGACGTGAGTCGATTGACCCCACCTTCAGGTTATAGTAGCTGCATTTCTCTAAATTCAGCCGCGAAACACTAGAAGGGTCCCCCCACACGAGACCCGGATCCACTGATATTCAGGCCGTTTACAGGGGTTAGTTACAGGTGAGGATTAGCGCAAGAATTAGCTAAAATGTAGAATGTTACCAATGCTACCAATGTTACACAGATTCATTTTTTTGGTGCAAGTTGTCCTCTTAGAATGGCCTAATAGAGTGGATTAATAGCTGTCATTTTCGTTAACCTTAACTTTTTTACCAGTTACAACCTTTTTCTTCGACCAATTCGATTTTTCGATTTCGTTTTCGACTTCGACGTCTATTCGACCAATTCACCTCGAAAGGTCATTTTCGGAATTCGAATTAGAAAACCGATGCCGTTCTAGCGCTACCCCAGTCCAGACGTCTCGGCGAAGTGAAGCCTGCAGCGCGTTCGAGAAGTTCCGAATCGCACACGAGACCAACCTGGATAGAAAACACCGAGGTCCGCAGTCAAGATGAACGGTTATAACGAGAAAAGTCACTACGATGACGAGCCCGAACCTAGTAGTTTCGTAAAGGCTTTTGATGCTTTCCGTAAGTGCGCGCGCTTCACTATCTTATCCCTTGCTACTCTCAGTGAGAGAAGCTAGGGTCAAAAGTCCACAAGCTGACTGGTGATGTTCCTTCTACCTAGCGAAGTCGAAACCTCAATACGTAACGCGCACATCGGGCGGTGGAAAATGGACGGTCGTCATGTCGGTCGTATCCTTCATACTCCTATGGTCGGAACTTGCGCGGTGGTGGCGCGGCGAGGAAACGCATACGTTCGCGGTCGAGAAGGGTGTGGGACACAGTATGCAGATTAACCTGGATATTGTGGTTAAGATGAAGTGCAAGGATCTACACGTCAACGTACAAGACGCCGCCGGCGACCGCATTCTTGCTGCCTCGCGGTTGCAGGAAGATGCTACGAGTTGGGGCCAGTGGGTTGATGCGAAGGGTGTACATCGATTGGGTAGAGATAGCCAGGGACGTATACTTACAGGCGCTGGGTGGCACGAGGAAGGTTTTGGCGAGGAACACGTTCACGATATCATCGCGATGGGACGGAAGAAGGCGCGTTGGGGGAAGACGCCTAGGCTTTGGGGTGCTGAACCGGATAGTTGTCGTATTTATGGAAGCTTGGATTTGAATAAGGTCCAAGGTGATTTCCACATTACAGCGAGAGGACACGGATATGCGGAGATGGGGACGCATTTGGACCACGGTGGTTAGTATAATCCCCCTTTACCTCCCCTTCGGCGGTAGGTTTTGCAGAAGACTGATGCTAACTCAACCCATTGCAGCTTTCAACTTCTCGCACGTTATTTCGGAACTTTCGTTCGGACCGTACTACCCGTCTCTCGTGAACCCTCTCGACCGAACCATCAACTTCGCTGACGCCCACTTCTACAAATTCCAATATTTCATGTCGGTAGTACCCACGATATACAGTGTACAACGGGGATCATCATCAGCTTCAGCCGACCGCACCATCTTCACAAACCAGTACGCCGTAACAGAGCAAAGCAAAGAGGTTAACGAACGTTTTGTCCCTGGTCTGTTCTTCAAGTACGACATTGAGCCTATTATGCTACATGTCGAAGAACGCCGGGACGGGCTACTCTCTTTTGCTGTTAAGGTTGTGAATATCCTAAGTGGTGTCCTAGTCGCCTGCCATTGGGGCTTCACTATGAGTGAATGGCTTAGGGAGGTTATTGGTCGTCGTCGTAGGAAGCAGAGTGAGGGTGTTATTGGTGCGAAGGGTGATTATGACGAGTAAAAGAACGCCATCACGACTGTGTAGTGTGTACTACTAGCCCGGACGAGGATTGGAAGCCGGGTACTGGATGGGCGAAATCAAAAGTGGGCGACAACGATGGAATGGAAGACGATTGATCTGGTTTCGGCATCCTATCTGGGTACATCTTTTTGTAGAACCTTCACGGAGTTAAAGGAACAGGGGTAAAGGAGAGTTCGGTATATAGCGTCAACACGAAAACGCCTGCAATGATTGATTTCGACGAATTTGTGTCTCTTAACCTTTGAATATGTCTTCCCCTCCTTTACTATTCACATGTTAAGTTTAGGAGCGTTAGGTAGTATGGATTCAAGGCCCTTTATAAATGACATCCGGCCAGCAAGGTCCTCAGATGGAACATAACAAAAATATACGAGTTATTCATCGTGATATATCAAGTTTAGTATGTTGATAAATCAAAAGGTATATATTTATATAGATCAGATACGAACTAGATCGCAGATGTCACATAAACACCACTCTTCCAAATTTAAATATTTCCGTTCCAATTCCCATTCCGACTCCTAGAAAAATGTAACCCCTTAAACCCCCTATTTAATGCGTCGTATCCATATTTGAAACGAACGAACCTCTAGAAGAGGTGATTTGTAGCCTTGGACCTTCAAGTTGGTCTTTTGTCAATGCTGTATAATCTATATAAGCAACAACTCCCTGGTAACCAGAGACGGTTTTCAACACACCCGCAATGCAGACTGTAAGACCTAGGCCAGTGAATTCATTCATCATTGCAATAACAGAGCATCCTCATCGAGCCGACCGAACAAGTTTTCGATCTCCTTCTCTACGACCTTCAACTCCTTCGCCAACTGGCCGGTAACCAGGGCGTATGCGTATAAAAGTGCATAGTCCGGTTCCTCCACGGCGACGTCGGTTGGTTTTGAAGTTTTGGGTTTGTTACTATCCTCCTCGGCATTTGGATCTGTACTTGCGTCTCCATTTGAGGTAGGAGTGGCGGGAGCTTTGCCAGTGTCTTCCGTGACGTGATGATTGCCACTGTACTCTTTCCTGAAACGAAAGATCTTACCGAGCAGCTTATCCCGAATGACCATAACACTCGGAATAGCGTCTGTAAGTGGGTATTCAAGCATCATACTTGAAGCGAGTACCTGAAACACGTGACAAATACGAGCGCATAGCTGCGCGCGCTCTTCAGCTGTGTAATATAGCAGCGCCTTCTCGCCAGCGCTTAGCCGGCCGTGCTTCTGCGTCACAAGACTCATAGCATGGAACGCATCAAGTGCGCGTTGCGTCGATGCCATGACGCGACCATACTCCTGGAAGGGGAACGGTCCACGGAGCTCGTATTCATTATTCGCGGACACACGGAGTGTCTGCAGTTGCGATGCGTATCTTTGCATCGCAGCTTGTTCGCCCATTTTCATATAACTAGTAGCGGCGGTATCGTTGCGAAGAAGAATGGCTAATGGACCTCGCTTCCAAATAAGACCCATCTGCAGGTACAAAACAGCCAGACCTTCCTTGAATTTCTGACGTGCAGGCATAGGCCAGATTAGTCGACAGATTATGAGACCCCAGACAATACCCACAGACACAGCAACGACTCTGTGGTAGGCAATAGAACCGATGATGGGATGAATACCGCCCTCGTCATCATCGTCGTCGTCGACTTCTTGCGTGAGCGAATACGCGTATAATGAAGACACGTTGTAGCTTAGCAATATGAAGCGACCAAATGGCGCATTACCGCGATCCACCATTATGTAGAACGCGCCAAACGAGACGAGCCATCCTAAAAAGGCGAGTGCGACGGCATTTCCATTAGAAATCCACCAGTTGACCAAGACAAAAGCAGCTCCCACAATAGTTCCTGTGAAACGAGACCATCCGGTGGTATTTGAGGCGCCTATCGTCATCGAACACACAATCATGAAAGACAGAAGACCCCATTCTCCACGCCAGTGTGTGTATATGGGCCGTGTTTGAGGAATGAAGGCGAACATAGCGTACAAAGTAGCACCAATGCCAACTTTGAGACCAAACCGGACTGCATCACGTTAGAAATTGTTTTAGACCCCCCCAAGGTTGCGGTAACAAAAATAAAAACTCACTGTCATTTCTTGCGAGAAACCTGAAAACCTTTAAAAGACTCCGAGAGCAAAATCGGACGAAATGATCCCATATACCTTCGCCTTGTGGTGCCTGGTCCCAACTGAAAATGCCACGCCGGTTCTTTATAGAATCAGGAATACCCTGAGGTAACTTGGACTGTCTTAGTCGACGAACAGGTTTGATTAGAGATAGTTGCTCCTCGATATCGTCTTTCTTCTTTTTCGACGGGAATTTGATGTGCCGCCAGAAGAGCAACCATTTCCAGGTCCTCTTATTTTGTTCTACAGTATCTCTTAAGTCGTCCAGCGTATCGAGATAAATCTGCATTTCATCCGCAAAACTAAGCAGACTAAATGTGAAATGTCCGCAAGCTGCTGCGACTTCTTCGAAGTCAGCTTGGACTGACTCGGACCTAGTTCTACCTAGCTCAATCGTCTTGTAAATTTCTTCCAGAGCAGCTCCCCTTGCCTGGTTGTATAAACTTATTGCATCCCCAAGACTCTGCTTGAACTGCTCATTAATATTGATCGGCGAGCCTGGAACACCAAACGGCGGTTCTTTAAGCATCTCAGCCATAGTGTGGACAAGAGATTTCATAGACGGGCCAAGACGAGCGATAAACAATTCGAATATATCCGAAGGCGTCCTCAGCGATGAACTAGACGGCGTAAACATGGCGAACGGGTTTTCCTGAGAAGCTTGTGAAGGTGGAGGGTTATCCTCCCGGTCGCTTCGTTCATCGGGAGCCTCATCGATAGGACCAAGAGTGCCAACCCTATTACTACCACTCTTAAGAGTCGCCGATAAAGCTCGACCGAACGTAGGAGAGAAAACATTCGTGGTAGGAGAAACGGCTGAATGGGAAGATGGAGGACCATTAGACACTTCTTTGAGAAGTTCAAATTGGGTATTAGCCGCACTTCTCAATCCACCAAGCGACTGGGCCAAATTCTCCATCGACTTTACTACTGCTTTGTCATGTCTGTAGACCCGCTCCTGTCCCAAGAAATAATATTCATATTTCGATTCTCGCGCGTTCTTGTTCATTTGGGTTAAATTCGAAGCGTATGTAGAGGAAGCTTTCGTAAAAGAGCTTGAGGTGAAATCTTCTTCGGCACCACTCAAGAATCCGCTCGCGATCATAGACAACATCTCACCGAGGGAAGTAGACGCATTCCGCATAGACTTTCGCAATGCTAGTCGCGCGGAAACTGGCCATATGAGCAGATTGACCAACATTGATATCGTCGTAGCCATCATTAGGATCTTGAGCGACATTATAATCTTCTGGTTCGTGAAGACACCGGTGTGAACTGAGTTTTCCTTTGTCACGATGGTGATGATACCAATGGATGCTATACTGGCACCAACGCTGACAAGAGGATTATTGAGCTTCTGTTTAACCCATCCGACAAAACCCAAACCGCCACCAATGAATATCAGGAGAACGAGAGCATATGAAAACTCAACCATGTCCAACACCGAGCCAAAGAGAACCGACGTCGCCATCGATAGCGTTCCGATGAGCATGGCGTAGCAAACGGCGATGATCGCGATAGCAACGGCCTCTATCTGCGAACCTGCCGACCGAGCAGGATGAAAATAGACGGATATTGTGGCCACAATATGTTTCCCGTCCATTGGCCCTAGCCAACTAGCAGCAGGGTGCCAAAATGTGCCCATGCTAGCTATTAGGTATGCGATGGAACACTTGATTGTGCCTCGACCTTTGGGCGAATTTACCCATGCCCATAACTTGTTCGCCGCCACCTGAGTATTAAGTAACATGTTCCATGCCTTCTCCTTCACCGAAGTACCCTCGCCGAGGGCGCGTATGTTGTCGTCATCGCCGGGACCGTCGAGGCTCGGGTATCGCAAGGTAAATTGTCGACGAGTTCGCTCGCCGGTGCCCGGAACGACCCAGGTGCCATTTCGTAGCTTCTGTCGAGGGCGACGCGGCATCACGTCAGTATGTAGGTAACCATCAAGGCCGCCGGGGAATGCATAGAATATGTCGGGAGTAGAGTCGTACACATACAAAGGTGAATGTTCTATAGAGGGACCCGCAAGACCCAGACAAAGAAAAGAGCAAGAAGAAAAGAAACAGACGAAAATTGAACACAATTCGCAAAAAGGGAATTTTAGGTAACTCACGGTCCTAACAGGTACCCTAGCCGGCCGTGGCAACCTTGAAGTCCCACCGGCTGCTGTGTTACTAGTCGTGCTATCGCTGGTCATAGCTCGATAGTCGATGCTGGTGGCCCTCTTCTGCTGTCTCTGTTTCCGACCCGCCCGGTGATCCTAGAACCCTTGCGACATGGTAAACAGGTAAACGAGATGAGTGGCCCAGTCCGTATGTACAATTACACCAGAGTGACTAAGTCTGAGGTAAGGGAGATATTATATCCAAGGGCAAAAAAAATGATTGTCAGCGTTGACTTGTAGGTACGAGTGGCCACGCGCTGGTAAAGTATTATGTACGAACGCGAAAATCTAAGTCAAGTCACCCGACGATGTTGGAGTTAGTTGATCAAGTGCGCATCTAGCCTGCTGAAGCGGTGGGGGTCCTACCAGGCAAGCTCCGCTAAGCAGACCACAATAAAACGGAAGGGAAAGTCAAATAAGGCGCTAAGTTAAATAATAAGCCAATAACAGCTCACTTCTTGACCAAATGCGTCATCCCACAGGGGAATAAACGGCAGGGGCTTCCCAATTCCTCTTCCTTTCGGGCATTTCCCGCCTACTAACTCCGACGTACCTAGGTACATTCTTTCATTCTTTAGGTACACCTACCGAATCGTAAACTTTGTAAATTCGGATTGGTCAGAGATTCAATACTACCTACTACACCAGCTACATACACCAAGAGTCACATTACGCGAATACTAAATACAACCCCTATTAAAGCTTCTAGAACTTATGCCCAAGGAGCCTAATCAACTGCTATACAATACTTTGCTTTTCGCTCTCGAATCTTGACCTATCGTCCTTATCCCTCGTGCAGATTATCTGGCAAACGACTGAAACCCCTCCATTTCCACGTGCTATCTACGAACTTATCTACCTAACTCGATACATATCCTTCCTATAGGAGAACGAATAACAAAAAGGGGAGAGAAGTTAGAGGAAGGGATATCATTCTAAATCGAAGAAAACAATGGCCAACCTCCCCTCCCAACACCCAACCCTATCACTACACCTATCCGACCGCGCCCTAACCCCCCTCATCACCTCGGCCCGTACCCGCCCACACCTTGAATCCCTAACCTCTTTATCCCACGGCGCTCTCAGCGCCCACGAATCCGCCCTACGTCTCGGCCTCGGCGCACCGCAGCGCGTCATGGTCGAGCACTCCGGTTCCGGACCGGTTCTACTACAATCATTTATGCGCGCCGGTCCCAGCTCCACAACCACCAACACCGCGACCGCCACAGCGAACCCATCCTCATCCTCTTCTACCGCAGCCGCCGTAGCCCCCAACGGCCAACCAACAAATCTAGAAGACAACGACGACGACGAACCTATATCCCCTCTCGAAGTAAGCGCCGTAGAACGGCGACTCCAACAACTCCAACTCCAAGGCAGCAGCAGCATAATCGACGAGCCCACCATAGCAGAAGAGGAAGAAGACGTCAACGCCCCACCCATGCTCATCGGCATCGTAGTCGCGCCCAACGCCGACGAAGCCCGAGACGCACGGCGCGCAGCCGCTAGGTTGGAGCGAGTAGGACGGGAGATACAGACACGATGGGCGGAAGCGCAAATAGCGCAAGATGGCTCGGGAAGTGGTACGGCTGTAGGCGATACCGGCGACTGAAAGAAGGGGAGATGTGGGAATCTCCAATATGAAATATACAAACGACGGGGAAACATATAATGGCCAAACTCCCCGGTCGCCCTGAAGAAGACCGGTTCCTTCAGAAGTCTACCACTTCGACTCGCCCAACAACAGCAGCCTAGGATAGTCTAGGGGAGTTTGGTGTCACAAAGAATTAGACCTAGTTGGAATACCAGCTATGCAAGAGGATACATATAGACAGTCCATTTAGAGCCACACTACGCGTCCGGACGAAATATACTTGGACGGAGGAATATCAACATCGGATGGATACGATACTATACTGGCTTCTATGAAACCGCATTAAATGCTAATAGCGTAAACTCGCCTAGATTATATGGGTGTTTCACTTTGGCACATCACAGAAGCAGATATATAAAGATTCATACACTAATAGTGTTTGCATTTAATTGGGAATATGTTTTAAAAATGTGCTTGATGCCAAATTTGTCTCGTGCTGTATCTTATCTCGGACTATTTTGGCCCGCACGTCTATAAATCCGAGAACACCATCTGATACATTGCGCCAGCTGATTTAATTATACCAAGACTCATCATCCGCCACACCAATTTTTTTGTTTAAATAAGCTGCTGGAACGCACGGTTGATAGGCGAACGGATGTTAGGGACACCCTTCCAGAATTCAACAGTTGCCACAGCCCTCTTCGAAACGCCCTCAGGAGTAAACTCGAATTTCTGTTATACTTATTAGTATGCATGTAACACAGCATTTTCAAACAAGGTGCTTAGAAGAAACTTGCCTTGTAGACGTCCTTGTAGGCACCGGAGGCACCAAATCTGTTGAGACCAAATTGCTCGTGGGTATATCTCTCCCAACCCATTGTGCTCATGACCTCAACAGACAACGACGGGATACCGTCGGGAAGAACGCTGAGTCTGTACTCCTTGGTTTGAGAGTCGAAGACCTCGAAGCAGGGTATCGAGACAATACGGGCCTTAAGGCCGTGCTTCTCTTGGAGGTACTTGGCGGCGTCAACGCAAATGCAGACTTCCGAACCAGTTGAGACAAGGGTGATATCGGCACCCTCAACCTCGTGTAAGACATATCCACCCTTGATCGCCTTCTCGATGGTTGAGCCCTCAAGCTGGGGCAGGTTTTGTCGCGATAAAGCGATGATGCTAGGAGTGTGCTTGGAGGTTAGGGCAACGTAGTAGGCGCTGCTAGTCTCGTTACCATCAGCCGGTCGCCAAACCATCATGTTGGGCAGAGCACGGAAGTGGGCGAGTGTTTCGATCGGCTGGTGTGTAGGACCATCCTCACCGAGACCGATGGAGTCGTGAGTGGCAACCCAGATCGTACGGACCTGGGATAGAGACGATAGACGGACGGCGCCAGCAGCGTACGAGACGAAGTTTAGAAAAGTACCTGAGTAGGGGATAAGGGTACCGTAAGCGGCGATACCGTTCATGATAGCGCCCATACCATGCTCACGGACACCGTATCGGATGTATCGACCGGCGTAGTCACCAAGACCAGTCGACGGGGGCTGGAAGTCGGTAGCACCCTTCCATCGAGTCAGGTTAGATCCTGTCAAATCAGCAGAACCACCGATAAGCTCGGGGACAATAGCCTCAACCTTAGAAAGGACGATCTCGGAGAGCTTTCGAGACGCAACAGCGGCGTCCTTGGGAGTGTAGACGGGGAGGCTCTTCTCCCAACCCTCAGGAAGCTTTCCTTCTAGCCGGCGAACAAGGTCATCGTGCTCAGCCTTGTACTTAGTAGCGTAGCTTGCGAAAAGCTTGTTCCACTCTGCCTCAAGGGCGGCACCCTCAGCAGCCTTCTTTCCATATTGGTCGTAGACATCTTGTGGGACGATGAAGCTCTGTTCGGGGTTGAAGCCAAATTTCTGCTTAACCTGCTTAATATCGTCGGCCTTTAGCGGAGAACCGTGTACTCCGTGAGTACCCTGCTGTAAAGAACCGAAACCAATGGTGGTCTTGAGCTTAATTAGCGAGGGTTTGTTCTTAACATCCTTGCACTTCTGTATGGCCTTCTCAATTCCCTCGAGGTCGTGGTCACCATCATCGACAATCTCGACGTGCCAGCCATAAGACTCGTATCGCTTAACGACGTCTTCGGTGAAAGCGCATGCAGTGTCACCGTCAATGGTGATCTGGTTGTCGTCCCAGACGGCAATGAGGTTACCTAATTGCAGGTGACCAGCCAAGGAGCTTGCCTCGCTAGAAACACCCTCCATCAAGCAACCATCACCTAAGAAGGCATAGGTGTAGTTGTCAACAAGGGGGAATCCATCCTTGTTGAATGTGGCGGCTGTTTGGGCTTGAGCAATAGCAAGACCAACAGCGTTGGAGATACCTTGTCCGAGAGGACCAGTGGTAACCTCAACACCGGGGGTGTCGTGGGCCTCGGGATGTCCGGGGGTGATGCTGTCGACTTTCTAGAGTAATTGTAAGCTTTAATAGTAATATAAGGAATTGAAGGGAGTAGGACTCACTCGGAAACCCTTGATGTCGTCTAAAGTTAGGGCGTATCCAAAAAGGTGGAGGAGGGCATATTGGAGCATGCATCCGTGTCCGTTACTAAATTATATCGTCGTTAGAATTGGGAGAGAATTAAATAAGGGACCAATTGGACTTACGAGAGAACGAATCGGTCACGGTTCAACCACTTGGGGTTCTTGGGGTTGAACTTCATGAACTTGTTGAATAAGACGTGAGCCACCGGTGCCATACCCCTGTACAAATTGGTGTCAATAGTCTTTTCCCCATATATAATTACGACTTTTTCTATATGTAAATCATCTTGTTACTCACATAGGCGCGCCAGGGTGGCCCGAGTTGGAGGCGAATGTGGCATCGACCTAGAAAGTAAGCAATTGTTAGTAATGACTCCATATTGTTGAGGGGATTTCTCGTGATGCGGTCAAAAAAAGTAGGGGGGCCGTTTGAGCTACAATGAGCTCACGATGGAGGGATGGAGGGGCAGAGCGGGGGCGGGGTTAAGTGAAAGGAGTCGTCATCCATACCGCGAGAAGGCGGATCGTGTTAATGGCAAGCCAATCTTTGTCGGTATATCCCATGATTGCGGTTCTGTCAAAAGAATGCCTTGGGAAATAATCAGTAAAGAGAGTGGAATGGGAAATGAGAAAAAGTTGATTGAGGGGAGGAAGAGGATTGAAAAGAAGAAGTGGGAAGGTGGTTAAAATGTTTTGGTTGCTTCCATGCTGCACGCTGGAGGACCGGCAACGGGCCTCGATGGGTCTTACCTTCTTTAGTTTCTTAGTTTCTTAGTACGTATGTACGTGTGTATGTAAGTACCTTAGTTTTCTTAGTACTATACATGTAGGCGGTAGACTAAGGTTGGCGGAGGGGTTCTGACACGATAAGTGTATGGATCAAGCACGTCGCTTCCTTAAGTTCCTTGACTTTCTTGAGGCAACTTAAGATGATCAAGTGGGGTGACAATTGTAACCAATGGCGTGGAGCTGAATAAGGACCAGGAAGGACCAGGGACCCATTTACCAGGTGCCTTTCAGTACTAGAGCGGCATTATTTCATCATCTCGTCCCTTATCAAAAACCCTCAATTCAAACTAAGCTTGGCGCAGCTCCAGTTATTTCTTCCCCCAAAACACTCAACATGTATTTTCTCTACAGCTACGGGATACCTATTACAGGCACGCCTCTTCCTATTAAAAATCTCTTCTCAAACAAATTTGCCACTGTCGTTTGCCTTGAAGTATCGTGACACGACAGCCTATCCGACACTTACATCACCATTTTCACATACTAACATTCAATGCCCCCATTCAACGCTTTGCCCTTAATACTTAGGTAGGATTAAGAAGACATGCATCGTAAAGTCATACACATGTATATAAAAACACCTATTGTATACCACTGTACATTATAGTGTTTCAATTTTTCACCTACATGTGACGTGCCTATTCTTACTACGCAAGCAAAACAGGCAGTCTATCCGAACTCGTCTAGTCAGGATATAGCAAATTCATCTTACTCAACAATAACGATGCTCTGATTTTCGTTTTGCCCATCCTGCAGCCCTGCGAAACACATTCGTCAAAGCTGATTTGCCTGATAGGTCCGGAAAAAGACGCAATAGTGTTGGTATGCTAATATTAGGGCCAGTGCCTGGACCTCCAGCTGGTGTAACTACCCAGGAGATTGGCACTATAGTCGCTATTGTATATGGGGACCTTCTAAGTCTATTAAATTGACATGGTTATCCATCTCTAGTTTGATTTACCTTCCCCATGCCGTATTACACCAGTGGGGGGTGCCCATGGGTATCTTTCCATGTAATACGATAGTATAGGAGCCTCGTTATACACCTCGCTCCGTATCGGACCTCTCACCTATATACCTAGGTACCTGCCTACATAATCGTATGTCAGCGTTTCTCAATGAAAGCTCCTCGGCCAGCTGTCTCGGTGTTAAGCAGTGTGGTACAGGATTAACCGGAACATTGCGCCATATCGGGTCACGAACATACTTGGCCAGCCTATCGAACAACGTGAGCGAGTGGAGGAACTTCATTCGTCTACCAATGGCCAAAGTAAGCGGCAGGTCGGAACCAAGTGGCTGTCCTTATGTCAATTTGTTTCGCTGCTGGTGATGCAGCCATTTACTTCATAGGGAACTTATCTGAAGCATCGTGCCGTGTCGCTCACTCATCTTCATGTAAGTACCCGGTTCCTCCGGATGAGGACCGGCACTCATTCGGAAAATCTTCTACCGATTCAATTCATTATATGTCTCATACATAACGCATCAATATTCTTCCCGCTTATCGAGTAAGTCAATTATGATTTCCTCGGTTAAGAGAGCCTTTGATGTTTCACCAACTGCCAACAAGGTGCCTGGGAAATGGGAGAGAAAAAAAGGATTTTTTCCACTGATAAAGAGCTGTTCTGTTTACAGAGTGTAAAAACATCTAATTCGTAGAATCATCATAAAATATTCACCAAGCTTGTTAATAACATATGATATCATTTTATAGGGCTTAAAAAAGAGAAGGAAGAAGAAAAACAAGACAAGAAGAAAGAAGAAAAGAAGGATATAAATACCTAAGTATAAATATTATAAAGTGAAAGTACAAGTCTCAATAAAATGCAACTCGAATCGACAGTAGTATGGAATCAAATTTTAGTCTTCTATTAAAACGATGAAAATTATATATATATTATGTTCGCGATCGTCATTCTATTCATGGAAAATATGTGAAATTAAATGGGAATGAAATACTAGCAAATGGTAGAGTTTCCTGTAGGCGGAATATAATACTGATTTGTTCCAGTAAGGTAGGTATTCTAGGTCACTCAAAAAATTTCTGTAGCGTAAAAACCACGTAAAACTAATTCAATTCAGAAAACTAAATCAAGGTTTAAACAATATATAAATTAAATAAAATTGAATTATATCTACCTATGTACCTAACGTAACTTCAAATCTTTAAAGAGGCCTCAACCAATCAATCAACTCTAGCAAAAAGGATCATGGCAAAGAAAACCTCAAGTTCCAAGTCCTCTAAACTGCCACCTCGTACCTCAAAATTAGCAGCAGCAACAGCAGAGGAGGCAATGCCAACTGAGCAACCAGCGCTGGAAGAGCAAACCTCAATAGAAGAAACCAAAGCCCAGCAAAGGCTCTTAAACATCTTCGGCGACACATTCAAAGATGTTCTCGGCGCTGACGACTTCAACACCGTCCTTCAAAGAGTGAAACAGGCATTATTCAACCGAGACTTTGAAGCAGCATTCGGCAGTGAACAATTCCTCGAAGTATACGCAGCACGGTGGAGTCCAGCCCGTGCGCTTTGCTATAGCAGAGTATTTAACCAAATCACCGGCGATCTGGAGCCGCTTTTGCTCACCGCTGCTGCCGGTGATACGGGGGATGCGTATAATGACGAAGCTGAGCGGGGACGAGCTTCACCGACTGTAGATGCGGGTGAAGAGGAGTGGGAGGAATCGACAAAAAAGCATGCTACCACCGATAATACTCTAAAAGTGTTTGCGATTGGAGGGGGCGCCGCTGAGATCGTAGCTTTTGGCGAGTATCTTCGTGGTGCTACGTCTAATGTTGCCGGAGATATTACACTTTTGGATGTCGGTCCGTGGGGTGAAGTCGTAGAAAAACTACACACAGGCCTCACAACTCCGCCCGTACTATCTAAATATGCGAGTGCTGCGGCCAAGGCAGCTAATGCTGCTCTGGTTGAGCCAGCGACACGTTTACGATCAACATTCATGCAGCAAGACATTCTACAGCTCGATAGCGATAGTTTATCGAATTTTCTAGGAAAGACGCCCGTGATTATCACCATGCTGTTCACGCTCAACGAACTATACACATCCGGCGGTATCAAGCTGACAACAGCTTTCCTACGAAATCTAAGCGTTGCCATTCCGACCAGCTCTCTACTTCTAGTAGTCGACAGTCCAGGCAGCTACTCAGAGGCTGCCGTCGGCAAGGAAGCCAAGAAATATCCTATGCAATGGCTACTCGACCACACGCTACTCCAAACTGATAAATTGCCATCCGAAGGCTGCACATGGGAGAAATTGAAATCACACGACTCGATCTGGTTCCGCCTTGGTGAAGGACTACGGTATCCTATTGCTCTACAGGATATGCGTTATCAAATGCACCTCTACTGCGCCAACCCCCGGCCTTCCGATTGAAGCATCCAACCGCCGGACTACTGAATTTTATATATTATATACACCTGACCAACAAGCAACACTCAGTCCGCCTACGCCCAAACCAGCTTCTTTATGCTATGACCCCACTGCTCAAGAATCCCCGTGCTCCTCTTCGCCTCAGCGAGAGAAATGATATCGCCTCTTTCGATAAGGCTCTTTTTCTGTTCCGAGTCTTCCGGAACGGTTTGATTGAGCTGAACTAAACGCTCGATTTCTGTGGCGATGACGTTGATCTGCTCGTTCTCTGTCATTCTTTTCACGTCTTTCGCGTCCGATACAGCTGTTCTGGAATGCAGTGCTTTAAGAGCAATCTTCTGCGGCGGCTGCGATTGCGCCTTTCCCGTAATAGCGTTGAGAATGCCTTGATTTAAGATGCCTGATACGGCGGCGGGGGCTGCTGCTGGGCCTTTGAACACATCTTTCTTTCCCGATGTTTGATCAGATCCCGACGTGCTGGAAAGTGATCGTGTGTTGGTTCTCTTTATATCGAACTTGCCGGGTTCGTAGGTCACTACGATCCCGACATTTCGCGACTCATCGGTCTCTGTAGAGGATATGGCCGAGGTGATATAGGTGCCAACTTTGATCCCGACGATATGGGCCAAATCCACCCTCTCAAAAGAAGATACTTTGTCAAGCTTCCAATCGAAGCGGCACAAATAAAGAGCCGCATCGGTTAAAAGAAGTACTACTTCTTCAAACGGCAAGGTCTTGATAGTATCAGATGCATGAGGGCTCAATAGCGTCCACCCGCCAATGAAGTCCTCTTTGTCATCTTCTATGGCAATCTTCTGGGATGTCTCAATAGCCTGTTCCCTCATTTTTGACATTGAAACGCCAGGGTCCTTGCTCATCATTGTTGCCTCGAACTCATCGAAAACCATGGAAGAGACGTTACCTAGGAAAAAGTCGATAGCGGCTTGAGAGAAGTAGTCGTTCACCATCCTAAAAACGTATTATAAGCAATTGGATATCATTTTGATGCTCGTGGCTTCTTACCCATTATAAAAACGTGTTAAAGACAAACCGAGATCATTCACCATTCCGCGATAATCTCGTTTCTTCGTTCGAGTATAATCACCTTTCATTGCAGCGGTAGAGGCATCTGGTATATTACGGTTTAGCGAACTTGATGATCATAAGGAGAATGGGAACTCGACTGACATTGTTTGGATATGGCGTCTCCATTATCGGCCCAGAGGGCATTGAACCATGAGTTTTCCTGGTCAAGTTGGGCCGACATATCGAAGCCTTCTTCCTTCAGCTGCTGATCGAGCATGAACTTGCCAAAGGAACTTTGGCAAACATTGGTTCGATCCAGGCAGTCCATGCAATTTGTTCTTAGCACTCCATCTTGCTTTCGTTCTACTAGTCCTTTTCTTTCCACGGTACTACCAGTCGCTTCGATCTTCCTGCCTAGGGTATCCAGAAGCAAGCTCACATTCTCGAATTTCATACCGCGACATGCAGAGTGAAAATCGAACCATTCGAAAGCAAGTGGTTGCAAATCATCTGCCTTCTCTTCATTATACCTCTTTGCAGCTTTCTCATACTCATTACCAACTATGGATTCAACACCATGTTTTTCAACCAAGTTTACCAATTGCAAAGATCCATATGTTTTACTCATTAATTCAAAATGTTTTTTGAACGCCCGGAAGTTTGCATCTGGGGAATGTTGTAGTACTGGAATCGGCTTAAGGGAATATGGTGATTGAGTGAAGAAAAGTGGTATACTGCCTCGGACCTGGACGAATGAGTATATTCTAGATAACGGTTCCCGGGAGGAGGTTGAGAGTATCTGCTCTGTCTCGACGAAATTCGCAGCGTGTCCATTGTCATCTATGCCGCGTCTCAGATATCGCAACCCGGCTCTTCTAGTTGATCTCCGAGAAATCACGGTTATGGCGTATTTCTTTTCTGACGATCTTAAATCAACTGATTTTCTCTCAGCTGAAGGGAATTCAATATCGGTCTCTAAAGTTGGTGTCATATCGTTCATCTCCATAGAATCTTCTTGAGAGTCAACTTGTGGCGGATGCCGATCCACAACGAATGTCCTTTGGCCCACGAAACCTTGCATTAAGGGTAATAATAATGATTCATCGCCATATCCTTGGAATGGCTTCAACAGATTCCGATTCCAGAAAAACGTGGGGTCTGCTTGTTCGTGTAATGAAGGGTTCCCTGCTGTTGCCGTGGCGGACTGGCTAGCAGTGTTTCTCGTAATATCTAAGTCATAAGAGAAGAAAAAGCTCCTGGACGTTCCGAGCCAAATATGCGCAAATCGTAGTAGCTTGGGCATAAGACTCTCACCAGCCGAAGGCGTCGGTGGTGGGTCAACCCTCTCTCGTTTTACCGCGTCACTCAACTCCTTGTCTGGGTTTCCGTTTTTCGCCTTATTCGTGGATTCGCCCGTTTGATCACTTGTAACACTACTCATACCTAAATTTCGCTTCTGGTCCATCATCCAGCCTTTGCGACTGAACCATCGTTGTGCGAATCGTCCATAGCTCCCACGGCGTTTAATAACATCTTCTGCTATACTACTTCTTTCACCATTTGCGCCTGATGCACCTTTATGAACGGAACTCTCTCGATCGCTTAACGCGCCGGGGTCTTCCGCGTCATCGCCGCCGGTTAGCGAGGGTGCCTCGACTTCGCTTTCAGAATCGCTGTCGTCAACGTATTTATCGGCCGACGCGCGTCGAAGTTTAGTCGCGGTACTTGCGACAGCGGACTCAGCTTCGTTTTGGCTCGTGCATGGCGTAAGCGCTACATCGGTAACTACGTAAACAGGAAATCCGCGAATCTGCGCGACTTGCTGGCGGCCGGTAATAGTAATTAGATAGGTTAAGCGGGATACTGTAAACAGTCCTGCGAAATAAGGTCAGAGATCAATCTACGATCTAACTACAATTATGGATCGCTTTAGAGAAGACGAACCTACTATCCCAAAAGCCTCGAAGGATGAGTTAGGCTTAGAGGTATCTGGAAATTGGTCGCGTGGGAGCGAGGAAACTGTAGCATCTCCGTACTGAATTTGAACTGGCGGAGGTGTTCGCTGGCCCTTTGTCGCAAGAGGTTGGATAATGAGGCCGTCAACGGCAGCACATATAAGGAGCTTTCGCGCTAAACTAGGCATCCTCAGTGCTAAAGCGCTCAATCATGATATTCCTGTGTAAATTTTACGATTGTAATATGACGAATTGAGGAATAATAAAAATAAATAAATTATTCTCACGGGTCATTCATAGGCTGAGATTGGATCGGATATGATCATGTCCCAGGGGTCCCTATAATATAAATTTAATGATGTCTTACAAGATTGGAGGTTTGGTGGGGTTTGCTGATGCCGTCACACGGTGGGGCTGCATTTTCTAGGGCTAGCTGATTCCAGCCTCCCAGGTGCAAGAGTAGGCACATCCGATAGGCCTGAAGATACAGGAAGCTATACCCCTACAGAAACTGTATGTAGAGGGTAACACCTACCCATGCAAATAGAGAAACAATAGGTACATGTGTACCCAATAAATCCAGGCACATGTTTTTAGATATATCTTGCTTGGATGGTTGATGACCTATCGCAATCCTCAATAATGAAGCACGCGACATAGTGAGAAAAAGTATTGAATTGCGAACCGAGCATCTTCTTGAAATTCGGATTATATTTTCTGTATCTGCCGTACTTCTTATCGCATCTGGGCCACCTGCCAATATAATTCAGCCCATCTGGTACGTCTTCCTATACAACGCCCTGAATTCCTGTTTTCCTAACTCTGGGGTATCTTAAATCATGAGGCGTTCAATCTTATCCTTAAGGCTGCGGATTTGGCCCGAAAGATCGCTGGCCTCGTTCGTCGTGATCGATGCGGCGATGACAGCGCGGGAGACACCGCAGGCTCTGCCGAGTGCGATCTATTCACTTCCATCAGTATACCCATTTTGCAGCGAGTTCGAATAGCCTTTGCTTGACATACCTTGCTAGGGACGTAGCAGTAAATCACATTCTTGTCTTCGCAAAGTAGCGGTAGGTGCAAGACCACCGCGAGGGGGACAGTATCAGCAGCGAGTACGACGATCTCGGCGACACCTCTGTTTAGAGTCTTGGTTACCTCGTTGGCTCCCTTCTTAAGCTGGCGAGCATCTGCGCAGAATACCATTAGCGCATTTAACACCATCGGAAATAACAGAATAGTACTTACGACCAGCTTGTTGAACGAGGTCGAGGATTTCTTGCGTGAGAGCCGAATCGGCTACGGGCCAAGCTACAATGAAGTCAGTACAAGACAGAAGCAGAGGGAGTTAGTACGATCTAAACCTACCTGCACCCTGGTCCTGATTGGCAGACATTGCGACTTATGCAGGGTTCCTTGCGTTGGCTCGCCCTGTAAAGAAACGTGCAGAGTGGTGGGTTGGTAAATAGCAAGAAGATCGCAGTGGAAGATATCGAAATAAAAAAAAATTATTTGAGAGAGAGTACGAAATACCTGCACTAAAAGTTTCGGCACCTGCAATTGGACCCGAGCAAGGTTTCTGCGCCAAGAACTCTAGCGTTCCGGTGTGACGTTGCTCCGGTTCCGCTGACATAATCAGGCTAGGAGGTTGCAGGTGACTCGGAGCTGCAAAATCAATCCAACCCTTTTTGCCCCAATCAAAGAGCAAACCTGGAACAAGGCAAAGCAACACCTCTCACTCTTCCCCCGTAAACTACTACAACTTTTCTAAGCTCATCATCAAATCCCCAATTCATTGTACCACTTTTCTTCTGTTCGCTTTGAAAGTCTATCATTCTCTCCAGTTTCTCTAATTCCATTTCTTAATTCCTTTCCGAAAAGCTCTTCTTTTCCACCGTCACCATGTCCGGTTACTCTGAAGCTTGGTACGTAATGCTTGAATGCCTCCTTTGATTACTCGTTGCTATCATCAATTCGATGAAGCTTCAACAACCATCTCGCATTTGCTCTCTGAGCTTTAAATCATACATGATAACATGCTAACGTATTTCTTTCTAGCCCGGTCTACGCGGTTAGTTTTACTCCTTCCTATCGCCCTTCGCAACCAAGCGCGACATAGCTATCTTCGGGGACTCGAAATAAAAATCAACGCGTAATATTTCATCTAGCTAACTATGAATAGCCCTTCTTCGGCGCCATGGGTTGCACAGCGGCCATCGTCTTCACCTGTTTAGGTGCTTCCTACGGAACCGCCAAGTCCGGTGTTGGTATTGCGGCTATGGGTGTCTTAAGACCTGACCTCATCGTGAAGAGTACGCGCCATTACCTGTACTATCGACTTATCCCCGAAAATAATGCTAACTTATCTAGACATCGTCCCCGTCATTATGGCTGGTATCATTGGTATCTATGGTCTCGTCGTTTCCGTCCTGATTTCCGATGGCTTGACTCAACAGCTTCCTCTCTACACTGGTTTCATTCAACTGGGTGCGGGTCTGTCTGTGGGTCTTGCTGGTATGGCTGCTGGTTTCGCTATTGGTATCGTCGGTGACGCAGGTGTACGAGGAACCGCTCAACAACCCAGACTTTTCGTCGGTATGATTCTTATCCTCATTTTCGCCGAAGTCTTGGGTCTGTACGGTCTCATCGTCGCTCTTCTCATGAACTCGAAGGCCAGCGTCGACGTTAGCTGCTAGGACAACTAAACCCACTAGCACACCGCGATCAACCTATATCCGACTTGATAGCTCGTACAAGTGCGAAAAGGTTCGGCAAGTTGTACTTTAACCAGTACCTTTTCGCCTTGTTGAGCTATTCTCTATCAAGAGAATACTACATATAACTTATGTTATGTTAAATACTAGCCTAACAGCCGAAGACAAGCACGCAGAAGGCTGCTAGACTATTAGGGGGTGATGTGTTAAGAATGGAGGAATGGGGCACATGGTGACGACTGAGCAAGGAATCGCATCTGTATTACTGTTGCTGCATATGTACGGTCCAGGACGACTTCTCATCATAGATTAATGGATGAGAGATTTTGTACTCTAGGGGTTGGTAATCGGTTCTCATGGAAGTGTGATTTCAAATTAGAAAATTTCTACATCTCCAAACAATGTGATGAGGTCATGGCGTATGATTCGCTAGTCAGTGCCGTTATTAGCCTTATGTGGTTTTCAGTGCCCAGACAGCACATTTGGGGGTACCTAGGTTTTGATGCACTTCCATTCCACAGGTCTCATAGTCCTAGGCACTGTACAATTCACCCCTTGTATCAAAAGTATTAGAGTGAGGCCTCAGTATAGCTGTCAAGCTTAGACGTTTCAATGGTGTGCTTTCTTATTTAGGGGAAACGGAGCCGAAGGTACCCATACATAACCTTGGCTTAATATAGATATGTCTGTGCTACTATTATGTTTACTTACTTTCATTATTTCACCTTCATAATATAATTAAAATGTTTCTAATGTGATCGACGTTTAATTCAAGGAACTAAATATTTTATCATTGATTTCATATATAACTTAGCCTCCTTACGGCTCTATTATAATCAGTTATATATTACCTACTTGTTTCTAAGTCCTAGATATTCGTAAGCAGAGCTGAGAATGGTGATACTTCCAAAGATAGATAAAATTAAGGTAGCCCGTATACGTATACGCAAGAGGCGTTCTCAACACTCAGCTTGACGCTCCGCCCCCGCCGCTGGGCTTATTCCGACTCGTCCGAGGGATTCCCATTATGGCGACGAACCGAGATGGCCCCAGCCTTATAAGTAGGTTATCGCGAATGAAGTCGATGGCAATCCGACGAGCCCCGTATTTCCCCGCATATGCATGCCTCGTCTACCGGCAACTTCAGATTCACCTGCCAGATACAGATAGTTCGGCGGCTTAGCAGAACATTTATGACCTCACTTTGTTGAGAAACGGTGTAGTATTGTTCTTTCTTTCTTTGATATATATAAGTGGAGGAAACCTGCGAGAGAGGAGGGGACGAGAGTGCGGTAAATTGGAGTAAAATGAGATCTCTAGTTGTTCTGCTGGCATCTGCCATTGGGGCCCTTGCGGCATCCATTGAAGATTGTCCTGGGTATACGGCTTCTAATGTCGTCGAGGGAAGTGGTACGCTCATGGCGGATTTGTCGCTAGCGGGTGATGCATGCGACGTTTATGGCACAGATTTACCCAATCTAAAATTGCTGGTTGAATATCAAACCGGTATGTTATTAACCCCTAAGATAATAACCGACTTACAAATACTGAACCGCGTGTAGAAACTCGGCTGCATGTGAAGATATATGATGCTGGTCTTGATGTGTACCAGGTCCAGGAGCAAATCTTACCGAGGCCAAGCAGCCAAAACGTATCTTCGTCAGATGCTGCCCTGCAGTTCTCGCTAGTCGAAAACCCTTTCTCATTCTCCATTTCACGATCTAATTCTGGGGAGGTTTTGTTCAACACTACCGGTAGTCAGCTGGTTTTCGAGTCTCAATATGTCTATCTCAGAACTCAGCTACCCAAGAATCCCAACATCTATGGGTTAGGAGAACATTCGGACTCATTTCGACTTCCGACTTCGAATTACCAGCGTGTCCTGTGGAATGCAGAATCGCCATTTATCCCGAGGGATTCGAACCTTTATGGAAGTCATCCTGTGTACCTTGACCATCGGGGAGAAGCGGGGTCTCATGGTGTATTTCTCTTAAATTCTAATGGGATGAATATCAATCTCAACCATACCGACTCTGGTGACCAGTCTTTGGAGTATAATACGATTGGTGGCGTACTAGATTTCTATTTCCTTGCTGGACCTAGTCCTTCCGACGTCAGTCGACAATATGCGGAAGTTGTCGGCTTACCTGCTATGATGTCTTACTGGACATTCGGGTTCCACCAGTGTAAATACGGATACTGGGACGTCAATTACGCAGCTGAAGTAGTTAGCAACTACTCAGCAGCGAATATACCCCTTGAGACGCTATGGGGTGATATAGACTATATGGACCTGCGACAGGACTTCACAACGGACCCGGAACGGTTCCCGTTACACAAGATGCGGGAGCTGGTCGAAACCCTACACCAGAGAGCTCAGCATTATATCATGATGCTCGATCCTGGTATTCATAGGCTTGCAAACTATTCGACGTTCACTAGGGGCGAAGAGAAAAGTGCCTTCCTCAAGGCCGACGATGGGTCCGATTATCGTGGGGTACAGTGGGCAGGTGAAGTGGTCTGGCCAGATTGGATCGCATCGAATACTCAAGATTGGTGGACGGATGAGATTTCGCTCTTTTTCGACCCCGAGACGGGCATTGATATCGACGGGGCCTGGAATGACATGAACGAAGCGTCCAATTTCTGTCCCAATATCGATTGCGATCCAGCCCAGCAGGCAAAAGACGGCAACAATCCTCCCCAGCCGGCTAACCCTCCCCGTAACAATACGGGTAGGCCGATTCCTGGATTCCCAGACGATTTCCAACCGCAATCATCTGCCGAGCTCAGCTCCAGACAAACAGACAGTGGACAGATGAAAGGTCTTCCAGGGCGCGATCTCTTCACACCAAAGTATCGCATTAATAATCACAGGGGCGAATTAAGTGATGCTACGCTATACACCAACATCACGAACTCTGACGGAACCTCGCAATACGACACGCACAACTTATACGGCCTCACTATGATAACCGCAACACGCGCTTCTCTTCTCGCCCGGCGGCCTGACAGACGTCCCTTCGTGCTAACGCGCTCGACATTTGCCGGGGCCGGAGCTCGCGCCGCACACTGGTTCGGCGACAACAACTCTACGTGGTCCGACTATCGGGTGTCTATTCCGCAGCTACTAGGTTTCGCCTCTGTGCACCAGGTCCCGATGGTCGGTTCGGACGTATGCGGGTTCAACGGTGTAGCGGATGAGAAGATGTGTGCGCGGTGGGCGCTACTCGGCGCGTTCATGCCGTTCTATAGGAACCATGCGGGGGACACGGCGCCGCCACAGGAGTTTGTATGTTACTTTCACTCTACCTTATCCTTACCCCTTTCTTTGAAATGGCTGATAATTGACCTGATGTGAATTGGTGTAGTACCAGTGGGACCTCGTCGCAACGGCGGCGCGCAAGGCCATCGATGCCCGCTACCGATTGCTGGATTACGTGTACACGGCCATGTATCGCGCCGCAACGACTGGGGCGCCGATCGTGAATCCACAGTTCTTTTTATATCCGACTGACGCGAATACGTTTGGTATCGACACGCAATTCTTCTATGGTGACGCACTTCTCGTGTCTCCTGTTGTCGATGATTATGCTGAGGCTGTTACTTATTACCTACCAAATGACATTTTCTATGATTTCTGGACGTTGGAACAAGTCAGAGGTAAAGGGGGAAATGTGACCGCCAGTAATGTGACTTGGACTGATATCCCTGTTCATATTCGTGGCGGTACGATATTACCGTTGAGAGCTGAGTCGGCTAATACAACGACGCTACTACGACAGAAGGACTTCCAGGTCATTGTGGCGCCTGGCGTGGATGGTAAAGCGACTGGGTCGTTATATTTGGACGATGGTGATAGCTTGGATGTAGGTGATGAGAAGTCGGATATCAGTTTCTCATGGGATGGGACAACTTTCAAGGCCGATGGGACTTTTGAATATGCAACTGATGTCATGGTAGAGAAAGTGGTAATACTTGGTGATGAGCAGACGAGTCGGGAGGGACCGTGGAGTTTGAACGAGCCGTTTGAGTTCGCGTTGAATAAATGATAGTTAGAAGTTAGATTCTCGATGGCTATGACCTAGCTAAATACCCAGGTATTTTTTGGTCTTGAAGTGTTGAAATTTCACCATATAACCTCTAGCGAGACCCCCGGGTGCTTGTTCGGGTTTGCTTTTTTTTTTTTTTTTCCCTGGTGAAACTCATGATGCTAGTTGATATTTGCTTTTTGATCTGCCATTACTTTTAGCAACACCGAACATTGAAGGTTGCTTGTCTCTTAGCGTACAAATCTGGGGATAAATCTGGGAAGTAGGATGGGCCGTAGAAGATGGTAGGTAGGTAATTTAAAAGCTTCAGATATAGCAAGATTGTTCCTTCTAATACTTTGTCTTGAAGTAAGGTTTACTCAAGTCCCTAGGTCTTTCATCGAGGGCTTATCGCTGTCTTATCCGTTGCCCATTGTGCACGGACCTCTCATAGGACCCGCCAACGGGTTCTAGCCGCCCGCTGTGAAAAATCTTGGAAAGACCTTTCCACTTTACTTTTCCTTAGATCAACTCTGAAGATCGCTACGTACCACCCAACCTACATACAGTGTACTAGCCCACCCTAGCAGCCTAGAAGCCTGGCAGGTGCAAACTGTATTACCTAAGTACAGCATTCTCATCCCCGTCACCTCCACTGCAGCTTCAGAGCTTCAGAACGAAAACATTTGTTTCTGTCCCTCTATCATTTCCTAGTAAGTCCAGTCCCGACACCGGCGATATCTTTTCTTGTGCGACAGCAGAGCGAATATTATCTTTTATCCCGTACTACTTCTCTGCGCGTTGCGAGCTGTTTCTAGATCCTCTCGTATTGGATTTCCCACGAGACAGCAACCTATCCACAGCCGCAAGTCGCGGAGGGGTTAGTTTCCCCCTATATTCGCATTTTTCGCATCGAGCTTCTTCGTTTACCTAAAACTTCATCGAGCTACGCTAACACGCTGAACAAGACCTAGTCGCATTAATCCACCATGTCGGACACGAATCGCGACGAGCGCGACGTCACTGGGGAGGACCCCCTGGTCAACGAAGAGGGCAATGATGAGGTATGCCACTCCTTCCGACTCTATTACTGCGCGATATTATCGAAGCATCGAAGCATCGAAGCATGAAACGCGACAGGATGTCAACCGAATTATAAAGGCTAATATGAAATGTTAATGCCATTAGGAAGAAATTTCTGCCATGAAGAAACGCGTCGCAGAGATGGAGCAAGAGGCAGCGAAACTTAGGGAAATGCACGCTGCATTAGAGGAGAGGGGGCAAGAGGTCTCCGAGGATCGATCGGACGTTGACAGTCGAAGCATATTTGTTGGAAATGTTGACTACTCAGTTTCTCCCGAAGAGATACAAGCCCACTTTCAAAGCTGCGGATCGATCAATCGTGTCACTATCCTCCTCGATAAGTTTACAGGGCAACCTAAAGGGTAAGATTGAATCACGTTTATGAGCCTATCTTTGGTACAAACCACTCATTATTTAATGTACAGGTATGCCTACGTCGAGTTCACAGAGCCTAGCCTCGTCGCTCAGGCTTTAGTGCTGAATGATAGCATCCTTAAGGGACGTAACATTAAGGTCACGCCCAAGCGTACCAACATTCCGGGACTGAGCCGTGGCCGCGGCCGTGGGCGTGGAGGATTTGGTGGCCCAGGACGAGGCTACTACGGTGGCAGAGGTGGATTCGCGCCACGAGGAGGGTACCGTGGCGGCTATCGCGGACGAGCACGAGGCAATGGTTACAACCCCTACTGAGGGTAACCCGGCTCGTCCTCCTAGATTCCCGGCTTTAGCCTACGACCCCCTGTGAAGGGTTGTGGGATTGTATTAATGGATAAAATAATCATGGTTGATAGTTGGGGAACCGCGGCATATGACGTTGGTCTTTACAAGAGCAGGCAGTCGAATCGATCAGGCGTGTGACATGCATACAGGGCTTCATTACAATCACCGACTTCGCAAGAATGGCGCAGCGATTGCTAGGCGGCATGCTTCACTACTACTCTTTTCTTCTGCCACCGTATCCAAAACCAGGAGGGTTATTTTCAGGCGAGACTTACAGCCGTAGTAAGAGGACCGGCACAGGGAGTGATTTTGCGGACTCAATCTTCGTTGTTTACCCGCCAGATATGTTGCGATCCAGAGGCGTCAAGATAAGGCGGCGTTTATGGCAAGTCCAATCAAACCGATTGACGATGGCTAATGGACGTACAAAAACCAACTATGCGTATGACTTGCCTCTCCAGTTTTGGCACTTCGGCAATAGGGACGCATAGTAGAAAGTTGCTTACTTATGCTATTCGATGTATTTCATACGGAGGTGTGTCAATAGGGGGTAACAGGCCCAAATGATTCCCGCCCTAACCTTGAGGGCCCTATAATTGCTTGCAACGACAGATAAATTGATGTGTTCGACATCAAAATGACGACCTTGTTTTGTTTCGTTTTGGAATTTAAATGGGAGCAACCTATAGGAATACGCCCAAATTTCCGAACTTAACTTGACTCTACAGTACCATCTTTCGTTTGCTCGCCTTTACATCACTGAAATCTCCGTCATTGTCACATCATGTCAAATGAAAGGAGTTGTGATTTGTAATATTGTCCCCTCTGCCGTTTGCGCCTTTGAAATTGCATAAAATACTAAATACCTGCCGTACCGAGTAATGGTCGGGGATGACGGGTAACGGCACGGTCCAGGTCTTACCTGAGGTGGGAGGACCAATCAACGGAGTTTTCCATTGTTTCTCCTGAGCGCATTACGCTGTGGGTTGCGAGGCTCAGATGGCTGGGGTAGGTAGTGTCGTAGTACCGTACCTTAGCTTGTAGTGTACCTAGGTATGTCTGTTATGTGTGTTATGTTATATGGAGTGTAGTGGGAGGCCGCTGGACGGCGGAGCTTTTCATCAGCCTACCCGTCCCGTCCGCGCGTCATGGAGCTCGGATATTTCGTATACCTAGGACGAGGAAGTGGACTCTGAGCCTCAAGCAACTTTTATTAGCAATTATGAAATGGTTTCGAAGAGGAATGTTGTAAATTTGATACTGTAATTGGATTAAGTTATTACTTTGTTGCTTGCTTATTCACCATGATATAAGACATTAGATATAGGCACTAATGGTATAGGTAGAATACAGTAAGAAAGGAAATAGGTATCGCTCTCGTGACACATAGGGCGCAGTCTCTCGCCTTTTAATTGTCCAATACATAATCCTAGTCATCGGTTGTACCCATAAATTATACATGTATCTAGCCTGATACGTATGAGCTAAGGTAGGACGATTGAGAGAGAGTTTGGGAGCACTGAGCTAGGGGGTTGAATGTTGGTACATATCTAGGTACGTTCAATGTTCATGGGTATATCTGAGGATAGATGAGATAGGTACATACATACATACATACATATGTAGGTATAGGTGCCTCTATGCAGGCAAATTACATGCGGTAGGTATGGGGGTTTTAGGGGAAGTGCTACCTAGAGGTGTTGGCGGTATAAGGCGTTAGGAATGCTGTAACAGAAGTAACCAGTATCAGTAGTGTACCTATAATAGGTAGTAGTGGGCAAGTGCTGGTGGGTTGGTGTGTGAGGTTAGGTGCCTAGGTACCTGGACAGGTACAAACGGTGCATGCATTATCCTGTTTCTTAGTTCCCTGCACAGCCTCGAATACTAAATGCCACCGCCATTGGACCGGGTCAACTCAGCACCTGAGCGCGCTATGTCGTATTGTGTTTAATGTACCTCATAATGGACCACCACCGCCACTACCACTACTACTACCACTACCACTCTGTGCTCTGCCACTACCTAACGAGACATCTTTATTGTTGCTTGGTATTCGCTGCCACTTATCAAACCTGCCACCACTAAAACTTTCCCCCCCCCCATACTGTTTTATCGTCATCCTACTTTTACTGTTCCTGGAGAAAAAGAAGTAAACAATTATATACGAATAAGAAGGGGAAGAAAAGACAGACAAAAAAGAAAAAGAAGTATTATTTCCATCTATTAAGTTAAGTCTTATTGCATCTCTCTAATATTTAGACTTAATCCACTGCGGCCGTGGACGGTCGGACCCCTCCTTTGGACAGGACGCCCAGGCGGGAGAGAGAGAGAGCAAGAGACACACAGAGAGAGAGAAGAGGTCATGAAAGCGTGAGAGGCGTCAAAACCTCAATTTATTCTACACCGGTTCAGCAGCCACCCAGCATGACCGCCAATAGTCGATCTGAGCCGGGGCCGTCAGCGTGAGTTTTTATTTATATTTAATCTTAAAAAACAATTAAATTCCCACTTCTTTAAGTCGGTTCCAGAAAGTAAAAAGAAGAAGATGACGATAGAAAGAAGATTATGAGACCGAAAACTGATTTACCACTGACTTTATTCTCTCTACAGCCAACCAAACCTGCGAGTCACGAGTGCGTCCTCAAATCCCGATCCACCCTCATCGCTATCCATGATGAACTATCTGTATTGACATACTTATCATAGTCATCGCTGCCGACGGCCTGTATAAACGAGATGTCTTTCGTATGTTTGTCACACTGTCTAATCCCGACTCCTCCCCGTCTCGTCCCGTCGAGTTGATGGGCCCTCATGTGCATCATCGTCAACCCACCCACCTACCACCTACTAACAATGATCATCCAACGCAGGACTTCCCGACCCCTTCGCTGTAGCTACGATTAACGGTGAACAAACCAAAACTACGACTGTTTCGAAACGAACCCTTAATCCATATTGGAACGAAAGTTTCGACTTGTACGTGCCGGCCTACCATGTTTCCCCTCCATTATAATGTATCGTCGGTCTGTATGCTCATTTAATCCATCTAGTCGAGCCACCGAGGATAGTATTCTAGCGGTACAGGTATTCGACCAAAAGAAGTTCAAGAAGAAGGATCAGGGCTTTTTAGGCGTTATCAATATTCGCATCGGGGACGTTATTGAACTAGCAGACGGAGCTGATGGTATGGCTGATCCATTCTTCCCCTCCCCCTCTATAAGTGAATCATCTTTTCATCTCTTGTATTTACTAACATTCTATCCCTTCTTTCTAGATTCGATGCTTACGAGGGACCTAAAGAAGTCCACTGATAACCTTGTCGTACACGGAAAACTAATCGTCAATCTTTCTACAAACCTCTCTTCCCCCGCTCGTCCTCCGCAACAACCCCCGTCAGCAAGCTCTAGCCGACCCTCCTTGGCACCCCAGGCATCGACAGCTAGTACCGACCGTGCTTCAGAAAGGCCAACCTCGACTTCTTCGGCCTCGGCCAACGGTCTAACACCAGGAGCACAGATGTCTTTGCCTATTAGACCAAATGGGGTCAACCCAGCCGCTGTTAATGGAAATGGAACCGTCGCGCAACCCCGACAAGCGGCCCAGATGAGTCCTTTCGAAGATGCCCAAGGCCGACTACCCGCTGGATGGGAACGGCGCGAAGATAACTTGGGCAGAACTTATTATGTAGACCATAATACGCGGACTACAAGTTGGAACCGTCCGACCCATACCGGCCTTTCTGCAGAGAATCGTGGTGAGAGAGAAGCAGCCACTCAAGTCGAACGTCAAAGGCATCAAAACAGAACCCTTCCAGAAGATCGAACTGGCACAAACTCCCCAACGCTTCAGCAGCAACAGCAACAATCTGGCGGTTCTCCACACAGTCCCGGCCAGGGCACTTTGATGCATACTGGTGCTACTAGTCCAGGATCCGGTGAACTTCCGCCCCTGTGGGAACAGCGCTGGACGCCCGAAGGCCGACCCTACTTCGTAGATCACAATACCCGGACCACGACCTGGGTTGATCCTCGACGCCAGCAATACATTAGAATGTACGGTGGCCAGAATAATGCTAACGGGACGATACAACAGCAGCCAGTTTCTCAACTGGGTCCTCTACCTAGTGGCTGGGAAATGCGCTTAACTAACACAGCCCGCGTATACTTTGTGGACCACAATACAAAGACAACGACCTGGGACGACCCACGATTACCGTCCTCCCTGGACCAGAACGTTCCACAGTACAAGCGAGATTTCAGGAGAAAACTCATCTACTTCCGGTCTCAACCAGCTATGCGCATACTTTCAGGACAATGCCACATGAAAGTACGACGGTCTCACATCTTTGAAGATTCGTTCGCTGAAATATCGCGACAATCGGCGACGGATTTGAAGAAACGCCTCATGATAAAATTCGACGGCGAAGATGGTTTAGATTATGGTGGTCTCTCCCGAGAGTTCTTTTTCTTATTATCACACGAGATGTTTAACCCCTTTTATTGTCTTTTCGAGTATTCCGCCCACGATAATTATACCCTTCAAATCAACCCACACTCCGGCATCAACCCTGAACATTTGAATTACTTCAAATTCATCGGTCGTGTAGTCGGTCTAGCTATCTTCCACCGAAGATTTTTGGATGCCTTTTTCATCGGAGCTCTCTACAAGATGATTCTTGGCAAGTCTGTTGTACTGGCCGACATGGAGGGTGTTGACGCAGATTTCCACCGAAGTTTGCAGTGGATGCTCGACAACGATATTTCTGGAGGTATTCTTGAACAAACATTTTCTACCGAGGATGAGCGCTTCGGCGTTATTACCGTCGAGGACCTTATTCCCAATGGACGTAATATCGATGTCACCAACGAGAATAAGAAGGAGTACGTGGACCTTATGGTCAAATGGCGTATTGAGAAGCGTATCGCAGAGCAATTCCAAGCCTTCAAGGATGGATTCCACGAGCTTATCCCCCAGGATCTGATTAACGTTTTCGACGAACGTGAGTTGGAGCTCCTCATCGGTGGTATCGCTGATATCGACGTGGACGACTGGAAGAAGCACACCGACTACCGTGGCTACACAGAGAGCGATGAGGTTATCCAGTTCTTCTGGCAAACGGTGCGAAGCTGGGACGGAGAGCAAAAGAGCAGATTGCTACAGTTCACTACGGGTACCTCGCGAATTCCCGTTAACGGGTTCAAGGACCTTCAAGGTAGCGATGGTCCCAGAAGATTCACCATCGAAAAAGCGGGCGAGGTTGGTAATTTGCCGAAGGCTCATACTTGGTATGTACTCGACTAAAAAATGTTTCATTTTCTATCAAAGATGAGGTGCTAACGACTGTATAGTTTTAACCGTCTGGATCTGCCGCCATACAAATCGCTGGAGCAATTGCAGAATAAGTTAACGACGGCAGTTGAAGAAACAATGGGCTTCGGTCAGGAATAGAAGGCTAATTAGTTGTTTCTTCTATCTCGGCGCTGTTACTGTGTATATAGAACGATGAACGATGTCCTTTTTTTCCCTGTTGTGACAGCTCGATATATGGATGGGATTTTGCATTCTCCTTTTTATTTCCGTGCTTGGTTCCATCTACCCCCTTTTCTATTTCCGTGCCCGTTAAACTCGACCCAGGGCTATTATATGAAAGGGGATGTTACTAGGTGCCTTAATAGCGCATATCATGTTGTTGTTCTGTTTCGTTCGGGGTACCTGTGTATTTTATAGGTATTACTACTGGAAGATAACCAAACTTCAGTGAGGAGACACAAAGGAAACTCGGTCAAAGAGGGGAACGGGTTTTGTCATTCGCTTCTTTATTATATCAATCGCGCGTATGGAGGTAGTCAGGTAATACGCGTAACACGAACACAAATAATAACCGACCCAATGTATCGGAGTTTTGATTCTTGGTAATGAGTGATGTATCAAAGTATTGTAGGTTAATTTGAAGTTTTTCATACTCGTAATTGTACGCTGAATTAAACATGAGTGAAGCTCTGAGCCTGGGAATAGGGGCTAATCATCTCATCCAAACATTGTATAACACTACCCGCTTCAACAAATAGGTTAACCCAAGGTAAGCGACATAAATGCTATTCTCCTTATCTGGTTCCTTCTTTCTCATTTGGCTGTACCGCCCCTGAATAACGTGATTATGCACCTACGCACCTTTTACATTTCGCACGTAACGCAGTGAACAAACATGTATGGTCGAGAATACGGGTGTATTACACCTAATTCGACCAATAGTAAGGGTGGATCGAGCCGATCGGTTTGCATATATGTAGGTATCTTAGGCACCTAGGTTTTGTAGAAGGAGCTTGCAGAATACGACGTATCGCATTCGAATGTCATATTTTTCCTGATTTAATGATAGGCGGTGTCCTGTAGCTATCCAATTAGCTGCCTTTATGCACTTGGAATCCTACAATATGTAAAATATGTGCATATTTGGATATATGTATGCATTTTAATCTGTCATGTAGAAATATTAGTCGGTACTGCTCGGGCGTTCCCATCTCACCAATAAGATTGTGGTAGGGGACATCGGCATGTTCACGTCTTGGATCTTTAAACCAAGTTACGATGTAGTTATCAACTAGGAGCGCGATAGAATGACTAGAGACTACGGATTTCAAATTCATAAAAAACAACGCTATATATAATTTGACCGCAAAGGCTTTCCATTTTCAATGGTCTCTCTTTATACAATTGTATGACATTATAGATACAGAACGGCTGTCTGTCTACCAGCCTGTGCGTGCTGCGAGCTTCCTTAATCATCATCGCCATTGTAGCTTGCGCACTTAGGAGGGTATGTGTATCAAAAAACAAAATCATCAATGCCTCCTTACGCTGATGAGTTTTTCCCTCTAGCCTCTACCAACAATTTCAAATTGACCTGTCAACCTGACGCCGCCGTGCTTCCCTGTTGACGCTGACCGAAACAACCTCGTAACCTGATGGATGTGTTTCCCGCAAGTTTCTAAAATGACTAACTTCCGCGGTACACTTCGAGAAAAAAAAAAGAATTGAATAAAAGGCGAATGGAGCAATAAAGGTAGTATGGTAAGGGTTGTTGTTTAAAAGAAATCGGTATAATCCAAACTGAAAAGTTCATTCCGCATCCCCTCGTGGCCATCTGGCGCGTAGGTCTACGCGAAAGTAATTCCGCTATTAACTTCGGGGTTTATCTGCGGCCTCGCCTCTGGTTTTCGTTCCCACTGCCCTTAATAGGGCTTACAAAGGCGACATGCTTGCTATCATCTTTGCGTAGGCGCACTGTTGTCCCAGCTCCCGCACCTGTAGAGCCACGATGGTGTCGAATAGAACGCGCGCCACTGTGGTCATCCTCGATGTCGATTTCGTCGACATCCGAAATCGATTGTGCTCCGATACTATCGTTCACGTCTGACTCAACCTCAGAGTCGGCTTCGGAATCGTCGTACTCGCCATCGTCACTAACAAGCGAGGGTGCATTGTTGCTAACGGCTGTATGGGGACTCAAATCCACATCCAACATATCGTCATCTACAATCACCTCGTCGGGTTCGGGACCCGACATGACTCGAGGAGCAGGGGTTGGCACGGGGGTAACATACGGTACAAGAGGAGGGTGGCCTTTGCTGCTGGTGGGTCGGGTTGTAGCGAGGGCAGGCGACATTGTTGCCCTCGCGGGGACTCGCACAAGAGATGGTGCTTGGTATGACGCTGTGACTCTAGTGCCTTTGATACCTTTAACACTGGAATCAACCTCATCCGAAGACTCTTCCTCAGGAGAAAAGTATTGATCGAGGTCAACCTTGGCCTTTGCATCACTCACCAACTCCCCTAAATTGCCCTTAAATCCTTTGTTTTGAAGTAGGCTGGACAGGTGTGGAGACTCAGCAGAAGGTGAGAAACCTGATTGTTGTTTTGTCGTCGTCACTGATGGTGCTCTCTGAGAGCTTTCAGCGACACCAGGAATAGAAGAAATGCCGGGTAATTCACCGCGCCGATACATTTCTAACGATTCTGAGATACGACGCACAACAGAAAAGCAAGCCTCGGAATCCGACATAGCGTTTTCGCGTACGAATGGGTGAACTAGGCCAGACGGAGGGATGCTCTGGCTCACAGGTTTCTCTTCTCCTACAACACCTACTGGGTCGGTAACCTCGATAGGATGACCGCAGTGCACCGCCGCTTCTTCGTGGCTCTTGAAGTCTCTCTTATGCGCTATGCGACAGTGATTAATAAAGCCCTGCGTGCTCGAGAAATTCTCGCGATGGCAGTCAATGCAAACAAGTTTCACAGTTTTCCCATCGGATCGTTTCAAAACACAAGGGCCGTTCTTGTCCTTGGGAGGCGGATAACCACTTGAAAGGGCCTGGAGCTTCTGACCTGCCGATCCCCTTACTGGTCGACCTCTACCTTGTGGTGCACCTGGCTCAGCGAAACTATTTCTTGTCGATCTACCGTCTATCGAAGTTCTGTATCTTGAGGCCTCGGCTTGGACATGAGTCTCAGGCTGAATACCATCGAACTTGGGATCGGGTATGAGCCACTTGGCATAGTGCCGGGCATACGGGCCATCAGTAACGCCAAAGGGTGGTGCCCACTGAGGCAGCTGTTCGCCCAACTTCGGTTGCAAGGCTGCGCCCGACCCATTCATGATGTTCAACATTTGTTCCGGCGTAGGAACGTTCTGTGGATACGGTATTAGATGACATCTGCGTAGTTGTTCCAAAGCCACCTGGCATTTGGCAAGTTCTTGATTTATCAATCGTAGCTCATCGTGTTTGAGTAGAATCTCAAGACTGAACTGTTGTTCGATAGCATCTCTAGCGCGGTCCATATCGGGCTTCTGCGACAAGGGTCGCGGTACATCCCTTTCACAATCTCCTACCGACAAAGCCACCCGCTTACGCGCCTTGGCACGATCATCACCCTCATCATCATCCGTCCTCGTCCGCTTTGGCGCGGGAGAAGGAGCAGCAAGTTGCGACGCTATCGCGACGTTGCTCTGTTTGCGCCGCCTCGGTGTTGTAGGCGACGTGGTAGTTGTAACAGGAGACTCTGACGGCACCCAAGGTTTTTGTGGTTTGCTGAAATCAAGCATAGGCTGTTCAACTTGTAGAGTTTTATCGCTTCCCCTTGGTTCTGAACTCCAAAAGCGGAACATGAGCATACCCGACGAAGCAAAAAATGATAAAGAATCGAATTTTGCGACCAAGGGAACGTGGGGGATAAAGCTGTTGATTTATGTAGGTATCGCGGTAGGGACGCGGACGGGCCAGGTCCTAGGCTGATACGCTCAACAAAGTTGTAACGGGGGGTGGAAGGGAGAACAAATGTCAGAGGTGCAGCGTCAAATAAGATGGGCAAGGCTGACGTAACGACGAATGGGGGCAGGGGGGTAGGGCGCAAAACTCCCTAATTCCTAATTCCTTCCCACTGCTACAAGGTCGAAAAGCGTGCTAATCGGTGGATCGGCTGAGCCGGCGGATGCGACCACCTTTTTAGCCTGGCGACGCCCGCTAAATACCTAGGTAATCGTGAATGGTGAATGGACCAAGTCCTAGGTTAACTAGTGGGAAGTCACTAGTATGTACCAAGAATGGCGGAATGGTGCACGTATCGGATGGGGGTGAGATGCGACTCCTGATGGGTTGGCTGAAGACGCGCAAAGAGGGAAAAAAAAGGAGTAGGCCGACGCTGATGTGGCCACCGTCAAACCCAACGAAACCCAGTCTGAGTCAAGGTCGAGGCAGAGCAGGAATGCGCAACGGGGCAACGCCAAGGGAACCGGGTAATGCGATCCAAATGGTGTAAATTATTAGTATGTAGTTGTATTGAATTGTATTGTACGCTCTGGTTTTCGATTTAAAGATATGTTGCGACCGAGCGACAACAAAATAATGATAATAATGATAATAATAAAATGTCCTTGAGCAAAAAAAACGCCCGAGTAAGAATTGCGACAGGAAAAGGACAATGAATGCGCGGTGAAACAACAGTATCAGATGGAGAATACCGGGGGCCGGTACGTATTAGAATGCGCGTACGATGATCATTCAGGATTTTTTGCGATCGAAAAGACAACAAAAAAGGGCGAAAAGGGAATGGATGGAATGAGACCAAAGACGTTCGCCCGAGGGGGGTGTGAATTGTTATTAAAATCTCCAAAGGAACGCGTGAAAAAAATGAATTACATGAAAAAGGTCGGAAGAAAGGCGACGGTCATTTGTTGCGATTTTCTTCCTTTTCGGTTGTTGCGACAAGCGGATTTGCGCAATAATGAAAAAAAGGCAGAGAGAGAAATAAGAGGTTGTAAAGTGTTCCAAGGTTCTAGAGGGCGCGAGATGCGAAAGGTGCAAATTGGAGAAGGGAACCTTCCTATGCACTTGGCTAGCTATTAACATTGGGAATCAGGACTTGCCTTCCCCAAGAGTACATTAGCACACTAGGTATTAGGTAGACTCCCTGCGAGTGTGGTATGGAAATCGTGGTAGGTCCCTTCCAAGGTTGTCGGGTGGATAGCTACAATGCAGTACATGCCTCAAGTTAGGGAAAGAGGTAGGCTGGGAAAGTACCCATTCTACCTTATGCACTTACGACCTACGGCATTCACTGGGCACTTCTTGCAATTTCACATTGATTTGATTCCCCAATTGTCCGACTAGAGAGAGACCCCCCTGTCTAGAATCCCAAATCCATCAACTCAATCAAGTTACGTGGCAGGGATGGTCTTGAATGTTTCTTTTGCACAAGTATATAATATACTGCATATGTACCTAGATACAAGACTTACATATGTATGTCATGGTCCGTGCTGCATGATAAAGGGGGTTATACATGGATTATGCACACTAATACAAATATGCCCTTTTATGACTCACTTATTGGGGAAGAATAGGATGGAAGGCAACCATCATTTAATGTAAGAGATGGTGGCAACAGATCCCACCTTGTCAGTAAGAAGAGGAATAGGCAGATATGTTTTCCCACATATTTGAAGGAAACATGACCAGCTGAAGGTTGGCAGCACTTGAGGTGTGTATCACATGGCTGCTTTTAACTACACCGGTACATGCTGTACGTTCTTGCATAAATATGCTTAAGAATTGCACAAGTGACTTGGAATATTGTATAATTTCTTAATATAGATATACAAGCATAGGTACCTATAGCTGTACATGTACGTAAGTATTTAAGGCATCCACTTTGTCAATGAGATGGCCAAGGACAAAGCAGCCTTATTTTTCGAAGATCTCATGCCAAGTTGCTTAATTAATTGTCATTTGCTTCTTGAGATATTAGATGCTGACGTTCATGGCTTATTAAAACAGTACACTGGCTGCTTTGTACCTACATAGTTAAGTACTTAGATACTTAAGTTTAGAAGATGTTGTCATGGCTAATAACCAGGTTTTCATGTTACATGACATACACTATTTAACGTCGCGTAGGTGACTTACACACATCGATAATCCCCCAAGACATGACTCTCCTAAACAAGAAGAACTAATTATCTATTCACAAGTAGGGTATAGTACATTTCGTCAATATCTCGCAACGATTTCTTATTGAAACAAGCCATAGATAGACTCCAAGTCCTGATAGATAAGTCATACAACCTGATATGTTATATATTTATAGCTTAGGTACATATGTAGCTTACTACATATCATCATGATATGCCTCTTTGAGTACTATTAGAGATGTAAGTGCTAAATAGGCATACATGAACTTTGCATAACCGAATTCCATTACTACATGCGCCTATTGCCTAGCAGTCTGGTGGTATCTATAGATCCAACAAGGTGCTGTAATGCGAACTCGCTGCGAAAGGCCTCCATCTTAACCAACCATGAACAAATCTAAAGAAATAACTTTCAATTTACTGTTTATACATGCTGGTCACGATACTACATAATATGATGCTCATATGTGTAGTATCTCAATTAATTCTTGGCAGAGACCAGGCCACTGCATTTGCATTTCACGACAAGGGTGTTTTGACCAATTACGGATCAGACATGTCTCAGAAATGTTTGAATTGTTCAAACTCGAATGCATAGGCCAAGAAAGAAAAGAAACGAGACACGGAATCTTACTTAGGTAATGTAATACTTTATCGATAAGATGCGTAATCATCCGGAGATCTCGTCCTTGATGGGTACCTAGGTACTTAGATACTTGGATACGTCCCTTTCGGGTGAATTTAACATCATGACGTGATTACACGCCGTCAAGTCTAGCTTCCATTCTAAATAATTATCCAAACCCTCTAATAGTGGAACCAATGCAGCTGGATATCATATAAAAAGGTACAGGTGCACTTACTTTATTTACCATTAAACCGCCGTGATAAGGAGGTACGGGGATACTTAAGTCACTTCTAAGATTGCGCCGCGGGTGTTTTTCTAGTGGGTTGTGTTATCGATAAAAACAAATGCACCCAATTTATTTGTGGTATGAGCACCACGCGCATACCTAGGTAATCATTATTATGTTACCTACCAAGTGATGAACACAAATATCAACATTCTGCCTCAATAATCTTCAATGAGGACTATCGCTTCCAATCCGGCGGCCAATTCAGTCGCACAATGACCGCAACGAACAGTACCCGAAAGGGTAACCAGAATAATGGCTCGCCCACAAAGCGAAAGCGCGCAGACACCAATCCGATTCTACCTAACAAAAGAACCCGACTCGAGACCGACCTCAACTTATCGTCATCCGAGGACGTTAGGGTTCTACAAGCTGTAGAATCGAAATACGAAGTCAAAGTTCATTCAATAATATCGTCATCCAAGATCCAGAAGAAGGTTACTTCAGTTCTCCAGCACCTTACTTCCTCCGCAGCCGAAAAAACGAGCGTATCTATTCTACGCGCGAAAGCCCCCAACGCGGGCAAGTTGATCTCCATCGCCGAAATTGCGAAGCGCGAGCTGGGAAAGCGAAAAGAAGGTGGAAATATTTGGTATCAATACATTGCGCTAGGAGAGATACTCAAGGAAATACCCAGGAACGAGGGCAACACGATCATCGAAGAAACGAAGTTGGGTGATATTGGCGAGGGCGAAGACGATTTTGAGGTAATGAAGACTCCGTTTGAAAGAGCAGTGGAGGGCCAACCACGCCTAAGGGGAGTACCTGTCATGAGCCTGTTCCTATGTCAGGTTCCCGTTGAGGAATTGAAAAAGCGATATGGGGAACAAACGAACGCCAATCCGACATGAGGGTCACAACTATAACCGCTATGGATTGGTAGTTTACCACAACATCAAGACGCTGTAGACGCCACAGCATGGTAATATGGATACAGTGGAGGACCCATGTGAAGCTCAGCGGACCATACTTTTTCGAGCTATCCTACTATGAGGTATGCATACATCCTCCAAATACCAGTACAGCAAAGCATACAGATAATAGATGACTCATAATGATACCCAATACAAACTCCGACAGAAATACCAGCCATATAGAACAAATGCCGCGATGCTATTTGATGTACATAGTTTCCACCTTCAGAGATTCTTGTAAAATCTCGCGAAACCCACCACCTAAATATCCACAACCCACGACTGAAGCCAAATGGGATTGTCGCTTAAATTGGCCGTTCGAATCCTTCGAAAACATCCTTTAGTGCGTATTCCAACAATATGGGATTTTCAAGACCCGTATGCACGCTTAGTGTTTTCTGCCACCTTCTCCGCCAGAGTATGTTATTCGCAGTACGAAGTTGACCACGACGGCCAACAGGAGGATGATAGCCAGCACGGTGGGTCCGAAACGGTCATCGAAACCGGCTTGTCCCCGAACCCTTATCGACTTCGCCCGCCAATGATAAGTGAATAGCGCATAGATCATAGTGAGCATAGCTACACCAGTGAATAGGAAGGCCGAGATGAAGGCCGGTCGGTCACCGAAGTTTAACATGCCGATGGCCAACGCACCCAATATGACGGTAAAATTTAGCCATGATAGGAACGTACGCTCGTTAGCGAAAAAGACCTTAGGCTCGACTCGAGTAGGGAGGGCAATTCGTTTGCCTGAGCGATTGATTCGAACGCGTTAGCCAAAGAGATATTCGAAGTTTTCCTTGAAGATGGGAAGGTTTGTTCTTTTACCTGGAGCCGTCTGTAGAAGGGGTTGGCTAGACATTTTGGTAGTTTTTGTGACGAACAGACAGTTCCTGAAGTATGATTCGGAGAATTAAGCTCAAGTGGTCAGGTACGATATTTCAACGTCCCTGTGGTTAATTGTTGCTATTTTGACGAATTGACTCTTGTTGTTGTTATGATTGGATTGCGGGAGAAAGTGAGATTAGACCAGCCACTGGACAGATTGCAGTTGATAAAAAACGAAGGAAAAAATGGACTTTTTAAAACCTAGAGAACTACACGAAGACGAGAATGAAAAAATTACAAGAGGAGAAAAAAAAGACGACTAGCTATGACGATGATAGCGAGCAGTCTGATGTTGAGAGCTTGATAGTAAAAGAGGAAAAGAAACCAAAGATGGTTAGTTAGAAGCGCTAGTTACAAAAAGGGCACACACGTGGGTGGTTTCACATCTCTCAGTGGCTGGTTTGAAAGCTACCGAGCTACCTCCTAGCAACCGGCGGGGCAGTCGAGACCTTGGAGAGTGAACCTGAGAAAAGAGATTCTGCACGTGCTCAGTTGCCCCGCGCAAGAAACTTGAAGCAGCGTTGGAAACGAATTGGATGGTCGGCATCTGCACCTTCACTATTTCCGTCGCCTTTTCTTAAGGTTTCAAAGTTTACATAAGCTTGCAGTTCGCAATTCACATACACTTAGAGTAATACCAGGTTCATGTTCTGAGTGGAGCTATCACGGGCGGGACTTTACATATACATATTTTTGTACATATGTACTACGGCCTGCATAACCGCGCACTAGTGACATTTGAACCATTTAAACCAAGGGAAAAGAGGCAAGGATCTTATAGCGGTCCATTCTTCAATCAGCCTCACCTGGAACATGCCCAAGCCCTGGGTCGCCAGCTGTGTCAACCAAATTTATTGTTTACAACGTCACAGAAGAGAAGGCTGAAAGAAAATAAGTCCCACAAGGCTGTAAAAGTCTCCCTAGTATCATACCATTTATTTACCAATTCGCCCCCTTACGCTATCAAAGACCATAAAGATTAAACTACATATACATTTTTACAAAGCCCTCACTACACTATCAATTCGTTGTGACAAACTCTTCCTCGCAATCCAATCCGATATTGTTACCTACCTAGGTACTATCCAAAATGGCCTCTACGCAAAGCAATGCCGTATGTCACCGCCAGTAATAATTCGAATATATGTGATAGAAGCTTACAGAAATGATTATTAGCCGATCAACACTACTAGATTAAGACAAATCGCGACGGACGTATGTTCACCTTGTCCACTCCCAATGCGCTTCATGAGTTCATTCCGCTAAAGTCCGATCAATCATAGGCTTGCCAAAGCGCCATCGGTAGCGCAGAGTTTTACGAGCATTCGAAAGTCGAAGGTTGGAATTCAACCATAATCGTACGTCTCCCTCGATTTATACTGTACCCCTTCTCTTTATTAGGCTCAACTAACATGGTATGCTTGCGCTAGAACTCGATCCTCCGGGCCGTCATATCCGAATCGACCCCTTCCGGCTCCCAGACCCCGGCTCATAAGTATGTGGTCAACAGCACCATCGTCCAACACCTCGTCCCGACCTCGGCCCTCAACAAGCCGAAAGGCGGAACCGAAGCGAAAGCCGACAGCCCCCGAATTAGCACCAGCGACGGTGGCAACCCGACTGCCACAGACGGAAAACCACACGTCGGACGGAGAGGTATGCACTCGGCGACACAGGCATTCTGGAACGAAAAGTCAGATGGTATGTGGAGTTTCAAATATGACGGCGGTGAAGGAAAGGGTATGGACGTTGTCATCTCCGTCATCTGGATCGGAATATAAGAGCCTAACTACGCCTGGCTATCTCTACGGGGTTTATGTAAGACCATGTTGTATGTTCTACGGAGAAGAAAAAGGAAATATGATGCCTTCTCGCAATCTCGGATACTCGAATGCTGGATGGGTAGGGTTAATGGCTTAATGCGATGGCGGCTACAAGGACGATTTATTCGATCTACGACCAGCTATACATAACATATACGACCTTTGTTGGCACTGATGATATAACATACAATACATACGAGTTTAACCCTTTTTCCCCGTCGAGTCGCTGGTTTCAAAATGAGGCATTTTCTAGGTGGAAGTTGAAGTATACTAGATGAACCATTGAAACATTCAGTACGCTAATTTCCACGCGCAGACGTGATACTATCGCGCCGAAGATAGATATTAATATCAATTTACCATTGATATTTCATACATTTAGACTCAGTTCTGTAACTAGAGGTTTCGTGGGTACCTTCCAGAGAATGCCTACGCCCCAGACGCACATGTATCCCCGGAAATACTAGCGGAATCGGTTCAATAGCATACCCAACAAACACACGGGAAGGTATCAACCCAATATTAATCTAATATATCACTTGCTATACAAGGGGTGATTGAGTGGACGTCGCATGGGTTACCAGCTCCGTGTTACGGAGCCCCATAAAGGACATATAGTCGTGCCAGTTGATATAATCAATATCACCTCTTTCACCATTACTAGGATCAGGGGCTCATCTTGAAGGATATATTAACTTAGACTACCTAGGTACATATAGGCCGTCCTAAGCGACACGGAAACTTGCATGTGTCCATTGCTGTATTACGATAACTAGTTTAATCTAGTTAGACCTACGATAGTATGACTAGGCGCAATTCGAAATATTATATCATATATAAACTTTGTCTATAAGGCCGTTTGGTTGTCATTTTATCTAGCTAGGTAGATAAAGAACATAACATCTTATATCCCTGATATGATTTATCTAGTTTGTAGTATCACTTTGAATTTCGTTTGAAAAAAGATTCAGTTTAATTAACTTGTAATAGGAGTTGTATTTTTAGGTGCCACATCGGGCCATTTCACTTAACTTTCCCATTTTAAGCTTAGATAGACTCTATATTCTCATAGTCTAATCTAAAGGCTATACCTACATGATATATGCGTTAGGTTTTCATCATGTATACCTTGTGAAGTGGGAATTTGATACCACAAACGACATACCCAGCTCGTATCAGGGACCAGATCAAACACGAAATTGATCGAGATTCGTTCCATTTGACAACAGGCTTCAGACTCTCCAATACGTCGAGTTTTTAGGCTACCTTTAACTTATTGGAATACCTCATCTTTGACTTCATTCGTCTGGTGAAGTCTTCTAGGCTAAGTAAAGCGTACCCCGCTACACTCCCGCTATACTCTTAATATCGTCGTCCGCGGTGTCAATTTAAGTGGACAGGGTGGAATGGCTAGACTAATACCAAACCAGCCTTACATGATGTAGCATCGCATAGGCGAACAACGACCATCAACTCGGCTAATCTTTTTTGTACAGAAAGCCAAGTCTTCTTGCGTCAGCGAGCGAGGAAATAGATCGTCAAGATTATTAGTGGATCGGAGCTCAGCGATAAAAAGGTGATACCTTGTAACACACGATCGGAGCAATTAATCCACGACATATTCTCTTCACTCCCGGCCGAACCCGGGATTGGAAATCGTGTTACCATTTATTGCTGACAGTATTTCTTGTCCTCGTGATAATTAATTTTTATGTATGTTAGGCCTCTAATAATATAAATATTCATACAACATGAAGATGAATGGCGAGGAATACTTAGTTACAGTATCCCTCGTGACGACGACATCGGGTTTCTGCTAGGAGTAACCCGGCAGTGACCTCACAGTACTTGCCATAGTGGGTAAGATTCGCTAGACTACGGCAAGTAATGGCTCCATTATCGGCAAAGAGACGTCAGGGCTCCATAGCAGTGGATACGATCGCGACGATCTAGGGGACCGGAATAGGGAGCCTGGGCGCCAAGGCATCTATGATACAAGTCCAGAACATCTTAGAAAGGATGGGTTAATACCAGAAATCAAGTTGCTCACGAGCGAGATCTGATTAATAGCCCTTGCATAATAGCGACGATGAGATCCCATTGGATGGTAATAATCAGATTTTCCCTTGTGTAAGATCCCGTAATCATCAATCCCATTTCTGTTTCGACTTGTCGCCCGTTGCAATTCTGCAAAATGCCGATTCCCGAAGCCTCTTGTCGCATGAAAAAAAGATTGCCTGACACTGCATATCGCTGCTGTATCGAGTACCGATGGATTGGGCAGGTCGCCGGGTTGAGCGCTTGCTTCTTCCCCACGACAGCCATAGAGTCAGCGTTGCATAGTGGTATCAAATAACCGTGAAGTGGGTTATTTTTCTACCGCCCTGGAAATAGGTATGGTACCGTAGTGTATTGCAGTAGTGTTTGAGAGGGAAGGACAATCTTGGCAGCCAGCTGTAAGATAGACCCTTGTCACGGGCATATTCAGTGGCTTTTGCGGGGTTTGACTTGCTTCTTTACAGTAGCTTGAACCCCAGACTTTGAGAAGGGATAACTGATCAGTCGGTGAATCCTTCATGTATTACTACACGGGCTAGTGCAGTGATACCTGTTGGGAAATAGGGGATATGGATGATATAGTTACCAGGAAGGTCCAGGTATCAAATATCTACTACTATTAGCCATCCGTTATCGCTGAGAGACTAAACCGGGACCTTCGGCGTCGCCATTGAAAATAATCCGGGACAGAAAGGGAAGAAATAGAATACTCTAGCAAGCACTAAACTATCCATAGTATCCGGCTCGAATTCAGCCAATCTTCTAGAATTTTTCATCTAAGTAGTTAGTAATCGTCGAATTAGGGACAGATGCATTACTCTAGCATAGCCCGGTTTACCATAGGACTCCCCCGTGTCCAGCCCTGGCTTTTCTCCGGTCGGGGGCGACGAGCGCTGCGGGTCACACACACCACTCCACCTCTCCCCATTTGTCACGATGTATCTCCAGACCTATTCCTCGGCGCCTCGCCAAGTTACTAGAAGTGGATCAAATCTCCACTGAATAGTGATCTTCGCATCGTAGCGTAGTGTGTGGCTAGTCTCCCGTAGTCCGTTGCTGACCCCTGACCGCTTTCCTTCATAACGGATTTAATACCCTTCCCATCCCCACGTAGTCGAGGCTTGACAAGTGTCACGACTCGTCAACAGACCATCGCAAGTTTCTAGCCACGAACATCTGTCTGAAGATTCCTCCACATAGTTGGATCCCCAGACTTTTGAAAAAGAATTTTTGAAAAAGAAAAAAACGCCATCTACCCTGCTGTCTAAACGCCAGCCTCGGCTTACTGACTAAAGCCGAACTCATCGTCACCGCCTATTATCGGTAGTATTCGACCGAGCTGCACAATTTTGAAATCCGGGGTCTTAATTATTATTCAGCTTGGACCCTGACGATCGTCAGTTTTGTGGTAACTCGAAGCTATTGTTTTTTTACCATTAAATAGTTCAGAACCTTCACACGCACCATCGACACTTTACCAACAAGCACTATTGTGTGCAAAAACTTGAATTTGAAAAGGTCGCCATATAAATAGTCAACATGGTCGAAGTTCTCAGAGTCCCCTCATTGGGGCAGCCAGTATCGCCAGGTTCACCTGATATGATGGACATGTCGAACAGATTTCTCAATTTGGATATGGATCTCGGCCCAGCTTCGGAAACATCGATGATGGTATTGCAGCAACAGAGGGAATCCGGAAAAGAAGCAGGATCTAAGAATGGCCTTGCTCGTGTGCCTCGACGTGCTCTCACTTCGACTGACTATACGGCGTCGGTAAATGCATACGTCGCATACCAGAGACAACAGCGCTTGCAGACTCCACTTGCTACCCCACGAGAGTCGGCTGAGACAGATTCGTACTTCGAACTCCGACCTCACAATGTTTCTGCCTCCAAAACTCCACTTGCCGTTACTCCGATTCCTTCTCCTCGAGTGGCGAACCTTGCACAACCTCAGCGACCGGCTTTGCCAGCGCCGCTGAGGTCATATTCAGTCACAGATGTCGAACCTGTTCCATTCACGCACCGACCAGGCGTAGCTCTCACTTTGGAGGATCTTCCTCCCGAGTTGCACTACGCTATCTTCGACTTTTTAGATCCTATTGACAGCACGTGCCTGGGACTGACAAGCAAGCATTTTTACTCCATCCACAAAAGGATGCATGGAAAGATATCGCTTTCCGCCCGACGAGAAGGACCTAACGATATGGAATGGGTATGGCGAAACGCATTTATCTCCGGACCTTTCGTATCCAGCAGCGGCATCAGCAAGCAGAACTCATTGGCGTTGTTGACCCCACGAGGCCAAGTATACTGTCGCAAATGCCGGACGGCGCGGTGCGAATTGCACAACCACATCCGAGAATGGATCGGGGAGGACAAAGAATACTGTGCGGTATCGCAAAAATTCGGCCCCGCCGCTCCTGGGAACGCTAAAGCCTTTTGTCACAAAGCCTCACCGAGGCACCCGCATCGCTGCGGCAGACACACGCGACAGCAGCGAGCCGTTCGTCTGGTATAAGACGTAACTCGAGTTAACATCACAATTGAATTACACTGTTCAAGGTGTAGATGTTAATTAGAGAATTAAGAAAGAAAAGTATCGATTCCCGCCATACTCGGAAATCCCTCATCACACCAATAAATGTTATTGGATCACACTACCTACTCCATGAGGGAGCTACCTACCAATTGACTGAATTGGTCAAGAAGAGGCGATGAGTGCGGGGTGCGCATCTCGCTGAGCCGAGCTGAAGGAGCAAGGACCATATTTTGATCAAATACCGCAGATTGTAGATTGTCATTATTTAATTGACAGCGGGCCTTACTAGAGGCCAGGGACATCGGATGTATGTATTGACATGAATGTTTGGGTTCAGATAGGCAGAACAACTTCATAGGATATTGAGAACTAGATTGGCGCGTATGCACTCTATAAACTCTATTCTATATATAGAAGAGAATGTCAAAGTATCGTAAGAGAGAGTTGGAGATGGCTTCAATATTGGGTTTACTAGGGTTAGTTATCAAAGAACTAGATGTGAATTCCACTCATTTGCTATCAACACTTTGACAATGAATAGTTATAGATATTAAGTGACGTAAAAATACGTTTTTGCGTATCAATCGTTCTCTTACTTGAATTAAATACGTATTTTCACGGACATACTCAATCAAACATCGAGCTTTAAAACAGCATCGGAGTTCAAAGCAACTGATGAGAATATGACGGAAATACCTTAGTGTGTAAGTACCTAGGTATCTGCTAGTAACCGAAGTACCTACGTAGATATTTGAGGTAACAACAGGGATTCTAATAGTAAAGTGGCTCAATACAAACGCCACGACTGTTTGTGAATGTACATTTCCTGAAAGAGTAATCAGCCACAATCCAGTATAACGGATGCGGGATCCCGGTCAAGCTTATTGGTAAATCATGACGCCACTTACACCGTCTTTACCAGGAATCGAACGATTTCTCAAAAATTTTCAAAATTATTAAAATTTGGACCTCGAAATTCATGGGGGATAAGGAACTTTACATAGGAAGGATTGTGTAATTTTATTATACCTAGGTACTTACACTAAAGCATATCCCTACTACTCCTTTTCGAGATATTTCTTAGAGAAACCCCCTTTTGTCATTAGCGCAAACTCAATCGGCCGGGGAAGGAAAAGAAAGTTCATTTTATCGTTTCCCAATTTCTCAATTTCTTTATCGATATTGTACAATAAGTACAATACCACCTACCTATGTACCTATAATCAGATGTCAATGTTCGTGGAGAAGAAGTACTTGTAAGTACCGCTTATCACTTACCTCTTAACCAGGTACATACCACCTTTCTACCCGTGTCCTTCTACGTGTATGTCCTCGTCCCCATTATCATCGTTTCTTTTTCCAACAATCCGCATCCACATCGACCATTCATAACTCACAATTCACAAACGTCCCGAGGAATTTGTGACAAGCTACTCCATCTTCTAACTCTCAAACACCAAATCAGTACCAGACAAACGGCCAAAATACCGCTAATCTGTCTAACCTCGTACGTTACTCCGAAGCCTCATTGGTTCATTGGTTCGCTAGCTCGCCTCCTTTAACCAACGTCATTGATTATTCCCACATGTCAACATTTCCGGCTTGATTGTTAGTTTTCCCTCACGACGCCTGCTTAAGGTATTCTGTAGTTGACAGATCAATTAATGCTGCCTCAGTAGTACTCAACCTTCGGGAACGTCCAGACTAAAAGACTATACAAACAGGATAGCTGCATATGCGGTATCTGTATTGTTACAATCAGTCAAATTAGACTCGACCTGCGTGTCAATCTTTCCGACACCCAAGCTTTAAGCTCGACGTGTCAATTTCCGAGTAGTAGCTATCCCAAGTATATTTATATCCTGGTACCATACCCATTCTTTTCCAAAAACACAAAATGTCCTCTCCATCAGGATCCTCCCACGCCGGCAAGCGAAAACGTCCAACAACCGCGAACTCGACCAGGATGGACGACAATCCATTATTACAACCATCCTCACGAGATGCTTCCGGAGAGGAAGGTGATACCACAGCACCTGAGTCCGGAAGGCTGTCACACCGTAAATCCGACTCTACCGCAAATTCCAATCCAGCCAAGCGCCAACGAGCCAATTCGAATCATACCTCAGCTTTCGAGACTACTATAGATCCTGGCGAGCCTAGCGACACTACCGAGGCTAGCATTGATATTGCGGATCGTGTCACGAGAAAGAGTAGGAAACCTACCGGTTCTAGGGATGTGACGATTCAGGACGATGAAGAGAGGATGAAGCAAGAAGCAATGCCACCGCCACCAACTGGCCGCCTCATACATCCTGTTGGATACACAACAAATTCCCCTCCTACTGGACGAACAATTAGAGTCTATGCGGATGGCGTCTTTGACTTATTCCATCTAGGGTACGTTATTATAATTCCAATGGGGCAAGTGTCCGTCCAGTGCCATTGGAAAGAGCTAATTTTGAATAGTCATATGCGCCAACTTGAACAAGCAAAGAAAGCATTTGATGATGTATACTTAATAGTTGGCGTGACTGGCGACGAGGAGACTCACAAGCGTAAAGGTCTCACAGTACTTTCCGGTGCAGAGCGTGCTGAGACAGTCAGGCATTGCAAATGGGTTGACGAAGTTGTTGAAAACTGTCCTTGGATCGTAACACCCGAGTTTCTCGAGAAACACCAGATTGATTATGTCGCCCACGACGATATTCCCTACGGTGCCGCAGAGGGTGATGATATCTATGCGCCCATTAAAAAGGCCGGCAAGTTTTTGGTAACACAGCGAACTGAAGGAGTGAGCACAACGGGCATCATCACAAAGTAAGTTGTCACGATATACTCGGAGCCGCTATCATGGAGTAATGCTGACCACAAGTTTGTAGGATTGTCCGTGACTATGAGAAATACATTGCGCGCCAACTTAAACGAGGAACATCACGGCAGGAACTTAATGTTAGTTGGCTCAAGAAGAACGAACTCGATCTTAAGCGCCACGTTCAAGATCTGCGCGATAATATCAGGTCAAACTGGACTACGACTGGTCAGGAGCTTAGTCGTGAACTCCGCCAATATTGGCCTGCAAGCCGACCGCAGAGTCCCTCCCCAGCGAGCCGCTTCTCCATGCCATCCACCCCGGGCGCAAATGGTGACACTAGTTTGCGAGAAACTGCTACAATGGCCGCTGCTGCCAAATCACCTACTACACCGGGCGAGAGGGCCCCGGCCCCTAATGATTTCATCACTGGGTATACTCTTGGGTTAATCGGTGGCGTCAGATCGTGGGTAAGTCTGAATTCATCACTCGGGCGAGACTTATAATTAGCTAACAGTAAATAGATGACCAAGAACCGACGTAATCTTCGAGACAGTCGACCTCCGAGTGATGACGACTCAGAAAGTGACGACAAGGGCAACGACCGTGGACGTCCAGTCGCGTCGGCAAGTTAGTTGCTCAGACCGCTGAGTCGCCTCCATGTTAATGGACATATTAATGTAGAAGGTACCAGGCCATACGATGGAGATAGTCAGTTTGGTTCCGATGATGAAGGAGATGACGAATGTAGTTCGAATCTCGACAATCAAGGAGTCAGGCCATACAGAAAAACTACGATAAATCAGGGATGAACGGCGTTGAATGGTTATTTGCATGCATCCTGAGACCATAAGATTGGTGCCTCTCTCCCCTCTTTATACTACTATACGGGGCTATAGGGTCGGGCGTGAGAGGGGAAAATGATAGACGGACGACTTCATTGCTTACGTATGTGTATCGCATTTGATAGAGTTAATAGTTAGCATGAACGTTCATGACCATTCTTGGTGGTTTATTTGTGTTTGATGGTTTTGATGAGTGGAGAATAGGGGATGACTGCTCTTTTAGGGCTGTGCTACACGCACGGTGTGAAAATGGTTCAAAGAGTATCATATGGTAATTCATAACCCAACCAATATTTGGGGATATCGCTAATGAGGCGTGCCTAGGTATAAGAAAATCCTTTGATATTTTGGGGTTTTATGCCTTTAAAAGATTGATGCGTAATTGACTTTCCTGTCCAATAATTCATGGACTATGATACTGTAATGGCAAGAGATTGTCGCGCATTTTGAAAGGGTTACGGATAGCCTCACCTCTAGATACCTAGGTCCTTGGTAGGTTCTTGGTATTGTATATAATGTGGAGCGAGGTTCGCTAGTAAACAAACGAGGGTGTTTTTAAACACACCCCGTTGACCACGGCTCTTCGTAGACAATAGGTGGTGACTGCTACCTCACCTTTTCGCATGTCATTGGAACTTTGGATTTTTCTGGACGAGGATTTGACCTTTTACGCGTTCGAATTACAGTAAGTCAGTCCGGATAACAATTATTAGTCCGTGATGGTAACAGGCGGTCTAGCATTTCGCTTCTGGAAGTCCTCTGACCAATTGGATGTCGATGAGATTCCATGTGGATAGGGGTAAACATCGAAAGCTGGCTCACAAAGGAGGATTCGCGAACAAGAATTCCTCAAGCCCCACATGATCCAGCTTAAGACATCGTTATCTTCAAAGTTATGGTGGGTCACCTACCCCGATGCCAATGGGCGGTGACTGGTCCTGATATGCCGTACAACTCGGCATCATGAGAAATTGACGGTTGGGGAAATTCAAAGGGAACAGAGCCTCATTTGGAATACTATAGAATACGAGCATCGTTCTCGTAGTAAGCTACCAGTTACCCTTAATAGGTCATGCTACGGAATCTCTCCAGCCATAGGATGTCCTAGCCGAGAATGAAGAGAACCGGGTAGTAGTTCATACATCATGAATTTCGGGGCGAGCCTCGTGGAGGTCGGCGATAATCGATTCACGGAGTAATAGCCTAGGCAGCGGTTTAGGGGTTTCAGCTTATGCAGGCAAGTCTAGGACTCGGCCATACCTAGTGTGTACGACCCTAGGTGTTCTTGGAGTAACCAGTAGAGACGGTTTATACCATCTCATTCGAGGTGTGCCGTCGTAACGGCTCGCTAGGTATTGCCTCCGGTCCTGGGGATATATTCGAAACACCACGGCTGTACGTGGTGTAGTTGCATCTGCAGTCGTCATTCGCATGTCAACGCCACGGACTAACGTGAAATCGAGGCGGATATCTGCCCCTCCTGAGACTTGACGCCGTTGTCTATACTTAGAAGCTATCGACACTCTAGATACCCTGTGCTGGAACCAACCAAGCACCAACGTCTCCAATATCTAGCGTCGTGTGTGATTCCATCGTCATTGATGTCGTTTAAGTAGGATTACGACTCCTCGGTGATGGTAATTGGAAGGTTCTCGCTGCTAGGTCAGCCAATGACGATGGGAAAACGTTGAGGAAAGTCATGATGCGGTGATATTGTCCTAACTATTATATTCCACGTATCACCCGATGTCAGGGTAACGTTAGCATCGAGCCGTGCATACCTAGGTATGTTGTAATAGGAATAATTAAGTTAGACGATACCTCGTCGGGATAATGCGCCTTGTGAGGCTGCAGCCGATGAATCCCGAAAACTTACTAGATATGGTTCGTATGTAAGAGGGAGACTAAGACTGCCGCTTATAGGGTCAAGTATCTATCGACATGAGCAGGGGGAGACAAACTGTTGGTAACACAACGGAAAGAACAATGTGATCTACCTACCCTTCCATCGCTTGCCTAAGACCCCATCTGTATATGGTCTCACGGTGGCGTAGCTTTACTCCCTTCGATATAGTAAGTGTGACCAGAGTATATTAAAAAAACGGAAGTCCGAACCGATTGGGATATATCCTTCGAAAGATCTATATGGTAACAGTGTACTTCAGGTAAGTTGACCCTTATATGGTCGTCGTGGATATTAAGTGTGGCTTCATCAGCAAGCATAGCACACGGTCCAGGGGGTAGTGCTCCTAGGTATTTTTGTATGGATTCATGTTATAATTTAAATTTCCATCCATAAAAGATGACATATAAATTAAGCAAGCGAAAGGTCTCTGCAGATTACTTTCTGCTAATCCCAGCTTTCTCCACTACAAGCCTGGAGTGCTTCCTGCGCCTGGATGATCACCAGTCAGCTTGTCAGCCTTTCCAAACCACCAACAAGACCCTAGATCCCGAGGTTGATAGAACGTCAAGTTCTCAGTTTCAAACACTCATATTTCGTCACCACCTACATTGATCCTTACCGATGTTACATTAGCGATATCACCGACGAAAAATGCAGTTGTCGACCATTAATAGAGTAAGGCTCACTAACCCCTAAATATGAACTTGCCATCAGAATCCACCTACAGACTCGCTTCCAGGTCGTATAATCTACATAACAATTCTCGAGCAGCCTTACTGCAGTAGCATCGTTGGTGAATGTCTCCCGTTTCAGAATTACAGGAGTAACCCTCTCTGCTGGCCTATGGGCCCATGCACAACATGAACCAAGCGTGTGCCCTCTTGGGATGAAAATTGATGTCGCCATTGGGGCCGCAGAATTTGAAACTCGGGGGCTAGCTCTATAGATTTTTTTTTTTTTCATGAACTATTACGGGTTCTCGGATGGCGTCCCGAGGAACGCCCCCGGCGCCTTCTAGGCCATTCGCCTTGTGGTGCTACATCGGTGTGGATGGAGCGTAAGGCATTCTGCGCTCGTTGGCAAGATTTGATATCACATCTTGAGACATGTGTCTTAGAACGAACGAGCACATGCATATGGGAGTTGGAGTATCTCCGCGGTGGCTCGAGGATGTGACAAGAAAAGAACACCGCTATCTCTCAGACCTAGAAATAGAGTCAACCTAGGAATATAGAAACACCAATGAGATAGGCGATTCCCGGTGAGAGAGTATACTTTACTCATGTCAAGAACGTCTGAATAGGCTGAGCATAGCCTACAACCCGATATGTAGCTACTATAGATAACTATACTCCGGTTATTTCGGACCGGCTGAGATAGTATAGTACAAGTCAGTATGCAAAGTCCAATGTCCTTTATTTTCTCATCAAAATGGGCTAAGCCAGTCTCGATATAGTTGACGATGCGGATGCACGGTGAGCCGACAGCTAACACTAAGTCTTGGCATGTGCCCGGAATATTCACAGCCGGCTCGTATGGGAGGGATCGTGGTACAGGATTAGAATGCGCGAGCGGAAACGTGCATACAGATACTCTAGATCAGTCAAATCGGCAATCTCGGGTCGATCCATTAAGGTACGGGACCGAGAAGCAAAGCCAGACGGTGAACATGATATGACGTTGAAAAAGGTGTAGGATAGAAGCGCGCTACTCCTCCGGGATGTCAGATTAGTCACCGATGTATGTCTTGTGTTATAACAAGAGCCGCCGCCAGTGCCACGCGGTCGCGTAGGATCCGCAGCGCAGCGCGCTTGTCGCAGCCGATAAGACGTATGTATGCTAGCTGAGGGTGGTTATACGGCATCGTGCATTGTTACTAGAAACAGTATACCTGAGTAAGACACGATCAGCGAGATACAACGGGAGAAAATGGCCATCTGGGCCGATAGAACTTACATGAAAAGGTGGCGGTTCAAAGGCTAGACGTGACCAAATACGGAATGCGGCAGGGCCAAGACGCGAAGCCGCTTGCCAGAAGTAGGTTGGAAAGAGCTATTTTCGCTTCCCGTATTAGACAAACCTGAAAAAGTAATAGTGGTGCGATTTAGGAAAAGGGAGGGTGAAAAGGAGGGTGGAGGGTAGGTATGAAAGGTAGGTGTGTGTAAGTGTGGTAATGTATAGATCTGTAGTTAGGTAACATCTATACACACATGTATTGATACGCACGCAAATACTTACATACATACCTACGTACATACATGCAATCCTACATATGATGCGCTAGTTCAACATTGTTGAGTGTGTATGAAGTATGGATGTATTTGTGTGTGTATAGGTATGTCAGCAGGATGCTGGCTCTAAAAATAACGCTTAAGCGCCAGGTCTTGTCCACTAATACCTCATCTTAGCTAGGTGTGAATTGTGTTACTAACTAACATATATGATACTGTTGGTACATATTATATTTTTGTAAGGCTAAGACATACATGAATATGAGGGTACATTATATATAAAAATTGATTGCCGAATTGAGACATAGTTACAAGGCGGGGAAGGAACTATACTTGACGGTTCGGGGCTCCGTAACTTCCCTCCATCTAAGGAGCCATACACCGGGAATAACTACATCGTCCAACCTATATTACTAACATGTACATGCAAATCCAAGTAACACACCTTCGGAAAGGAGACTATCGACCGCTGCATCTACGACATGCGTCTGGAAAAAAACGTGGGAACCCTGTTAAGTGAGACCGGGAATGACTCGGTATAGATATAGCAAGTCCGAAAGGAATATCCCATCAAGTAGATCAGCAAATCCTGTTTTACGTATGTATGTATGATATAGGTAGGTAATTAGTAGATAGGTCCCGTATTAGGAATATCAACCGCGGGGATGCGTGATGAAGAAGTCTTCCTTACAGATTCCATGCATGCATGTCATCCTCTCGGTAGTCATACTGTACACTGTACACAAACGGCCGAAGCCATGAGATTCTTCACATACGCAAGCAGAGACCACCCGTTCTCGCAGGTTTTGGACCCCATTCTCCTTATCGTCTTTTCGGATCGCGCTGCCGAATCGCGTCGAAACAGCCGCCACATTTTTTTCTAATACACGCGATCATGAAACATATCAAGATGGATAGATCGTCAACTAATTCGGCTTGCATACCTTAGGTTTGTGGTTTGTTTTCTCGTTCGATATTCTCCTCCCGTCCTGCATTAGTCAGGCCATCATATTTCTGCTCTGGCTTACTATGTACCTGTTCGAATTCCTCAATGCCAGTTGACGTCTATCAGTTATTAATAGAATCATTTAAAAGCGGGGCTGTTCCACGACAGCGTCCAATTAGGGTTGCCGGTGTGCGTCAAAGCCCCCTTTCGTGGTACTGGTACTTCCCCGACCCGAGCACGCCACGGGTAGAGCTGGAAGCGAGGAACCAATAATAATCCAAGTCTATTCCAATGCCCAGCCTGAAGGATTCAACCCGCATGTACCCCTGGCCTTGCAGCGGGCCGTGCAAAAGCTTAGGTGCCCTGGAAAACGACAGTATTGTACCGTAAAATCTCCAAGGGAGACGGGAAGTTAACTGCGAGTCTTAGATTTCCAAAATGCTTCCCCCAAACAGATAGGGCACGGAAACCCCGCGCCGTTAACGAGTTGATAAGGGTTCACGAAAGTCGTAGGGAAGTATTGAAGAAAGTCGGAAATCCCCGAAACCTATCGCTTCCTTCTCAATCTTCATCAAGGAGGGTCGTGTATAAAGGTTTCTTGTTGGAACGCTCTTGTGACCCTTAGGGATACCACCTACCTAGGCACCGAGGCAAGTATGTAAGCCTTTGGCTTTACTGATGTTTCAGAATATCTGAAGTGCTCAAGGTGCATAGGTAAGCGATAACGAGCCCGTACTATACGCAGTTAGGAAATAGAGCACTATAACCGATTCTCTAGGGCCGGATCTTCCGGTGGTGATCTGCGTCTTAGTATCAGAATCTTTCTAATCCATACCACGGTAGCACGATAGGTGGTAGGAACGTGCCAATATCTGCCGTGAAACCCTCCAAACCTGGCCTGGCGGTGCTCGCTGGTTTAGTTTGCCTGGCTGTGACCTCACCGTTTTTTATTGTTGGCGTTTGTACCGTACTTTTGATGTATAGTGATTTTCCATGGGGCGCTCCGCACTGCATCCTCACGCTTAGGGTAGCTGCGCCACCTTGGCCGTCGCCTGTCAGATTGGAAGTAAACCTGTAGTTCTCACTCTCTTGCTTTTCTGGCAGGCATTGGCCATCCACACTTCGACCCTACCCGCGGCCTACGTTGAAAATTCCCCAGAATACCACCAACCCCTCAGGAATTCGTCGACAAAGACATCAATAGCCAACTACAAAAACTTATACGAATGGGTAATTGATTTTAACGGGCATGTGGTCTTGCGAAATCATACCTAACCCTATGCCACACTTTAGTAGATACTCTATTTCTGTGTTATTCTCTGCATCTATTCGTTGCGTGCGTACGTGCTGCAGCATGCGTGAGCCATGTACGTATATGTTGTGTACAGTACCTTTGATACCGATACCACACTTGCTTGCCCTGACACCCAGGGGGTTCCCTTTTTGCTAATTATGGCACTCCTTGCCGCGACAAGATCCAGTCTGCCGGGTACAGTATAGTATTGTATAGAATATCGCCTTGTGCCTAGAGTTACGTTAGGATGGTAGGTACCTACTGCAAGAAATATGATGCTTATCTCGGCGCGGTCAGCAAAAAAAGGTATTGACAAAAAGCACGACCGATACCAAAATTATTCAGCCAATTCGTCTACCTCAACAAGATGAATGAGATAAGAGCCTTTCATAAACCGTACTTCTTCAGGAATCGCATACTACTACCGCGAATACTTAGTATGTAAGTATGTACCCCGTAATAGCATCCGAAATGAGCCACCACCGTTAGGACCAGTACCTTGCATGTCGCGCGCCCTCATCCATCTCGGGACCCATGCAGATGCAGCCCAGCTGACGGCAGGGGTGCCTTATACTTGCAGCTACTATGTACGTAGGTACAACGGTCTTGGAGGACGGATTCTTTTCTGACCCAGCCTGCTTGGCCTGGTCGTTGACCGGCTGCTTTCTCGTCGACTACCTACCTTACTCTACCTACTTACTTCACTTTCCTCCATGCCATCTATCCTCCACCACCTATGCTTGCTGTTGTTCCTGCTACTTGTGCCCTTTCGGCCCTTTAGTCTCAATATAGCAATGCAGCTCAGCCTACCGCTTGCTTCGCTGTTGGCATTTTCCGTTTCATCGCAGACGGAGATGCTATTCACCAAACATCTCTCTCGAACCAGTTTGAATACTTGCCGCCAGTTAGAAGGCTGAGATCTATCTAGCCTTGCCCTTCTTTACAGATCCACCCCTCCCTATCTTAAGGTCTTACCCGTTGTGACTATTTCCATCCCTCTATACTCTTTTATATTTATCTAAACCTTGCAGGGCTGTGTCGTGTCGATTTCCATTTTGAGCCTCTGTGGTGCAGCATTAGCCATGACGAGTTTGCAGTATATTATGGATGTGGACGATGAAGAGAGCACCCCTCACATAAATAAAGACGATGGCGGCTCCATAAACCCCGGGCCATCTCGTAGTCAAGATCCTTCCCGTGCGGCAACGTCGAGCCATGAAAAGTCTAAAGATCAAGACGATAGATTAACTCCAGCCCCAACTAGACGCCGCGGTCCTTCAGGTCGCTCATCCAAATCCACCGCTGCCGCCTCGTCATCGTCCTCATCAACACCAGCAGCAGCAACAACAACAGTATCTTCATCATCATCTTCGGCCCGCCCGGCGCTTATGAGTAGGCGGAGCACTACTAGTTCTGAATCGATGGATCCGTACGGAAGTCACGCTCAAGGTTCATCATCTGGAGGAGGCATGTCATCGTCCGGTATGCCTTCGAGGCCAATAGGAAACTCTCCGGGTGATGGAACCCTTCCAGTCAAGTTAACTCCTATCACTGGCCGTGTTAGTAGGGCGAAGAAGGGGATGCCGGTCCACGTATGTGAAACGTGTAAACCACCCAAAGTGAGCACTCAAGACATATCGATTTGTTCTAAGAATCTACGAAGGCTAACTAGTTGCACCTAGACATTCACAAGAGCCGAGCATCTAAGGTGAGAATTTCTAGTTTCAAGAACTGTCGTGATATGAATTACTGAACGTCGAACTGTAGGCGCCACCAACTGAGCCATAAGACTCCTGGATTCCCGTGTACTTTTGGTGGCTGTGACAAATCATTTCACAGGGCCGATCTACTTGCGCGCCATGCCCAGAGGCAGTAAGTATCTCGCTAACCCAAGGTATAGCACCTATGATAGAACTAATCACGATGCCAGTGAACAAGGCGATGGATCGTCGAGGGGAACAGGTGGAGGTGTTAGTCGGCCAACGTCTGCGGGCTCCTTAGGTGAAGGAGCATCTGGAATGAGTTATTTGCCTCATAATCCTTCACCAATGAGTGGAGGTGCAGGATCTCGCTCCGGAATGACTGGTCAGTCCGAGATGTCCTCAGGGACATCCTACCCGAGCAATTTGCCTCCCTATCAGCAAATGGGTGGTTCGAGTAGCACCAGTGGGCAGACCCCAATGTCTCCTTCACAACATGGTGAGAGCTACCAGTCGGGCTCTAACCCCCCTACCCAAGGCCAGAGTTATGTGCTGTCCAACCAGATGCCTATCATGACCAACCCAACCTCAAGTATTGGGGGCTCTCCAGTTACAGGTACATCTTTTGGGCCTATGGATTACCAACCTCGTACATCTTCTCCTTCTTATTCCTATTTGATGGACACTTCCGGGGCCTATTCCCAAAATCTACCTAGCTTGACAATACCTGACAGTATTCCTCCAGGTCTTGTCCCTGCTGGCCACGACGGCTCCCCTTGGCCATCATCCGCTTCTGCTACGGAAAGCACCTACTCTACACCATCAGACATGGAGATCAACCGCCGGGGTGGTCTCGCTGGCGGTTACGGATCACCGGCATCGGACTGGCACGGTGGCCTCTACTCTAGTGCCTCCCATAATATACAAAGCCCTGACGTTGGACTGGACCCCCTTCCCACTTCCGCATCCTTCTACGCGACGCAATTCTCCCCCACGGCGGCGCCAAACCTTGACCAAGGCCTAGGCCTTCCTATGTTCTCAGACGAGCAATCTTTCGTCGAACACTCACAACAATACCACCCCTATTCTTCAGTTCGTAGTCCGACCCCACCGACTATCTCACTGTCCGCTCAATCGGCTGAAACTCTAGTCACCCTTACAGCCCCAACCATTTCAGACGCAGCGTCGGCGGGGGGTCGCCAGAAAGGATCGACGGTGCTCCTGGGACCACTCCAGGGTACCGCCTTTCTAACTGTTAACTCCCTGTCACCGCACGTCCGGAATGCCATCCCGAAGTATCTCGATCTGTACTGGAAGCGCTTTGACACGCTCGTCCCATTGGTCCACCACAAGAGCATTAAAACCGCCGCCGACGGGGTTCTGCGTTGTGCCATGGCTGCCGTGGGCACACAGTTCCTCCAAGGTAAGGATGATCGCATTAGAGGCAACGAGTTGCATGAATTTGCTTGGAAAGAGGTCAAGACTGTAAGTCCTATCGACCCGCTTGCAGTTCATGGAAAATAACCGCTAAACCGACAGATGCAGTGTACGCAGTGGAACCTCGAAATCATGCAAGCGATCATCCTTTGCGAGTTTTATTCGCGATTTCGTGGACGCAGCGCTCAAAGGAGCTCGTCGGAGCCCTTCCAGTCCCTTTACTCTCGGGTAAGCTTACAACCTCATTTCTATTCTTCTTCCCCTCACTCTTGTTGGCTCTCTCATATACTCTATTTTCAGGATCATCTTTTTAGTTCTGTTTTATCTTCTTCTACTCGCCAGTCGTATCAATACTCAACATATTCTTCCTTACAGATGGCCGATCACTACCAACATAAGCCGGACGCTTTTACTTTTACTTCCTCGACGCGTAACGAAAGCTGGAATGAATGGATCGAACACGAATCACGACGTAGACTCCTTGCCGCTTGTTTTGTTTTGGATATTCATACATCCGTGTACTACCAACAACATTTCTTATTACCATTTCCTATGTCGATACCCCCTGTTCCCTTAATTAAACCAACCGAAGACCTCTGGGACGCCCAAACACCCGAAGCATGGAAACTTGCCATGGAACGGATGGCGAATAATACGGAACCCCTTAGCCTATCTGACGAGCTGCCTACCGCGGAACAGACGGCTAACGCACCACCCCTCGACAACGCCGTAATCTTAACTGCAGAAGCCCTCCGACTGCCTAGGCGTTCTAGCCCTTCCATATTAGACCTCACAGCAGAGGTGGATCTTACTTGCACAGAGCGAATCAGCAAATTATTTCAAGGTTCTGGCGCTGGCAACACTTATCTGGCCTTACATTACACACCTCTTCATGACCTGCTCGCGGTCAGCGGTGAGACCTGGCTCTTTTCAAAGAAGATACAGTCACCTGATGTCTTCGAGCAACATAGGAGACGCCTCCAGAAATGGTGTGGTAGCCTCCACGCTGGTGCCGCTGTCGGATTCGCCGCCAAGGCCCTCATAGCTTACCTTTCTAACCTCAACCACACTAATGATAATATACTAAATACAGCTATTTCACCTTCAGACCCCGAAGAAGAGGATGGGGGCCAGGGCCGAGATAGAAGCTGGAACATGATGGATCTCTCAGATTATTGGGCGGTATACGTGTGCGCACTTATCTGCTGGGCGCATGGACACCGCACGATACGTGGCTCATCTGGCTCTGGCCCTGGGTCTGATCATACCTCTTCTACACCTTCCCATCATCATAACCGCCGCCACTCTAATGTTAATACCGGGGACAAAGGGGAACGGGAAGCGATGAATTGGCTCAAAATGGTATCCGACCTGAGCCCCGAAAAAGCGCTCAAAGCGCAAGGTCGGAAGGAGACCATGACCATCGTTAGCATGATAAGGAGGAGACTCGAGGACGAGGCAGTGGGCGGCAAAAGTCGACTACTCGTCGACGCCATGTGGACGTTGAAGAAGCTCGAGGAACGTGCCAATCATAAATGGTTTTAATTGGGATTTAGAGGCAGGGAGACCAAAAGAAAAAAAAAAAAAGATATCGGAAGACAGAATTCAGGGATATGATATGGATGGATGATGGTACAATTTCCTATTCTTCCCCCTTTTTTTTCCTTGTCATTTTTTTCTTTCTCTTCTTATTCCTGTATTTCTAATTTCCTGTTTTCTTCTTCTCCTCTTCTTGTATTCCCTTTTCAATTCTCACTTTCACTTTCTTCAGAAAATTTTATACGGTCTTGGCTTTTCTTCTTCTCGTTTTCATTCTGATCTCATCATCCATTTCTCTGCTTGTGTCCTTTCTTTTTCTATTCTCTATACTCTCTCTTAGTCTGTGTTGCTTGTATAACTATTTTCTAGACTTCGCGGGTGGTGAGGAGTTCTAGAGATACACCTGTACTATTTACGACGCATTTCAAAAGGCAAGACAAAACGGGGCGATGGCGACGGCGGCAGGGGGTGCATTTTACAGCGACAACAAAAAATGGCGCACGCATGGATTTTCCCTCCTTTTCTGCAATCTAACGGTGTTAGAGGAGGATGATCTGTATTCCCATCATTTTTTTTAACTGTTTGAGATATCCACTGGGGGAAGGGGTTTATTTCCTCGTCTTTTTATCTCTAACATTGCTTAGGCGCTTCGTAATACTCAGAGGGATGATTTAATGATGGATAATGAGTTAAATGTACTTTTAGATAGATGAGAAGGAGAAGAAGGGAAGGGATAGGATAGGATAGGATAGGATAAGATAGGATAATAAGGAATATACGATGAATTAAATATCCCAATTGTATAAAATTGTATAGAATTGCACAAGTTATCCATTGGTTCGGCGTTATTCGGATTTAAGAAAAGTACTTACATAAATACCCAGGTACCTATGTAGCTATTGTACACCAAGATTCCTTAGCTGGTTTGCATGTGATTGAGTGGGAAATTCCATAGATGTACATAAAATTAATGTACATAATCCAGATCGAAATCGAAATGCGTAGATGATTCTATGCGGATGCTGGCATTTTCGGAATACGGCAGTTGGGAATTGAGCCGATAGTCATTCCGCTTGCGGGCGACAAAGAGGCGTCCCTGCTTAAATTTTCGAATCATCTGAGCATCGAAGGGAGTACAGGAATTTAGTCATGGGCTTCTTGGGTTATTTATCTGACTCATGAGCACTTGTACATTTCACATATCTGTGTAAAAGTTAAATTGCTTAGTACTTATATACATCATCGTAGGCAGGTACCTCGCTCATAGAGTTGGCGTTGAGGTAAGTGAGATCAACATGATGATAACGCAATATGTGTGTATTTAGGTATCGGGTACCTGACAGTATCTGTGCGGGAGGTGCGGTGAGAGTGTATGCATACAAGGGTGGGGTTGAACCTTACGAGCTTCATGCTAGGTACATCAGCTAGGCATAATGTACCTAAGGTTATGGGGCTTAGCGATCGATAGATCGGGCTTTTATTGGGTTAGATGCCCTATCTAGACACTAAAAGGACTAAGATTACAGGTAGGTACCTAGATTAGGTAGGTGCAGGCAGCTTAATTATTACGGCGCTGCAAGCTTTCCTGCAAGTCTAAAGACCAAGCTCCAAGGCTCTTTTTTTTCTTAGACACGCTTTTCTCTTCCATCCTCCCCAAGTTTGGCCCTGCCTACCTTCGAACTGGATAGAAGTCAATCTTTCTTTCGAATTGTCTTTTGAATTAGCTCTATCGATATCTCTTTCTGCTCGATATTGTACAATTTTGATCATGGGAAGCTTCGTATTCAAGTGGTAAGTAACAAAACAAGAGACTGGCTCCTCTTCATAGCCTGTCGCCAATTTGTCGCAGTCGCAAGCTTCGAAACCAGAGCCTCTTCACCGTACCACCCAGAGCTTCCTAATCATCCGAAAACATTGCACTTTGCTCGCATTAATCTTACCGTTCAGCTTAATGTCCAGCTTCGCTAATATGCTATTCTATTTATTTTCACAGGGAGCATCCTGCCTCCGAGGTCTACGTAACCGGCACGTTCGACGATTGGAAGAAGACGGAGAAGCTGGACAAAGTCGGCGAGCACTTCGAGAAGGCGGTGACCGTTCCTGATGCCACCAAGAAGATCTTTTATAAGGTTCGTCTCAACATGTCTTCCTTTACACCAGCCGTGGTTATTGTTCAAACTATTTTTTACCCTTTCCTTCCCTACTCCATTTTTTTGCTTTTTCTGGTGGCATACCTCCAAAGAGCGCAAGGCGTTTTTAGGATAAAAATATGGTGTGGCCGGTTTCGCACAGTAACTGGGCAATGCCTGCAGCCAGCATGGATAAGATAATGTTGGACGCATTCGCATCCTATGGCTCCAATGGTCAAGTTACACATCCAATTCCCTTGCGTGCATCAGCCCGGTTGCCTAGCTTCAGTGTTCATTTGTATTGTCTCATTGTATTGTTTTGTATTGGATGTGCTGGAAGCTCGAAGTCGCTTGGGACCCCCGCTCCGTGTCTCCCGATGCAAAACATTACTCCGTGAACTACGTATGACGCAAGACGAACACCAATGCTACCAATGCTGCCAATACTACGAAGCGGCGTGGGTCGTGATGCTGATAGGTCAATTGTGTTGGGGTGACATATCACAACCACAGATTGGCCCTGGACGATTACCTGGTATAGGTAATGGCGGGGGGTTATGGAAAATACACCACAAACACTCACAAATACTCGCAAACTCCCAATATGGCATTCTTATTGCCCATTGCCGATCCTTGTGAAGGTCGTGTGCCAGGTTTCGACTTACGGAAAACAAATTTCCACACGTCACTTTTCACAATGTTCAATGTTGAATGTTCACAATGCTTGTACCTAGTATCTCCCTAGGTACTAGTTGCGAGTGAGTGAGCAGCCGACCTGCATTGTGGATACCTAGCATCGTCGTGCCTTGGCTGAAATCGATGGCCTTGACCTTGTTGTTTCCCCAAAGCACCAAAGAGAGCCTGATCCTTGACGCAGCTGCCGTAGGACCTCTACGGACTAGTTAATTTGGATCTGCCTTGTGGCTTCGGGTCTTCCGGCAACCTGCATTAGAGGGGAGAAACTTGTCATTGTTGAGCAATCTCCAATCTAATGTGCTGCCGTCTTAATTCTCCCTTCCCTTCTCCTCTTTTATTTCTTTACTCCGTACAGAACTGGGTCCTTGAAACATATTACAAACGCCGTCCTAGCAACATTTCTACCTAAACATTTGGACTCCGAACTAATTATTTTATTCTTTTTTGTCTATAGTTCGTTGTAGACGGCAATTGGGTCACCGATCACACTGCGCCTAAGGAAGTTGATGAGAGTGGCAACGAGAACAACGTCCTTACTCCCGAGCGCATCATTGCTGAAGCACCCGCGACCGCCGCCATCATGAACTCCGTCGCACCTGACTCCACCACCACTGCATTAGCCGCCGAGGCACCCCTCGAGTCAAAGAAAGATGAAGAACTTCCGGGCACTTTCCCTGAGACACCCGCGGCTGAACTTGATAAGGGTGGTGACTTTTCAGTCAATCCCCTGCCTGCTACTGCTGGCGCTGTGAACCCTATTACACTGGCCCCGGGTGAGAAGATCCCTGAGGGTCTTGCTGCCGAGAACACCACTAGCAATGTGAAGCTAGATCCCGAGTCCTATGAGAAGAGTGACACACTTCCAGGTAAGCCTTCCCCACCGACATTCTTTACATGCAAAGTGCGGGGTTTTATCTGACTATTTTTATAAGGTGGTGTACCTGTTATACTGTCCTCCGCCGCGCCGGAATCCACAACTGCTGCTTTAGCGGCGAGTGCGCCTATTGAGACAAAGGTGCCCGAGGTTGTGAAGGAGAGTCAGGAGAAGGCACACGTCGATCCTGAGGCTAGCGGCGTCCCTGAGGAAGTTCAAGAGAAAGCTGTTGTTGAGAGCGAGCTATTGGATAAGGTGAAGGAAGCACCTTCTACCTCTGAAGGCACTGCTGGCGAGGGCACTGAGAAGACAGAGAATGTTGTTACCCCTGGTGAGGCCGCTGCTACGGCTGTCGGTGGTGCTGCAGTAGCCGCTGCGGTTGCCGCTAAGGACGTCGCCACCGAGAAGGCCACAGACGCCGTCACAGCAGCGCAGACAACTGCCGTCGAGGCCGCTACAAACCTACCCGAGCCGGTTAAGGAAAAACTTCCCGAGTCCGTCCAAAACGCTATCGCGGGTGCGGCAAAGGAGGATGCTCGGGAGGAAGTTTCGCCCGAAGTGCCTGCTGAGGTTAAGCAGTCTATCACCGAAGCTGGAAAGGCTCCCGAGGCCGCGGCGAACACTGAAGCAGTTGAGGAGAAGGCAGCTGTCGAGGCTGAGTTGCTGAAGGAGGTCAAGCCCATAGAGGCCGATAAGGAAGAGTCGAAGGTCAAGCCAGTGGCAGAAGAAGTGAAGGACAAGTTGACTGGCACTAATGGTGAGGCTGCTGAGATCAAGATTCCGGCCGCTTCGGAGTCGGCGCCTGCAAACGGCACCCAAGAGTCTGTCAAACCTGTCGAAGTTAAGCCAACCGAGACAACCGCGCCTACCACTGGAGCTACACCAACCAAGCCGACTGAGGAGGCTGCCCCCAGCAGTGCTAAGCCCAGCAACGGTACTGCGCCGACGGAGAAGAAAAAAAAGAATCGACTCAGCTCCATATTCGGCAAAGTGAAGAGCAAGCTTTCCAGCAAATAAGCGTTAATCGTTTAACATTCACTTTATGTTTTTTTTCGGCACTCGTATCGACATCTTTTTCCTGTTTCGGTTTCAAGTTAATGATTCCCCATCTTGCGGTCGACTCGCTGCGGCGGTTGCTGGTAGGATAACTTGCATTGTCAAGCATTAGGTGTACATAATATCCATCTCCTCGACATTCACCCTCACCTATTAGCACACGAATAATATCCTACTTGAGATTTTCAGGAGGCTTTCATGTTCTTTGAACTGCGGGTTTGATATTCCCTCGTATTGCTGCTTGTCCTTCTCACTACATCCTTAACGAGTTATGTTGTACTTGACGGCGGGCACGCCTTTCTTACCTGCCTTGCAATGTTCACGATTGATGTTCCCTGCTTTCCAACATATCAGTCAGGTTTACGCCTAGATTGTTTTTTGAGGTTGATGATAATCCAGGATCACGAAAATGGTTAAGGAAATTAGTGACTGGGGAGTTTGGTCAGGCGATGATGAGGTCTACTTTGTCAAAAAGCAAAGGCACGGGAAAAAAGACGAAGAGTTGGAAAGGCCAGCACATCTTCAGAAACAGAGGCCAGGCGGTAATTGAGAAGGGAATGTAATGAAAACACTAAAAGCAGCCTAATAGACAATTATTTTCTTAAAATTGATATGATCTTTTTTTAATAAATGACTTGCAGTGATAATCATGAATGCTTTAATCCATAGAGATGAAATTCCTTGGGTATCATTGACTTTTCATAAAAATAATTATAAATGCATATTTGTGCATAATTATGTAATCGTTCGTGTCACATTTCTTTTAAAGAATTCCGACTGGTGGCAGGTGGCGACCGGGTTATGGTACCATGCTAGGGTGACATAGAATCAATCGTCACTAATGTTTTGGCCCCGCCGTCGCCGAGTGACTCCTTCCATTCAATCTTCCCTTCCTCTTCTCCAATCCTCCGGGGTCCGTCCACCTTGGACCCCTCGAATTGTTAGTCAACCACCAATCGAATTACTCTCGCCATTGAGAAGTTTAAATTATTGTATACCTCTCTGATAAGAGGAAATTCTCTCTCAATATTTTTTGTTATTCCCTTGTATACTTCTTCCCGTTAGTAAAATAAGGAGATCTTTATGACGTCGGAAGAGGTCGAGCTTTAGCTCCGTCCTTAGGTGTCTGTCATCCCATCTTGATTCTCATTCATCAACCTCTTTGGCCTTAATAGTCATTGTCATCATGAGCTCTGGCCAGCCGAACCTGGGAGGAAAATCCCTATCATCTCCAGCGCCATACACTCCAAATTCGCAACCTATCTCGGTTCCTACCTCAAGCTTTGAATCCGGTTCTCGTCGATCCGGCCTGTCGAGTCCGTCGTTCCCGAATTCAGCTCCGAGAAAAGGTCAAGGGTCAAGGAAACAGCACCGAAACCAACGAAGACCACTAAGAGACGCCGGCAATCCGGATGAGGATGACGCGATGGCAGAGCTCGTAAGTCATCTTAACTCCAGATCTTCAGGTTGATCGGTAGAACAGACTACTGAACTATTAAAACAGCGAGCTGTTCGAAACGCTTCGAGTCGTAGAGGGCAAACCTCCATTACTCACCTCCTAAATTATTCAGTCCCGACGCGCAACTATAATGATTACTACCCTAGATCTAATCGTCGACATCCCACTTGGGGCCCTGGTTCTGGTCACCATGCTGTCGACAAGGCGCGGTGCGTTTATTCTTATATCAAACTATATCCTATCTATACTAATAGAAATGGTCAGATTTGTCCATGCCAACTATCGCTTCGTAGTTTCACCTACTTCCGACTATTCTTCCCAAGCTGCCGATGCCGATAAATACCTTGAGTGGTCCGACGTACTTCAAATCATAGCTTCCGCCGAATCCCAAACGACCTCATGTCCCATCTGTTTATCTGATCCTGTAGCTCCTCGTATGGCGCGTTGTGGCCACATATTCTGCTTGCCCTGTCTACTACGATTCATGAATTCGACAAACGACGACGAACCGAGCATACGAAAAGAGGCGCGATGGAAGAAATGCCCGATCTGTGAAGACTCGTTCCGACTATCCGAGGTGAGACCAGTGCGTTTCTATGCTGGCCAAGAGAACCCACTCCCGAGACCAGGTCAAGACGTGGTCTTGAGGCTAATGGTGCGCGACACGGGATCTACACTAGCCCTGCCAAACGAAGGAGGACCGGATGTTGTCAATTTAGGAGAAGACGTTCCGTGGCATTTTGCGGCAAATGTGTTGGACTACGCCCGGGTAATGAAGGGAACAACCGAATATGTGGTAGATCAGTACGACAGAGAGATAGGAGACTTGCGACAACAAGCACAAGAAGATGAGTTTCAATTTGGCGTTGAGGAAGGAGACTGGACGCAACGAGCGATTAGAGCTATAAACACCGCAAAAGACAAGGTTCAAAACCAACAGACCGACGAGGGATCGATGCCGCCAACAAACATTTCGAAATCGAAGCAGCCAGAAGCACAAAAGTTTTATTTCTACACAGCACCTCCGCATCTCTACCTATCGCCTCTCGATATCCGTATACTAAAGACGAAATTTGGCGATTTTTCAAACTTCCCTTCGACTCTACTTCCACGTGTTGAGCATATTTCTGCTGGTCATGTTGTGGACGACGCTCTAAGAAAGAGGGCTAAGTATCTAGGACATCTTCCTCACGGATGTATTGTTAGTTTCTTGGAATGCGACTGGACAGATATAGTCCCTGCCGAGATCCTGGATACATTTTCCGGTGATCTAGAGCGCCGACGAAAGGCCCACCGAGATAAGGCGGCTCAAGAGGAACGCGAAAGATTACAGGCAGAACGCTTAGAGGCTTCAGCCATCGGGCGAAGCACAAGACGACATTTTGACCAGACCAATGGGGACAAGTTTGAACCAACGCCCAATATGAACGAAGAAGACTTCCAACCACTTGGAGCTGTCGAAGGTACAACTCCGCCAAACCCCCGACCGGGATTTAGCCAACTTGCGGACATCTCAACTAGTCCCTCAACTTCTAAAACAGTTTGGGGCACTCGAGCGATACCTGTTTCACCTGAATTAGCACCTGTAACGGAACACGATGTCAATGACGGATGGCTGAAAGATGATGAGTTTCTTGGTGCTGCTGAAATGGCTATGCAAATGGAAGCTTTAGGTATCGATAATTCAGGTGCCGGGCCCAGTAACGAATCCAAGACACCCGGCGGCAAAAAGAAGAAAAAACAGAAGATTACTCTGATGAGTACTGGAGGCCGCCGTGGTGGTTGAAATGGATATGCATCGATCTAATGGAGGAATAGTCCTTCTATTACCTTGTTTAGGTTCGGGAGTAAGAGGCATTCTTGGTATGGTATTGTTTCTACTTTCAAGCAAGTTATTGCGATATTCTACATATACCTAGACTCGACTCAATATCTAGAGTCAAGAGCAAGACCATCATCACGACTTGCGTACATTCATATGAGGAGTTTTTAACTGAACACCACATAAAACAAGGTGCAATATAACTAAAGACAAATATTACGGCAAATAGCATGGCGTGAATGAATTCAATGGCAATATATAAGAAATAACATCTATATTCAACAGCATAACTTGAATGTTAGAAGAAAGGAGGTTATAATACCAATAGGGAGCTGCCGCTTATCTTTCTTATCTCTCCCTCTATTAACTCTACTAACCCCGCTTCGACGCCGCCTATGTAAATGGTTATACGTCAGTATTCACATCGTTGGGTGAATGGTTTTGCTTGACTAGAAGCCACTCTTCTTACGCATTTGGAAGTTTTGACATATTTCTAAAGAAATGGACCTCCCTCCAGAAATTCATATCAACCCTCCTCTCCTAAACTCAGCAAACCCGTGGGCCACCACACTCGAAGATCTACGGGCCCTGTTTGCATGTCCATCTACAGGTGCAGTGACTACGCGGACGACACTTCTCAATGGCTTTGCGCATAACCCGGATGTGCATAAGTACGCTTTCTTCAGTCCCAACGCCCACCAAACTGCATCATTATCTACTCCTGAGACAAGATTTGAAGGCGCGAGTGCGAGTCTGAATAATATGGGATATAGTCCCATCCCATTAGACGAGTATATATCATATATCAAAACCATATCCGAGGAATCAAAAACAACCAAACCAAACAGGAAGGGGAAGGGGAAGGGGAAAACATTTATTATATCCGTCACGGGATCTCCGAAGGATGTCGCGATATGCTATAAACGTATCACAAGACTAAAAACTGATCTTCGGAAGAAAGGAGATAGAGAAGAAGATGGAGGTATAAGTCTCGCGATGGAGATTAACCTCAGCTGTCCGAATATACCCGGTGCGCCGCCTCCGGCGTACTCAGAGGAAGCCCTGGGAGAATATTTGGACACGGTGGGCCGTATGGCTGCGGCTACGGGTACGGCTACTCTGACTTCTGGGCCCGGGGGGAGGTTGGTTGTTCCTTGGGGTATTAAAACGCCGCCGTATACGCATGCGGGGGAGTTTGGGATGTTGATTGAGGCGTTGGTAGAGGCGGGGAGGAGGTATGGGGTTGTTTGTCCGGTTAGTTTTGTTACGGCTACGAATACGCTTGGGTCGTGTTTGGTGCTTGAACCTAAATCTACGGCTTCGGTGGGAGTTGGAAATAAGGATTTCAAGCCTTCATTGGCGGACGATAAGGGCATGACGAGTGGGATTGGTGGGATGGCGGGTGCGCCGTTACATCCTCTGGCGTTGGGGAATGTGGCGTCGATACGGAGGATGTTGGATGAGAATGTGGAGACGAGACATGTGAAGATTATTGGTGTTGGTGGGGTCGAGGATGCGGATGGGTATCGTAGGATGAGACATGTTGGAGCGGCGGCGGTGGGTGTGGGGACGGCGTTTGGGAGGAAAGGGGTGAGTGTGTTTGGGGAGATTGAGGAGGGATTGAAAGGGGAGGCTGTGTGGTGAAGTTTAAGAGTGAGAAGAGAGGCATGAGGCTAATATGTTGAATGACCCAATAAGGAGAAGGGGGAGGAGTCACGAATCTTACCATTCCATGAGAGCGGGGACACTGGATTTTGCATGTACAATAGTCGTATAGCGGAAACCGTAGACAGTTGGATTAAATACTGGATATTCGTCAAAATAAAAACACAAGAAACATAGCGCCGCCCGGTTTACATTAACGAAGCGACGTGTTGGCTCCCTTTCAAGCTATCAAGCTCCCTAAATAAAACATCCCAATCATCCAACCAACCAATCCCTCAAAAAAACCCAAGAAGATATTTTTTTCAAATCACATGATGTTCCTAATGATATATGGCAGATAAGATCGCTTATAGAAGAGCAGCAAGAACTCCTGCGAAAGCCGCAAGCAGACCCCCGGGGTTGCTCATCCGCTGCTCGTCCCCGCCGTTGCTGCTGCTCTGTGCCGCTTCCGTAGCTGTGGGGGTACTGGCAGTGGCCGTAATGTCGGCCGTTTTAACGTTTCCTTCGTTTGTGGCGCTGGTGGTAGTAACTGGGGACGAGGTAGTGGAAATGCTGCGACTGACGGTGCGATTTCCTGAGGTAGTGGCATAGAGACTGGCGTTCATGCTAAGTTTTGTGTTAGCGATAATGCTTGGTTATAGTGTAGGTTGTATTACCAGTAGGAGTCCTTCTGTTGTTGGTAGGTCGCTTGTCGGCTGTCGTTGGGACAGTTGTTGAAGCAACTATCTTGATATTAGCATTCAAGACCTCAAATGAAGTGGTTGAAGGATATGTACGTCATGATAGCGGTATACTTGTCGCATAGACACATATAATCTGTCGTCGCGCAAAGGCTGACATAGCTTTCAGTTGTAGAAAGACAAGTATCGAGAATATTCTGAGCGGCACATGCCGTTGTAGTAGTCGTCGTTACTTCAGCACTCGAATCGGAATCCTGAGCATTGACTGAGGCGGCAATAGCCAAAAATGCGACCCGGAACACGATAGACTTCATTATGCCTGAATATTAGTTGATTTTGGAGTGATAAAAACGAAGGAAAAGAAATGAAGGTGTATTCTGCTACTGTGAATGAGATGAAAATGAGTTGAGACGAGACGAAAAACTGGGCGTCTACGGAAACAACGACATGAATGTGAAACTGAAAGGAAAGAATGCCTAGCCCATGGTAGAACTATAAGTTGCCTCAACTGAGCTCAAATATCTCGGCAACGAGGCGGCATAACCTCCAACGTTGACGCGTCTGAGGAGACGATAGTTCGTCGATGCATGGTTACCTGCCGGTGGGTTAAGTCCCTGATATGAATGTTTCTAAACCCGCGCCTGGGTAGGTAGACTTCAGTATGCAACTGTATAGCTAGCCCCCAACGGACTGCCGTGTTGGGATGGCTAATGAAATGCAGGAACCGGTTAGTTAGGGTATACAGTATGCAGTAGAAGGTTGTTACTGTGGTTTGACAGCTTCGTACGAAGATAAGAGGAAGTTTTGTGAGTTCGGATGAGTAGTAGAGAGTTGAAAATAGACCCAATAACTTCCGGCCACAATCGAAATTAGAGCCATCCACTCGGCATCTTCACATGCGAAACTATCGCGTGGGAGAGAATCTAAACCATTTCGGCTGAATATGATCTTAAGACTTTGCTGAACCTCAGACATGATTGTGGAAGCTTTACACTCCTCTCTCGAATTCCTTAGCATGAAGAGAAGATGGTCAAACCAGACTGCCCAATTATGCATGACCAAATGTTGTAAACGATAGAATTGAGTCATTAAAAGGGGTATCATATTATTAACGATGGGGACATCTGAATTATCCCGTAGGCGCTCTTGGTTCCACAAAGATGCCTAGGTAGGATACCGGCAAAGAAAAATTACCTAGGTGAATGATTGACTTGGCCTCATCTCATGTGCTTACGTTACCGCCGCCCTTCAGGCAACATTAGGTTTCCCATGTCCATTCATAACCTTACGCGAATTAACATCGCCGACGTCCGGACTTGAATGCCGACGAATGAAGCTTGTAATATTAGATAAGCTACCCTCTCTGCGCGAGCTGAGCTTCTAACGAGGCATTGCGCGTCTCAAGATCTTCTATTCGCTTTCGTAGATCTTCTGTTTGCTCAGATGCCTCGACGGAGAACTCATCGATGATCTTGACGAACCTCCAAAGACGCAGGATGACGATGAGCGATGCAATTTCCTCGGCTGTATTATGTTCGAATAAGTCGACGGCGAAGCCGGCTACGATGACGAAGGCATCGAAACTATGAAACCAACTTTTGAAGTACCTATCATCGAATCAATCAGATACGAACCAGACGAAAAGGGTTACGACGCATGAGATTGAATTCAGCTCACCCCCAGCCATCGGCAAATACAGACAATAGCAATTCCACAAGAAAGACACTACTCAACGTCAACGAAAAGATAGTCAACCCATTTCGTGTCGGCGCCACCCATTCGTCATTCTCAACCCCTATTTCGCACGTGATAAGCGCGATGAAGATATCACTTAGAATGCCCGCGACATCGAGGATGATGAGTACTAATATAACCCAATGCTTCGCGCGCGAGTTCATGCAGCTTGATACGGCGGTCTGGATTCGGGTGTAACTTGATTTCCATTTCTCTGCGAATCCCTGCTGTTGTTGATCATCGTACTGATCGCTGGTATTTTGACCTATTTGAATTTGTTGGCTTGTGATACAGTAAAATTTTCACGTAGAAACTCCGAAGTCCTCATCGGCATAAAATCATGTACGTAGATGGCTTACATGGGTCGGACCTCTTACATCATCGCCGTGGGTAAGTAAAGAAGGACTCACCAAGGAGGGGTGCGCTGTCACTCATTTTCTATAATAGTACACTGGTATTTTGGCGATGTCTGAAGGATTGATAAAAAGCAAAGACAAAAGTATTAATTGTAAATTTCCTCAGTTCACTTTAGGTAGTTAGTTGTAGAAGGGTGAGAATGAGTTGAAGATCGCCAGCCTAGCTGGCTCAATAAGAGAAAGGGTCGGGTATTCCCCGGCGATTTGTGTCACCGTAATCCTCAGTGCAGTATCCATGATTTGAAGGCGGGCGCCCTCGCGAGACTGGAATAATCACATGTCATATCGCTCTTCTCCATGGGATATTAGGACTCGGTCTGTTTCTAGCAGCATTAGGTAATTCGCCAAAATTTCCAGAAATACGAAGACGTTGGTGTGGCGGCTTCCATTCTGCAAACCTGTGTGTATACATGCAGCCCCCCGGTATCTTTATGTACATCCTTGACAAAAGAGAAAAAAAGGTCTACCGTCACGCCGTCGGGGATTCGGTCTAGAGGTGTAGATGATGATGGTAATGATGATCGCTTCCTCTTTTCCTTTTTTCCCATTCGTCCCTCCTCTTTCCCATCCTCCTTCCTATGCTTCATTTCCTCGTCACCTCTTCACTTCCTGTACCACATCCTCGTGATCTGAGTCGCCCTCATCTTACGCTGTAGTTGGAAAATACCGTACATAAGAGCTTCACTGGTAGGCGGGCACCCTGGAACGTATACATCGACGGGGACGATTCGGTCGCAACCGCGCACAACACTGTAGCTGTAGTGGTAGTAGCCGCCGCCGTTGGCGCAGCTACCCATGCTGATGACCCAACGCGGGTCAGGCATTTGATCGTATACCTGTCGCAGCGCGGGCGCCATCTTATTCGTCAAAGTGCCGGCTACGATCATTACATCGGACTGTCGCGGGGAGGCTCGGAAAATGATACCGAGTCGATCTTGGTCGTATCGTGGTGTGGAGAGATGCATCATTTCTACGGCGCAGCAGGCTAGACCGAAGGTCATGGGCCAGAAAGAGGATTGTCGCGCCCAGTTGGCGATTTGATCGAGGGTTGTTCTGTGTGCGGGGTGGCGGGTTAGCTATATTTTGTTCTTATGCGTGATCTCGACTATTTTCCAATTCTAATTCGTGATGCCGGATAGAGGGACAGTGGTGACGTACAATGCATATTGAATAGCGCCCTTCTTGGGTACTTGGCTAGCTAGCGGTACTTCTTTACGTTCCCGATGCGCGAGTCCGGTGGAGCTGTGAGGCGTCACCGATGTGGCATCCTTCTTAGGGGTTGTCGAGATGGCGGCGACGGATTGGAAAGGGACCATACGGGTTGTCGGCTTAGCTAAAGATTAAAGTGAATATGTTAGTTGTGTATACATATTGTATATATGGGGGGCGAATGTATGTATCGTGGGAGGTATGGTGTGGCGGGCAATAGCAACAAACCTCTCAAAGCCAAGGTGGCTGCTCTTCTCGAGGAAGACAGCATCGTATCTTATCGCGAATTAATGATCCCAGAACTGTTAATTGGCAAGGTGGATAAAAAGTCGTAAATTGAGAGGAGAGGGTTCTATTAGGAAAAAGAAAGAATTAATTGTCTGGGAATTAATTCTGTAATTGTCAATCCATCGATTGTATCTAGGCGGGAATGGGGAATTAGAAATGGAACCTCCGTCAATTGACGTTAACAAACGTTAACAAAAACGAGCTACTTTTTTGCCGCTTCGCTAATCAAGAAATGCTTCACTCCGAGTGGCTCAATTTTGTCGGAATCCACATATTCCGATCCGATATGACCCCCACTCCGCGTTCACAATGACGACAGTTGCCGACAGCTGACTTTTCATAATTAATTCTGTATTTCCGTGAATCAGTCAACCAGTCAACTCAAATTCCCAACTGCACTATCAGTTAAATTTCAAACTAGAAAACGCATTTTTAGACTAAAAAGAAATTCATTTGGTATCAAAATTCTAAGGGAAGGGTATCTCTTATCGTACCACCCGAATGACCCCTTTTATATACTATATGTAGGTCCATTCCATCCCCAAATTGTTTGTCCAATGCAGCCCCCTTAATGTTTACTTTTCGATGTGTTCCTATTCACAATCCCCTTTTCCTTTACCCAAACCCGAAGATCTGACGAAGCCGAAGAATTAGAAGCCGAAATCAGTTACCAATGCCTATATAGACAGCATTGGGACCTTATCATCAACACCTGCCCAACTATCATAACTTTGATTTTGCCGTAATTAATACTCTCCTTTTTGACCCGATTAAGCTTATCATACCATACCCAAGAGTTTCATGCCCCTGAATGCTATTTTACGTGATGGTTGCCATACGTGTTTCTGCCCATCATAAAATATGTACGCGGACCCAACAGCCAGTCCTGTGAGACGTGAACCATGTCCCCAGCCGAGCCACGGAATTCCTATGAGTAATCCGACAAGTTCGAATACTGCCCATGCTGTCGCGACATCCTTCACTTTGTGCTCGCTCGACGACAACCACACGTTCATCTTGAGGTCTGAGTGAAGTACGGCATAGGCACCCAACACTGGGGAATGTTAGCCGTTTGCTTCTTAATGTATGAAATAGATTCAAACGAGTAAAAATGTGCTTGCTTACTAGCCATAAACACGCCGGTAGTCCCATGTGTCGGCGCGAATCGATTCATTTTATAACTCCTTGTCGGCAACGTAGGCGCAATATGCTCTCCCAGAGAAGTAATCGCTGCCGTAGACAGGAAAAACGCAGCGAAATGATTCCCATTTCCATCAAACGCCTCCCGCGCGACGTCGGGTGCGATCTGGATCATGGCAAACGTATTGAAACTAGCGGATATAATATTCGTGTGCAGGAATGCTGAGGTGAGTAACGTATAATTAGGACTCCACACCGCGACGTGATTGAAATGCTGCATGAACGTGCCCGGAGCCAGGGAGCCCGCGCCGTAGAATCCGATGTTGAGTGCTAGGACGCCTAACGTAAATTTCTCTGGGTTGGAGTATCCGGATAGTAATTCCGTAATTGGATTCCGCGTATGCTCTCCTCGCGACCAGGAGTCGTTAACGGAGAAACCGCCGTACCGATGCTTGTATTCCTCCAAGTCATCGTATGTCCATGTGCTCGCCTCCGTTAGTAGCCTCCGCTTCCGGGCGTTGGATATGTCTCGGTGCACGTCATGCGCTGCACAGGCGAAATAGATACCTGCCGAAAAGACTAGGACGAAAATAGTTGGCCGTAGGATGGGCACCGGAGGCATTTCGGCTCCCGGGATGAACGACCCGAATCTACGCTTCGAGGGCCCGGCCCCGGTAAGGCGGCTCCGGAGAGCCGTTGCTGTCGCGGACAGCGAGACTCTTTTTAGTTGGGCGCGCAACATTTTTTTTTTATTCTTGGTGGGGCCCCGGATGTTGCGCTACCGGTTGGGATGGCTTTTATGCGAAAGCCATTAAAGCCCAAGACGGTATTTGGGGCCCCTTGGCAATGGCTTATTTTAGGGGGTAGAGATGTTGATTTATGATGGAGGTTGGTTTAGGTACAGTACAGTAAGGTATGTGATTGATTGGGGAAGAGGTGCGTTATCCGGGAAGACAGCCGTTTGACAGCTGGCCGGCGGTTGTAATTGGTATCGTCCATGTATGTTTCGCATAGATACCCCCATAGATACCGTGGCTTGCATTTGAAGAGATTGGGAAATACATATGGGCATCTGAATGTATCTTGCTAGAAGATTCCATGATATTTAGTTCGATGTAGGTTACCTCTTATGCGTTGACCGACTTTCATCTAATTCAGGGGGAAAAAGGTAAAGGAATGAAATTATGATACTGTACTGCATCTTATGATACGGTAGAAAAATTCAGAGCATGCCATAGTTCATAAATTACTGCTAGAATTCGTCGCCTTCTAAAGAGACGTATGCACAAATCTGCCTGGGTACATCTGGAGGTATCTATCTAGATGTACACACCCGTGTAGCCGTCATCAGATCATAACTCAACGCCACCATGCGTGCGATCAATAAATTCGCTCAACATTTCACTGTCTTAACTCTTCTAGTTTCTTTTTCTGCTTACCCTCGCTGTCAAAGTTGGAAGGGTCGAGCCAAGCTTCGAGAGCTTTCTTGATATAAGGCCATTCATCGTCAACTATTGAGAACCAGGCGGTATCTCTGTTGAGGCCCCTGATGATCAAGTGCTTTCTGAAAATCCCCTCAAAGGTGAATCCGAGACGCAAGGCTGCTCTCCTGCTTGGCGCATTGAGCGAGTTACACTTCCACTCGTACCTCCGATAGCCGAGATCTTCGAATGCGTGGCGCAACATCAAGTACTGCGTTACACAACACGGGTTAGAAATAAAGGTTCCCCGAAGTCCGAAATTAAGAAAAATAAATCCTAAGATGAGCACTATTTGCCATAACTTCCATTGCGGCCATGGAGCTATATCTAGGTATTACATACCATGGTCTCGGTGGCAGCTGGTGTACGCTGCAACTGCGACGTGTACATGAGACAGCCAACCTCGATGCTGCGATGGTTCGGTTCAATTCGCAAATAAGCCGCAATACCAACAGCCTTGCCTTTGGCGTCGTTTCCCGATTCTCCCGTGTTCTGATCGTTGGATAGGATAGCATAGAAGGTAGGGTCCTGGATGGTTTCCTTGGATTTTAGGCTAGCACGGAACGTGTCGATATCGTCAAATGGACCCTCAAGCATGTAGTCCCAGAGATGCGCATTCTCGGGTCCTGATAGATGGGGATGGAGCGAATCTGCATGTTCTTCAGACAAGCCAACTAAGGTGACATGCCGACCGGTCAGTTTTGTGTCCCGGGACGGACGCTGTGCGGGAGTGCTATCAACGGCTACTCCGAGAGGGTTGGGGGGTCGGTTCGCCATTGCTACTAATGTCCGAAAGAAACGCTAGGTATTTGACAGATATGTGGTAGATTACCTAGGTATGTAATAGGAGAGAGGTCTAATAACGATGGCGATTGTAGAACGAATTGAGTTACTTATTTACCTACATATGTAGGTAGGTACCTGTTAGGTATCTTTTGGGTAGTATAAATTGATTATGAGTCGACTACATCGCCGAGTTCGCTTCTCTGCGTGTTTCGTCATCTTTAATAACTCCTTAACCAAATCAAGCTAGATTGCTAAATATCAATCAAAGCAAGGGAAGTTACACAAGGTAGGTGCCCGTCTTAATTGACTGGGTTAGGTGATGTCCATGTTTGCCTGGGCGTTGCTTCCCTAGATGATGATGGAAGAAGGCGTGCCCACCTGCAGTATTTAGGTGACCTGAATGACCCGATTGCGACACGGAGTGGGTACATAACAAGCCTATAAACAGCAACTAACACCCTAACATTTAGAACTTCTCGACAACCCCCACTATCTTCGCCATTTCTTCTTTTACATCCAACAAGTTTCTCAATTTCATCTACGATATCTCAATTAAATTTAACTCCAGATGCTTCCAGACGGGTTCGAACGCGGTATATAATTGATACGTCGGTCAATTGTTATTATTAAAACCCTACGCGAAGTACCTTTCGAGGATCTGATGGGATGGCCTCTCATCCATTGACTAATCTTCACAAGGATATAGCACAGATCAGTTCAGATACACCCAGGCAGAGATGATAGAAATCATTTCTCATCCATAATTTTCAGGTTCCGAATTATACACAATCCATTTTGTATCAACCTTTCATGAGTTCCAATCTCCACAGCCTCCGATTTTACTGATCCGCGTCCATTTGCTCCTATCGCTCCCTTATCCTACGCGCAGTATGCGTTGCAGTCGGCGTCGTACGCGCATGTGCCTTGTCCTGTTCCAGGCCCACACGAGCTGTTGAAGATCATGGCGTTGGAAGATGATTGACATGCGACCTGAACAAGACGCGGATTAGCCAAACCTATCTTTTTTTTTAAGGGGGTTTGATCGCGGGCTCAAGCCGAGTGGCCTTCTAATTAGAGATCGCCTACCATGATTCCGCCAGGAGTACAGCCCGTCGTCGCTCCATCACAAGGATAGTGGATCTCGCCGGACCAGCAGGTCTCTGCGGCATCTCGTGTTGGTAGCACCGTTGCCAACGCAAGAGAGAAGGCGACGGGTAGAAGGACGATAGCAGAGATTTTGGACATCATCTTGGCGTTGATAAGGGTAAGTTTCCTTTTCGTGTGTTCGTTTCTTAACGTCAAGATATAGTTACTTAGAATTTATACGACACGACTATAAGTCGGAGAGAAGTGAGGATATGAGTTAATGGCCGAACATCGTCACTTATAAAGCCCTCTCGGTTTATCCCTTCTATACATACAACAACGTGATCCCTGCATATACGGATTGCGGGTGCTGCCGCACGGTATAATTAAGGATCTAGACTCCTGTCCAACTAATTTAACCGCCACAAGAATTTTCTGCGAGTTGATACCAACGGTCTTCATTCAGCCTGTGGGAAACATGACAGCTACCCAAAGTGGCTGGTCCTTTTGCAGTTTCGTTCTTCGCCGGTACCCATTTAGGGGTAAGATCATCCGTTACAGGGCTGATATGCCAGGTGCATAGAACGCTGTAAGGTACCCCTAATCGTAGCGTTACATATCAATCGACCCCTACCTACAGGTAGCCTATGGCTTCGAAAAGTACCAGCACGCCCCGCTGAAGACATAATTAGAATAGCATACCTCAAAGGTGAGATCCATCCAAACTACAACGTGACATCAGATAACTCTTAACTTGACGTTCTTACTAATATGGATAGCAAGAAGTTTCAAAGTCTCGCCGTTATTTTGGCCTATCTTTATTGCTACCAGAGCTTAATTATATGCACCTAGGTATATACAAGCACATTCTCGGATGATGCTAAGCCACTCTTACGAGATGACTGCGTTTTCGCTGAAACAATATCATACTATGATGATTGAGCACTAGAAACCCCATAACAAATCGCATATGAGAAACAAGGAAATGGGGCTTACTGCACCTATTCTTATAGTCTGACAGTAGCTCCGATGATATACATCATTCAACTAGCAAGGTAAAGAATGTCCAGTCAGATTGTGGCTGCTTAGCTGTAAGCCATCCATTGCGATAGAGGAACATCACGTTATGAACATTCTAGACCGTACGCTGACATTAGATCAATCGCAGACAACGGGATCATATGAGATCGTATTCATCAACTTAATATATCAATACCAAAAACCCTTGGTTGGTGGTCGACTTTGCTCGCTTTTCGGCATTTCCCCAGGTAGGTCAGTTATCAACCTACCTATTGAAGCAAGGATTACCTAGGTACCTGCTCACTCGGAGTCTTCGACTCGGTGCGAATAAATGAAATACAACATACTCAACGAAGTAACACCCATGTGTCACATTCGCTCTACGGCCCTAACGATGCTTGCCTTTATGTTAATTTTGGAGCAAGCAGTGTCAAGCACCGAGAGGGACTATTGACAAACATCCTTCTAATCTGAATAAGGAACACGATCGATGAAGAATGTATTTCAAACCCAAACTTCTCATAGCCCTTAAATACCTCATGGGGTACCTAGTGAGTAGTACAACTCTGTCGCAGAAAAATTAAGATGGTAATAACCTGTGTAACGTGTAACGCCACAAGTTACTTAGGTATCCACAATCTAGAAATGGAGATTTCTAACTGTACCTAGGTAGTTTCACGATACCTATATCTCCCGTTTTTTTGGGGGGGGGTTAATTAATGTGTTGATTTCTTTCTGGAACTTATGTTTGGGTGGATAGCCGCATATACAAGAGGTCTTCGCCTAGTTCCTGGGAATAACCTGAACGCGGGGCCGTAATGCCGTGTTGACTTGGTACAAGGAGGATAGGAATCTGACATAATGGGGGCTCATTGTAGAACCCCCAATTAACTGACCTATAGAAATAAGGGGTGAACTCACTACGGCGGTCGACACAACCCGCGCGCAATAACAACACGATGACCCAACTAGGAAAACTTCAATATACGCCTTTCTAGATAAGTCAACTCCGTTCGTTAACAATCGCTCTATCAGGAGTAAGAATCGGGGGAAAGCACTTATATGTTTTAAGTGAGACTACAATCGAGGGGTTACAGCTACCCAGGTATCTAGATACCTCTTACCTCCTAAGTAGGTGTTTATGAGGTTTGGTCTAACTATGGGTTTGAGGAGAGCTATCAATGTTTTGGTGAGAAGAACAGCCATGAATTTTTCTAAGTACAATAAATCCGGGAACACTAATTTTGTTGCGCATCCTCTTTAAACGGAGACAAAGCTATTGTTCTGTATTGTTCTGCATTGTCAAGGTGGCTGTCGACTTGATGCCTTTGACAGCAGGACACAGTGCCATTCCGGATATCGACACTAGAAACGGTATCCATCCGCGCGTTGAACGTTATGTTTGACGATGGCAGTTGACCATGTTCAGTTGTTTCTCGACGCCAGATGTATATAAAACAGAGTAAATCTGTGGCTTCTTGGGTCAATTCAACTTCAGAACTATATTCGATTATATCTTGAGTATTTGATCTTACAGAAAGTTAACCATTTAAGCATTTTAAGCATATCTACAATATTCTCAACGTTTTACTCTTCTTAGCTACCTACATTCCTAAGTATCCAACGATAAGACTCGCAGTCATGGTTGAACACGATAATGATGTTCCACGCCGAGAACCCGGCGATGGCCAGCCCGATCTCGACCCGTATCGCGGCATGTCATATAAGGACTGGGCAAGTGGAATAGAGAACAGTTCGCCAATCCCAACTAACAACACTGATAAGTCTAAGAAATCGTCACCTACCAAGAAGGCGGTTGCCAAACCCGACAAATCCACCAAAGGGGAAATCAGTGTCACGGGGTTGTTGGGCAAGACATTGGGGAGCAAGGGCAAAATCATGAAAAAGACGAGCCCAGCCGCACTAAGTCTCGCTAGACAGGCTAAGCAAAATGCCAACACGACTTATAGTCGTCTTGAAGCTCTTTTAGATACGGATTCCACCGATGACGGTGGTGCTCCAACGCCTACTTCTACGACAGCTAGTCCTCACAGCGATTCTCCTCCTCAGGTGGTGAATCCTCCCGCCGGAAGTGCTCCTGCCAGCATCCCTAAGGTTCCAAATCTTCAGAGCACTCCCAGCTTACGTCCACCGTCTATTCGTGGTGGTCATGCCAATTCGCAGAAAGGCTCCTCAAAAGCTAGCTCTAGTTCCTCTGGTGGCTCTTTGAAGGTTGCCCCTAAACACCCCCCTAATACCCCTCCGAAATTGGGTCCTACTGAGAACCTGTCGGCGTCTAGTCCCTACCCTAGCAGCAGCGCCCCTCTGTTATCGGGAGGTTCTTCCAGTCCCTTCTCTAGCAGCAGTCCGGCAGCAGGCGCCGGCGGTCAGCAACCGGGTCTTTTTCAAGGCCCTCAGTTTACGACCGCCTTCTCTGGTGTTTTTGGACACGCCACCAACGCTCCCGCGTGGGATAGCGAATCAACCGATAAGGGCGTCAAGAGCGCCAAGAGCAACGGGAGCAGTAAGAGCGCTGAAGACAACTCAGGCGCGCCCGTTTCTGTTGCTTCGATTGCCAAGGGTCCTCAAGACCCAGCTCTTGTAAGGGAGCTCTCAAAACTCAGCGTCAGTGGGGGATCACATACTGCTCAATCTATTGTCTTTGGAAACTCTTCTGTGAAGGTCTCTACTCAAAGTTCTCCTAGCCAGCTTGGCAGTCCAATTCATAATACTTTCCCCAGTAGCCCCCCTCAACCCAGCAATAGCAGTCAAGGCTCCCCCCCTTATAATACCCCTGAGGGCAGCAATAGTCCTAGTTCCGGTTCTGGTAATGACGTCAATGACGGCGATGATAAACAGTCTCAACCACAAGGGGGGGCCGTTGAAACGACGGCGGATCAACTTGGGTCCGACGTTACCATGGGTGAAGACGTAGATCTTTCTGTCTATCATATCGGCCCTCAAGGCCCTGCCGGTCCTGCCGGTAGTGATGGTAATGTGGGTCCATCCGGGCCTGCTGGACCGGGTGGTCCTTCTGGTCCTCAAGGTCCCAAAGGCAATAAGGGTGATAAAGGTGACCGTGGAGCTATGGGTCCTGCTGGCCCGCCCGGTCCTGGTTGTGAATGTAAAGCCAGTGGTTGTACTTGCGTTGCCGGAGGTTCTGGTCTATCGGTGTTAGCTGGTTCGGCGGGCCCATCGGGACCCCAAGGTCCTCCCGGTCCACCAGGTCCACCAGGCCCTCCTGGTCCTCCAGGTCCTCCGGGGCCACCCGGTCCTCCTGGAGCCCCTGGACCATCGGGTCCTTCTGGGCCGGCGGGACCACAGGGACAAGCTGGATTTCCGGGACCTGTCAGCGGTTTCCATTCAATAGAGTTTATTCCTACATCACCAGGTGATACCCCCAGTCCAATGGATCTTTCACCTGCCTCATCACCAGGTCATAGCCCTCCTCATGACACTAGCCCTCCTAGTGGTTCTGATGGTCTTCCAAACGGCCTTCCAAACGGCCTTAGCGTTCCTAGTGGTCCTAGTGGTCCTAGTAACGTTACCGTTACCGGCTTTAGAGGCTTTGGAGGCTTTGGAGACCCTGATGGCGTCAATGGTGTCAACGGTGTCAACGGTGTCAACGGTGCTAATGGTGCTAATGGTGCTAATGGTCCTGGTGGTCCTGGTGGTCCTCCTGGCAGTCCTCCAGGCGTTTCTCCACGCGGTTCTCGAGGCGGCTCTCCATTCGGCTCTCCATTTAGCTCTTCAAGTTCTAGCTCTTCTAGCTCTTCGAGTTCTAATGGCCCTGAAGAACCCCCATTCAATCCTGGAGGACCTCCTCGGCAACCGCTTGGTCTAGCAGATCTGCCCAACGAAATACTTATCAATATTGTTGAGTCACTTACTCCTCAAGAACGCTTGAGTCTGGCGAATTCGCTTCCCAATATCTTCCGGTCGGATGTACATATTGACATCTACAGATGGGAAGCTCAGAGGCAGCAAAACAGGCTGGTCCTATACCCTCCAGGAGCGGGCCCACCGCTTAATTTCAACCCGAATGATGAATTGCCGCTTCTCACAGTCGCTATCAACCAGGGCCGTAGTGCAGAATTCATCAATGAACTTGTGCATGCGTACGAGAGCATCGCAGTTAATATCATTAACAATATGTACGTGAATAGGCCGTTCCTGCCACCGCTAATGCACTCTATCGCCCTTGGAAGAGCCGATTACTTTGCGCTTTTCCTCGAATTAGGCGCAGAAATGGAATTACGCAATACACCCGCCTTATACATTATAAGGGGCACAGGACATGGTGGTACCTTGGACTATCTTTTCGAAACTTACGATCGGCTCCGCTGGCTACCTTATGATGACGTTCCGTGGGATTCCCCTGAGTTCGAGCCCTTGCGTCTTGTGGAGGAAATGATGTTAACCTACATGCGAAGAATGCACCTAACCCCTACCATTGAGGCGGACGGGCAATTGAATGAACCATTCAGAAGGGTGATCGACCATGGGATGGATACGACACTCCGAACCTACCTCGAGGATTTGGCCGCAGTATTCGGCGGTCACTCTATCGCTCCCACTAACCCAGCGATGCCATTTGTTGTCGGACACCTTGTTCAGAACGTTGTCGCCCATAACTTTGGCCTGGCGCGCTATGAAGCTAGAAGGACATTCGTTCAACGAAGGGAGCAGTTGATTCGCGATTTGATTATGGAAGGAGTCCAGATGCAGGCATCAATTTTGTTCGATGTCATGCACAATAATGTCACCAACGCCAGAATTGTCCTTCAGGCAATGCTTGACCGAGCGCCCCACGGCTCACATGAGTTGATCAATTTCCTTTTATCATTAGCTTACCTTAGGATTCAGGGAGCCGAAGACTTCTGGTCAACATTCAATCGGGCCCTTGACCCTTATCCGAATATCCGAGGCCGTCTCTACTACTCGGCCATTCGCGACGCGCACCACAACATGACCGCTGCTGAGTTTGTAGATTACTTGCATAATCACGGCAATGTTACGGTCGTGCCTATCCAAGTAGTCTATGATATAATCAATTCAAACAGCATGACGCGATTACGGCAGCTATACCAACTTTTCCCCGGGTTCGATATCAATCACGTTCCAGCGCTGACGCTACCTCAAGGCGCACTTCCGAACGATGTTATGGTTAACTTCGACTTAACGCGACGGGTACCACAACTATGGGACGTCAATGACGCCCGGGCTGCGTGGGGATTGACGCCCGTCGAAAGCGCAATCATGGATAGGAGATATGCAATGGCACTACATCTTATCCGTGAGCAGGGCGCAAACCCCGCAGTTAGAGACCAAATTTTCATCATGATGCTCAACGGATTAGATATCCTCAGGAACTCAATCAACGAATATGATCCTACGGCTCGTCTTACTTACCATGTTACCCCTCTAGCCTACACCGATGAAGCCAACCTTTTGCCACAAAACAATGGCGAGGCTGCCTTGCGGGAGTACTTCGCGGTCTGTCGCCTAGTCCTAGGAAATTCGTTTGACTCATACGACCCGGAGGAAGAGTAAATCCCCAACAGGGTGTAAAGACGACCAAAACCAACGACAAAGATCGACTAGAAATGTCGATGAGTCGGGAACAACCAAGCAGACAATGACCCATCCCACTGCGAAAATCCATACCTTTTATCTATTCTTCACTTCTGGAGTTTATGTTTCTTTTTTTAATTTAGTACGAATGTTTTCGCGATTGTTCATTCGCAATTGTTTAGATTTTATCTGTTTTATAGCTTGCATATATAACATCATTAATACATAGGAGTAAATAAACGATTGTTTTGCATATATTCTCTCTCTATCTTTATGACCGTGACCTTTTGTAATATGACATTTCGGTTCCCAAGATACTACCTACTTATGAAATATGTAATCATTGTTGATCACTACCCAATTCATCGTGTCGGCGGCTTCTGCTTCTTGTCTCCTGGTCTTCAACCTTATCTACGGGACCTTTCCGTCCCGTAGCTGCCTGAACGACCGAGACGATGATGGACAGGACCACAGCGGCTTGAAATAGAACCCTCAGTCCATCGACGTAGCCTTGTACAGCCACTTGCCGCTCCTTATCATCGAGGCCGCCATTATACACCAAAGCAGGACTTCCAATGAGCTTTCTGATGAGATCGCTACGTCCCGGTTCAAGGTCATCCGAACCATCAATCGCTCTGAAGCCATTCTCCAAAGCTTCCCTTAGAGTCCTGGCGAATATACCGCCGCCGATCGCACTGCCAAAACTGCCGGCAAATCCGCGGAAGGTACCGAGTAGGCTGGTCGCTACATAATGCGTCTCTGGCAGTGTTAAATGCAACAGGTGCGCAAGCGTGTAATTTAATGCTGCTCCGGTGAAGAGACCGTTTAAGAATACGATCGCGACGTATAGGGCGATGGGGATGTCGGGAGTCGAGAGCAAAGAGAGAACAAATAGACTCGCAGCGAAGAGGATAAAAGAGACGAGAGATGATAACCAGAAACTTCCAGTATGGCGAATGTGTAACCACTAGGAAAAATATTAATAATCAAATCAAAAGCTAATAAGGGTTAGAAATTAAACGATGCAGAAAGACTTACGCCGATGAGTAGCCCACCAAGACCAAAGCCAAGATTCGTCGGTATAAGGATACTACCGCTAGCTGCGGGAGGGAAACCCCGTACCGCAAGGGCTGTGATTGGGGCATAGAAGAGAACCGTCCACCTTGCCGCCATGAACCCGAGCTGAGCAACACAAGTTAACAAAGCGCCGCGATTCTGGATAACGGTGATTGGAACAATAGGATCGACGGCGACATAGTACTCAATCAGAACGAAGATAATAAGAGCCGCTAATGAAATGACGAGCGGGATGGCTTGAATGTTGTTCGACAATCCAAACAGGAAAAACACGACAGTAGCAGTCTACGAATAATTAGCAATGCATAAAATGCATAACTACATTACTTAGGTAGTATCTAGGTAGCTTTAAACTCACCAAGAACAGGGCACCGAGGTAGTCAATCCGCTTAAGTTTCGTGACCAGCGAGCCTTCTTTGGAACTTTGGTTCGGTGAAAACGACCCTGGGATACTGAAGTAAATCCCCAGTCCCGCCAATAAACTTGGTGGAACCTGGATCCAGAAAAGAGCCCTCTAGACGATCATATAGGTAAGTAAGTGCCCCCCCAAAAATCAGAGACAGGAAGCACACTCACCCAGCCAGTAGCCGATATCAACCCACCGAAGAATACAGCCCCCAAGGAGACTCCTGTGGTAAAGCCAGCATTCCTAAAACCACTAGATCAGCCACCTACCTACCCCTCTTACACCAAACAAGATCGGATGTATCGAAACGAAGAGGGGTCGTGCTGACTTACATTAACCCAACATACAACCCTCGCTGGCGTTTCGTCGTCAGTTCAAGAATAAGCACAATCGCCAAAGCCGTAGAACCACCACCGCCCATACCCGTGATCACACGACCAAGTATGAACACGGGAAAGCTATGGGCCTGCGACGTGACGAGGCAACCGATAGCAAACAAAGTCGCAACAACCAAAGCCATAGAGCGGGGCGCAAAGATAGATGCCAATTTCCCAGTTAGGGGTGTGGTCGACGACATAGCGACCAAGAACGCTGTTGTAAACCACATGGCGTTCTCGTACGCATCCAAGTCTTCAGCTATGATGGACTGCGCCATGGTGATACCCGACATGTTACTTGCTACGTGGGGGTCATAAATTAGTATATGAGACATGGCTTGCGGGGGTTTTATATAAGGTGGCGCGGATTCGGATAGCCTACCTTGGAGAAAGATCAGGAGGTAGACGCTGAGGATAATAGCTACGGCTCTTCCTCGACTGACTTTCTGATTGGGCGTATCTAAGTCGGATAGCACTTCATCTTGGGACGGGCCAGATGTCGCGGATGATGCACTGCTCGCGACATGAGAGTCGGATTCGGACCGCAGGAGCGGCGTGTCCTCTGTAGCAGAGCCATCTATCGAAGGGGTATCCCTAGATTCGACAGTTTCTCTCAGGTCATTCTTTACAGAGCTGCCAGATGATTCCGGCTGGATCGTCATGATGAAAGTCAAGAACTCCGGATCCCCCGGCCCGCCGATATGCGAGAATGGCTGCAGCTGTAGATGCTATTCCCGGAGTTTCTAATATGACAACTTATTTCCTGTCAATTCCCTCATACAGAATAATCAATCCGATAAAAGAAGAAATCTAATAAGGTTAAATCTAGTAAATAAACAATCTTAAAGAGACTCATGATGTCGTAGAATTGAAAGATAATGATTGAGATTCCTATTGCGTATTAGCCGATTGGATTGGTAAGCTTGCTAGGTACTTACTGGTATCAATCAAGTCCACGTCTTCGGAACTAGGCAACTTAGCCTAGAAAAGCCAGGTTTCGCATAGAATACTATACCTACTTTCTCTATACAACTAGGTATAATTACATAAAAATGTAAGTACGTGACAGTAATGAGACTAACGCTTAGCTTATGTTATATGACACAACCATTATTAATTGGCCCCTATTCGGACACCGAGAGATCCGCGCCCTTCGGATAGAATTGAGAAAATTCTTTCAGCCATAAGCCGCCTATCTAGATACTTATCACGTATGACAAGAACTACTTGAGTCAATTGACAATATGAATTGATTGTTTTTTCAACTATGAATGGGTATCACTAAAGACCTATGTCCAACCATATAAATACCTAGGGTACCTAAAGCATCATAGATAACGTTTCGTAACCCATTTAGAGTTACACCGTCGCCCTGCTATAGCTAGTGTAATGCTTAATTAACCCTTTTAATTTGACGTAGTCCTGTCGTATAGAATTGTAGATAAGCCGACTGATGAATTTTCGTTTCAATTTCCGGCTTGAATGTGAGTGACTTTAATTATTGGGACCATAACCCAAATTCGAGATCTTCAATCGAGCCTCGTAGTATCGGGCACCTCCGAACCTAATGCCTCAGAACACAATTGATCATTGAGATAAGATTGTTTCCATTCTAATTTATTCCCAAGCCAGTCTACCGGGATCGTGTTAGCATAGGCCGGGTTGGCAAGCTCGTGCATTGCTCCGTGATTTCACATTGTTTGTTCACGGAATCCCCGAGCCTACGACGTGTTGATATCGCCCAGAATGAGAATCAACATTCTATATCAACATCGATATCTTGTTGTCGGAGACTTGATAATAGAGCTCCGGGGAATGAGAGAAGATGCCACGAAAGTAGACTTTAGGCAATGTTATATGTCTACAAGGTGCCGTGTTTCGATCTCCCCCACATAATAACCAATTGAGCGACCTTCGAATTTCGGAGGGCTGGCCGATCCGAAGAGGGTGCCAATGGTATATTGGTGATAGCATTATTGCTAATTGGATTTAGAATTCGTCATAATTCGTTCTATTTCATCCAGGACTGGCAGCGTTCGCCTCACGATGCTCATTGACCGTTTGGTCGGAGCTTCTTCGTGCAGGAAGTGCGGTGCTCCCTTTACTCAATGCGATCGATAGTCGTTTGAGGAAACCGGATTTTTCGTCATCGGGTGGAAGTCCAGCTATCGATGCCCTACGTCGCGCCGCAAGGATAGCGTCGAGGTCCACGTCCCGGTTAGCACGATCCTGAATTTTAGATTGATCCTCGGCGCCAACACGGGCATCAACCAGAGCTCGGGCATCTCGCTTCAAATCCAAAAAGAGGGAGAAGAATCCGGTTACAACGAGTAAAGCGGGGACAATAATGAAGGCTATTTGGATATTGCCTCCCCGTTCAAATATCGCATATATCACGTATGGCCAGAAAGCTGGCCCAGAAGCCCCCATAGTAATCCAAGCCGCGGCTCGTTTGGTACGTTTGCCTTGACCGCGAAGTCCTAGTGCAAAAATAAGAGGCCACATAGGACCCTCAAAAAAGAAAAATAGCAATACCGGTATTGCAAGTAAATTTGGGTTAGTCGGACGGAGGGCCGCCACTAAAATGCCACATACAATGCTAAGTCCGGTGGTGATGCTTAGTATTGTGCGTGGCTGTGGAACCTTCGGATGTGTTGGAGATAAATAAGCGAGGTACGCCGCGAGAAATCGTGAAACCGCGAAAGCGGTATGTGCGATGAGAAGGTAGTTGGGAATGGAAAGCGTGAGACCTGGTGGGGGCTCTAATGATTCCGGTGCCGTCTGGGTGGTTGAATTGGTAGTGGCATTAGAGCCCGTGGAGGATTGTACAAGAGTCTTCGGAGTCATGATTTCATTGAAGAAAATACTCATACTCTCTTGGCCGGCAACATACGTCCATTGGGCTAGCACTGCTAGGACTAACGACCAAGTTCGAAGCTCCATGCCACCAAAGCTGCGCTTTTTAGGGTCGATTGGGAGATAACGCGTCGAATTCTCCATCTCGGCATCGGTAACCTCCGGTAATGGCATATAGTAAAAGAAGAGAGCTAGCGCCGCACAGAGGAGTGTAATAGCCAAGTATGTCCATTGGACATCTAACAGCGCTAACGAATTTGCGCTACCAGGGGTGTCGAGCGCGGTAAAGAAGACTCTCTGAGCTAGAAGCCCGCTCAAAACTGTGGCGATGGCCTGAATCCCTTGGGCTAAACAAAGTCTCATCTCCGCATAATCCATTGGACCGCAAAATACGATGAATGGATTGGCTCCAGTCTCGATGATCGCGAGGCCGAACCCGACGACGAAGTTGCAGATCATAAACCCAGCAAACGACGAAAGAACGGCGCTAGGCCAGAACATAATCGTCCCTATACCATAAAAGCAGAGGCCTACTATAAACGTCGCTCGATAACCGCCAATCTGATCTGGGCCGTTCTTATTCCTCTTCGACCTGGAATGTTCGTCATGTCGAAGGATCCACTCGCCAACGAGCAAAGGACCAACCAGGTATCCACCTCCAAAGTAAATTGAAGAGAGCCCTATGGTTTCGGCAATCGACATCCCCGAAACCGAGGCAACTGCGTTGTTGAGCTGATTCAGGAGACCGTAGGAGAAACCCCAGAGCAAAAATAGGATGACGACTATGGTGCAATATTTAAACGAGTCGCGAACGGAGGTCCTAATCATGCTTTTTGGTCGACGCATGTTCACAAACCCGAAATAAACCGAGTTTTCCATCATCGAATATGTTCCAGTAGCGCTCGTTAAGACCGTTGGTGATCGATCGAGTGGAGGCGGGTGATGCCCATTCATACCCATATCGGGTGTTGTAAGGAAATCGATCGCGGATACCTGACTTTCCTGACTACCTCCTGCATGCGTTTGAGCTGGTGGTGTAACATGGTCTTCACCAAACAGACCCGGAGTTGCTGGCCGCCCGTTATTGGAGCTACCATTCCCGTCGGTTGAAGTGTCCTTCTCATATGTTTGAGTCCGGTTGGGGTCGACCAACATGGCGGGTAAGATGCGGCGAATCAACGGCTTTAGCGTCGGGATACACGCGCAAATTATACCAACGTTGACCTCGACGGCAGACCACATAAGCGAAAGGGACGCATTCCAAGCGAACTGGGGTGAATTTCCGAAAGTTGCTGCAGGGGTGTCTGAAACCGATGAGGAAACCTGAGTGATAGCTTGTTCCAGGTAGTAGATTCGAACGACATCGACCACAGTAACAAAGATACCCAAGGCAAACGTAAATATCAAGATAACTTTCTGTCGTCGAGGTAGCCTCATGCTAGTAAGTACGGGTAACGGCAGAGCAAGGATCGCTAGATCTGTTACGACGTTAACCGGCGCTGAGCATATGAACTCAGTAAGCAACGGGACGCAGTATGCCGGATTAGGATACGGATCAAACGCTGCTTGAACCGGGCGACATTGGAAAATATTGATTAAGGTGAGAACCGTGCCGGCCAAGTTAACAATGACCAAGATAGCCCACGATGCTAACCGCAACACTTTTTGAGTATTCTTGGAGAGGCGGAGGTAGAATATCAGAATGGAGGTCTTTGTTGCCATCAAGGCGGGATTCTGCCATGAGGTCAGATTTCAAATTAAATAGAGGCCATCGCACGATTCAACTTACGTATAGGACCGAGAAGACATATTCACAACGCCGCAACTCATTCCAATTTTCAGGTGGTACATTCTCATCGTGTCGACCAAGCCCCTTACTAGCACCCAAATCGATAGCAAGACTAAGAGCAATAGCTAGAATCCAGGCGCAAACGATAAAATAATCGTCCCAGGTAACGCTTCGTACGATACGAGTTCGGCAGAATAGCCTAGCAAGGACAATACAACTAGCGAGGACGAGGGTCCAAGTGGTCACACCGAAGACCGCCGGACCACGATTGGGAAAACTGTTTGGCGACATCTTGAGCACGGTGATGTCGTTGTGCGACTAGGATCCTCCAGCAAGGCCATTAGAACGTATCAGCTCCTCGGGGGAGATATTTGCTCGAGTGGACGCGAACTATAGTGTATTTGAAGAAGCGGATCCGTTAAGACGATCGTGCTTCCGAAACTATTATTCTACGTGAGAACATTAAGTGGATGGGAACATGTGACACTCTGGCTCGCAGCCGGGGTGTCTATATAAGATGCAGGTGACAAGGTCCCGCGAAGTCGAGACCGGATTCGTCGTCGAGCTGTCGACGAGATCAATAAAGTGTTTCGGCTCTCTAGGTATGTCGATTTAACGAAAACGATCCAGGGCGACAGAAATTTATATATTGGATTACACAAGGTGACGAATTAACGAAAAAAGAGGAGTGAGAGAGGAGGCAAAAAGATGAAAAGAGGTAAGCCGAATTTCCTTTAGAGCGGTGAGGAGACAAATGAGGTATTGAGGTATTGCTGTGTAGCGAGGCAGACAAGACCGCCTACCCCGCGACCGCCATAAGTTAAGAGGACAATGATTACCGGACCGAGGAAGAAAGGAGAGAGAAGAGGCGAGTAAGAAGACAGAAATGGAAACGGATGCACAAAGACCTGTTTGTGTCCGTTAAGTGCGTAAGGGAAGTAAATGCGTACCTAACTGTATACGTGTATACGTGTATATACGTGTATGTACGATGAGGTGCGATGGGCGCGATGGGTGCAATGGGGAGGGGGGAACTCGAAAAAAGGACGAGAAAAAAAGAACCTACCATACCAAACTAGAAAAGCCAGAAAAGCCGCAGGCAGGTAAGGTAAAATGGCCCTTTTCTCGGCTGGCACAATTACCTACTATGTACCGGGACATGACCCTAATTGATTCTGGGCGTCGGTAATGAGTGTTTTTTTTTTTAGTATGTACCAACCTCCTCCTACCAAGAAAATAGCCCCCTCCATATTTAACACTATGAAGTTTAGTAGGCAAGGGTACTGGTAGGTAAGCTGATGAAGCCAAGAAGGAAGGATTAATTCCCATGAACGGATCAGGTGCAAGTCCCGCTGCAAGTATTAGTTGTACTTAGTGCACCCAACATCTCGTTAGTTTGTACATGTAGACATGTAGCGTATGTAGCTCATGTAGCTGGTAGATGAAGAGAGAGAAGAAAAGGAAGAAAAGAAAAAAAATTTGCTAGCTGAATGGACCCAGTTGTTCTCGCTAACTCGCTAAACTCGGGCTCGGTGGGACTTTCCAGTTATTAGCTTCCGCCAGATGACGTTGTTTCGCCTGGAAACGGACAAGGGTGAGGAGAGTTTCCCCACATTACATGGTTGGTACTTTACCCCAGATTGGCCCCAGATTCACCTTCGCGTCGCATTCCTGCGTTGTTTCCATGATTGGGACAGTTAACGAGATAAACCGTTTTAGGGTGACGGCAGCACAGGGTACACGGGATACTAGTCTCGGACGGCTCGAACTCTATTACTGGCTTCTTCCCTGGCTTCTTTTTCGACCATTTTCGAGGTTGTTCGCGCGCAGTTAGGCACCTTGTTCTTACTTATGTCAATGACATGTTTCGGCCGTTGAAAAGTTGCGCACATAAAGACCTTTCGCCCGACACATTCCAGGTTACGGCCGAGATTCGATAGTCTAGTCGAATCGAGTCGAGATCTCATTCAAAGGCTGACTAGCTACCCCAATGTTACTAGACAATGGGTTTCAATTGACGACGTAACAGGTTACTGTGCCTAAGTACCTAGGTAGGTAATCCTGACTTGTGGCCGTTGGTACTAATCCCCCAACCCAATGTTGCGTTTCTCGGTAGGAAATTAGGGAATTTGCAAATTGTGGCTGCTGACTAAGACCAGAGAGAAATGTAATTCGGTTGATATATTGGGGTAGCATTTTTACCGTATTACAATCGCTTCTTAATGATTGGTTAACAACATTATAACCGTCTCGATACACAACAAGCCAATTATACAAATATGTAGCATCCGCCTATAGAATTTCAACTATCACAACTTCGAATTCTCAGCATACGATTGCCATTAAAGGATACAAACACACCAACTCACTCTATCGTCTTACATACTTGATTAGGGGGCTAATTTTAGTCTAGATTCAAAAACATAATTCCTCTCTTTGTTTAGAAGCCATTAAAGTTTGGGCAGCAGTACTTGTGAAGTCCCTACTGCATACGTTAAGCCATCAGATGGTTTCACAATCTCAACGAGGCAACCCGTCATTGAACCAAGGAAGACTTGTATGAGTTGTCTTCTAATTCTAGAAGCACCGATAGAAGCCCTAATAGGGGTAAAATTATTACTCTTAGTTCTAAAAACGTTTTTGGTAAGTTAACATTATGAACTACTACCTGAACACGACTTTAATGGTAGACGTATACGAAAGCCAACAAAGACAACTTACACGAGATAATAAATGGAGAATTGACAAGTGTATCAGAACCCTAAAGTCCTAAAGTCCAATCATCTTTCTTAACTTGACGGCTTATTGACCCATTCTTGGGTTCATACCTATAATACCCACCCACAATAATGGGTTCTTATCTTGAACGTGATAAAAAGCTTTGACGTCTCTGCGAGCTTTGACTCTGCTCTTAGGAAACGGAACAAGTCAGACACAATCCCTAATGCAAGTATTCAGGCAAGCAAGCATATAACACCTATAGCTATAAGTTATATACTCGATGTTAAGCCCTCATTACATAATCCCAGGGTTCCACATACCCATCACCTTTGACAAGCCGCCGTCAGAACTATATTCAACGTCAAAGCTTTTATTATAACGTTCATGGTGATTCGCCATTGCAATTGAGCTAAAACATAGTTCTGACATATCTGGTGGCATAATTATATGCCCCATAAAGCTATTGCGGAATATAGTTCTTTGTGAAATTCAGGCACGGAATTTGCCAGTATGTCAATATAAGCAAGGTTACCTCTTAGCCAACTAAAACATAGACAGTATCTATGGTTCTAGCAATCAGAACATACCCCATATACGCTCGGGGCATCTAGGTGGTCCATAGAGAACTCCATACATGTTCTCGAGGTTTCAACATGCCCTGTAGGGCTCACCACGTGTAAAATTGAAAGCAGACACATAAAAGAATCAAGAATTAGGAATTTCATTCTCAATATGAAACACAAATGATAAAATTAGTGCTATTAATTAATTGCTTGGTAAGTTCTTGTGGAACTACCCCGGCGCACAGTTAAAATTGTCCTGTCCTTGGTAACGAATCATAAGAACGCCTAAAATTCTAGAACTGTAATAACTAACCGTTTAATACTCTTGAACCATGGAATCCACAGCCTTAAACAAGCCTTACGAAGCTCGTTTGGATGTTGACTTAGTAGAGCGCACTGGGAGGTATCGCGTGCTTAAAAGTCACACGTGTGTCTATTTAAGTGAATACGTATCGAAAGCGTGCTTATACGAAGAGATGAGAAATTGACAATTACTTAGGTACTTAGGTAGTTGGAAAAAGAAGAGTTAGGTGACATGTTAGTCAAAGATGTCGTCGTTGGATTAAGCTATAGCGACAATGCAATGTGACTATGCAATCGCTACATTAGGAAGGTGTAGTTCCCAAGAAAGTAGGCTACAAACTATGCCTCTTCAAAGAAAATGATACTACAATAGGGTGATAACCTGTGGGCTTACTCCATAATGGGCCATGGAGAACCGATTGTTTGGGGAGATTTGGTATTGGTCCTCATCGTTTGTGATGTCCATTCGCCAAAATTTTAGAACCCCTTAACCCCTATTCCCCCCTTTACTCCGATCACATTCACAGAATGTTTATTAAAAATCAAAACAATCAATGCAAATGCAACCACAAGCTTTATTTGAAGTTTTATTATAAGAGCGTATTTAAATACCTAAGCTATAGTGTTACATAATTTATCATTCCTCTCTATATTTACTTATCGTAGGTAGTATCCATCTATACGTGTGACCCCCACTCGATCATTCATACATATAACATCTCCCACCAGAAGTCATAGGCATACCTTCCTTAACCTTGGGCCTAAACCCATACCCCAAATCCATAACGTCCTCGATGGTAGCGTTAGAAGGCGGGACATTCGGCGCAGTGTCGAGCGGAATGCCGAAGAATGTGCGATTGCCAGTGATAGCAAAAGTTCGCTCCTCTAAGTCCTGACCCTGCCATATCGCCCACAATCGATCAATTTGGGAGTGTAGCAAGTAGAATATTGGGTCGTTTGGCGAGGTAAATAAATCAAGGCCGTCCTTGCCAAGAAATTGGTGCGACTTAACGTGCCATAGGTTCTCAAGACTCCAATAGAACGACGCGATGTCAGGCTCCTCTAGAATCTTGATCGCGTTATCCCAAGTAAGGGATTCTGTACTGGCTTCGAAATTGAAATTTCGCTTTAAACAGCGCGGGTTTGATTGGAACCCGAACTTATCGCCTGCTCTTTGAACTGTAGGGCCCAAACTGACTTGAAAGTTTGCAAATGGCCCGTCTTTGACACAACCACCACCCGTACCGGCGGGGTATGTTGTAGTGAAATTGATAGCGAGCCCGGGAATGAGGATATCGTATGGTCCATGATCATTGGGAAGGTACTCTCCGTTGCCTCCAAATGAGGAGTTATCGAATACTTTCGATTTTAAAGGATCTTGGGAGAAGCGGGCTTGATCCCAGTAAGGAATTGTCCCCTTATATCCACATTCATTTCTCAATGCTTCTTCCATTTGCCATACGTAAATCCGATGCCATGGTAGAAATGGGCCCTAACATACCGTATTAGCATAACCCGAGTCCAATTCATGAGGTGACCTACAGAAATGTGTATTCGGTTCGTCTGGTTATCATGTATATATACAAAATCGTCCAAGCGGTTAACGGCGCCAGGAGCTAAACTTTTATCGACGATGGCTGGTTTTGAGGCTAGACACTTGACAGCTCTGACGTAGTCAGTTCTTGTCGCAATGTCAAGGTCGTCCCTATTATCTATGCGTTAGAGCCTGGCTTTACTCTACATAGCATTTCATGAGGCTAGAGAGGATATACACTTACCAAGATTTGCGAATGCGAATGGTTTTCTTTGTACATCCATGGAGGCCCAAAGAGGCTCTTATGTTGGCTTGGTACTGTCTCTCCAACTTCTTGAATTCGGATGGTTTAGGGATGCCACTACTATTTCCACCATAGGGAGCTGATAATGACACCTGGGCCATCAAAGAGACGGCTATAGCCAAGATGAAGCCGCGCATGGTTCCTAGGAGAGATAAGCTGCGGGTAAGGAGTTGGAATGAAAACAAAGGCGAAGTGGCATATCTAACGAGATGTGAGAAACATTATAGACTTGTATAGGTACCTATTTACATATGTAAATACGCTCACCTACATGTAAAATCGTGGTTATGCTTCGGTCCCGGGAGCTGACCCAGGGTAAGATCTCCCGTGCGATCATAAGCCAACACCTTACCTGCGGCCAATGGTAGGAAACCTGGCGTCTAGAAGGAAGCTATCTTAAAATACCAATACTCATTTAAAATTTTTAAATGGATGCCGCTGTATTAGGCTCATAGCACTGTAACAGGACACAAGATATTTGTGTCTTACACGTGGCTTGCCGTGTGCTTGCTTAATCTAGGTTATAGGGAAACAGTCAGCTTCCCGATTATCGTTTATGAGACTATGACTGTCATAGAGTTCAAGGCCCCGGCTTAAGACTGTATATACAATAAATCTATGCGAAACTGATAGATTGAGTAAGTGGTGTTGTTTAACTAAGGCAACCACTTCTTAGCTGTCTCCTTACCTCAGTACCAACTTAACCTAGGTGATGAGCCGACAATGATTGACATGCTTGCCAAGAATATATGGTGCGCCCTTGATAGAATACAAGGACGGTTTCGATTTAGTTATTGACAAAGTCGAAGAGACTAGTCGCTGCCACTCATCTCGATTGGATCCTAGGTATCAATTGTTGCCAATCAGAACCCTGAATATTCATTCGGTCCCGAGGTGCCTTATAGTCAACCAAGTCGCCGAATTGTTAGCCGAAATTTGAGCAAAGGAATATGTCGGACCCGTGCAGATTTGGAGGGATCGAATATGCTGGGTTGAGTTTCAATCGCTCCTACTGCGGCGCAATTGTTTAAGGTGAGATTCCGATTGGATGTACCGTCGCAGGGAATAGTTCATATATATGTATAGGCGAACGTTGAGAAAAAAGTTTCAAAAGAAGATATATATAAATGATTGGTAGGCATATGCGCATTAAAAGTCAATTCTTTGATATGCGTTGTCGCAATTGCCCTAGCTTGACAGCTCGACTTGAAGGGGTAGGTGTCGCCCTTAGTACCTTGAGTTCTTCCTTCTCGTTCAATTGCGATTTAAAAATTTCCTAAGCTTAATATGGTCTTGGTGACTATTTATAGAGGATTTAGGTAGGTGCGCTCTAACTTCGTCAGAATGCGAGGAAGTCGCAATTGATTGAGGTGGCTAAACGATCTTATCGAGGTCATTTCCCAAGCTGCTTCATTAATTTCTAAATGAATCATCTCACAACCTTACCTGAGTAATTCTCCAACGAAGGGTGTCTAAGCCCAATTGAATCCCCCCTGTCACGCTTGACCCTATATCGCTGTCAATATGAGTGTCCCTTTCCCTTCCATTCAATCCTTCTTTTCTAAGGAAGTTCCTCCAGGCTCTCAAGCCGAAGATGATGAACCTTCTAATTTGCGAAAGCCCGGAGATGGATTTACATCCTCTGAAATCGAAGTAGCGCTTAATCCTCTGTCGCGCCCCTGGGAGCCCTCACGGCATTATGAAGCATGTCCCATCTCCCTTCTAGAGACCGGCCCCCACAATTACCAGATTTCTGGAAGGATTGTGAACTTTTCAATTAATTATCGAAAGCAAGGTTTCCATCTTCTTATTGTAACAGACGGAACGGGAGCCATTGCGGTACGTCAATTGGCGCTGCTGATATTCTTTGATGTTGATGCTCTGGACTCCTAGGTCAAAATCTACTATTTCAAAGAATCGGATTATCAGCTACTTCTCGGCCAAAGAGTTGCAGTCTGGACTACATTCATATCTGGTTCGATCAATACTGGGTCAGGGCCCATTCCATTCTGTGCCTTAGCCACTGCTCTGTATCCTGGGCGCAATGGTGCAACGCATATCATCATCCACAGCGATGAACCGAACTCTGAAGGCGACCGTATTCTACGACGTCCATTGGAATATAACGTGAAATCGTACGAGTACCTTCCTGGCCTTATGACTTTGAAGGCGTTTCTCTCAACCGGATACGATCTAGGGGAAGGTAAGATTCTCGTTTGTGTGAGAAGTGTCGGGCCACGTAGAACAATTCAATCGAAGAAGCGTCAGGACATCCTCGATATGGTAGAGGTTGGTGTATTCGATGACACAGAAGCCTGTGTTCTGAAGCTCTGGGAGGATAAAGTTCCTTCGGCTAAGAGTTGGGTCCCGAATCAAACCATTCTCTTGATTTCCAAACCTACCCATTACACCAGGGGCACAGCTGTAGATCTCGGCATTGCGTACAATTCGATGGTCGACGTAGACCCCGATTTTCCCGACGCCAATTGGTTGAGAACTAAAGTAAAGGACATGGCCAAGAAGCAGAGTATATATACTCCTTTCCCTTCCGGTGCATGGGATGCCGAACATGGCGCAGCTCGAATTCTGTTCACTCTTGCGGATGTAGAAGAGCAGGTCCGCCATTCCGAGCCAAAGGCTACCTTCACCGGGAAGTTAAACGTCATTATCTTCGAAATGAAATTGATGGAAAATTGGCGTAAAGGTACTGCTTGCTACTTTGAATGGTATGTGAGCATGCGCTTTATCGCTGGTCTTATAAATTGATCAAACCACTTAGTTGCGGTATTCCACTTTACGCCAATAAAGCCGTCGCGATCTGTAAGAACTGCCAATCGCGACGGGAACTCGAACCCAACCCACGCATTATTGGGTCAGTCATCGATGAAAGTGGTGCGATGGCCGGCAGCAAACTTGTTTGGCGACCCGAAGCTTGGTCCCAGCTTTTCTTTGGGGGTACCGAGAATGAGACGCAAGCATACGAAGACCACGAAGCCGATTTTGTGGAACAGTCTTGGGAGGACCTGACTCTTCTCGATAATAATTCACTGAGGGCTATTGAGGAGCAGCTTCTCTATTCGCGGGTTACTCTCGCCTTTGGATGGTCATCCGAGCTCGAGAGACTCTGCATCTTGGGAGTCGAGTGGTAAATTCCATCCCAAGACGACATATTACGAACGGCCAATACCAACGACTGTGCTTGACGGTTTGCTAAACTCGAAGGAGGGCCTGGCATCGCTACGGAGGTCCCCGAAAGGACGAACCATAGAAGCTAACCTTAACTGTTGAGCTTATATCTAATGAAATATTGAAGGTACCTAGCTATGGGGCACTACTTAGCTTTTTATTTCCAATGGTCCAATTCAAATTTCGTCACTTCGGAATTTAACATGGGGGTGCAAAATTAGGCCGGGAAATAATTTCAAATTAGGTAGATTTGACTTGACTCCGTTTTCCATGCCGTCCATCTACTGGTTCTAATTGCCATCATTACCCTATCATTACATAGCGACGAAGAAGCGCAAAAAACGTTAGCATAAGTCGTTAGTCCAATCCACCCTATTACGGTCGTATTTCTCCTCCCCTTCCTAGTTGAGTCCTGTCGTCCCTCATGCATCGAGCTTCATATCGGGAGTCGTTGATTCGTCTACTTGCCCCCAAATAGGCTGAACCGGAAGCGTCCCGATCCTCCTTTTTGTGAAGATCGCCCAAATGATTGCTGGGAATTGATGCGCCTGTGCGCCGATGGCGGGGGCATCAAATCATCATCATCGTCGAAGTCATCGTCATCCTGCAGACTCATAGGCCGTGTCTGCTGTCGTGCAAGCGGCACATTCTGTGGTGGTGGGGGCTGCTGCTGCTCGCGGGGCGTGGGAGGAGGTAAAGACCCCTCGCCACGTAGTGCACGCTCTACATCGACATATTGGCGCCTGTAGTCATCGTGCTTGCCTTTAGCATCAAGGTAGCGTGTCTCAGCATCTGCGCGGCGTTCCTGTAGCGCGCGAAGTTCTGCATCGAGTCGGTCCATCTCATCTTGCTCTCGTGACATTAATTCATTGTACTCGCGCACTTTTTGGTCAAGAGGCTGCAGCACGCAATCCATCACACTTGGGCTTTTGAGCCGCTGGATGGAGGCGCCGAGGCTTGCGCCAGGCACCGAGAGGCCGGGGTCTGCATTTAGTGATTTGGATTGTGCTTGCGCTTGCGCCTGCGCTTGTTGTATTTGTGGGTGGTTCATGGCGTAGCCTGATGAAGTGCGTGGCGGAGAGGAACCTCCGGAACTGCTGGTTGGTGGGCGCGGGCCTGATACAGGTTTGCTAGGGCCGCCTCGACGCCCATTTTGGCGCTGGACTCGCGAATTGTCGACGCTGTTGCGATCGCCCGCTACGAGCATTTCCTCAGATCGGCTGCTGCCGGAGTAACTTGGGGGCCGCGGACGATCGGAACTGCTCCCCCCTCCTTGTGGGGGAAACGAATTCGTCAGTGGCGGTCTGCTCTGCGTCGGACTAGGTCCTCCGCTACCACCGCCACCACCACCCTGTCCGAAGCGCTGCTGCTGCTGCTGCTGGGACATCTGGGATGGAGGGGGCGCCTGCAATGTAGCACTAGCGTTTGCGTTGGCGCTGGATGGCCCGGGCATAGGTCCTCGGTTGCTATCCAGAAAATCGTAAAAATCGTCGTGACTATCAAATCGCGGAGGACCACTTGGGCCTGGAGGCTTCGCGCCGCCTCCGTTATGATATATTGCTGGTGGAAGTCCGTCGTCGTAGTCACGTGGTATTTGTTGTGCTTGTCGTGGGCGCGGTCTGGAAGGTGAGTTCATGGCCGTGGGATGGGACATTCTGCTCATATTAAATTTATCCCACGGGGGTTTTTGTGGGGGCGCCCAACAGATATATTACTGTGTGCGGAAACGGGACACGGGAAACAGGGAATGCCCTGTGTAAAGGTGCGGGTGTGGGCGTGGGTTTGTGTAAGCGGATTGATAGATACGAGGGATGATGATATGATAAGTGAGTGAGAAGGAAGTGAACAAACAAAGAAAAGAATAGAAGAAATTAAGAGACTCTCAACTCAATTGAAATTTCAATTGATATATGATGGATAACAAGGAAAGAAATTTCGTATTGTGGTTTGGTAAGTAGTATGTGGCCCTATTGTATACGTACGCATTGTTATTGAACAGAGGAGGCTGGGCCGCGATCCGAGTTCTCCACTGTTACTGGCCCAGCCTCCTATTTTGGGTAATTGTTCAGGAGAAGGGGAAGGGGAAATAATCAATCGATCAATTAAGTCGACTTACTTCCCTGGTCTAAGAAATAATCGGTGGGCTGATGGTACAAAACGCCATACAGGAACCGAACCGCCTGTCCCCATCCCCGCGGATGATTTTGTCCTGTTTGATTTATTTGTTTTTTAATGTCGCATCGATCGATCTACGAATCAAGTTTTTCTATTGAAACCAGATTTTCCCACCTACCTTCTTAGGTACTTGGAGGTACTTACCTATCAATTGGCTCGATTTTCTTCTTGCAGATGCACTGCAGGCTTCCCGGCGGATACGAATTGACTTGCGTCAACATGATACAAGTGGCATCGCGATACTTTCTTGTTGGTGTACGTATAAGTACCGAGGTTAGTGGGTTGGTGGGGTCTAATTTTGTTGGCTAGACTGCTTACTTAATGTAAGGAGCCAGGTGCTCGGACCCTCGTTAGGGCGGAAAGGTACTTGGGTACTTCCCGTCCCAACCTCCAACACAATGGAATCAAATCCAATAATCTCGGTTTCAACCACGCTTATGATCCAAATAGCAATTAACCTCGATGTTCCAATACTATGGTTTTCTAGAACATTGTCTTGTGTACCTAGTCAGCTAGGTAGGAGATAATACCGTACGTAAGTGCCTATCTAAGTTGTAGCGTACAAGCTTTGCATCATGCACAGTTAAAATGCACAGTTTACGCACATACTTCAAGCAGTCACTCAATAGACTCAAACATCGCTAGTTCCTGGAGGTCTATATGCTATCGGACCAGGAAAAACTTAGAACGATTATAGTAATCCAATATATATAGTGCGTCGCGATTCCATTGACATAAAATATAATTTAAATACGAGGGCGGTAAGAAGTGTCACTAACTCTTGCAAATTCAAGTAATACGATTAGTTGATACGAGACGCGAAGACAATGTCAGGTAGTCGCGCCAAACCAATGCTTCGTGGGTATCTACGAGAGTTACCTAGGTACCTAATATATGCTAGTTAAGATACCTTAGGTACATAGGTGATACCGACATATGGGACATTTGGAAAAAGGTTATCACCTAAGAAACGGCAAGAGACCCTAAATACGATTCTTCTCGTGAACCACCCCAACCCAATCAAGAAAACATCAACCCTTCAACGCTTCGGACCGCGACGCCGTCGAGCACACCTTCTAAACTTAAAACAACAGCTCGCTGAATTACTCACCAAAAAGCACCTCACTTAATGTCACGAGCGTCAGTGTGCCTAGCGTTAACTATTCAATCTAAAAGGAGAAAAAGGGGCATGTGTCCACGTTACGGTCAAACACTATGGAAATACACAATTACCTCACGCATATTCCAGCTATTAAAGCCAGAAAATTGTCCAGACCGCATGTGAAGTTTTATACAAAAAGAGCCCATTTCTAGCCGCCATCACTTTCTCTCCTATAGCTGCGGACTCCTTTCATTAATATATTAAACAAAGACTAAACACTAAGATAGGATTGTTCAACTTACCAAGAATGGACTCCTGTGTTGCTCGCCAACCCGTAGACGGGTCTAGCGCCCTGGTCGCACGGTACGAATTCGGTAAGAAAGCCTTTTTCCTCATATCTAAGACTGGTTCACACGATGCTTGGCTTGACTACTTCAATCAAGAAATCGGATCTATCTGGCTCTTCGCCCTCCCATCTCCTGACGCATCCCTCTCCCTAACAAATGGAAGATCGCTCTCGAGTTCAAGAGCGGTAAGATGGTGACGCTTGAGCTTTACGACACCCTGAGTGATAGGGGTGCCGTACTCCTGACCAGAACTCTCTCCGAGGAGCCCACAGCGGCTACTAATAAGGACCACGACTGGAAGAAGCTGATCGGATTTGGAATATGTAATATCGGGCGACCGATTCAGGATAATCCTACCTTGCGCATTATTGTCGAGGCTCTGCAAGATGCGGAGCTTTTGATATATTACTTAAAGGACGGGCGAGGTACATTACTTCATCTACCTAATCCAGACTGAGACGTCACTTTAATCACGGATCGCTAACACGGAAAATAGGAGGGCGTCATTGGATAAAGAAGGCGCTCATGGCCCTTCAGCCTTTTATTCGCGAGGCTCCCAGGGCTCGAAAAATGCATGAGGAGGCAGATGACCTCATGCGGCAGTGCTGGCTGTCCAATGGCAAGAATACTGGGGTATACGGCTGGGAGGATGAGCCGACAAATCGCCTTAACATTGTTGAGGGCGTGTTCGGACCCTCGATTCTCTGAAAAGATAAATGGCTTTCATAGTCCATTGAATACTCAGTTATTAACATATACGAGGAAGTATGTAAACTTCGGGAGAATATATGCAGATAAAATAGTGGTCAGATACCTAGCAGGAGCGTCGTGGGTGGTTAGGCGCCCAGGTGGTGGAATGCTCGTATCAAGGGGCCAGAAAACTACCTAGGTAGACTTCTTTAGTAGCATGTGACGCGAAGAATTGCCTAAATTTCTATTCGTAGTATAGGCAGATGAAGCGCCTGCTGTTACCAGGTGTTAATATTTAGGCGGTGTGCTCACCAGATTCTTAACAAATTTAATCAGCATTCATGTCCACATAATCACTAAATCAGGATGCATCCTTGCGAACCTATACCAGCATTACTAATGCATATATAAATTGAAATCGTTCCTGTTGATGCTGGCGATGATATCGCTCTGTGAAGATGATATGAATGCCGAAGGCTAAGCCAGGTGGGTTGGGCTTTGCGTCGCAAGGGATTCGATGGCGATTGGATTGGGGGTGGGTAGTTCGGGTCGGTGGCATTCATTAGGATGAGTAGGTGCCGTATCTAAGGCGAAATCTTGGGGCATCATCTAGGCATCGTATAAGGTGCGCGAATTTTTCACGAAGGCGTTCAGTTCCTTCGGCGAGATGCCAGGACTTATGTTACTGGAATTTTTCTTGATTTTATCACGTTGTTTCGTTGATATGTCTGTATGAAAGTTTCACACGAACTTTCGTAAATCGTTCATGGTCATAATAACTCGCTTGCTGGCAAAATCGCCCCGAGGCCAAATTTCGTGTACTCCCCCTGCTAATAAAAATTTTATGACACATAACCATCTATTCCTCGTGTACTCTTACATTTCCCCAGCCGAATTTCGAATTAAAAGACCAAATCTGGAAAAGGATGCACAGTAGGGTTGCTTCTGCAATATATGATATATGATGAAGTGGCGCCTTAAGCTAATTTTGATTCGCTCGGTTTTCTGTCTCCAACCTCCTTCGCGGCCTGATCTCTGAGTATCTTTCGGAGTATCTTACCGGACTATCGGACTTATGGTTAGTTCCTTGGTTCAATGGTACATCCATCATTTCAGACTTACCGCATTTTTTGGAATGGCATCGATGAACTTGACGCCGCCTCGTAGCCGCTTGTAGTGGACTACTCTCGACTCCAACCACTTCGCAATATCTTGTTCGGTTTGTTCCACATCGAGATTCGGCACAACGTATGCCCTTGGCCATTCTTCGCCGTTGATCGTGACGCCGCATACGCCTACGTCGATGATGCCCTTGTTATCCAAAAGTAGAGCCTCGAGCTCAGCAGGCGCTACTTGATAGGCTTTCACTTTAATGAGCTCTTTAATACGATCGACGATATAGAAGTATCCGCCCGGTTCGTACTTGTCTATGTATGCGATATCTCCAGTCTTGAGCCAACGAGTACCATCGGGGTCAATGTGAACGGTGGCCGCCGTGGCTTCAGGCTTATTCCAATACTCTTTAAATATGATAGGCCCCGCGACCCACAACTCGCCACGCTCGTTTGCTTTCGTGACCTCCTCTCCCGAACCATCAGTTTTTACGATGCGTATTGAACAATTCGGCACCACCTCACCGACAGAGGCCGGGTTGGCCCTCACGGTGGGGTCGAACAGCGTAGCCGGACATGTCGTTTCGGTCATACCCCAAGCTTGATTGATAGTTAAGGCACCTGGTGGCCACAATTTGGCTGCTTCTTCGAGTATCTCAGCGTCTACAGGCGCTGCAGAAGAGGTAAACGTCTTGACGCTGCTAAGATCATACTCGCGACTTAGTGGACTCTTGGCGAGCGCAACTACGACCGGAGGTACCAAACCGAGACTATCGATACGGAACTTCTCGATATGCTGCAACATCTTCTCGAAGTCGAATGAAGGCATTATATACAGGGGAATACATTGCGAAGGGAAGCCAGCGAGATAAGTTGTCTAGCCATATGCGTGGTACATAGGTAGATAGCCAAGCCGACGACCTCGTTTTCGCTTCTCTTCATAGTCTGGGTCTAGCCCATCGACGTAGTTCCAATTAATACAATTAGCCACGTAGTTGTAATGTGTAATCGCAACCCCTTTTGGTACCCCGGTCGTTCCAGAGCTGTAGTTGAGTGCGCTTACCGCCGTCGTTGGATCGGCCGGCTCAATCCACTCAAATTGGGCCGCTTAATTTTTCGGAGCTAGAAGAGTTGTCCAATGTTTCGTCCCAAAGCGCGCTCTTCCCGGCTCGGCATCGAAAGCCGTGTCATCGAAGCTGTACACCCGGCTCGCTGGCAGACCTGCTTCGGCGGCAGCTTCTAACGCAATTTCTATGGTAGCATCGTTTGCTACCATAAACATAGCAGCGGTATCTTTCAGTTGATATGCTAATTCCCGAGCGACGAAATTGGGATTAGCACCACCGAAAATGCCTCCAGCCATAAGAATTCCCATGAGAAGTGGCGGGGTGAAGGTTGCTTGAAAAGAGAAGGACACGGCCTCCCGGCTTGAGACCTGCTCGCACCAGCCCCAGCGCTATCTGCTTTGACGCCAGGTGAAAACCAGATCGCGTGAGGAAGTGCGTGTCCGGGCGTTCAGCATCGATGAATAGTGGTTCATCGCCAGGGAAAGCGGATATAGAGTCGAACAGCCATTTGTGCACGGAGCACTTAGGGATGGGGACCTTCCATCTTGATTGAATCACCATGACGAAGAGCTTTCTGATAATAAGCAAAATAATTATACAGAAGAAATACGAAGGTTAACTATTATGTTGCTTCTACAACAAAAAGTAGGTAGGCATTCAATTTCGAACGAAACAATCCATACAACAAGATCTAGAAATCTAAAACAGCCAGGTTCAGCGCGAGATAAGTAACCTCCCGGCCTCTTTCGCTTTATTGGCCCAAATCAGACATGTTAGAAAGAAATATCAAAGGCATGCAAGCCTTGGTTTATATCAACCCATAGGTTCCCTTACCTACCTAGGTACTAACGAGCCGGTGAATATGCGCCGTGAGATTTGAGAAATCAATGTGTATCTCGATTTCGAAAGCCATCGGGTTTAATGCGACTCAATCACCTCCATTCTTATTCCCACGGTGCGCCATAGTTTCAAGCGAACAGACTGGTCGACTGCTAGCCTCCCGTGTTGACCGAGTTGACCGGGGTAGCATCAGGATGAACCAAGATGTTCGTTTTGTGGTCATCGCCCGCCTGAAATGTGATGTTGACAAGGGATTCCCGCGAGGATGAACAAGGGTTGCTCCCAAGAGCCACGACCTTATCCCCTTTTGTACACGCGTACCTATGTACATCATCGTCAACGCTGTGAAAGTATCATGTTCGACAAGATAGAACCGGCATAAAGGTGATGTTGTTACATGATAGCATTGGTGGAATAGTTTGGGGTCAATCAGCGATCCTGTCAGCTGAAGTCCGCCACCTGGACCAGGGTGATTTTGACTGGTTTCGGGTTTGACAACGATATCTTCGGATATAACGTTTAGATACGATCTGTGTCAAACGTCAGATAGCAACAACCACGTTGGTAAATGAACCTCAGTCATACGTCGCGTTATCTCCTAGGTATTTCTAGGAATGCCCATTACTAGCTATACGTATCCTTCTTTTCATAAATTCAGATCGAAACGGTCCAGACCTTTGCCTGACCCCCATCATCGCACATAAGCCATTGCCGACCCCAACCGACGTACATGCGGAATATCTAGGTAGTTCCGCAAGAGTTACAAGATTTTTAACTCACAAACTTCGCAAAAGCGTAGATATAGTCTATTAAACTGTATTATTAGCTCTAAATTGATTTTCATCACGAATGAGGAAAAAATCTATCTCATCAATTACATGACTAAGTTAATTATACCCCAACCCCTTTCTCTTTATCTTTCTCCCTCAGGTATCTCGGTGTGGGGGCAATCACGGGTATCACGGGTGTTTGCACCATCCTAGATTATAGTCAATTGATAAATATCGCGAAAATGAACCCTTTCTAAGGTGTTAGAGGTGATCAACAGGTTTCTGAGAAGCTATTACGTTGAATGGGTTTCCCCTTCAAAAAGGGACCCCGACTGCAAATTTAGACCCTTTTTTTCGACTATCGTCCTGAACGTTCCAATATCTCATCACGGAACTAACTCCTCTCTAGCTTCAGTGATCGACAAGCGGCTCTAGCCATAGACTTCAAGACTGCATGTATAGCTCTACCCTCACCTTAGCAGAGTAGACTAATACAGCACCTGGCTGAGATGCCTCGCGTCATTGCGTACATGAAGATGTCCACGTACCTAGATAGTTAATGATACACTGCTAGTCTACTAGAATACCATATCTTCGGACCATGAATGTTAATCGTGCACGTTTCCCGTCAGAGTCCAAACACCTTCGTTCCTGTCTATTGAACTCACTTAACGACGCAGGTCTGTTTAACCTATAGAATAGTACCTTCTCTACCTCGTATTGAATTCGACCTACATCAACCTTACCCAGATGCCTAGATGCACGGGTATCTAGCCTAAGAAAGTCGCAGGTATAAAACATGACCTCCCCTTACGCAAGAGAATCTCTTCTCCCATTCATTTTTCACCACAAACTTAACTTCCATCACTTCGCACTCTTAAAGGAGGTGGAATTATTGCAATAATTCCTTATTGTATATTTTCGACCACTTTTGTACATATTTCATTATAACTATCGCAAATCACCATGGCCCTGGTATCCACAGTACAACAGATCGAGCACGCAGCTCACCCTGAACATACGCAAATTCACTCTTGGTACTTGCCCAGGCCCCTTAATAAGTACGATGCCGCGTGGGAGATGTTCCAGACACGTCCAGAGCTCTGGTTTACCGACGACTGTTTCGTCCATATCCGAGATATCAATCTTGCTCAATGCGGCACACTCGACTTTGTCGACTATGGTAATAAAAGTTATCTAGGAAGGCTTGTACGTCAAGTATTACTCTGCCATAATGATTGAACCGAATCAACTAACATGTTCGTATATAGTGCTATTCCTCTATTACCACTAACGGCGAGATATACGTATGTAACCTTTTCCACTCCGCAGATAGAATTTCGTCTCTAACTAGCCTACAGAAAGTCACATGGGACGTTAGAGGAGAAGACATATGCAAAGAGTTGGTTAACGATGCCGGTGGATCGGTCGTGGGGCTCAAAATGGCACCCTCTGCGAATATCCATAACTATGGACACTTCCAGAGTACGTCCCCTCGTCCCCTTTCCTCTTACCACACGCCCCCAAGCTAACGTCTTCTTAGTGGATGTGAAATTCGATGTCCCTAGGTCCGCCGTTCGTTATTACGGTGCCTATTATGGAGTATTTTCGGGCGTACCTACGAGAACGCGGATTCTCAAGGGACCCAAGCTCTTCTGCCACGATCATTCGGTAGACATCATGATTATGTACGAATGTACTCTCAGCGCGGAAGGCGGCCTTTTGGACACCAATATTGCCGATTACAAGTGGGATCTTATGCTCATGAGGTTCTGTGATAACCATGATCGTAAGTCAAACGAATACCTACTAGGCGCCTTAATATGTTCTTACTAACACATATTGCTCTAGACCCGTGGCATATTATGTCCGTTGCAGAAGCGGGCCGTATCGACGAAGGCGAAATTACTGAAGAACGCCATTCGTGTTACCACGGTTACCCAGATCCAAACTTCTACGAATCTGCTGACCCACAGGATGCCAACTACTGAGTGTCTTCCTCGTTGGCCCGTCTAGGAAAGTTGTTTGCCTCTGATGGTCTTAGCATAGCTATGGTATTTTAACTTAACTTTAAGGATAAGGCCGGTTTGTTTTCGAAAAGGATAAAAAGGAAAAAAAAAAAAAGAGTATAGTATAGTTGGAGTTTAATTTTAGATAGATTCTTAATGCTAATTGCTAATATCAGACAATAATCGCTGACAAATTCGCGTCTATGCCTGTCGTATCCCCTCTCTACTGATATCATTACATCTCATTAACTCCGTCGTAGTATCATATCAAACATCATCATCTGCTTAGTACAAGACCTTGCCACTGGCGTCAGTGACGGGCATCCCGCCGGGGAGTTCCTTGAGCCCTATAATACGAATGTTAGAAGTACATCTGGTTGAAAAGGGAATAGAAGACTTACAGCCGTCAATGTCCTCGTTAACGGAGACCTTCTTGGTGCACTGGTTACCCTGGGAGATGGATTGAGACTTGAGTTGAGGGCAGTTGATGTTACAGTTGGAGTCCATAGCCGTCTGGAGAGCATTACCCTTCCAGCCGAACATGTAGTCACCGTGGTTTCCGTATCCAGTGGGGTCACCGAAAGACCAGACGAAAGGTTGGCTGCCGTCCGTGGGCCAGTCCGAGGGGTTGTTGAAGGGGCGCGTGTCCCAAATAACTTCGTAGAATAGCTGAGGAATCTAATGGAAGCTTGTCAGTAAAACTATAATATCGTTAGACTTCACGAACTATTTACCTTGACGGGGTGTGTGGACGGGCATGCACCACCATTCTCAAAGGTACCACTGGCAGGGTAAGCCACGTGGCTCGAGTGGTCAGGAGTGTCAAGGTTCTTGCCGTCCCAGCAACTAAGTTATATTGTTAGCTAAAGCGCACTGAGGTTGTTATGGCACTCCTTAAAGTCAAACCTCTCTATTCAGGTACGGGGTCAAAACTCACGTTGGGAATCGGATGTTAGCCATGATACCGGCCTTGCAGACCTTCTTGGGCATATCCTTCGTCTCACCCGTGCGCGTGAGGATGGTGTCCAAGCAAGTGTAAGTGAGTTGGCGGAACTTAGAGGCCTGGGCCTCAGTACGGTAGCTCGGGTCACCGACGATCATGCGGAAGCCGGGCTTGAAAGCAGTAACCTTGCCACCGCTGTAGCTAGGGGTATAGTAGACGGTCATACCGCCCTTGGAGCCCTCGAAACCCGAGTTGGCCATCTGCTGCACACGCTTGTATGTGCCGTTGCGAGCGCGGAAGTACAGAACCGCAGTCCAGTAGTTGGAGAAGTCTTCAGCGAATGTGCAGGTCGTGCAGGTAGCCTCGCTGGGGATGTCCAGACGCGGGTACTCCATGGACTGGTTGAAGGCGTTACCACCGATGATCTGGTGAACGTGGGGCGTGCCCGTCATGCCCGGGTTGACAAGCGGGTCTAGACGCTCGACGACGAGTTGCGAGCACGAGAAGCGAAGTAACGCCTGCGTACCCGGCGCGAAGAGCGCTAGGCCGGCGGCGACGGAGTTCAGGGTCAACTGCATCCTGAAGACTGAAAGGCGACGTTGCGATGGGTTTCCTTTTCCAAATTTTCGCTCCCACGACGTGGGACGAGTCGCCTATTTAAACTTGCATCTGTCCGGGTGAACGCATGTTTCCCTAGTCTCTCCAGACTTTTTTAAGTCCATTATTCCCTATTCCATATCGCTGCTGCCGTCCCGTGAGAGACCGCGTCGTATAGAACGCCAGCGGTTAATATGATCAATATAGCCGATATCACCTTTATGACCCACGTCTGCCGTGGGGCGTGATGAGCCGCGAATAGTTCATACCGTGAACTACCCAGGTACTTTATCATTTAAAGATGTACAGGGGGTATTTTCACGTTGTTCCTGGCGTGGTATCGGGATATTATTGGAATGGACCTTGCCGTTGGCTTGAATCGGTTACTGCAAGTCTTGGGAAATCGTGGGGGAGATTAAGCGACAGTGACTCTAAGGTGCGACGAAGTCGAACATCGGCCTACCCTAGCATGCCAAGAATAATTGTGTTTTTTTTTTCAACCACTTCTAGATCAGCAAGTTCTGAAAAGTTGTAAGGACGATGCGGCGCCTGAAGGACTCGTATCAATAAGGCCATATGGAAGTAGTGCCGCGGGGCTTAGGCACCCTTATTTCGGATATGTTTTCTGATCGTAGATTGATGATCAGGTGATATTAAGTTGTTTCTGCATCAGATTTTGGCGAAATGCCATCCGTAATATAAGGCCACAGCCTCGGATCGCGTTCGGATCGCGTAGCGCCGGCAGTGGGAACTGGGGATTTTAAATAACCTGGTTGGACATCCCATCAGTTCTATTTTGCGGATAAAATGAAGACCTGGCCCTTGCTCAACTGTCAATACTATGGGGCAGCCTTGGAGTACGAATTCCAAATCTGATAACGGCCAACATGGCCTGTCTGCTGGGTTCTATATGGCGCGTCTAGTATATCGCGGATCCCGAGTTATTACCATCGTTTTTCTCCCTTGGTCGAATTCTGTTACCCAACGATATAACCAAGTGGATGGGGCACTAACGCGTCCTATTAATAGAGAAAAAAAATTAAAGAACGACTTACAGAAGTACGCGAAATGGCTGTTGTCGCTCTTATTGAAATTCGATCTTCCATACTGCTTCGAGAATCTTGAAGCGACTAGACCAACCGCACAGGGGTATATCAACATATCGTATATCTGCGTATGCCAACCTATGTTTTCCTGGCTAATCGGAGTTTTACCCTTCAATTACGTAAATTTACCATCCTAATATTCCAGCAATCAGGTCGTCGAACGATGTTGAATGGGCCGCTAGATTACGCAGACTGCCGTGATCGCAAGAATGGTAGGCAATCGTCCTCGTGGCTTTCGTCTCGTCAAAGGCAGTATTGGGAGGTTCTCCAAACTAAATTATTCCCGTTAGCTTAGTCCTTGAACATTTCCTATCCTCAGGGTGGTGAGCCGATACTAAGCGCACTCTACCGTAAACCTCACGATATCTTCGTCGACACCACATGAGTCATAACGTAATTTCCATTCTACAAATACCCCATAAACGTAGGCACGTCGAGACGACCACTTAAAAGGGAAAGGGCAAGCGAACCTATTCATCCCCAACCTATTGTACATTCATACCACCCTTAAAGCCAAGCAAACCTGGGTATCTGCCTAGTGCAACGAACGCCTGAATCCGAATCCGAATACCCTGTGATCAAATTCCCCAAAATAGCGTTCCAATATCGAAGCTGTCGTAGAAATCCTTAGCGTCAGGATTTCCACCCTTTCCAGCCACCAAATCCTTAGGATCGCCCTCGACTCTCAGACCCTTCAAAGCGGATGCTCGCGACAAGGCCATGTAGAGTTGGCCTTCCTCCCAGGCCTTCGATAGATCGACTATAATTCGGTCAAGAGTGAGAGATAGGCATTGATTAACACTCATACTCCACGCAGGGACCAACGGGATCTGGGTACGAGTGAGGGTACTGTAAGGCATCGTATTGCCAACGTTAAGGAACTCGCACTCTGCGTAGATGACTTCGGTCTTGCCGTCAAGGAACTCCACAACCGGCCACATCTTCTTCTCAGCACTGTCGATGTACTTGTGAATCTGCGAGTCCCAGACTGGAACATGAGCTTCACAGAGGCCCCTCGGTGCAAATAGGCGCTTCTTGCCTGGCTCTGAGTAAGGGGGATTTTTGGTATCGAAAGGTCGGAATTCGCGAATCACACCTTGTGTACTCTTGAGGGGTTTGTTTGAGCCTATGTAGACAACATAGGTGCCAGGCTTGAGCTCGAGCTGACGCTCACAGCGATGGTGGCTCAATGCCAACAAAGAGCCGTCTTCCAGGCGGGTGCCCTTGCTTTCGAGGTTGGGATGCCTCTTCTTGTTCCATTGGAAATTGTCCAAGCACTTGTATGTGACCAGTTCTGTGTTCAATTGGCCAAACTTGCACTGATTGATCTCGCGTGCCTCTCCATCGGTCGGGACGATTCTGGTAGTATTTTCCACAGCGGACACATGGTTCATGAACAGGTTGGTCTGACCATAAGAGAGAGCGTCTCCGACTCGAATTTTCTGGAGGATTCCGGTGAAGATTTGGTCTCGCTGTCGGTGAATAGTCTTCAGCTCATAATGAAAGAAGTTGCACCTCTCCCATGCACGACACTGAAAAGCCCATTTCTTTTTGGCGCAAAAGCAGTCGTGATATTCACAAAAGTATATCTGGTCCTCTTGGCGCACGGTAAGCTTGGTACTACAGATGGAGCAGTATTCAAACGGCTTGGAGGGCGGCAGCTGATGAAAATCACCGATCGCGACGACAATACAGCCTCCGAAAGGTGCCCATCTGTTACGAGCATCTTTCATGGTGTCGCTTAGTCGTTGGAAGTCAGAGGCATGGACCGTGTTCACCTCATCGATAATGAGAACATTGGTGCTCGAGAGACGCTCGAGGGTATTGATCTTCTCATCAATTCTGTTGGAGAAACCCAAGCCTAGCCTCTGCGATTCCGTTCTCCATCCAGCATACTCATGAAGAGTCATACCACCCGCCTGCAAAGCCGCTTGTTCAGTTGTTGCAATGACATGGACACACACCCCTCGGAGTCGTAACTCGTTTATGATGAATTTGAGGACCGTCGACTTGCCAGATCCCGCCACACCTGTGCAGAATACATTGCATCGCTTCGTGTTGAAGACAACCTTCTGGGCTAAATCTTTTTGCTCGGGAGACAGAGCAGGCACGTTTGGTGAGATGAAATCGCCATGCATAGCTTGTGTGCGCCTGTGCGATGTAAGATCAAGGAGATCCGAGACGCTAATGCGAGGTAGATAGGCATCTACGTTACCAGAATCATGGCTTCCAATGCCCGAGATGTTGTGATCAATAATCTCAGATGATGTTGATGCGACGTTATCCTTCTCTTGGCGCTGGGGTTTGCGGTCATCGCCACCAGCCTCGGGCTCATCACCAACTCCTCCTATCCATCAGATTAGCCCATATCCCCATCATATCATCTCCGCCGAGCGTATTATCGTCGATTAATCGGCGCGGGCGTCGGTCGCAATTCGAATTCGGATGCGATATATAAAACGTACGGGTTCGGTTCATGATCTATTAGAATTCATCATTAGCTCATTGATTCATCAAAAATTAACACATTCACGATACTTACGAACGGCGGATTGTTACGCGATGGATCGGATCTTGGTGGGATAATTATTCGCCGACAAGAGACGAATTTTCTTGTTATTGCTGAGAGTTTTGCTTTTTGGTGGCGTTGGAGGGACGGCGGTACGTGCCAGTTAATCTGGCAGCTGCAATTGGTTACCCCCCCTTTTCTACAATAGGGGCTTAAGATTGGCCTGTAAAAAAATCTGGCCAATGAAAAAAAGAAAATACTTAAGAAATAGGGCATGAAATCTGTAACTCTAGTAGTACTTACCTAGGTAGGTATTGGTAGGGTGAATGGAAAGAAGGAGAGCTGCACTGGCAGATAATACGGCGGGGTTGTTACGCTAATGTCCTTCGTTGTTGCCGTTTTGTAACTATTAACCACGCCGTACCTGCTTTGCACGTACCCAATCATAGAGGGAAACATCGATTTAATTCCTTTTATTTGGATATGTAGGCAACAACGAATCCCAGCATGTCTAAGGTTGTCATCTACTTAAGTACCTAGGTACTTCGAGTAGTCCTCCCAAAACACATCCATACAATATGTATGTACCTACGTAGTTGATGTAAACCACTTCGTGTAACTGTCGGCAAGCGACCCTTAAACAGGATAACAGGATATATAAGAGGTAGGTATATAATATCTTCATTTTACCCCTCTCATCCTAGTTTTTAGAGAGGACCTTCGGAGAGGGCAGCCCCTTATTTCTTTACAAAGGCAACTTTCAGTTCATCAACACAATCGCTGACAAATCCCTTTGATACTGGATTCTCTCCATCCCAGTGAGGAAACGGATGCCCTTGCCCCTTGTATATTTTGACTTTACTAGGCGTACCAGCCGCTGTCAATTTCTCGTGATACGCAACTCCTTCCGATCTCAGTGGGTCAACATCAGCACAGCGGATGATAGCCGGTGCCAAATTTGCGTGCGAGTCTGCTACTATGGGAGAAGCGCGAAAATCGTTGGCGTTCGCTGTACGACCTTCGTCTGTGCCTAGCCACAGATTATAGAACCAAATAAGGCGATTGAGGGGAAGCATGGGTGCGAATTCGAAGTCAATGTAGCTTTTATACGGTGTCTTCGCAGGGTCGCACGAACCCTCTATCGGGATATATCTTGCGTCGATCACCGGTACGATGAGTAGCTGCAGGGCGAGGCGTGGTAAGCCCGGTTCGTCCCGTGCTAGCAATGCAAGAACCGCTGCAATGCATGCTCCAGCAGATAGCCCACTGACTCCCACGCGCGAGGGGTCTATTTTCAATGTTGCTGCGTTTTTAAAAGTCCATTTCAACGCTTCCCAGCTGTCAGTAAGGGGAATTGGATGTGGGTGTTCCGGAGAAAGTCGATAGTCAACATTGACTATGATACAGCCGACCCTTTGGCAGATCTTCCTGCATAGAGAGACGTCCGATTCCAAACCTCCGATAACGAAACCTCCTCCATGGTAGTTTACAAGTGCTGGAAGTAGGCCATCCTTCTCCAACCCGCCATTAGTGATTGCATCTTGCGTAGGTACGTACACCTGCACAGCTATCTCGCCTACAGGGTTCGACACAGGGAACTTGTAGATCTTGTTGCTAGCTACGTCCGGAGAATTTCCAGCTACCTTATCAGTTGGGAAAGTATATTTTGGGCGGTCCTTGTTGTAAACCTCGTATGGAACTTGATCTGCTCGCAACCGAGAAGCTGTTGATTTTCCTGTAAGTGACTGGAAATAGGGGGCACTCCAAGACAAATAATACCTTGGTAGCGCATGTAGATCTCGGTAAAGTGTGGATCGAGTTTCTCGACTACCGAAGGGTGTATCGGATTGACGAGAGATGGAACGCCGTTAGAACCCATGACTCGTATGATATCCAATTTATGATGGAGAATGTTATCATGAACAGATTATGTTCACACCACTTACACCAATGGTATGGCCAAACTGGTATAATAAACTGCGTAGAAGTAAGTTGTGTAGTAGAATCTCCCAAGAAGGCTTGGATTGATGTTGATGTGAAGTCGACAGGTCAGATAATAAAGAAGTAATCAGTAAAGATTGTCCTTGACGTTTCCCCTACTGTACAGAGTTAAGGGGGATATAAAGTCAATCCCAGATATAAGGTACCAAGGTGGTAACAGCCCACGTAGTAAGGTTCCCCAATGTCAACTCGTTCCTGACTTCTCGCGTGACGCTCCGCATGCAACTGCATTGTAATCGTGGGGGTCAGAGTCGTAACCGGACGCGGGTAGGGGGCATACTGCAGACCGGCCAAGAAATTATAGCGTATACTTCTTCGGTGCCCGCTATTAAGCGCCCCGTGTGTACCCATCGGATTGTCCGAGGAGAGAATTCCCGTACATGATTATTCGTGGGGAAAAGGAGTTAATCTGGTCTCGTCCAGATTTCATACCAGATAATTAGTCACCTGATATACCGTATTACCTATACCTTTTCGAAGGGACTATAGACAGAGCCAATTAAACCGACCTCGGTGTTCGGGCTCATCGTCAGGTATCAAAAAGTCTAGGTTCCTTGACGAAATGTCTATATACCGGATAACCCGATCCGAGCCGAGTCTGCAACTATCGTATCATATTCGGTGGTACTAACCAGTCGGTTAGGCTTGACAACTCTTTGGGTATACTCACAGAAATTGTGAAACTGAAAGCCAGTAAAGATAGCCCCTATTCCATCCAAGTGATGCATTTGGCATTTGGTTTTCTGACTCGCATGAAGTTGCAGAAGCATGTTTAACCATCCTCCGGGTGGTTACGGAACCCATTCATTCTTGCTGGAAGGAATTTCTTCGATGGAAAAATAGCCAATAGCTGTTATCAGTGTCTCTTAAAGAGGGTTAATGGAAGGCTTGGGAAGAAAATGGTGTCATTTTATTAAAATATACATTGAGAAATATCGTCTTGACTAAGAGCCTGCGGCTCCAAAGACATTTCACTCATCAGTTTACCTTCTAGTTGCTTGTCTAACTCAAATCAATATTGAGCTTGCTGGATGTGAAATTTTCGATCTTATAACCCTGTGCAACGAATAGCTGACTTCGAGGGAGAAGCCAGATACTCATGTGCATTTGAAGATATTAGCTTTTATTTAAATTACGTAGTTCAGTCTATGAATCAGATTCTAACTTCGGTATAAAGGAGGAAGGCTATGTTGAAATACGGAATAGATATATATAGAATAAACTATTAACTAGGCGGGTAGGTACTTTAAGATGCTATTGATTCAAAGATATTTCCGGCTTTAAACGTAAGATAGGAGAAAGGAGTATAGTCCGAATTACCTAGATAGCTACTGTATCGCCATGTGTTGCAGTTGTAGTTTAGAATATCTGTAATCAAGTTTACACAAATGCCCTCCGACCTACTGTCGGAGTCATTTCTATAACAATTTCCTTTCGCTAATACTAGGAATATCTTCTCTATTTTAATCCTGATGTAAGAAACATATTACATAATTGTAACTTAAGGAGCTCGTCAATTCTAACCACTCAGCTTAATCACGCACATCCATTATGATAGAGTATGTTACTCTGGGTGAGTATACTAGGTAGGTATATTGATATTCACTACCACATGTGTAATGCAGCTCCCATATTCAAGTCGTAGTTGATTACGTTTATAAATTGTATTTGCTAACAATTTATGTAGCAATGGATGTGATGATTCCTAGTTAAGTGTGTTTCGTTGCCGTCTTTAACTCTTATGGCTGCGCTTCTGGCGTCTAATCTTCGTTATACAATGAGAGAATCACCAAGAAGATGTGACCAAGGAGAGCGTTGGTTGTGATTGACGAGTGATTTCTGCTAATAATACATCCGGTGTTATTGGCTATAGGTATAGAAATATATTATACTCGGGTTGTCTACCGACGTCATAGAGATTCTTCCTCGTGAATTCCCAATGGCCGTAATAGATGGATCACGATTTGAATGCGAATGAAAGATGGTATTCACGAAATAATTTTGACGATCACGCTTATCAATGCCTTTTCTTGCATCTAGACTGAGTCTCCGTTGACCTTTGAGCCTAATGTAAGGTTGACTTTGAATTTTACTCTTGGTTTTGAGCTTCGAGAATTCCGATGCGAAAACATTAGAAAGTAAACTTTTACTACAGCAAACCTGCTTAATTACCAATTATCTTGGTAGACTAATTCGGAGTTCTATAATGACATCGGGGTAGTTGAAACGCCACGAAAGTAAGTAGCGCGATCAACGAGCGCTGTTAGACAATTCTAATTCAATCACAGGCCAAAAAGACTTCTGAATGGTGGCCGTTGTTGCTCATCGGATGCTGGATTATGGTGGCTTATGATTCCGGGTGCCGATCCGTGACGTGAGTCAAGGCTGAGACAAACATAATCATTGATGAGGAGGTCATTTCAATCTCCATAGATTTGACCTGGCAGCCTGGTATCCTGGGCCGAAACGGTCATCGTAAACGTTGATTATGATTCCGCGGACGCAAAGACCGTCAACAAACTGTGCGCTTCTTTTGGGAATAACTAGATTTGCTTTGTGGATTGGTGTTTGTTGGTTGGAAAAAACCTGGATAAAGGTCGTGTGGTTTGTGTACGCTAGTCGCTAGATGGTTTAGATGGTTTAGTGATGCTTGACAAAAGAATGCCGGAGATGGTTGAAGGTGAATGTGAATGTATCCAAGCGGGGATGATTGATGGAGAGTTTTGCGCCCGCGTAGTTTTGGGCGTAGTTGTAGTTGATGATAAGAGGGAATTTCTAAGCCCGTGACTCGTTCACTCGTGAGACCAGACCGCCGTAATAGCGATGAGAAGGATCCTCATTTTCTCATTGTAGAATAGCAAAGTTGCTTCATAAGCGCGTGGAAATTTGGTTGTATTGTTGGATTCCGAGCTACCCAAGTTGGCTTGTCTGATTATTGGTTTGATCGAACGAAGCAACCCCCTTGCGGCATTTGTATGGGGTCCGTCCTCCCACACAATCCGGCGTTCTGACCAGATATCCATGAAGCATTTTTCCTTTTTCATTTCCCTCACGAGACGTATTGCATGTAGGTACCTATGTAGGTAGGTAGGGTTAGGCAGAATTGACGGTATTAAGGAGGATTCGTCATGTCTGATGGGAATACTTGCGAGTAATGTACTCGTAATGTATGTTTAAAAATGCTGGCTCACTAGATTGGGATCGTGGACCATTGACTGACTTGAGTGACTAAACTTGGCGAAAGATCGGTCTCTTCGTTCCGCGCGATGCGTAAATAAACGAAGGGGACATCCATGGGTTTCTTGATCATCAGCCCCATTACTTGGTTGGGCTCATTTACCGCATGACAGGAGGACAAACGATGTCAGCCGGCGATACAAAAAAGTATCATTGCTATGCTATGCTATGCTAGGTAGGCTGCTGCTTGGGCTAGCCGGTTAGGTAGACAGGCAACTAGGTCAGGTAGGCTAGGGGGGCTGAGTACTATACCGATACGCCTGCGCACGCATTCCTTCTTATTGTGTGGGCGGTTTGAATCAAGGGATATTTGTTGTTGTCTTGAAAATGCGATAAATGCGATACCATGTTATTCTGTACCTACTGTGTCATATCGGATCATACCATACCAATACTAGCAAGTCATGGATGTCCTGACTTTTTTTGCTCTCTTATCAACTACCCAAGTGGGTAATAAAATTTCATTCGTTTCGCACCGTACCAGGTAGGATGAACGATATTGATTTGCTTGAATTCAAGCGAAAAAAGGAACTGAACGGAGAAGTTCGGGGGAGGGATGGTGATGGGAAAACCAAAAAAAGGATGAAATAGGTTTAGATCGACGCAAACGGAATGGCTTCAAAATCAAAATCTGTACTTATTTGTATGTACGGTACATCGGGGAGAGTAGTAGAGCGGAATAATAGAATGAAATAAAGTATTGGGGTTTCTGCTAGTCGTACCGTTCTAGTTGTGTGGAGGTGTAAAAGATACTTGGCTATCAAAGTAGAGTACATGTGATACATCCTGGTGGCCCCCCTTTTTAAGAAGTATAATCGGCTGGGAGGTCTCGACTATTTAATTTTTTCGAAGCCCTGGAGGATTTCTCACCGGGGGGCTCCACACGTGACGCGGAATAGAACCTTGGAACCTTTTGAAGGTGGTCCTTGCACCACCAAAGCTTGGATTTTCTTCGCGACGAGCTGGATGTTGAGCCATGTCCTCCTACTGCGAGAGAGAGCAGCAGCCGCCCTGGAAGGCCGTTTTAAAAAAGATTGTACAGTTTAAGCTGCCCCAAAAACTATTACACACCAACGAGCACAATGGCTGCCCCCGTATTTCATAATTTGACCCTGCCATCATCGCACCCTCATCTCTATTTCCCCATTCCCATCCCATGATAATAATTATTTACATTAGCCCTCGCATCACCATCACCATCACCATCACCATCACCATCACCATCATCACTTATACCCTCACCATCCACGTTTAAACACCCCAAACGTAGGATCACGATCACCGCATCCCCCGTCGTTGCCTATCACCAAGCAACGCGCGCGCACACTGTCTAGGGCGCGCACATTGGTACATTGGCAAGCAAAGCAAAGCACTTGGACATTGCCACGACGCCTCCCCTAGGACAAGAAGCGCTTTGGACGTCGGAATCTCGGTGGATACACCTCGCACTTTGCTAGGTTGATGACCTTACCCAACCTAAACTAAATAACAAAGTGCACCATCCACCATCCCACCAAGCGTTTTTCCCGGAAAGATCTCACAATCTCACACTTAACACCTTTTCCACTTCTTTCTATTTACCTCAACACCAACAAATCATCACCACCACCATCGCAGCCACGATAAAGCGTCATCTATTATCATCATCATCTTACACGTCGTCATGCCTACGCCAAGCAAGAACTCTTCCTCCAGTAAGGAGAAGGATCGGCGAAAATCTGCCGGAAAATCTTCTGCCCTTGTCACGTTGCGCGTCCCGTCCATCAAACTTAGAAAGATTGTCGACCCGTTATCTGTCAAGGAAGAATCGCCCGTGAAGGAATCGCCTCCCGAGTCGATAAAAGCCCCAAGCGAGCCAGCACCGGCCGTGCCGAATGGCGACAACCCTTCGCCCTCGAGCCCCGGCACACCAGCCGCCGCTGGGACGCCATCGCAAGCCCCTATGGGGCCACCAACAGAGGCACCGAAGAAGAAAGGTGTGAAGAGAAGCGCTGCGGGAGCGAATGGCTCGGACCCGACAGCAAAGATTCGGGGCAAGCCCGGCCCCAAGAAGAAGCCCAGACTGTAAGTTGAATACAATGCATCAACAATCACGGAACCCAACTACTGAATTGCAATTGCCCTACAAGGCTGGCACCCATAAAATTTTATTGGTTTTGTCAATCCATTTCCTGTCCATCTACTAATTGTATCTAACAGAGACGATGGCACCATCGACCCCACCGGCAAGACCAATGGAGGTACCTATCATAAACTTGGGCCAAAGGCGAATCAAGGCGCTATTAACGCTGGGTTACGCGCACTCGATCGGTCAGGTGCACCCTGTCGCAAGTGGAATAGGGGAGGCTTTAGGGTTAAGAGCTTCACTGGTGTCATTTGGGAGATCCCTCGATGGACCGCACCACCCAAGCCCAAGCCTCAGGCCACACCCGAGGAACCTGCTGCCTCAGCCGAGAGCAGCAATAAGGAGAATAAGGATGGCAGTCAAATGAAGAGCGAGAACAGCACCAGTCATGCTGATGGTGAGCAACGAAGCATACCTCCGAGTATCAATGCTAGCTCACCAGCTCCTACGCCTGTGGTTGCTGCTTCTTAAGTGACACATCACATTAATAAGAGTCATTTCGATAGCTACTGGGGACCTGCAATCCTTGGCATAGGATTGCGGTATTAGGTCGAGGAAAAGCATGGCGTTTAGGGCTGGAATTAGCATTGTCGGCTGAGAGCTAGTCATTGATTCCAGCGCACTTCACGAGGGTTAAGGAAGTATTTGCTCTGGGGGCTACGACGTCGTCACTTAGTCTAGATGGAAACCTTAGATTCATTTAATCATATGGCGTTAACGGAAAAGGGGGAAGCCAACTGTATATTATGTCTTACTGGCGTTGCGGCTAAAATCATCGAGGCCATTACGGATCAATTAACAGGCAAATACATACACATATCTCCATGTTCTTTACCTGCGTATCTTAGAGAATAGGAGGTTTTCGCTCGACCGGCTCACGTGCCCGGCCACCTCCGGGCGACTCTCATGAGTTGCATTATCTACATATACCTATATGATTACCATGCTTATCACTGAATTGAGGTGAACTATCAAAGCAATAGTGAGCACGAGTTTATTGTGGGATGCGGGTTTGCCCTGACTACTATAATTTTTTCAATATTTTCGCCAGACTACAAGTTGTTTGTGGCATACGAAACCAACCCCTTAAATTTCGGCGAATTTTAAAGTCAAATTTGCTGTTATTTTGTGCTTGGGCGATAAGAATGGATGGCAATATGGAAGATCCGGAACTCGAAGACTCATTTTCGTGTGAATTTATAAGCAGTGAGAGGAAGAATGTATCCGGAGTTCCCTTTGATAAAATGTACTGTAGTCCGTGATCATCCGTCAGGTTGAGAATGAGTACATGCGATGAGAGCGGGCCATTAAATCGACCCCTCGTCCGTCATACATAGGTGCTGATAATGCATCCAACTCATACAAAAGATGCAATGCAAGGCAATATTTGCATCATTTGGCTTGACATTGGTAACATTTCGTCCCTACTACGGCATCCGAATGAGCTAAATAATAGCCACGTCTACTCCATAGTAAGTACTTAATGTATGCTGTACAATTTACCCACTCACAATTTGGACGATAACCTCAACTTGTGACAAGTAGAAATAAGTAAGTAAGCAGACGTGGTCTTATAAATTTGCATTATATAAGAGTATAAGGGGCAACTTCAAGGTACCTGACGCTGTGTGACCTGGAGATATTATAATTCTTACAGGCAACGGAAGTATCGAAAGATGTACATTTACTTTTAAGAACCTTGGAAGCTGGCGATACTTGCCAGAAAACGACCGGAAGGAACTTGAGAGGAACTCCAGGTTTTAGCGTAGCGGCTATTACAAAAATGGTAGTCATGGTGTAACTGCTACCCACTCATTATCGATTGGCGTTTGAATATTCTAGGTACCTTCACTATGTTCAGACCATACAATTGGTACAGTATCAGCAATATCTGGGTACCTCTGACTACAGCAGGAATGTACCCATACTTCTGCATACATACGTTATCTCTCTTTCTAGGGTCAAGTTTAAACACCTGGGCAACGACGTCCGTGACCTCGTGATTGATACATGTATCTAAGTTTCTAAGCGTCCAAGTGTCTAAGTGTCTACCATCCAGATTTCTCCATTCAAGAGACCTTTTTAGTCTTTCTCCACAACGAAACCTATCACCATTCGATATCACTTTCGATATCATTGCTGCCCATTTTCATATACGCACAAGCCAGGTTTGGGGGAAACCGATTCCAACGATAGCGAAGCTTCTTCGGCGATTAATTCCATGGTCAACTAAAATTATGAATGCTGGTCATGACATATAACCTAGTTATTTCATAAGAGGCGTCCTCTTTTTTTCACGTGGACACCGAAACCATCTCTTCCGATCAAAAAGCATCATTCGGTAAAACCTAACTTAGGTACCTTACCTTTTACTTTACATTGCCTTATTATAGGTTATACTCGTTTGTCTCTTCAACGATTCACGGTCGCGAATATCCCTTCCGCGCTCTTTCCATCTCGCCCTGCATCAACTCGGTTGGTGTATCCTGGGGGCCAATAAAGGGTACTCGGCGAGTTCCTGATCTTCCTTCGTCCCTGCTGGGATTCAGCTTGAACTTAGGTCGATTATGGCAAATCCCTTCCAACATGGTTCCGCTGGCTTCAATCCGGATGTATCCCATACGAGTTTCCTTCCCCGCTACCGCAATTCTTCCTATGCGTCCGTAGCACCCGGCACTACTGGAGGTTTCGCACCTTCGTCGCATTCGCCGCTCAACCGCCTCTCCTATCTCCTCAACCCCCCTTACGAATTGACGTCCGACCTCTACGCCGCAAATCCCTCTTCCCAGAGATACAGTCACAATATGGACACCGATATGAATAATAATGGGGTGGATGGGGGGGCATCGACTATGCAATGCCGTGCCCCGCGATTACCGCCGTTTTCAAGAGCTTTCGAGCCAGTCATGTACGATGAAGCTGCGGAAGGTGTTCATACGAATGGACACAAGAAGAATGGGTTTTTTACGCCATCTTACCTCAAAGGCTCGAATTATATGCAAAGACTAGAGGAAGCGCAGAAGGCGAAACAAGCACAAAAAGACATACAACAACAATCGAGAAACGAGTTACCAGTGGGCGTTACAACGACGGGTTCTCTAGCGAATAAGCCACCGGCATCTCATCTGGGGATGACATACGATTTGATCGAACGAGCCCCCGCCCCTGAAGACGACGACTCTGTACCACCCATACCTACGAAATGGAACAAGGACGATAAACATGCTTCACTGGAGGTGCTAGCGGATGGCTACGAGGTAAAATACGCTGCGAGCCGGAATTCGAGAGAGCAAGATCATGAGACTTGTGCGATCCGGGCAGATCATCCAATGCCGTGGCAAGCCGGTATCTACTATTTTGAGGTTACGCTTTTATCGAGGAGACGAGACGAGTATGTGATAGGTGGCCTCCTTTACTCTCGGTAATTTCTAACTTGAGTGATAGTAGCACCACGGTTTGTATAGGGTTTTCATCCAAGAACGTTCCGTTAATACGCCCCCCGGGCTGGGAACCTGAATCGTGGGGCTATCACGGCGATGATGGCGATATCTATTCGGGACAAAACGTTGGCAAAGCCTACGAAGGCGGTAGCTTTGGACCGCACGACATCATCGGGTGCGGCGTCAACTTTATGACCCGTGAAGCATTTTTCACCAAAAACGGACAAAACTATAGTAAGTATCTTCATGCACGAATGCAAATCTTTCGCTCCTGGTTTTCGGGTCTATTTTAACGCTGTGAATAGAAACCGCATTTCGAGATATAAAAGGAGATCTTTACCCTACGGTTGGCATGAAAAAGGCGGGGGAACATATCAGTGTCAATTTCGGCCAAAAACCGTTCGCTTTCGGTATTGACAGCCTAGTAACGGTAATATTTTGCGATCCGAGCCAAATTTCTCCAAATAATTATAGCTAACGACTAGCCACAGGGAGAACAAGCAAAAATCAATGCTGCAATCAGAAGAACAAAGTAAGCAAACCCGTTCGTAAGTACCACAGTGAGAAAGATTACTTACGGTTTTTAGTATCGAGAGATTAGTATCACCTCCTCTAGGCGAGACGGAATTAATTCAACAACTAGTAAGCCAATATGCTCCCAAAAGTGATATCCCATTTTGGCTTACAAAGTACACTAGGTCCTGCAATTTTTACAACATGATGGTTACGTTGAGACAGCCCGGGCGTTTGCTGAGGAAATCCATGCCGAGAAGCAGTCTCTACGGATTGACCAGCGAACGCCTATACCAGGTATCAACATCAAAGATGACGAAGATGCTCATCACAGACAACGTACGTGTAATATGTAGTCCCGATGAGCTTTGTACTGACAAAATCAGGCATTCGAAGAGCTATTCTCGAGGGCGATATTGAAAAGGCTTTAAAATACACTAGGAGTTTTTACCCACTTGTATTGGCCGAAAATCGCGAGGTATCCTTCAAGCTGCAGTGCCGGAAATTTATCGAAATGGTACGGAAATCTGCTGAACTAAGCCATGCGAGCGCCAAGAAGAGCAATGGACATTCATTTGATGACACCCCTAACAAGATGGACGTCGATGGAAATGGCTTTCAAGACCAGATGGAGGAGGACAACCTAGAGCCACAAACAGACCAAGATCAACTCCTTACGGAAGCCATTGAATATGGTCAAGAACTGCAGGAAAAATTCAAAAACGAATCGAACCGTGAAATCACCAAGACACTAGACGAGGTTTTCTCACTTCTAGCATACTCGGATCCGCTCCAAGCCAAGGAGGTTTCACACCTATTAGACCGTAAAGGCAGGGTGGCTGTCGCTGAAGAACTCAACTCGGCGATACTTTGTAAGTTTGATCTTTTGCTATCAATACGAATAAAAATAACTGACCGGCTTTTATAGCGTCTTTAGGCAAGTCATCAAGGTCGGCGTTAGAAAATCTCTACGGCCAAACGAGTGTGCTATTGGATTACCTGCGTGTGGACGGCGGACCAGGTTCTCTAGTCAGTATTCAATCCATTATCGATGAGGTGCCTAAGTTGCAGCCTTTTTAGACGAAGGACGTCTGGCTTAGGTTATTATCATGATCGTTTGTGCGAAATAATTAGCGGTTGATTTCGCCAGCTCTACCGATGTTCTCTCCGAGTCGTGAATTAGCAGATATAGAATACAGGACTCAATTACTCGAACTCGACCATGTTCAATTTCTAGTTCATACGAAGGCGTTTATATCGGAGTTTCCCGGCTTCTTGGTTCTAGCCTCCTGGTCATTTTTGAGTAGTCAGCATTGTCTATTTCGGTATCCAGGAGATTTTAGCCTTTGGGATGTTGTCTGCCTTGTTGTATCGAGGGCGACTTGTTTCCTACCTTCCATATGGAGGACCACTAAAAGGATACCGAACTTAGGAGAACCTAATATTCAACCCTATGATTATAGTCGTCGACATTTTTGCTCACTGCTGACGGGGACCTTCTCGAGGAAGTGACGTTGCTTTGTCATAGATTGGAATGGGGATGGCGACACAAGCATGGGATGGTAGGGAGGCAGGCTTTATTGATTTATTCGGCGTCCCTTTCCTTTTCTTTCATGTGTGGGTTACACAAGTTTGTCTCTTCTCCCCTCTTCCCTCTAGGCATCTCCTCATTCCTCCTTAAGTTGGAGAGGATTTCACCATAAGTGGATTCTAGGCTCCCTTCCCCGGTTATTAGGTGTGTTACCTCTATGAGCAGCAGGACGGATCAGATTAGATCAGAAGCGCCCCGGAAGTATGTGGTGGTGTAATTGGTATACCCAACTCAACGAACAAAGCCAACCAGGAGTTATTAACTGTCAAGTACCTACTTTGGTAACTGGTGGTGGATGTACAAATGCGCATATTGCTACCCACGATGCTGTTCATAGGCGAATAGACTTCTTTATAGCAACTAGCAACTTAAAAGAAAGCAACCAAAATAACCACCCATACAGACTAAATTGGCAATAATTAATCTAGGTACCTAGCATGTGCAATTCCGAGATAACTAGATCCGTCATATTCTTCACCGAATAGGCCCTTCTCGATTAGAATCGAAAATAGAGATTCATGTAATATATCACGAATCGAGAAATGCATTACAACCTCCTACCTATCTTTCTTCACTTCGCTCCTTCAAAATCGGGATGACATTTCAATATACCACACCATAAACAGACCATATTCACGGCATACAAAATGTGAGAACTGATATATCTGTTCGTTGGAGTAGTAAAAGCAGTTACCATAAACCCCCAACTTTGGCAATCGAGATCGATCTAATTAAACCCCAATTTCTATTCGTGCCGGAAGAATAGGAAAACGGGACTTTCCTTGTAGGTTTTCTTTTTATTTGGATATAGGATGGGATGGGATGGGATTTATGCGGCCATACATAGTCACGCGCGCGCGAAAGTATTTCTACTACATGTATTTCCACAATCCCCAACCCAATCCTAGACCCCAAAATCCCAATTCCTCCGCATGCACTGCAAGTACTGTCACGGTGAAACAACAGGAACAGAAATGTATAGGGCAATATTAGGCAGCTGCGCCGAGTCGTTGCGCGGTGCAGTGTGGGCCAGCTTATATTGATTTGATTAGGAAGAAGAAAAAAAGAATCGAGATCGAGATCTCAATTCTTACGTCTATTTCTGTGGTGATTGGTTATGACTCCTTTCTCTCTTTCTTTGTTTGTCCACGCCTGCCTGTCTGCCCGCCCGTCCTGCTTACCTAGCCGTGGAAGCCAAGCCCTATCCCGTTCTATCCGCATAGTAGTAGAGCAAAGCAGTAACGCAAAAGTAATAGTCTTGTCCCATCCCATTCCCACGCATGCATATCATGACCATGAGGAAAGAAAATTTTTGTTGTGGTCGTTGTAACCGCCCCCCTCCAATTCTGGCCTCCCACACTTTCGGCGTGGGCGCTGCAGCAAGCGAGCTTGCATTGGATCGAATCGGGCTTCGCGAATCGTATCGTGCCGCAGATTGCAACCGTACCAACAACCCTCCATCCCCCTTACCGCCCCCGTTGCGCACACATAATTGATCGTGAAATGTAGCGACGGGAGGCAGTGATAGCAAACAAAAATTAGGTCAATAGCTATTAAGCCCTATATCACTTTATGCTCAAAGGATATCTCCCTTTGCGATTGCAAATGCCTCAGTAAACAACCCCTGTCTCCCACTAGTGATAAAATGCCTCGACTTTTTCCGAATTATACCGAGAGTTGGGTGCGGAGATTTTTGGTCGAAGGTCATCGTGGTGTAGTTCGTGGGGGAAAAAGGAGGGGAGAGAAAAGCCAAGCGCCTAACGTCATCATCATTGATGTTCATCTTCCCCCCGAAAATGCTAAAATGCCAAATCCGTAAAAATATCGCACGCAACAAAGAGCAATAATAAAAGGTTCGGCGCTTCCAGCTCACTAGGCCCCCTTCCTCTTCGCACGTATCGCATACAGCGTAGTTGAACGAACTAAGGTTTAACGCAACCATGGAAATGAAAGAAGAAATGTATTAAGAAGGTATAGTTGTTGTAACGTAGTAGTAACTGAATCTCATCGGGAGCGCTAGAGATGTGGGGGAGAGGAAGGGATGTGAAGACTGGATGTACACCAAGGCCAATTACGATATCGCTATGCCTTCGAGGTCCCGCATCAGCACCGCCATCTGAGCTCGTTTCGCGGCTTCTGCCACGAGGTTCAAATCTCGGATGAATGCATCTGTACTCGGTGCCTTTTGTGCTGCCGGGGGAGGTGGCGCAAAGTTTTGCGTTGTCGAGTGACTCGTTACTGTTGTCGTGGAGGGGAGTTGGCGGTGTGCCATGCTGGGAGATGAGATTGGGGCGTCCATGTCGTTGGGTTGTAGATAGGCTGTAGTGTAGGAGATTTTATTCTCCTAGTGACCTCCGATGAGAATGTGGAGATATGTAGTCGAGTAGATTTTGAATATTCCTTGGCACGTTTGCTGCCTTGAGATCCCTCGGTGTGAGGAGAAGTTGTGACTCGAAATAATAGCTTTCGTTTGCAAGGCAAACTTGACTTTGTATTGTGGGCTGTGGGTTGTGGTGTCTCGGTGACCCTTAGATGTACACAAAGATCGTGTACTGCTCGATCTTACAGTATTTGGTGGAGAGCAGAGTACTGGATGGTGTGATACCGTACGACAGGTGAAGAATTACCTGTAACTGTCTGTGTAATAGAAGGGTAGGGTTTATAGGGGTCGACGACAAAGATGTCAGAGTATCAGTAGTGAAGTTCTCGTAAGGTTGAAAACTTGAAGACGTAAGAAAAAGAAGAATGAATAGTCCTCGGGATTCGGTGGGTTGGCAGAAGGACTTATTAAGGGCTAGTTCGTTCACGTTGAGCCAGGTTGGTCGATCAAGACGCAACGGAAGCCTGCACTAAGGCGGTGACGAAATGTGCGCGAATGAAGATGGTCAAGTTTCGCAATTCCCTCTTATGGAAGAATGAGAAAGTGGGATGAGTTGGAGAAATGATGAAGATTGTTTCCTCTTTTTGTTACCTTGGGTTGAGTAAGAAAAGTATTAAAATAATAAATAAATAGATAAAAAAAAAAGGTTAAAGGGTAACGTGGGGATTTTTCTAGTGTAAGAAAAGAAGCACCCGAGGTATTTTGAAAGAGACGCCGTAGTAACCTTAAGGGTAGTAAAAGTAACGAGGTATCCAAGTATCGTGATCAAGTCTTTTTTTTTTCTTTGTAGCGTAGCCTGATAACCAAATAAGAAAAGGGTGGATGTACATGTATGGATGGTGGCCCTATTACTGTAGTGACCCCCAATTTTGAGTGTCAATAGATTTGAGACTAGGGATCCCTAACCAGCCTTAATTTTTAGTAGCGGAGTCGGTTACCAAGGTGCAGCCAATGCGTATAATGCGTACCAGTGTATGCAGATTATTCGACCGGGCTGGAGCTGCACGGAAGGGTCAAGAATCAATATTGAGTACACCATCAACCCATCCAATATAATCGACGATAGTGCTGATGAGGGGAAATGCATATAGGGACCGGTGCAGTGCTCAGGCGAAATCCGAAGGGTGATATTAAACGCACGCTTGCGACCTTGCTTGCGACCTTGCGACCTCGCAACCTCGGCGTTTATATCGTTAGATACTTACTGTAAGTATTTATTGGATTGGTGGTGATGATTCCGACTTGGTGGAGACCAAATCCCGTCCTAGGCCTCACCCTTATCATACGTACTATCACTAGTATAGTAAACCGACGAAGCTAGGCGAAGCCGTAAAGATTTGCACCAACCGGAGATTAAGATCGTGGTCGCGGACTGCCTATCTGGGTATTTACTAGGATTTTAAGTGAAGGAGGAGAAAAAACGACTAGGTTGATGAGATAAAGAAGGGAGTTTTGAAAAGTTTCAAAAGACAAGTCAAAGTCAAAGAATCAATTAAATTAGGGGAAGTCAAATGCCTAGGTACAGTACCTATGTACCTAAATAATCAGTCGCCTAATCACAAGTCATAAACCATAAACCATAACTCCAGGCACCGATTTAGACGATTACTGTTTCGGCGCCATACGCAACTACCTCCTAAAACTAATTCAAAGTATATTCCTAGGCACTAATGCATCTACCATCCTTAAATGGCTACATGCTTATGTCTAGTATTACATGCAATATAAATTGTCCACCTACCTGCTGTCGGTTCTTTACAACTACAATAAATGTATCGGTGAGCTAACCATAAATATACACCTACCTCTTGTACATACGGAAGGTGAACATCCCACTCAAGCCACTGTAACATGAGTACAATGCAGCCAGGGCGAGATCGCAAATGCTACCTTACGGTACCTTGACAATGGAACATGATGTTCTTCAGGTCCCTCGGGTCCTTCGAGTCCCTCAACTTCCCCTCTGATCCCCCCAAAATGCCCCTCACTCATCTTAGATCCTATTAGTGACACTCTACATCATCGTACATCTAAACTTGGATTTAGCAGCGGGTGGTTTCCAAAGTTCCTTGGTTGATCTCGTTGACCATGTCTAGAAACAGCACTGGTCCGTCCTCCGCTCGAATCCGCTTGGATAGCATCTATGATGTAAATGACCAGATAAACAGATTTGATCTATCCAGAGTTACATATACCCGTCTATTCTCAATTACTCTAGATCTACTAGCGGTTTCGGTAGTCCCAGGTAGTCGGATGAACGGCTCGCGCACCGGCAAGAACAGTGAATCGATCAAAGCGGTTTAATGTCATGGTGTTCTAGTCTGACTCTATCGCAATTCCCCGCTTCGTCGATGTATCTTTCCACCGGAAGGGCAGAAGAACTGGACTGTTCCAACGGCTGTATGTTCTATGAATTTCTCTTGGCAGCGGGACAACGGGACTTTACGCGACGTTCTCGAAGAATTGCGAATAAGCACCGAAGCTATCATGGTGTCTTATCAAGACAAACAATTCCGCAATTGGCATCGTCGGCATTTGATTCTTACTGTGAATTAAGAATAGAATGAGCTGATAAGTTGATGCCCAATTCTTTAAACTGGACAATGGGAATGAATGAGAATCATTTACGTGGCAGCGTGGCTTTCGGTATGTATTTTTATTATTTTTCTTATTTTTCTGGAGATTAAACTGCTCAATGCTTAATTCTTGATTCTTACAGCTTGTACAGGCGCGGGACGGGACCCCCAATTTTCAATGTCCGCACCGTTTCCCCCCACGGATAGAAAATGAAATAGAATTTCCACCCCGCAATATGCCCCAGACTTCTGGAAGTTTGCACCATGTCGAAATTGGCTTGTGATCGGCACTCTCCTACTTCCGTGTGAATCCTTCGACGCATCTTGTGCATCGTAAGTTCGTGCCTGAAATCGGTCAGTGCCAAGGATGTTGATATCAACAGTGGATGCCGTACTTCCAAGTTGTTTGCTTGATGATGTTATCTTAACGCACCGTCGGTTTTTTAGATCCTTTAAGGACCATCTATGTACTACATCGGGACAATGGATCGTACCTCGGAACACTTAAGGACCCTGAAAAAGCTACACCCCCACATGATAACAGAGTCTAGCGAGCTTAGTACTGGGAAACGTGAATTTGCCGGAATCTCGTTAAATCTTCGGTAGATCTTAGTAGATTTGATCTTATCGACTATATCGATAAGATATGAGGTTTCCTGTTGGGTCTTAACTTTTACCTTAGGTAAGCTAGGTAGCCTCCGTAGAACTTTCAACTTTTTGGAGCTCTACACTTGGGAGTTCTCAATTGCGAAAAGAGACGCAAGTCTAGGGGAGATCAATAAATGTACCAGGTCGGACTTAATCAGACGGAGATTCCGTATATCTAAATCGGCGATCTCGACATAACAATTACTCCGAGTCGACACCGAAATTCCTGTCATGTCGTCAGAGACGTCTAATACTGCGCCAAGTACTCGCCCGCCCTTCACGTCAGGGTGGTTGGCTATACCGTCTCCTTTAGCCCGACTATTCAAGAAATTCCCGCTCCTCACATACCCTCCTAATGAACTTCCCACTCGATCGGCTAGTACTAGAGATGTCGCAACTCTATACGTATTCATATCAGACCAATATGCTTTGAAAGGTCTACCAAGCTTCAACCCGTCTTGTCTGAAATGGCAAGTATGTTATATACATAATCACCCCGCCATATTCTATAGCTAACCACCAAATTAGACCTTTCTCAAGCTAGCCGGAGTCGAGTTCCAAGTAGCGCCTTCGAATAACCATGCCTCTCCTACCGGCGCCCTACCGTTTCTGATTCCCCCATCGAATACCAGCAATCCCTCTGCGCATATCCCTATACCTTCCAACAAACTTGAAAAATATGCAGCCGAGAAGGGTACATCTGAAATACCCGATGTATCCAACCTAAAACTCGAAGCCTACGAGTCGCTCCTTGATTATCGGATACGAAACGCCTGGCTCTATTCATTATATCTATCCCGCCCCAATTCCGCTCTTCTTTCGCAGCTTTATGTCGAGCCTATTTCTACTTCACAACCCATAAGGGCGACAATTCTGTACCAATTGCGCCACGCGGCGGAAGCCGAAATATTAAAGTCCACCGGTACACATGTAGTAAACTCGAGGGCATTATATCGAGGAGCAAGAGAAGCTTTTGAGGCATTATCGACGGTGCTAGGCGAGGAGGAATGGTTCTTTGGAGTGCCAGAACCGACATTATTCGATGCGGCGGTATTCGCATATACCTACCTTTTACTCGATGACAGATTTACTTGGGAAGATCCTCGATTAAGGGAGATCGTGAAGGAATTCCCAATATTGATCGAACATCGCAACAGGATATTGCACAGATGTTGGGGTATACAAAAGGCCAAGAAACACAGCAATTTACAAAGGCCTATGGCTTGAACTATACGATACTAATTCTTCGACCATTTAGTGTTGGAATAGCCTACAAATATTGGGCTGATACATGTACGAATTACGAAATGGTTCTGGAAATAAGCAATATACCCCTTTTTAAACAGTATCCCATATGGATCACCGGTTTTACTAACTACTGAACGATCACTCGCTACGCCGTTAGTGTTCAAGACATACGATACGCCTATTCTTGGCATCTACCCGTGTTTCACTCAGTTGTTAGGTAAAAGGGATGGTCTATCTAGGCACGAATATCTATTAATGTCTTATGCATGAAGTCATGTCTTTCATTCACAGGAATATTCTAAGATCAAGCTCTATGCTAACATCCCATTAATTGCCGACGAAAAGACACGACCTGTCAAGAAAATTATACGGCCGTCCTCTCTGCACAGGACAACATTCCTATGCTCCTTGCCCCCTAGATACGTCTAGGTCTGCTCGATGTTAGAAATAAGTTTCTGCGCGTCTCTCTTACATCTCATAGCGTGAACATTGTCTTCCCTGACGTCCTCAAAAGGCGAGTAGTGCACGTTGAATAACTCGTCTATGAGCTCATCATCGTCTGACTCCGAAACATAATCGTTCTCTTCGCTCTCCTTTTCTGGGTTTGGCCCTCCCGATGAGCCGCAGCCGCCTGCGCCTATGAAAATTTCCTCCTCCTCGGTTGACATTGTGTTCGGTATAGATAGGTACTAGTTAGTAGAATTGAAATCGCGAATATCAGATTTGAGGGTTACTAATATTGTTGTAGTTTTGGTGGAGTGAAATTGGAGAAGTTATCTACACCATTATATGTGAATTCAATCTAGCTACATTCAGAATGCTTGTGGCAGAAGATATTCATCGTTCTTGTCGTGTCAAAGGTAACAATGAACATGTTCCTTTCAGTGCCAAACTAGTCCTAATATGCTTACCAAATTACTATACAGTAAGATAACAATGTTCTCGCCCTGAATCATTTAAACTCATAAGATATAGACAGACTTGCCCTCTTTAGCTAGGTGAGTTCCGGTATCCACGAAATGACCGCTTCCAATTTCATCTGATACATTGCCTTACGTAGGAAAGTGAGAAGGGTTCCAAATTAGCAGCTTACTAACATCCAGTCGTGCTCAGAACCAGGGATTCCACCTGCGTATAGTGTGTAATTTCTCGGCGCTGCTACTGCATACCGTAAGCCAGTCATTCTTGCTGGTCTGTTGCCACGAGACGTTATTCTCCTGGCCCAGACACCGATAACAGTTCCAGCCATACGCTTCGGCATACAAGTCAAGCAACTCTTCTTTTTCAAGTTGCTGCCATCCATCCAAGCTTAACACCACACTCTCCTCGCAGGCAACGACTTCGAATATGGACGGTCCTGTACGACGAGAGCAGATTATGCAACATGCCCTGCCTGGTTCTGATGCTGGCGGGTGCGGGGGAAGATCTTGTTTGTGTAGATGTCGCGACTCATGAGTTAGACTTCCTAGCTTGGTCTCGCCTGACGGGTCATGGCGTTTCAAGCGATGTTGTTGCATCGCAACCCTTTTGGCCATTTGAATATCTAGCACAAAAGCTTTGACGAGAGCTAGTCTTTGAATCCTGGGGAATGGTGGCCACCGGCGTTCCCCTGCCAGCTTTTTCTTTCTATCTATAGCCTGTGTGACGATAAGCGGAAGTCCCTGAAGGAGTCTGAATAAAGTGAGAGTAGAGGCCCCATACCATCTCCGTCTGGAGTTTCTGCATCATCACTTCCTCCCGAAGTAGTGCATCTAAGGTGCGTCGCCAATCGAATGCGATAGATAGCCCATCATTTTCCACTTCTAGATCGACGATATCGGTATCATTGACAATGTAACCACCTGTCATGCCATTGTTCAGGATACCCTCGCCTAATCTCAAGTGGGCTACTCGGTTCTCGAAGCTGTACTGGTCCCATAATGTCCGGATCCCCTCTTTGTTCAACGAATTCGCCAGACCAGGTCCCAACGTCTGGAATCGAACCCGACGGATTCCGAGATTATCGTTGCCGGAATAGTTAGATAATCTATAGTCGATCTGACACCGCGGACCCGAGTATAGTGTGATAGTCAACTTGGGCACCCAATGACGTAGAAAATGGCGTTCGATGCGGCGCATCTGTCGTCTCGCCGTGTGCCGCAACGTGGTCCATTGGTATGCAGGGTCCTGGTCATATTCGTCCACCAAAAGGTCTAAGATCCGCTCTATCAGCTCCAGAGGGAGTCTTCCCCAGAGATGATCCGCTATGGGGGTCATGGTCATGGTCATGATGAGACGATGGGACGATCAACGAACGAATCAACTATCAGTCGTGCAAATATCCAGAGCACCCATCACCCCTAGCTAGCTCAGGGTGCGGTGATGGATAATAATATATGCTAGGGGAACATACGCGTAGTATGTAGTACCCACCGTCACAGGCTGGAAGTATAAGAGCGGTGCCTATTGGCTTCGCTTGCGTAGAGAAGCCTTATAAGCATGTCGGTATTTACGCGCAGGCTAAGATCGACAAGGTCTCCCGGTTTAGAATTGAACACATCCATCCATCCGGACGCGCCTCTCGAATACCTGGCGTGGGCATATTGGGCATCATGATGGATGGTGGTGGTGGTGGTAAGAAAACAATAAAAGGCCACAACATATAACGCCGCGCGTTACATTAATGACGAAGGGATAAGTCGGGCCCTTGGGGTAATGCTGTGCCGGCAATCATGCTCGAATTCCACCGAACCAATGAGTCAATATCCGGGTGGTCGTACTGCTTCTGACCATCCGGTAGATCGGCCCGTTTGTTGGTGTTCTAGGTTGTATATCCACAAGATCTCTGGAGTAGGCAGGTGTCCAGGTACAATCGCCCCGAAAATATTTCGTCCGACGCCGTTTATTTTCTTGTATATATAGAGCGCCCGTCCATTTCGGCTTTTTTGAAATATTTCAGTCTAGGCGGTTTTCTCGGGGCGGCTCAGGGATATTCTCTTCGTACCAAGCAATATGATCAGGGTTTATAAGATGTCCCCGATTAGGCCTGCTAAGTTGTAGAATTAATGGATACTTTTATGCTATAGCATCTTAAAAGAAGCTAGGGCTTATTGCTAATGTTCTGTTCTTGCAACGTGACAACGACGCCGGGTAACACCAATATAGATGCTAACCATTGAGAAACAATCTTGACATTGGGCTGAGGTCGGGTTAACATCTGATCTATCAGACTACATTTCTTATGATATTATAGTTCGATACCTTGACTGGATTGCTAAATACTTCACTTAAATATCCAAGTTTGTCGTTTGTCCCTAGAGTATCATAAATATTCGAGGGTAAATAAGATGGTTTCTATTTATCGTAAATCATCATAAGTATTGTCGTTTAACTGTACCTGACTTCAAAAAGTCGTAGAATCATAGTATACACTTTGGACCTGTAGCCTTGTCTATGTTGCAATTGGAAATGCTCGAGTCCCGTTTCCTCTGAGTTATACTCCTCGCCGTACGCCAGATCCATGCAGGGTAGGTTCATTTCAAGAATCAAAAATTTCATCCGTTTTCCCTTAAATTTCTTTCATTTCTTTATTTATTTCAATCCCGCCATAGCAACATTATGCATGGATCTCGCATCGTAATCAAAATCACCTCGGCCCTCCGGTCGACTTTCTTGGACACTTTCTCGTTGCGGCCTCACGCTAGCTTGTGAATGATTCCTTTTCCTCCGAGAGGCGGAACTGGATCCAGAATGTCTTCGATGATGTCTCTTCTCTTCCCTTTCGTGTCTCCTTTCTCCGATTACGCTCGCCGCTTCTGTTTGGATGCTTTCCGATGCGCTCATCTGAGTGTCTTCTCCGTCCGTCGTTGCTGATTGGGGCATTTTGGAAATCTTATTACCCTCCGCTGCCATTTCGCTTGCCTTGATGGTTTTGTACTCTTCCAGCGCCCTTCTCAGGATCTGGCGCATAAAGGCCTTGTTGACATTCCTCCGGACGCGGTCGAAGTAGCGCACCACATCACCAACAACCATGACTTGAGCATCGTGGTCGACATCAACGATATCAGCGTAATTTGCCCGAGAGTCCTCTTTTATGCGGAGCTTCCCCGGGCGCAGTTCAATTCCAACGGCTGAGTAGGGCAAGCGAGGACTCTCTGGTGCTGGATCACCATTGGCGAAGACGTACCCTTGCTGGAAATGATCAATTCCAGGCTTGGCAAACTCGTGTTTTCCGCCCACTGATATGGGTCTGATTTTTGGCCATGGTCAGTTAACGATGAAGATGGAAACCGGTTACTGGTGAAGCTGACACTCGTGATCTCCCCATGCTAAATAACGCCCGATTACCGAAACCGGGGGGGAAATAATTCGAAGAGAGTCGATGATACTAGTAAACCTGGGGGCACACCAAACGGAATCAAAGGATTTGGGTTTTTTTTCTTCCAACTTACATGCATGCGCAATGATGAGGAAATGTGTCGCTATGACGCAGGACGATGAATCGAGTGTATCCAAGGCATTTCCATTCCCACTCGAATTCTGGAGCATCGGCCCAGAGAAACTCGAAAACCTGCACACCGCCTTTATTTTAGCACATTTGTTCTCGAACTGGTGCTTTTGATGGATCATGGGAGACTCACGTCGCCTACTTGTAATTTGGATGCTGGCCCAATGTCGTATCCCTTAAGAGCTGCGGAAAAGAAAAATCAACGTCAGTAACCATTAGAAAAAATAAATAAATCCCACTTATGATAAGTCGAACCATGGTGAACAGTCTATGATTTCCCACATAAACTACGAATCAGCAACTTACTCAAAGGGTGCGCATCGGGGCCGTCTTGCGGCACTTCGGACGCATCGTCCCCATAGCCTGAATCACTTCTAATTGTTGCTTGATCGCGTAGTCCCATCTCTGACGAGACAGAAGAAGAACTAGAAGGAAGAGAAGAAAAGAGGGAAAAGGTCATTAAGAAGGGTTGGCCGATTTCGTTCGGAGTTATATTTTGGGGAAGAAGGGAGCGGTTGAGGGAGGGGGAATTCTCGCTAGAGTTGCTTAGTCCGTGTAAGTGATCAATGCAACCCCTTATTATTTGTCGGACTGGCGAGTCGGTGATGCTGCCCAACTCCATCAACTCCACCCAGATATGCACCCTCTGTGGTTGTTAATGGCTACGGCCAAAGATGAGGCTCCACCAAGCGCCGGTATCCTAGTCCAACGGTACAGGTGTCAGCCCAGAAAGACCCAGGGGGGCTAGGGCGACCTAGACGACCACCCGGGGATGAGGCGGCAAAGTGGAGCGTTGGATCCCTTCAGCTGGCCAGAGACGTTCGACCACATCGTCACCGCCATTTGGCGCCCGCCAACCCCAAACGATTTCCAGTTCCTGAGATAAGGCAATTTTAGCAAGACTCCTCGCACGGACAGATGACATTTTTCTTCTTTTCTCCCTTTCTTTTCCCCTTCTTGTTTTTGGTCCAAGCTCTCGAACTTTCTCCGTGATCGTATCCTGCGTATCCGATTACCATTCGATTCGACCGGAAGCATTCAAGACAAGCAAAAAAAGCTTGGACATCAGTCCCGCTGCGGGGACTTACGATTTACATACATACTACATACATATTTATGCGTTATCATGAAACGAGCGAGCCGTTCATCCATGATAGAAATGCCGATGAATGCGAGGCATGAATCCGCGCTTGTGGTACACTGACGTCAAATCCAAAGAACGTCGCCGGCGCCACGAGTGCATCGAGAGGCCCGGAATAGCCGATCGCGAGGGAATCGCATAGCCCGACCGGACCCTCTCATGGCCCCGCGCTGTCGGATCCGGAGTGCGTCGACGTGGTCAAATGCGTCACGACGATAGGTCCGTATGAAGTGTTATGAAATATTTCTTCCATGAAGGTGGCTATAACTATACCTTGAGTCCACATGAAGTCATTACAGATCTTGTGGATATTTTCGCATTCACATGGTCCGAATTGCATCATTATACGTCTCTTGAACTGCCCCTCTCCAGATCCATTAAGACGCATTAGCATACATGTACGGAGAGATGTCCTGATCGCAATTACATCAGCTTGAAGATCTTGGAGAGATACCTAAATCGGATTGTGTTATGTTCAACTGACTCATGATTAGTCGGTTTTGGTAATGTATTATAGGTCTGATATAGGTCAAGATGAAGCTACTTACCTGTATTAGCCTGCCGAAAACAATTGGATCTAGGGATGACGCACCCACTCACGATTGGATAGATGCAAAATCAAGTGACTCCATCTTACTGGGAAGCTTGTTAGTGGGCGTATCCTCCTACCATAGTCATAACAGACCCAACACGAAGGACAGAGAAAACGGAGTACGACTTCTCCGAGTTTCTATCGTATATTGTCAACACCACGCCCAGGTGTACACGCATTGAACCAAAGGCAAGCCATCAAACTTTGCCAAGCTGTTTGACAGCACTCTCAGTCGCATTTGAAACCTACGTCTCGTAGGATACCACTCACCACCAAAAGTACCACGTGCCGCCCGCCTCGCTCTATAGCCGTAGAGCAATTCATATGACTAACCTGCTTCTTAATGAGTGGATTCGTGCTCTGCTTTCATTCGCAGCTCTATTTAGCCAGTATCCTATAGTTCAGATCTAGGCTACTTCCGAATAGTAGCTATACCATTTTGGTCGTTATACATACCTCTCATAGTAATGCATAACTACCAAGGCAGGCAAGACTCGAGCTTCTAGTGTCTAGAAATTCCAAGTGTCCTCTTTGCCTGGCGGAAGGCAAAGTCATATCACATGATATTTGCATAAATTATCGTGACTCTTTCATACCTGCCTATTCAGACCACGTTGCTGCCTTACGTGCTCTGCTCGCCCACAGTTAGAGGCGATGCGATATCGTTAGTGGTCGTATGAGTAACCCGGGCTAGGAGGCGAAGTCTCCTGCAGGTTCTCGAAACTACTCTGGTCTGTCCAGCGATGCGGAGTCGAAGCTCTGCTTTGCATGTCAGGGTCTTCTGCGAGAATGAACCCACAGCTCCAACCAATGATGAAGTAAATAGAAGATCCTACGAATGAATAGAGAATACGGAGCTATTGCATCATCCGGTTAGGTAGAGCTTTAAGTCGGGATGCTGCGAATGAACGCTTCGTAGGTGGCATAGGGGTCCATACCATTCAACCCAATAATATTCGATCGCAATTTTTCCCACTTTGAGTGCGCGAATTGAGAATACGAAGGGGCTTGGTTCAGTTGAATCTCCAAGCATAGGAGCTCAGATATAATGAAATAGCTTGCCGTTAGAGCGTGTTTGGGGAAACCGTGGAGTTAGGGGGGTAAAAGAGTGTATTAATGATGGCCATAATTGTTACCAGAAATTTAGTGATACGTTCTGAGCTGCCTATCCCTTGTACCGAAATGGCGGCTTGAATGCATGAATCTGATTAGTAAGGGCTCATCGCGATAGCTTCATTTCCAGCAGCAACAGCCCCAATAGTAATGACCGTCTCAGTTATATATGTAATTTCAATCCTTTCCCGTCCTTTGTTACACTAAAGTTAATGATAGTAAGTCCGTGGGGGAAGTCCGCGGAGAAACGAGAGACATGTCGGCCTTCCGCGTAAATCCGAACATCCTCCCAGAAAGAAGTAGCCGATCCTCATGTAATCAAGCCACTCTTCCTACATTTTAAGTCTTTTTGAGCTCCTCAAGCATCTGCTTGGCGCCTGCAAGAGCATGACAAGCGGCCGTAATAGTTGGGTTGGAAGCATTGCCCTTAGGGATGACGCCGCAGCCGCCGAGGCTCAAATTGTCTAGGCCCCATACACGACCGAACTTGTCAACAACGCTGGTTTTCTTGACGTCCTCGATAGTCTGGCCATCCTCTTGCTTGCCCGCGCGGTATATGCCGCAGATGTGTAACGCCAGACCTGGAGCCTGATAGCGGGGTTCTGCGCCTGGGACGAAGCCACCAAGGTACGAAGACACTCTTACCATGCTATAATGTGACTGGTTAGCATTAGGTACTAGCAATCGGCACAGGATTTATCACTCACTCTTGCATCATCTGGTGAGCGCGCTCCCCATCTTCCTGGGATAGCTCAAAGTGGAATGTGGGCTTGAAACTTGTCAATACGGCGCCAGATCAATTTTCTGACATGGAAATAACTTACCTGCGGCATACCAAATCCGTCCTTCCTCGTATCACTGAATGTGACCTTGTTCGTTTCGGTCTCCGTCGTGTAGCTGAACCATCGCAGGTCAACAACCAACCTCTGATCCAATTCAGCGGGGACTTCCCCGTATCCAAAAGCATCGCGATGGATTTGGGTGTGCCAAGGGTAGTCTTTCGAAAACGGGATGTAGACCTGAGGATCGAAATCGGAGAACGGGAACGGTAGAGGATCATCCGGATGCTTGGCAATGTGGTTATTCACAGCATCTGCTATGGTAGTGTCTCCATCAGTGTCTAGCTGCCCTGGATCCTTACGAACGCCGTTTACGAGCTTGCTCCTAAGGACGACCTGACAGAACGTCATAGTCTGCTCTGTCAGGTATTTTCCCTAATATCAAGAAATGTTAGAAGTGCTAAGGATGAGGGCATAGTTAGTATAATATCATACCAGAGCAGGGTATTGTTTCTCTATCGACATGTTACTTTTGTACAGCGATTTGGCCATAATGCCCGCAGTCAGCACCGTTCCGGCACAGACGACGAACTTGTCAGCCGAAACTAGCCACGGCTCATTCTTGATGAGGTCAACTACAATAGCCCCGTCCACATGACCAGTCTCATTGATATGGAGATAGTCGCATTGCCATTGGGGCTTCATAGTGAACTTAGTGTTCTCCGACTCCGCCAATTCACCAAGAATTGTCGCTGTGCATGACCATTCGATGTATGTCGACTCCGCTGAGGGTCGATTGCATGCTAGCGGCATGTTCCGAACATCACGCCCAACTTGCTTATTGTCATCCTTAATTGCGTCTTCTACGACCTTTTTCACGAGACGGTGTCGCACTGAGTCGTCGAAGGTCGTGCTGTTGGTGTTGAAGAGGGCTTCAGTCCCATCGTACAGCGTATTCCACTCCTCATCTGTGAAAAGATCCGAGCGCTCTAGAAGGTGTTGGCGTGGTGTGCAGCAAGTCCAATGGGCCGACATGCCACCGACAGTGCGAGTAGCAGCGCTGGCCGTCAGGTTGTATTTTCGTACCTGGTCAGGGTTTTGACCGTTTAGGACGAAGTTATCCGGTCTAGATGAATTAGGACTTGGTACTAGATAAAGTTGGCTGAGTGTGGCACAAACTCATCTTGCCATGAAACAGGGTCAAGCTGTAGGTCCGACTCGCTAACTGGTACGGATAAGGGACTCAATTCGCCCTACTGTTATTAGCAAGACGCCGAATCTATATCTTACAAGTGTTGGGCCTTACTCGAATCACACTTGAGATTGGTTAGTTACTGTGAGTTGATAATGATATGACCAGGTACTTACTTGGTAAAAAGACTGATATCCTTTTGCACAGCAACGCTATTCTTGCGGTGATCTCCAATACGTTTGGATCCCCTGAAATGCCGTTTAGTTAGCTGATATATCGTTCAGCAATGTTTCGTTGGACTTACTGTTCGCCCATATCAATCATCATTACGTCCACATCATTCTCAACTAGTATACGGGCATAGACAGCCCCAATGGGCCCCGAACCCACGATAAGCACCTGGGGCGTCAGTTCTTTTCCCGCATTTCGAAGAGTGTCAACAATCTTATCCCAGTCTGGCAGTGGGTCCTCGCCGGGGAGACTTGGGATGACAGGTTGAGTGGGTTGACGTGATGACATGATTGCAAAATACTAAAAATACCGTTGTGATTTGAACTTGTAGGGTTATAATGACGAATGTCTTGGATCATGAGCTTCACATAACAAACGACGTTGCGGTGATCCTCGTTTTTATACACGATACCAGGCATCATAGAAGGAGGGCTGTATCAACGAATACGTCGCGATATCTTGGCATTCATCTTGCCGGATGGTGGCTGAATGCAATGTCAGACGGGTGATGAGTTCGTGCATCTAGTATGACATTGGGGCTTGCGACGCTGCCGTGTTATGCTTTTGACGGGAATCAATATTGAACGCCGATAGACTCTTTGAGGCATTGATCATCTTAGCGGCGTCACCGCGAGGTAAATCACGCGTTGTTAAATGAAGAATCCCGAGATTCTTGTGAGTTATACTGTGAAGTTACCAGTATTACTCGCATTATAGCAATTATATTAACTGCTGATAGGTTGACTAATCTTATGGTTCATGCGGCTGCAATCGGCTGATGTTATCGTTGCGGCTGGTTTGCAGTTAATTGTCACCTCACCCGCATTGCCAAGTTGGGGTGGCTAGCTGACTATTGACGTAGTTAATATCTCTATCTAAGACAAGACGGGTTCATACTATGCGCCTGACTTCATACGTTATGTGTGTAAGTGAGTTGTCGATATGTTTGATCCAAAGATTCGTCATGAAGCTGGCTCGGGGAAAAGTCGTGATATTACACAGAGGGGCGCATAGCGGGTAGCCACATATCCCGAATCGAACCTCCGCACATAGATCTCCGTGTTTTCCGTGGTTCGGTTGTATCCGTCCAAGTCGCTTACGTCTTTAGCTATACGATCGGTCTGTCGTATAACCTAACGGTTTATGAAAGGAAAGTTACGCAGATTGGTGCTATCTAAACTTCAAATTAATATGCTATTTCATCTTTACAACTTGATCATTGCATTACCTACGCACTCCCATAAACCGATTCGTAACTAGTGACACTGACGGTATATGGGAGGAGCAGCTCCCTGCGATCATAGCGACGTGTGACTACATACAGGGATTCCAGTGAATATTTCAGCTTTCATATACTGGATAATCATGAGCATATTATGAGAGTAAAAGTTGTGGAAACTCAATACACCGGTTTGTTCGGTTCCGCTTATGGCGTTTCGTGATTCAGCTTAGACAGGAGTTCTCATGTAGGAAGTGCGTCATGCCAAGACAATATTATCTTGAGGCCGAACGGTGTCGTTTTGGTAGGCGAAGGAGACTTCGTACTGCGTACTCAAGTACACGGCATTTCACTCGTAAGTCTCAAAGAGGTAGGCTAGGAGAAAATATCGTGGTATTTTAAGGGGACCTCGTCCGTCCGTTATCCAGGGTTGACGAGCACCCAAACAGCCATAGAACAGTATAGGACCATTGCAATTCAGCAAACTAGACCAAGCTCCGTTAATCATGTCGCATCAAGTCTCCGTTCCATCTTTCACCTCATCAACCGTCCAGAAAAGGGATGATGGATATTGGATCGAAGCATTTAAATTCAGCAAAGACGATAAGGTCCCAGGTCTCATCGTGTAAGTCAAGACGATATAAATTCTGTCCAAGTTATTGACATCACACGTATAGTTCTGGCCTTAATTCTGGAAAAATTCAATTCCTCGAGAATCCAGTCAACGCTGCAACAACGTCTGACGATGGCGACTCTCGTAAGTTATCGTCCCTGGCTATCCCGTGATATGAGCTCATATAGCCTCAAGCATGGAAGGTATATGATATTGGTGAATTCGATACCCCAGTGGCAAGTATTGCGGTTGATATTACCGGCAATGGCTTGTTGGATGTGGTCGTCTGTCACGACTTTGGCCCGACTATGCTCGATTGCAACATGGATGGCGGGTGGATCAGCTGGCTGGAAAACCCCGGTCGCAAGGCATTGTCGGATGGGTATTGGGTCCATAGGATCATTGGTAGGTGGCCGGCAATGCACCGCATTAAAGCGGGTTATTTCACTCAAAGGTATGATTTTGGCTGTGTTTTGGGTTTTCTGGTACCTATTTCTGCTAACGGTTCTGACGCAGTTCTATTCTCGAGATTATCGGCGCTCCCGTACTCCATGGAAAACACGACAAGGTGACACCCGTACCTATTCTCTGCTTCCGAGCTCCCGAGAAACCAAAAGAAGCGTAAGAAGAAAGCCCCAGAGGTATCAAGAGGGAGCTAACAATCGCAAAGGACGGAGTGGCAGAGTCATATTGCAGATAACGAGCATTTCACCGTTGTCCACGAAATCACGCCAAAGAAGTGAGTTGGACTACCACTACTGGCGGACATTTAGCTTAATAACCATACAGGCTTAATGGACCCGATGGATTGGATTCCCTCCTCGTTGCTTCGCGGGAGGGAGTGAACTGGCTTTATTTCGAAGACGGTAAGTGGACGCACAAGTCAATCGGTCTAGGAGAGGAGCGCACTCCAGAACAATCGGCAACATCGGAGACACCAGGCACTGGCGACAACTGGGGGAGCGGTAACGTCGACATCGGTAGAGTGGATGACGATTCGTTCGCTTACATCGCAACCATTGATCCGTTTCATGGACCGACAGTGTCCGTGTATACAAAGGTCAACGAGGGTTCTGAAAAGTTCACCTGGAAACGCCATGTTCTAGATGTGTACGGCACTCCAAACCAGCGAATGAAGTACGGAGATGGCCCGGGCCATTTCGTCGTCTGCGGGGATTTCGACGGTAAGTCTCCCGTGCCGTGGGGTATTTCTCCCTACTTTGATTTTTTTTTGGCTGATAAGGAAATTGAAGGCGACGGCGATGACGAATTTTTGGTCTCGCATATGGGTCCACTCGACCGTGATGAAAATGAGGATGCGATTCCGCCAGCGCCGGGTTACAACCCGAACAAGGTATATTATCCTGATACGATGAGAAAAAGAAGATATAGCCGTATTGATATGATGCTAGGGAATTATGTACTACAAGGCCATCGACCTCTCTAACGGCGTCTTTGCGAAATGGAAAATTGACATAAATTCTTCAGCACGCGTGGCACTCGGGTAAGTTCCTTGACTTTAATTGGTGAATGTTTCGCTGACACTGCTTAGTGATTTCAATGGCAAGAAAAAACTCGACATTGCTTCAATCGGGTACAACGTCAAGCAGTATTATGAAGAACCCGACCCCGTCGTAACTCTCATTTCGAATGAGATCGCTCAATCGGATAACACCATTCAGTCGGTCGCTAAAATTGACGAGCCAACCATCGTTACCTCGTACTGGGACGGTGAAGGAATCGTGTACTTCGCTGACCCATCTCAAGTCAAGACACCCACATCGGTGGCGCTTATCCAAGTTGCCCTCATAGCGATTACAGCTGAAATTCATCCTCCGGGCGGAAAAATCGACATTCAGAAGGGCGAGGGCGTCAAAGTCCTGTATGGCTCCATTTCCGACGACGCTGGCGAGAGGCATTCTCTCGGTAACGAGCCATTCCCTCATGTAGCCTCAACTACTAGTACCCAAGATTATCTTACCGCGGACAAGGTTAAGGGCGCTATTGTGATCCGAATTACACCACTCCCCACCCCACAAGGCGATCCCGAGGAATGGGACGATGCAGCAAAGGTGCCGGTCAACACGACTTTCGACTTGAGTAAGGCAGGCTTAGTCATGCCGCCGTTCAAGTTCACAAAAGTGGAAGATCTTTGGTGGGGAGGCGCCTTTAAAGGCCGCGAATTTTATAACCTTACCGGCTTCAATTTCCGCTTCCTTGACAGCAAGACGCACATTGCTCATATGCAGTTTTGGACCGCAGGTAAGTCGACTTCTCAGAGAATACGAATTGTCTGGCATGCTAACAGAGTAGGGACGAATGTGAGTGCTGGAGCGCACAATCATAGTAACGATTATTTCGAAGAGATTCACATGGGCCTGTCGCTCGGCACGAAGACAGGTGGTATGTGGCAAATCAAACCGGAAAATGAGGACTTGACGCAGGACGAAGCTGAGGCTCTCCCTGCCGAAGGGTATATATGCAAGGTCATACACCCGCTAGAGGAGCATGGGGGTATGTGGAAACGTGACGCGGATGGAAACGCTCTTCGTGGGAAAAATAATGTTGTCGTGTATCCGTGGCACAAGTGGCAGGGCGGAGAAGGTCCGAACATTGATGTCTGGCTTGCGCTGGAATTCAATCCCGATCTACCCCTATAATGGAGTGTAGACTTTGACTTCGCTTTTCAATCTTTAGGGCCATTTTAAGGATGGCTTGTCTTAAGGTCTGCGATTTACTTGGCGAAAGGTTCAAATGTTGGCTCTGATGGAAGATACAATACTGATGGATTTGGTAATGCGGTAATTTCAGGCTTTTCCCGAGAACTCTTTTTCATATAGCTAAACCCGACTTTTTCCTCTTAACTTTTCATGCGCCTATCATAATATCATATCGCTGGACAAATATGGCCTTTTACAAGGGAAGTCGTTCATGCTTAAACCTTTTCTTTCCATCTCCTTCGCCGTAAACGGCCGTTACATGACCTTGACCTCGGATTTTGTACTTGTAGATCATTAGACCTTCCAAGCCCACAGGACCCCGAGAGTGGATTTTATTAGTGCTGATGCCGACTTCTGTACCGAAACCGTACCTCATACCATCGGCGAATCGGGTAGAAGCATTCCAATATACGCCTGCTGCATCTACACTGGACATAAATTGCTCGGCAAGTTCGGACGAACTCGTCAAAATGGCATCTGTGTGTTTAGAGCCGTGAGTATTGATGTGAGCAATTGCTTCATACATATCGGAAACGGCTTTTATTGCGAGTGTAAGGCTTAGGAATTCGGTGTCGAAGTCTGCGTCTTGTGCGTCTTCGAGTTTGGCAGAGAAATCGGAAGATAATTTGCTAGCAAGCGCTGTCTTGGCCTTGGCATCGCATCGTAAGACAACCCCCTTCGCAATCAAAGCTTCGGCTACTTGGGGAAATATTGTTTCCAGAGCAGATTCCTGGACTAATAATGTTTCCAGACTGTTGCACGCGGCAGGATAACTGGTTTTGGAGTCCACGATTACATCTACCGCTACCTTTGGGTCGGCCGATTGTTCCAGGAAAATCGAACACAAGCCATCCGCGTGGCCGAGAACGGGGATTTTGGTAGATGATTTGATATATCGGACGAGTTCATTGGAACCCCTGGGAATGACAAGATCAATGTACTGGTCCAGATCTAGTAGCTGAGGTATCACATCTCTTGTAGTGACAAGTTGAATGGCACCATTGGGGACTTTTGTCTTGTCGAGAGCTGCAGAGATGACTTTGGAGATAGACACAAAGGACTCAGTTGACTCTTTACCACCTTTTAAGATAGCGGAATTGCCTGATTTTACTGCGAGAGAGGCGATATTGGCGATAACTTCGGGGCGTGCCTCGAAAATGATCAAAAGAACACCAATTGGACATGTCACCCTTGTCAATTCCAGTCCATCGTCAAGTTTTATCCTTAATGTGACCTTGCCGACTTGAACAACATTAATTCTGTAGATATATAACTTGATTATTTAAGTAACTCACCAGGGTCTTCAAGATCTCGAACGTCCAATATGCCTTTTAGCATATCTTCCCATTTTCCTTTCTTCCCAAGATCCAATCTGGACACAAGGCTCTGACTCAATTGCCCGCTTTCCGCAGCCACACGGGCGATTTCAAGGTCGCGTGCATTGGCCGCAAGGATTTCATCTTTCGCAGCAGTCAGGCCAGCGTGAATAGCTGTTAAAGCATCATTTCTATCGGGCTCAGATAGTGTCGCTAGAACGTGTGATGCTTCTTTGGCTGCCTTGGCGGCATCCGATGGGGAAGCGTTGGTGAGAGACATTGCTAAGCAGTTGAATTGAGCAATGTGGGATGGGCTTTGGTGGCTTTCTCGCCTATATCGGAAGTCCGAGATGAATTCCAAGGTTGTGTAAGAGTGACGCCGGTGGCTAATGACGGCTCAAGGTTATTAGCGGCAGAAATTTAGTTATCATCACAGCCACAGCCACAATGCTAGTATCACAGACTCTTATCTTATTAGGTAAGCGACATGTAAAAGTGGCTTATCAAAAGTCCCTTGCTCCCCTCAAGGTCTTTTTTTTTTTCTTCCTCTCTCTTCGTTCCCCACTTGTTTTCATCTCCACACTGGTTTCTTCCAAGTTGTTCAAGGGTGTCATCCGAGAATGTAGAACCAGGTCTGACACTAATACACGTGTATTAAAAATCCGATAGGTACGGGGAATACATACATACAGACTTCGTATTACACGGACTTGTGTTGTGTCATCTACGCTAAGATGCGGTTCCTTCACCATTGCCCTTCGTGATGGTGTCGTCAGCTTCTCGTTCTCTACTTATCGTACAAGAAACCCGACTGCCCGAGTGGATGAGACTTCCGATACTACTACTGCATGTAATACGGCCCAGAACCAAACTGCATTTTCCAAACTCATTCCTTCATCTCCAGTCAGGCACTTATAAATCACAATGGCGGTCAGATTCGACCTTCAAGCTATATCCACAGCTATTACCACTCAGACCGCTCCCAGGCGGACTGGAAAACAAGAAAGTCACGACGACACGGCTTCCTATGGTCGGAATAGGAAGGAATAGATCACGGTCCCGGATACTAAGCACGAACTAATATCGTGTAATCCCTCCGTTGGTTTCACATCAAATGCACTTGTATAACTATGAGTGCAAGTTAACTAATTTCCCCAACACCGATATATCCAGTTGTTGTACTAGGTATTCCAAGGGTATGGAAAGGTGGTGGTATTGCCTGTCAATCCAACATACATCCGCATTGCGTAAGTGGTGTGCCGAAGATCGTGCCGAAGATCGCCGTATTAGAAGCTGCTATACCATGCGACGGGGGATCTCTTCTCCTGCCGGCTAAGGTTTGGCGTATCGGATCTACTAGCCGAATGGAATCACTGACCCGCGCCCTCACGATCTCGGGCTATTCGGCATTTCGCTTGTAGGCGACATTACTCGTTTCTGCATTTTTTTTCTCTTTCCCCACATGAGCTCAAGCGATGAATCCCATAGCTTCACGTTTGTGTACCTGACCGAATGAAACAATTGCCTGAACAGTAGTAGTGCTATTGAACCTCCCCTTTCCCATTGTTTTCTACTCCAAGTTTATCTTACGGGTTACCTATTGTATTTATGCCATTTTTCTCATTCATCATCCCCTCGCCCTTGAAATTCTTGACAAAGAATCCCCGCCATCTTGTTAGCTCTTAATATCCGTGCTTATATCCATGACGGGATGACTACAGGATCTTCCGCTGAGAGCCGCCAAGTATATTGACAACCGTATAGCTTTCACTCTAGCTCCTATTTTGCTCCACCGATATCGGTTTTTACGTTGTCGGTCCAACACATTCTCACTGTCTAGTCCATTGTTGGGTTTGCCGATAACTTTGAACATGGCTATTGATTTAGAAAAGATAGACGAAAAGCCAGAGGATGTTGATAAGAATGGAGCACGCACAGAGGACGAAGACGCTGCTGCGTCCATTACTACAAACCGTGGCGCGGAGGATAAAGCCATTGATGCCGTGCCTGACCACTTGTTGACCCCCAATGGCATCCTGGTCGATGAAGAAGCCGCGGCTACTGTGCCGACAGGACGAGCTAGATCACAGGCATCATCCGCTCGATCCAAGCCGATGTCAGTGGTACCAAGACTCAAACGACGAGGTTTTCTCGCACAATTGACTCTCATTCCGGAGGTTGAGCGATCTTATGACTACCCAAACAGAATCAAATGGACAATAACATTGTTCGTAGCATTGGCTGCGGGTGCCGCACCAATGGGATCTGCTATATTTTACCGTAAGCCAATACAACTTTTCTTTATACAGTAGCATATTGTCCTCCATTATGTGATACTAGAAGACTCACGTAAATCATATTAGCCGCCCTACCGGAAATGACAAAAGATCTGAACGCATCGCCAACAGTCGTAAACTTGACGGTGGCCTTTTACATGCTAGCAATGTCAATCTTCCCATTATGGTGGAGTTCCTTCTCCGAGACTTTAGGACGACGCAATATCTACCTTTTATCCTTTTTCTTAAACATTGTTTTCTCCCTGCTGAGTGGCCTGAGTGTCAATATCGGCATGCTAATCGCCTTTCGTATTCTCTCGGGCGGAGCAGCCGCAAGTGTACAGGCTGTCGGCGCTGGGACTATAGCTGATCTTTGGGAACCCGCGGAAAAGGGAAGGGCCATGGGATACTTCTATCTTGGGCCACTGCTCGGGCCATCGCTCGCTCCTATTATTGGTGGTGCTCTTACGGAAGGTTTTGGTTGGAGAAGTACTGCATATTTCCTTACTGTATACGGCGCCATTGTCTTCTTTCTTGTGCTATTCTGTGTACCCGAGACTCTAACGAAGCACAAACCCACAACCATGATCGAGCCAATGAACTCCGAAAATTTAACTCGCGTTTCTACCGCACGCTCCGTGCGAGTGCACACTCAACGCGCAGCCGCAACGCTAAAAAGGTGTTTCGTCGACCCACTCGAGATTATCATGTATTTGCGTTTCCCTGCAGTGGCTATAACTGTGTACTACGCCGCGGTTACCTTCGGATCACTATATATCCTCAATATTGCGATACAATCGACGTTCTCCAAGACACCGTACAATTTCTCAGCCGTTGTTCTCGGACTGCTGTATTTACCGAGCTCATTGGGTTACTTCGCGGCCTCACTGTTGGGCGGCCGCTGGATCGATAGGATTATGGTGCGGGCGGCGGAAAAAGCTAACCGGTATGATGCGAATGGCAAGCTTATATACCTCCCCGAAGACCGCATGCGCGAAAATGCTTGGATCTCGGCTACCCTGTACCCGGGTGCGCTGATTTGGACTGGTTGGACCATGCGGTACGGTGTCCACTGGGCAGCGCCGGCAGTAGCGAATTTTTTCTTCGGCGTTGGGAGTATGCTCGTGTTCGGCGCGGCGACGACTATGCTTACGGAATTCATGCCTCGGCGCAGTAGCAGCGGTGTGGCGCTGAATAATTTCGTAAGGAATATATTTAGCTGCACAGGTGGTATTATAGGACAGCCGCTTATTGATGCTATGGGCGTTGGATGGTTGATGACTATGATAGGGTTGATTGCTTGGATAAGTGGGAATGTGTGTATTTGGCTTCTGAGGAAGAATAGTAGGAAGTGGAGAGAGCAGATGGATAAGGCTCTTAACCAATGAACCAATCTAGATAGGTATTTTGGATATTTTACGAATAACGGAAGGGGCGAGAGCCTCATTCATGATGTCACGAGAAATGGTTGCATAGCTGATGGATACCTTTTGTACGTCATTGTGCGAATACCTAGGTATATTTGAGTTAATGTAACTCACAGATAAGAACTATTTTGCCTTACGTCAATGGCTTCTGAGTCTCAATGTAACAAAACCGGAAGCAGGTAACAACATCACCACGTCCTTAAGCAGATAGAGCATCTATCACCTGCTATACCGTACCTATTCAGCTCTCTTCCTCGGCAAACAACTTCCCCAACGCATCTAAACTCACATTCCCACCACTAAATACAATCCCCAAATCCCATCCCTCCTCACCGGCCTCCCTCTCAACTAAAGCCCTAAAATCCTCATTATACAGCGCCACAGCTAACGGCACCACAGAACTCGGCTCAACAACCAATTTCAACCTTTCATACACCAACTTCAGCGCACGCTTGATCTCGCTCTCGCTCACGCTGTAGAACCCAGCTACCAACCGTCGCTCGTAAATAACAGACCAGGGAATATGACCTACGGGTGTGCGTAAACCGTCAGCAATGGTTAGCGTGGATACGGCTTCGACGCGGACTCCGGACTCGTAGCCGCGTTTTGCGTCGTCGGCGCCTTGGAATAAGGGTTCTGATCCGAAGACACGGATTCCTGTGTTTTCGCAGGAGAGGGCTAAGCCGGATAGCACTGCGGTGGTATTAGTGTCTTGTTTTCATGCAACTCATGGTAGAAAGAATATTGTATAAAATAAATAAGCAGAATAGGAAAAAATTAATAAGCTACTGGGAATGAAGGATATATGATGAAAAGAACGAAAAAAAAAAAAAAGATGCGAATAAGCTGCCCATCCTGGGATCGAACCAGGAATCTTCTGATTTTTGTTGTCATGATTGATAACAGTCAGACGCCTTAACCATTGGGCCAATGGGCACTAGACGAATAGGGGTCGCCTTCTTTGCAAAGATCACTGGGGATATTGGCAGTTACAGTGTATTATAAGCTATGCAATGATCAAAGTTTAGGAAAGAGTGAGGTAGTTTGGATTAAATATCCAATAGCCACTTTCTCTTCGCAATTTCTTGGGATGAAGATAAAGTAGTGAACTTTTGAGAAAATTAAGGTACTTACTACCGCCTCCACCACAAGGAGCTATTATAGCGTCTAGCCCTTTTCTCTTTTTCCCCGTGTCTGTCTTTCCATTCTTCTCATTTTCCTCAGCTATTGAAGCTTCAACTTGTTCTTGAAATTCCAGACCTAGGGTTCCTTGCCCTAAGATAATATCCGGGTGATCGTAGGGCGGTACGAGTCGAGCACCGGTCTCTTCAATGACCTTCGCTGTGACGGCCTCGCGTTCAACACTTGTGCTGCCGCTGAATACGACATTGGCCCCGTAACCCTTAGTCGCGGCGATCTTGGGTGGTGCTGAAATAGTTGGCATTACGATATATGCAGGTATACCATTGGTGCGGGCTGCGAGCGAGAGCGCTTGTGCGTGGTTTCCTAATATCGTTAGTTCCCATTTCTAATGTTGTGATGTGAGATGAGATGAAATGAACAACGTCAGAAACAACCATGAAAACGCGTATGTTATAGGATAACCCAGCAGAAAAACCAAGACCGCCACCACCCCCAGTAGGCTCCCTCGTAGAAAGAATACAACCTCATCGGGCCTTTACTTCAAAGCTGGTTTTCGCCCGTACTGTTTCGCCCCTTATTTCACAACACAACGTCCAATTCCTCAACAAGATCACCGAGCCGAGTATACCCGCATCACCAATACGTCTCCTCGGCTAATCTAATATCTAACTGCGAAGGAACGAAACAACGAATGAACGCTGGCCCAAAGAAAAATTGAATAACGACAAAAAAACAAGAAAATACGAAATACCAACCAGAGCTATGCGTAACAACACCCCTCTCCGCCCCTCCCCCAGCCAACCACCCAGGCTCCCTCTTCAACCTCTCAATAGCATGAAACGCCCCTCTCGCCTTAAAAGCACCTATCTTCTGCAAATTCTCACACTTAAACCAAAGTCTCAACTTCGGGTTCGCTTTCCTCTTCCCCTCTTCCGTCAAATCAGAGGCCGCGGAGGGGGAAGAAGCTAACGCCGATAGCGAAGAGCTCGTGACTACAGGCGTCCGGTGCACGAAGGGCTTGATAAGCACCCGCGCTGCTGCTACGGAATCCCGCGTTAGAGGGAGACATGTAGATGGGTCTGCCATGATTTATTTCTGGGGTTGAACTAAAGAGCGTGATAATAAGGGAAAGGAAGTGGTATGGTTTAGATAGTGACAACGGGAGGAAGTATGTTAGGTAAGCAAACGAGCAAGCCAATAATCGGGCGACGTGGTCTGATATAACTGCTGCTACACAATAGTTACACAGGCAGCAATCCGAATGTCGTTGTCTTCGGCCGAGATACTTCTCCGGCCAAATCAATTCATACTAGGAAATATTACACCGGAACTTAGTAGAAAACGATGGTCTAGCGTTAAGGTAGTCGTAAAACTGGACCAGTCAAAAATCTACAATTTGCGATCATAGTTCCGATAACGGAGTGACACCACTTTCTAGACATACCAGGACTGGATCGGCTACTTTTTCGAAGGCTTCATTTGGGGTAAAGGAGAAAAGAACAGACTCATCTAGAATACCCTTTTGGATCATACTCCCAATGATCCTCATGAGAGATGACATTGGGGAATCCTAAATACAAGTACAAGAACGCACTGCAATATTTTTTGTTGTCCCCGGGGAATATATGCCACCGCCATTTATTTTTTACCGTCCAGATTTTCTTTTTCTTTTTATATTAACACACTAAATGCATTTATTTCTGGTTCTCGGGTCGGAGAGATCTGCGAAATTAAATTTGTTAGCCAATTGTGAAACGATGTGGATGAGTTATTGAAGGAGATATATAATTCATACCTTACGGCCTTGCCGGCCTTCCAGATCTCCATGTTGCGGATCTCCTCCATCTCCGCCTCGAACTTTTGTCGGTAGTCCTTTTGGCTGTTGTACTCTAGGGATCGCTTGGTCTCGGTACCATCTCGGACAGCGTCGTACAGATTGTTGAAAACGGGCTTCAAGGCATCCTTGAACTTGGGGGTCCAGTCAATGGCACCTCGTCGGGCAGTGGTGGAGCAGGCCTCGTACATCCAGTCCATACCGTTGGCACCAATCAAAGGGTACAGGGATTGAGTAGCCTCTTCGACGGTCTCGTTGAAGGCTTCACTGGGGCTGTGGCCACGCTCTCGGAGAACCTCGTATTGGGCGAGGAACATGCCGTGGATACCACCCATCAAGCAACCACGCTCGCCGTAAAGGTCAGAGTACACCTCCTTCTCAAAGGTGGTCTTGTAAAGGTAACCGCTGCCGACGGCTACACCGAGGGCTTGCGCCTTCTCCTCGGCCTTGCCAGTGACATCCTGGTAGACGGCGTAAGAAGAGTTGATACCACGGCCCTCACGGAAAAGGGATCGGACGGTTCGGCCGGAACCCTTGGGGGCAACTAGGATGACATCAATGTCATTGGGGACGTCGACCTTGGTAACGTCCTTGAAAACAGGGGAGAAACCGTGAGAGAAGTATAGGGTCTATTAATTTGTTAATATTTCCGGCTTCCGAAAACGGATGACTCATATAAGCGTACCTTGCCCTTGGTAAGCTGGGGCTTGATAGCGGGCCACGTCTCGCTCTGGGCGGCGTCACTGAGAAGGTTCATGACGATGGTACCCTTGAAGATGGCCTCGTCAACCTCGAAAAGGTTCTTGCCAGGAACCCAGCCATCTTGTTCGGCATCCTTCCACGATTGACCGTTCTTTCGGACACCGATGATGACGTTAAGGCCGTTGTCACGGAGGTTAAGACCTTGGCCGTGACCTTGCGAACCGTAGCCGATGAGGGCGAGGGTGTCGTTCTTGAAGTAGTCCTTTAAGAAATGTCAGCCATTGTTTTTATGTGTATTTTCTAAACTCGGAGTTCGGACTTACTAGGAGCTTCTCCTTAGGCCAGTCGGCACGCTCTATGTGGTACGGCATTAGTTAATTTCACGTATATGACATCCAATTGATCATACCGAAAACCTCCTCAGGCGTTCCAGCGAAGTCAATGGTCTTTACACCACGGACCTGTTGGTGAACAACACCAGCGACGGCAGGGCGAGCCTTAGGGGTAGCTCGGACGAGATTGGACGCAGCGACGAAGGAACGTGTCTGAACGGCGGGGGAGGCCACACGGCGGGCCAATTGGCTACGAACAGCCTTGGAAAACCCTCTAGAAGCCATCGTGAAAGGAAGAATAATAGGTTGAGTGGAGATTATGAGGGTTGACGATGTGTGCAAAGGGAATAAATAAACTCAATGGCTATTATATTTCCTATAGAATTGAACTTCTTGAGTCAGACGAAGTTTTTTTTTTTATGTTTTCCCACCTTTTTTTAATTTTCACTTTTTTCGTCCCAGGGTCTTGGGAGCTGCTGCTAAAGTTGTGGAAGCTTTAGCTGCGATTTCGGCGGTGAGTCGATACTTTAGCCAATGGTGGGGGAAATCGCCGGTCCGGCCAATGTATAGGTGGGCCTGGGGTGCATATGGATGTAGTATTGTATAGGTACATGTACAACTGGTGCTGTTTAAAGTCTATGGCTAACTCCGCAGCGAGTTTTATAGTAGGTACAGTTACACACTAGATGAATAGCGGACACATTTTTTATAGGATGGTCACAATGATGGCATTTAATGACCTATCGCAAAATAAGTACTCTGTACCTACATAATAGGTACCAGATGATATAAAATCAAATTACCTCGAGGAAAAACTGAGAAAAGTACCTACGTAAACTTCATTGCATTCATCTGCCAATATCTATCTAATGTATACGAATAGCTGCCATTGGCTTCATGACCTTTCTAGGCAGCTATCCGAAGTATCAAAGCGCACTGCTACCGCAGAGATGGGATTGGTAGTCTTTCTCTATGCCCTAAAGTGAATGCGGCCCTTTGCAAAACGCCTTGCTATGCTATCTTGGAAAGCAAGACTAAACCACCTCTTCCTCTTTCGTCGCCCTTCATTCCTATAAATTTGACCATGAAAGTCTGTGGATCATTCTGTGTAAATGTATCTGATGTGTCCAACGAGAACCCCCCATCAGATCAGGTAGATACACCCATGGATGCTTGTTTGTTTGCTTGCACGTTCGTTTGCAAGGCCACCTAATTGTTCATCCATCCAAACTTAAGGTTTCATCACTCGGTCGTATTGAACTCCACGTATCGATCCGCCGTTCATAGAGGCCCTCACGTTTCTTCGGAAACTTTCTCTGCTGGAGCGAAGGTCCTCCGCTGCTTCTTTGTTGAGGGGGTCCGAAGCGTTGGGCTCGAGGAAAAGGAACTGCAAACCAACAATAACGGCGTTCAAGTTGAGCACGGGTTTCCAATCCTCGCGTAGAATGTTCAAGCACACTTTGCCCTCGAGATCAATGTTGGGATGGTAGATTTTTTGCTGACAGCGCACCTTAGGCGGTTCGTGGGGGTAGTTGGGACCCATTGTAAATGTGAATGTGAAGCGACCGCCTTGGTAGATGCCTTCGTCGGGTAGAATCTCGAGTGTGAAGTTGAGGATGTCGTCGGGATCGGGGAATATCGTCTTCATCGTTGAGCCTAAGGATAGTTCGGAAAGATCTGCGACATATCTAGGTTAATATACATATTTAACGATCGATAGCGTATATAGGGTATATTTTACCTTTTTGCACTCGTAGTTGGGCGGATGTGACTTTCTTTTTTTTACCAGCTGCTCCCTCGGCGTTATCCGCCTTTTGTTGGGCGGATTTCTGTTTAGATATTCATTAGAACTTACTATATTATTTAATGTGACTAATGTGGTGGCTTACCATAGACCATATTTTCATCATCTTGGCGGTTGTGAACTTTGTGAGGCGGTGACAGGTAGCGACTCGAGATGGTAGAATATGGACGTTAAATAGCGTTGCGATGCAAAAAAGAATAGAACAATCGGAGTCGATTTTGATCGAGGGTAACTAAGGGTAACTAAGGGCAGATACCTAGGTATTGTCACAAATAAAGACAAGTGTTTGGCAGTGCTTGTTTGGTCTGACTGGTTCAAAGAAGCCTATCGTGGGGTGAATATTAGTATGAGTAGTGTCTCGCGTGATTGTTGAAGTTTAGAAACCTCGCATTGTCAACCTGAACGCCTAAATCTGGAGGGGTACCTAATCGGATCGTTATCGTTATGCCCAGATGCGTCAGTACTAGTACGCTTTTAGAAATGAAATGCCCAAATAGGTATAGAACTTGACTTATTGAGCTCTAATTATGGAAGTCACTACCTAAATGTAATCCTGAGGCATCTTACAAGAAGCGTCAAACGCTATTGAAATTACAAATCATAAATTATACTTTGTAGGTACATAATCACGATCAGGATTAAAAATTTTCAAGGAAACTTTAGATCCTTAATTATTTTTCTAGCTAGAAATTAAGCTTAGCTGTTCACAGAGAACTATTTCCCAATAAAAAAAAATAAACCCATCACACGCTCGATCTCTGACCCGACTATGTTTATAAACCTCCCATTCGCACACAGCGGTCCTGAGACCATAGCCATATTTTTGCTCATCTAGGTTTAATTTCCTTTCTCTCTGATACCTTCACTTAATAGATATGAACACGAGGCTTACCCGACCGCCCCTTAGTCCTATTTAATCCTGTCCTTGAGATTCCAACACCTCCCTTATTTTTTTCAGATAACAGCTAGAAGAAATGACCGCAGCCTGAAGAACTGGCTAGAAAGAAGGAAGAATAACAATAAATAGGTAATAGGTGTACAAGAATATTCTCGCAGAAAGAAGAATGCGATGCGAGTAAGAACTAACTTTTCCGACGTGTCGATATATATAATAAATCATTGAGACAGTAACATTGGCATCAACGTGGTTCATCTGGTAAGTCGGAAGAATGAGGTTGAGAATAAGAATGGGAGTCAATAAGGAAACCCAGAAATCGTACCCGTACACCGATGTATCGGCAATGTGTCTGTTCGTCCGCGGAAGATAAAACGCGGGTGTGGGAATAAAAAAAAAAAAAAAAAGGAAAACTCCAGAACTCCGATGGAAGCCACATGATAAATAATTCACCGAAACCTCCTCGCTTGCTTTAACGAATGATATCAAGGGGGTATCTCTGCGCGCACACTTATATACCAAGAACGACAAGCGAATTATCAGAAGAGGATTTTTCCTTAGAATCCCTTGAAGGGATCGTCTCGGAAGAAGTCCTCTTCTCCTTGCCTGCTTCCGGCATAGTACGAATCCGTTCCGCGCGTTCCTCGGGAAGCATAGCTATCCCGATGTCTGCTACGGCTACGGCGGCGGCGCATTTCCTTGCTTCGTCTGCGAGCCCTGTATCGCCATTCCTCTTCTTCATCAGGATGTTCCTCGAACCGTGGAAATGTGAGAGGGCTAATAAACGCCTCCATTCGTACGGTTCCGATTGCCTCGAAGAAGTTTCCAGGCGGACGCGACGACGCCTCGGAAGTTCGTTGAGATCCGGCCGTACTCAAACCCCAGGTTATGTTACTAGACGCCTGGGATTGGTAGATGTCGGAAGAGCCCGCAGTGCCTACGCTGTTACCAGCAGTACTATTGGTGGAAGCATGGTATGAACTGCTATGGCTCGCTGGTCCTGAGAAGCCTCGGAATGAGAGCGGTGGAGGAACATGGCCACCAGTATTGCTCCTCTTGCGACCGTGAAGGACTACTTGGTTGGCCCGCTCGTGTACTCTATCGTGCGATCTTTCGTGGAATCGAGGAATAAAGGGAGGTTCGGCTGCTTCGCGCGAAAGCTCACGCTGGTGAACAGGTATCGGAGGGAATGCTTCTTGTTTGAAGGAGAGTGCTTCCTCGAGCTGGTTAGTGCTCGGGGGAGGATCGTGGCGGGTCATCAACGCCGGGTTCTTTCCCTTCGTAAGTCGAATCGAGTCACGGATACCAGGCTTCTTGACCTTCGACTGCGGCGGCTCGAATTCGGGTGCCGGGCCAATGTTCGGTGAATTTGCTGTGGGGATAATCTCCGGAACATCCTGTTGTGAATGCGCAAGGAATGACAACGATGTTAACCAGAGGTAATGGCGCTCCGCTGATGTGGCAGTAAACTTCAATGCTCTCTGAGGCGTTAAGATGAGGATTGACCGGTTGAAAATGTTGGTAATGCCTTTCGGTGGGGGATTATCATCCTTCACATCCAATACGGATTGGATGGTTACTGAAACATGGTCAGTGACATTATATCTCGGCGGGCGGAGTTATTACTTACGCTTTCGGCCCGGTTTGCCCATCAAAGCATTGCCTGATGCAGGCTGCTTGCTACTCCACAGGATCGCGCGCTCATATGGTGCAAGCCATACCCATCGTTTATGGCGATCGTTACTGTTCTCTTCCCCACGGTTATTGCCATCGGCCACACCAAAAGACTTGCGTCTTCTAACATACTTAAACATCCACTCACCAACCATCGTCTGTGCAATAGCATCTACTACACTCGACGATTGTTGGTTGCTGCCAGTAGAACCCATGTTGGTGTTCTCAGTATTAGCGGTGTTTGTTGAGGGTTGAGATCTGTGGCTACGCATTTGCGACCTATTACGATCGCGTCGAGGAGTAGTGACGTCGTTAGTGGGTAATGGAGGGAGACCTGGACTTTCAGGTGCTTCTTCCGATGGTGACATCGGTGGCGGTGATCGGCTGCCATGTCTTCGGTGTTTCCTGTTTCCGGGTAGCGCTGCAGCAGACCGAACCTTACGAACACTATTGTTCCTGTATGGAGCACCTTTTGCGCCGCGATGAGTTGGACTACGCTGGCCATCACTTGGTGCACTAATGCTAAATGGCGGTTTCCTTGAACTTGCTCTCGTAGGAATTGGGAATGGAGGATCTCGCGATTCAGGCAAGCTGGGGCTGCGCGAACGACCTTGGTGAGAGGCAATACCACTCTGGATCATTGCGGACTTGCGCATCACACTAGCACGAGAGCCCGTACTGTACCCAATCGCCCTATCAGCTGCTCGAGTGGCTACCTTAAGAGACGGTTTTCGCGTCAGTCCTTCAGGTGCATCTGCAAGGCGGAAAGAGCTATAAACTTCCGGACCTCCGACCTTACTCATGACGCTGGCTGCTTGTCTAGCTATGGGTTTAACCTGTTCTGGCGAAGCGGTGCTTGCCAACGATGAACTTGCCAATGATGACCGTTTGCCAGGCTTAGTAGGACCAGTCTTAGGTCTTGGAGCTAGTGCTGTACGGTACTCAGAGTCGCTTTGATCCCCATCGAACTCGTCAGCTTCGTCCGAGCTTTGAGCATCAAAGCCAGCAAATAGGCTACTTATCCGATGTGGCCGTCTCACGGGTGCTTTAGAATTTGACAATGGGCCATCATCATTGTTGCCAGGGTACGCATCACGCGTTTCCAAGTCTTCCCCGATTGGCGAAATTGGGGGCGATGAAGGCAATTCGGTAGAGAAGCTCTGTCGACTACCTTCAAGACGGCGTGGGTTCCGTGGAGGGACGTGCCCAGGCACAGGCGTGAAATCTTTACTTTCAAGGACGCTAATGCCAGTAGGTGATGTAGGTCTTGATGAGATGGCGGATGGGTGAAGGTGTGGTGGAAGCTTATCGAGTCTCCTATCGATTCGGATTTCATCCGTCTGGACTGCCATTGACTTTGTAGGCTTCGATTGTATAAGAGAAACTTGGCAACCGAAGTCCTTGACATATTGAGGTAAGCGATGTTCGCGTGGAGTTGAAGGTCGACTGGTTGGTGGAATGATGCTTATGCTCGGTATCGAAAGAGGTGGGGGAGGGAGTGATTCTCGCTCAGTTGGAATAGGATCAGTTTGCGTGGAAATTGATTTCGATACTGACGCGACAGCAGGCTTCGTTTCGACAACTAATGGGTTTGATGTCGCGAGAGGCTGTGCGGGCTTTTCTGATGTCTGAGATGAGGCGGAAACCATCGACTTCGCAGGCTTAGGAGATTCTATTGGAGTCGGCTTGGTAATGTATACCCTCTTGCGGCTTTGGTTTGCTTCGATCTCACCCTCAGTTCGAGGCGGACTCTCCAGACCCATCAACTTTTCATTTTTGAGGGTAGGCTCTGGAGTCGACGGTTTCGCTGGGGCCATCTTAGGAGAAGGAGGTGGTGAGAATTGAACGCCGGTGTCGGTATATTCTACCTTGGGTGGTGTTACAATGTCCTCGTCATCCTCACGAATTCCTCCCTCTAGTCTATCAAGCACCGTCTGGTTCATGAAGATTCTGCTTCTTGCGACACTGCCCGGTCGTATTTGGCCGTCGCTGCTCTGGTTTCGTCGATGAGATTTCGACATAATGCTATCGCGGCTCTGGTTCCGATGGTGCCTCGGGTTTGAGAGCACACTTTGGCGGCCATCCGGATCCGTTTGGTAGTCATCGTCGTCATCAAAGTTGAGCTCATCAGCAAGACTATGGCCGTTAGGTTTGGCAAACCCAGGGCCACTCATCACCGAGAAACGGATACTATTCGTCATGCTCATCGTTCGTACACTGGCACCGTCGTTCTCCTTCCCGGGTCCTTCGCTGTCGCTTTCAGATCCATGGTTAATTCCATTCGCTTGTGATGCTTGCAGATTAGCAACCTCTTCTAAGACGACTCGTAGTCGGCTCTCTGCAACATGCAACTTCCGTTCATATTTACGCCTTTCTTCATCCCAGTCGTCTTTTTCCTTGGCCCAGAGGTCGTGAACCCTCTGGGAATCCTCCTCATGGGTGCGGACTTTCTTTTGTGCTACTTCGAGTCGTCTCCTAGTCTCAGTTATCGCTTCAACTGCATCATCGCGTTCCTTGGCCAACTCGCCTAGAGCCGATGATGTTCCTCCTTCAAGGAGGGCTAGTTGTCGCTTTAGGGACCTGGTTTCCTTGGCTGTATTCGATAAGTTGGTTTGTAGCGACTCTTGTTCTTCTCGAGTGGTGTGCAAAGAGCATTCAAGACTTTCAATTATCTTGAGCTTCTCTTCCTGATCCCTTCGTAAGGCCAATATTTCCGAGACAAGGTTCGCGTGGAGTGTGGGTGTGAAACGACGGGGGTCCAGGATGCTAATGTTTTCGTCCATCGCGACATCTTTCGAAGACCGTTTGCTATTCTTCTCGATTTTATCCATTGGTAATGGCGGCGGCGGCGATGAAGCTATACCAGGAGGCGTGGTAGAACGACGCGACCTCCTCGAGCTTCGCGACGGTGTCCGGTAGGGTGTGTCTGTTGGAGTCGGCAGCGATGCAGCGGCAGCGTCGCTCAACTCATTATCCGTTTCCCATACAGCCATGTTTGCTACTATTAACGATACAGACCGGTTTCCCGGCTGTCGAAGATGGCGGCAACTTCAATGGGAGGAACGGAACAGAGCAAGCACAAGCAAGCTCGCATTGACTATGGATTTGCAGCGGTTTTGTTCAATAATAGAAAAGGGTCCAAACGTCGAGCTCCACTATGTACGTCGAACCCCTGTCGACAGTGGGGTGATTGTTCTGCGTGGGAAAGTGACGATGTATGTGAATGGATTTTGCATTAACACAACTAAACTCCACTATTAGCACTATTCCATCTCAAGACAAGACGAGACCAGGGTGAGGGATATGAGGGATATGAGCTTAGACAATTTCGAACCTACCGGGCGTAGTGATAAGTGTTGGAAATTACACAGGAGTTTGCCCTGTATCTTCAGCGTTAGTCACCTGTTTAACAGCGTGTGATTTATTCATTTCTGCTTCAATTGACCATTATGCGCTCAGCGCAAAAATATATGAGAACGTTAAACGAATATACGCAAGATCCGCAACTGGCTCGGGGAATTAAATGATAGTGGTAATAATATGAATGAGTTAACTTACTAGAGCCGTTAAGGAATGAATAGGGGGAGAAACCCGATTTGCCCGCGGCAATGCTCTCTATTGAAGTGAGGAAAAGAATAGGAGTCCTCAATGCATTTTTCCGATGAATAATTTGGCGGAGAGACTCAAACCAATGAGATGACGTGTGCACAAGTATATATCAGGATCAGTATATACTAATAGCCTATACTGGACTCCTATATGCATATTATAATCAGCTATCGCGCAGCCGCATTATGAAGTTTTAAATCTGTTTTAAAGAGGAAGGGATTATAAGGGAATTCAACATCGACACAAAACCAAGAATCAACTTACCAAAAACCAAGTTAAAGCAGTATAATCAAAAAGGAGGCAATTGTCAGGAATATGCTTGTCAAAAGAAAGGGCCCGCGCTCTAGAGGAAATATAATGAACAGCTCGAACCTGCAATTGTCACGCTATCTTTCGAAAGGTTACAGAGCGCTCGGTCGAGTATGCATGAGATTTGGGGTAATGATTTCCCCCAGAGAATGCAAGGAACTGACAGGCGAGACAGGCAGAATGGCGTGGACAGACACAAGACTAGATAGACGGTAAAATGAACCGAGAAAAGGAAAAAAAAAGAATCCAAAAAAGAAAATGCAAATGCACAGTTCGCAGATGACAGCCGTTTCGGATCGTCACTGTAACTGAAACGAGAAGTAAAAAAGAAATAAAAAGCAACGCGACGATGGCAAGATAGATGTGGTGTCGTAGGAACCTCTCGACCAGATGTCAAGAAGCAAAGAAAAGAGAACCAACCAGGTTCCCAATGTCGTGTGTACGATGCGCTCTATACCTAATGATACCCACTTGACATGGGAGACAGGGCCAGACCATGATGCTAGGATATGAAAGCGATAGGTACCCAGGCAGCTAAGAGGGCTTTGAAGGTGCAGAACGGCCGCTAAGATACGCGGGCGAACGCGGAGGCAGTTCAAGGCAAGTTATCTCTAGTTTCTGAGGAAAGACGACGCGGGATGCGTGCTAGGCTCATCTCTGCATATGTGGAGTACATATCTTAATGGTAGATAATGCAAGAGAAGCATCTTGGTATCTTCTGTATGTGTTTCCATGCTGGTAACGTTCGTGTTCGCGAAAACCCAATCATTGGCCTAAGGACAAGCATATTTTGCAACGTTAGGGGTACAACACACACTACGACGTACACTACTAGCCCATGAGCATGTCGCTCGCTCACTTACTCGGTACAAAAGCCTTGACAAGATTGTCAGGGGTCAAATTTGACCAAACGGTTCCAAATCCGCGGAATAAGCAGGTGCCAGGTTGCCAGACGAGGGATACCCCTGAACTGGCTAATATGGGATTGGTTGTTCAATGACCCGCCTACAATAAGCTTGGCCTGTCTGCCACCCTTCCCGTCCCAGTGAGGTTAGAACCGCGCCCGGAACGAGGGGTGGGTTGCTAACTGCAAGGACCTGAAAGGCATAGCGCTATGGTAGGTGAGAAGCTACTGTATGTGCACGGAGACTAATAACTGGTAGTAGATGGCAATTAAACGACTTAATCTAAATACGCTCTTATTGGAAGCAAAGAATTTATAGTCGGGTAGGGGACAATAAGAGGCAAAAGAGAGGTACTATGTCTCAGAAGCTATTAATTGGCTGCTTACTTGTGTGCAATAGTTATCTTCAGGGACCACTGATGAGCGCCATGCCTTTTGATGAAGAAAGCCCACGATGCTGATCTTGTCCACTCATTTAAACCATGTAGGAGGGTATGATATGACATCTGCAAAAGCCACTCTCTCGGGACACATGGGACAACACTGACAGGCGGAAGCACCGCACAATGGTGGATCAATCACAGGTACCCTCATTTACAGGGAATTTTAGTTACTTGACCCTACCTAGGTAGTGTAACTTAGTAACTTAGCGTAACTCCCTAGTCCTTCGAGAAACTGATTTGAGAGAAGTGAGGCGCATCGTGGTCCACAAGGTGACGAATTATGAAGAGGCAACTCAACCGAATCCCGAGGATGTTCTTCAAAAACGAACTACTAATTCGAACGCTAACTGGGATGTTCAGAACGTGATGTCGAATAGGAACCTCTAACAATCCAGACCCAATGTCGATCCCTCGAGTTTTCTCCAGCTCTATCTCCTATTTCCAAGTGCTACATGTTACACACCACCGTAGTACCGTACCCTTCGTGGTCGCATTTGTGCAGAATCGAAGTAATACCGAGTGTACCAACGTGGAGCGATACTGACATCAAGATCTTTCTACCAAAAACGGAGTTGGGCACAAGTAGAATCCTACCTAAGAGCCAGGTGCAGTACATATATGCAAGGCACAGCTTGACGGGCATGCATGGAACGGGCCACCGACAAGGTCAACGACAACAACAACAAGCATCAAAATACCTATCCACTTTAACAACAGTGATCTGTTAGCCATATTGAGAAGACGATGCAACTTCGACGAGGCCTTTAATTCCACAGATATCCTCATACTGTCGTATCGCCGAGAAGAATTATGGCTATTGTTTACGTATTCGCCGTCGCAGATCGGATTCCCCAGAATGCAGAGTGTCTGTGGGTGGTAAGGCACAGATCAAGGGAATCGACTTCAGATCAGAACTAATGTATGCAGCTTGAGTCCAATTGCTCGGACAGTGGAAACACACGCATCAATCGATGATGAGATTTAACTCCCGATGGCATGCCTCTGGGTATATTTCAAAATCACGCATATATGTATCTCAAAAGGAATGATAGATAGACAGACATATTAAAAGGATTAATGACAGGCCCTTCGGGAGATTCCATCGTTATTATTTTGATACTCGCCTATGGCTACTCATTAAATCCCAACACAAAAAAAAGGCCAGCTCCCCTGTTTCCTCCAGGGTCCTTCTCAAATATCACAATTCCCCTCGCTTCGTTTATGAATTTTAGGCTTGTGAATCCCTGAACATTCAGGCTTCAATGACCAGCATCATCAAACATGACAGCTGGAGTATCTCGGTCTCTTCCGGGTAACGGCCGCATCGGCCATTGTCATCGAATTAGGTAGTTGGTAACAAGAGGCAGTATTATCAAGGCTGACAAAGGCCAATTGGTGTGCTAGTTAGTCCTATCGGCTTCTACATCACATGTTTCAAGCTCACTTCCGCGCGGGCGCAGTCAAATAGATAGAAAGCGACGAAGTAACCCTTTCATTGGCAGCCGAATGTGACAGTGACCGATGCAACGGACCTGCGTCTCCCCGGCTTGGAGAGAACGGTAACCCTTGCTTTACTTACCAACCAAACAACTGTACCCTTGACTATTTAGTGTAAATCGAAGCACGTGTTTTCGTGACGCTAAGAAGCTGGTTTGGTTTTAGATGAAGATGGGAAGAGACAGGTTTCCTCGCAGTTTGGGACGCTTGATCTTGTAATAACGCGGGAAGGTCATGAGGCTATTAGAGATTGTTACCCATCCCCCGCGCGGCTGAACCAAAAGCACCTGTATTTTACTAGCTAATGGGTGTAGGATAAGCCGTTGAATCACTGCTCAAATCAAAGTAGCGTGGACGCAAGAACCCGTTCCGTCCCTCCACTACAGCAGTTCGGTTCGTAAGCAGCCTAGGTACCCTAAAACTGGCCCCGTATTACAGCTAACAGGCTAATAGCCACTTTATTACAGTGCCCTAAATCAAAATAAAGGGGAACAAGCCCCAGAGGTAGTAAGTAGCGTGCCTAATTCTTGCAGTTCTATAAACGGACTTTCTCAGAAGATCAACCCAAAAATATCCTACGGACAACTAGGTCTCTCTAAAGCCGCCATAAATGCCTGTTTATCTAGGTACCTACCTAGGTACTTAAGAACTAATGCAGTTTCTGCTGACCGAGGCGCAACATAGCGTCCCCGACACTTCGGGCGCCAAGATTGAATTACAGCAGTAGGATCATAAGTGCGACTTGTTCCAAGATCCAGAGCACACTACAAGCTCAAGCTCTGCCAAAAGCTTCCCGTCTAATGTAGCAAGGTGACCAAATCGAGTTAGAACAATACAACCTCTCGGCGTCGACGCCGTTCACTCATTTCTACACTAAGAAAAATTTGACGGGGACGGCCACCTTTCCTGTTCAGTTCATAAAAGGGCTAAAAAGGGAAACGGGTAATGCGAGGGAGCTCTCACTAGGGCTTTCTGAAACTTAGACTGCGTACCTAACGTAGAAATAGAACGCCTTTTTTTCTCGTTTCTTGTCTATCACACTCGTAAGGATCGCTCGAAGGATTTCAGGAAAACTTCCCGGGCAGGCTGGGGTCTCAGACCGGAACTGCCGCCAGCGAATGAACCGAGCGAGTCGAAACCCTTTGTCGGCTTCTAATAGGTAGGCTTCAGGGTACTTTCTCAGAGCTTCATAGCAATCATGGTTCATGTTTGACAGGAATCAATCACACCAGCGAAGGAAGCCAACAAGCAGGAAAAAAGAACATGCGAAAAAAGCCTCACTATTCGAGATAAGCATCTCCGAGAATGCAGCGCGTCTCTTTTCATCCCTAATGATTCCACGCGTACGAAGTAACCTTACCATTATCCATGAACAGGGTGGAATTTGGGGTAAAAAGGATCCTGGGGATCGTCCCGTCAGTCTGTCTAACTGTCCACGCGTTCTTCGCAAGCCATTCTGTGGCATTTTGTAGCATTTTTTTTATTAATTTCTTGCACCGAGAAAAAGAAAACAAAAAGAAAAAAGAAAAAGCGCAAAATAGAAGACACTGAACCCTCCATCCGGTTAATTCCCTCGTACGGAAAAAACCACTACCCAAAAAGCTCCACTTCCTATCCTCAGATGCGATCGACTTGTTTGGCGATGCAAGGAGAATCACATCTCGGCGCCTGTGCCAATTTCAACGCACTTGCATTACGGGCTTGAGATCCGCAGCTGCAAAGCTGTAAGCGGGCATTTCATTCAGCATATCCGGTATTGCGACGTGGACGTGCATCCGATATTCGCAATTATTATATTCTAACTTGGATGAATGCCTAGCTCGCGTACCTAACCTACTCAAGTACCTACCTGTAGTTTTGTGTACACTTAATAGAGGCCTACCTAGGTATGTAGGGGTTTATGAACTGGCCCATATGCACGCGCAAGTTCCCCGGATTTTCAAGTCTATTCGTCTTTCCATAATGAGACAATCTGACAATCTACCCTATGTCGAGTGTACCAGGTTAGCATTATCCTTTTTAAGGCCTCATGAACTAGTTCCGAGTTCCGAATACATAATGGCCCCTTTCTTCATAGGTAAAGAATCCATACGGTGCTCGCGTGTCCGAATTGTGCATTGTCAGATCCATATCGGTGTACTACCAACAGCGGATCAGGTTCCCATTCTCAAATATGGTAAATTAAGCCACCAGCGTCGGAGAAAAAAAAGAACATGACATCTTACAAATGCAGTGCTCGCCCAAAGAGCATATTTTCTTCGTATTATGTTTATTACTCTCGGACAAGAGCACCCAGCCATATTTATTCTTTTCTTTTTATGTTGCGGATATGATTGAGCCTCAATGTTCCCTTGCGTGGAGCTTACTGCAGGATCTAGGCTCGGGAATCGTCCCGGCCCCTTACGCGGGGTCGGTGAGAACCAACATGTAAAATTCTTTGGACCTTCCCTTTTGTTGAGAGGCGTTCTTTTCGATAATCTGTAAAGGTGGAGCTGAGTTTCTCTCGCACAGTTCAGCTCAACCCCTATCTACGTAGTTCCGGTCGAATGACTCCGTAGTAGCCGTAGTTGGCTGTGCATCGGTTGATGTGTCTTAATCGTCTATTGCGCCGTGAGAATCATATGGACCTTGGCTGTTTAACATCTGGAAGGCCGTCTCTATGCGAAACTGAGGACATATAATTCGGCCAAATTATAACGATGTTTGCTTCAAATAACCAACCGGAATACTATCACGGAGTTCTCTCTCGTCGGCTTAATAAGATAGTATGGCCGGTTACCAACCAGCCGGTGCTCTGTTACGCACAAACTTCACATAGCATAATTTGAACATTGTTACCGTACAACAACATAGTTTCATAGGATAGTTACACGCCTTAGCGCCTGAGTTGAGAGGGTCATATATCCAATACACCACCTCAGCTTGAGTCTAGTAGGGTTTCCTGCAGGTTTCTTGCATACTGGCTTTCGAGTGCACCCGGTCCCCTCCCCTATCGACATCTCGATCTCAGTTCATGCATATGCAGACAAGTCGGAAACGGAGCCCGATCAACGGTGCGGCCCCATATACCGTTAGCCCTAGGGATCAGCAACTAGTAGTTGGGTTACCATAGTTTCTTTACTTGAGGTTGTGCCTTGCTTTCTAAGACGTTGGAATTATTGTCTACCTACCGACATACATAACGTAAGTCTCGTATCTAGTAGACTTATAAAGCCACAATCGTACCACTAATTCGATTTGATTTAACAGGCTAGGATATGAACGATTAGGCAGTGGTCTTTGATTATGAAGAGAAGGACCCTTACGTGCTAGCGACTTTCGCGGGAGAATCGCTCCGTCCCGTACTACACCCACATATAACTTTATGCGAGCGCCATGAGACATGTCGTAATTGTGCTTCTAACAATGTATGTCGTAGGTTTCATAGTTTATATCATATCAGAAAGCTTAATGTATTTCATATGTTGGCATTGGATATGACGCAGTCTTGCAGTTTCGATACTATAATTATCCCTAGGGAAGGTAACTAAGATGCGACCATGTCGGTAACGCAAGGGATAAAGTCATATGTGAACCCCTAATGGAACGATCGAATCACCTAGAAGGTCATCTTCATAGTGTGTCCAATCATAGGACTCTAGTTATAATTAGGATATAGGCAGATTCGGGTCCGAATTCATTGAAACCACATCGGCGAACACAAATTTGATCATAGCATATGCGATACCGGTAGCTTATCTACTATTCCTCTGTGAATAAGTGATCACTAGTACGCAACTCAGCCGAATAACTCCCACAGCATGCAATATTTAAAGACCATTGCAGTTGAAACTAAGAATATGAATATAACCTCAATTCTTAAACCCCATAAGCTGCCACGAAGGGCCGTACCAAGTAACTTTAAGGACGTCTTGCTCCATCTACCTAATTTAAACTTAAGTATGTGGGCAGAGTAAGAAATGGTAGTTACCTACCTGTAAGTGCTCTAGGAGGCCTTCTTCCCACCCTTCAAACCTAACATCAACTGCGTCAAAGTGCTAATGACCTTCCGTAGCGGTTGTGATCGACTAGCGCTTTTCAACCACCTCATAACACCAGCACCTAGTCGCCGGGCCATGGCAGCAGCCACCCGATCCCCAGGTTCCCCGGATGTAGCCAGATACCGCCGGCGGCAAGCCGTCCAATCCGCCGCGTGGTGATAACTATCTGCCTACTTGACATAATGCTTCTGCGGCCACTTCCACCGCGCATGAAGAACACGACCCGAGAGCCAGGCTCCTCGAAATCCCTTATCCGCTCCCGGTTAGGTGAGTATGCATGTGGTCTCACATCCCCGGGTAACCCCCGAGACCTCACCTAGGTAGGGAGCTGAATGAGTGTTCCGGGGACCTTCTCGACTGAGAGAAGTCGGCAGTCGGCCTTCGGGATCTTCATTGTTCGCCGGAGACTAGGAATCGCACCGTTGGCGCTTAGCTTCCAACAGCTTCCTTGAGCCATCCAGATGATTAGAGCTCCCTTACATATAGGATAACTGTAACCTGCATGATATCAAGGGATATACCGACTAGATAGAGTCGGGAAATCTCAGTATTGGGGTTTTTGTACGGGGTCGTTGGAAGTAATTCGGACTGTTCGCGATCACCATGGCGAGGAGGTTGCTATTACGGGAATGCATGCTTGTGCCTTCCATGACCCATTGGTTACCTGTGGCAATGGTAGGTTAATATCACTAGAGCTTGAGTTAGGCGTGAGCAATGAGATATATCAGACAAGGCTAGATCTCCTCATCTTCATAACTAATTTGATCGAAGTAAATTTTATATAAATAGTAATGATGTTCAAGGTAGTTTGCTATGGTAACCTACTGCCTAATGAGGAAAACGGTAGCATGACGTTATGTCTTAAGAACAAAGTTATTACCGTAACACTCGATGATTCCTATAATACACAAAATACATCAAGATAATATTACTACATACGTCTTTGTAAGGTGCACGTCGGCATATGTCAATACGATCCTTCGGCACTTCTCGGCACTCAAACGAGCTACCAACAAGCTACCCCACCACTTTCCGATGGCCGGATCACATCATTATTGAGAAAACCTAGCTAAGCTTGAACGAAGTAACTTCAGCCAGCTAGTAGTAGATTCTAAGAGAATAGTAATTACAATATAATATTCATTCATATAGACCAAGAGAATCTACAGATACATAGGCGCAAAATGACATCCCAAGTACCAGAAGCTTTACGCAACGTGAAAGCCTTAACCTTCGATGTCTTCGGCACGGTCGTCGACCACCGCACGACCGTATGCCAAGAACTAATCAAGCGGGCCCGGGAAAAGATAGAATCGCCCGCCTACAGCTCGCTCCCAGAACAATCGCAGACTCGCCTAGAAGCTATGACCGAGGACGACTGGGCTAAATTTGGACAAGAATGGAGGTACAGCTACTATGTATTCACGCGCTCATTTGTACCGGGCGAATCAGAATGGAAAGACATCGATACGCACCACTACGATGCGCTGCATGTCTTACTACGGAACTGGGGCCTCACCGGTATCTACGCGGAAGACGAGGTGCGGTTGCTAAGTCGAGTTTGGCATAACCTCAAACCGTGGGACGATTCCGCGGCAGGCATCCAGCTGTTGGGGACTCGACTCGTCACATCCACGCTGTCGAATGGGAACCACGAGATACTCCAGGATCTCAACGCATACGGAGATCTCGGCTTCCGGGAGATAATCTCCACGGCCGATTTTGGCGCGTACAAGCCGCATCCGAGCACGTACCTGGGGGCTGCCGAGGCCCTTGGGCTTCGGCCCGAGGAGGTGGCCATGGTCGCGGCTCATTTAGGGGACCTTGCTGCTGCACGGTCGAACGGTCTTAGAACGATCTATGTCGAGCGGCCCCAGGAAGAAGCGTGGGGTTCCGATGACCCACGTTACAAGGAAGCTTGTGGATGGGTTGATATCTGGGTTGCTGAAGGCGAGGGCGGGTTTCTCGAAGTAGCTAGGAGACTCGGCATATCCGAGTGAAGTACGTGTTACTCCGCGGGATCTCCTCGATCTTAGTATGAACGAAGGATTCGAGATCCGTGCTATCCTTCGTGGGTGTATTATTCATTAGCAATTCGAATGGTAGGTGACGTATCATGTAAAAAAATGATGAGGGAAGGGTTGATAAACGTAACCAACATTCGCGTAAGGATATGTGAGCTTCTAAACCCAGCCGCCCGGATATCCCGCCAGTCAATGCGTTCCAAACCCTCGGTCAAAGGCCAGCATGGACCACAGCAAATTCAAAAGTAGCGGTGTTGTTGTACACACATTGAACACCTTTGTAACCCCTGGGGAATAGGTAGCTCTGCGGGAAGTCCCGACGCCTATGTCTACCACGTGTATATATCGTATCTTTCGGGTGGAATGTAAGATGTGTCACCACGTAAACCGAGAGGCGTTTTATCTGCAAGCCCTAAGGTTTGTATTGATATTAGTCACGATAAATTTCATATTCCAGATTGGCCGTGAATTAGGTCGATTTTCTATGGCCTGTAATCGACCCCCGCAGATTCAACTGTTTCGACGTGGGTGAAATATTGACAACCGTGAGAGGTAACAACGTCGAAGAGTAACAATAAAATCGGTATCGAGTCGCCAAGGTGTTTGCCTCCCTACCTAGGTAGGAATTAGACCAGAAATGACCCCTTGTTCACCTAAAGAGGTACCGTTGCCATTGCCGAGTAATGATAACCAAACGATCATCGAAAATTAGAACATAGTCATTCTTATTCATGGTAGTAGTTGGTTTCACGCCGGTCTGAACAGTTTGCTCTGGGATCCGATACCGCCCACTAATCTCAGAAATTCAACCGACATGAAGTTGGTAGTGATCTGAACTTTTAACAACTCGATTTTTCAAGTTGGTCCCGATAAAGAGGGATTTGAACAACCCCTTGGCATATTCGGCACATCGCTCCTCTAATAATGCCTCTAGCAGAGGGTTTGTAAGCATGAGCAAAGCCCAGGATATCGGAGATCCCGACAAATCCAAATGCGCCTATCCTAACTAAAGGAGCGATCGGACGTGGGAAAGTTTGCTGCGTGCATTTCGTCACGTCCGCTTGCTTCTAAGTAGGTTTAGAGAAGGAAAAAAAAAATGACACGGGCGTCAACGGACCGGTTCCATGGCAGCGCGCCGCGCAAGCCCAACAATGGCATCCTTCTTTATTTTTTACGGCTTTACCATTCGCGACAAGCGAACTTCGTGCATATGCGGGCGTTGTAAATTAAGCGCCGCTAAGTCTGTAGGCATAGGTACCCCCTAGGTAGGTAGGCATGGGAGCTCTGAACGGAGCAGAGCGCACCCCCAACATTCGGGTTTGGAGGGGGGTCCCGCCAAGGCGAAAAGAAAGCGCCTGCGTCTGTGAAACGTAATAGAGACAGACGGCGATTGGGAGGCTCGAGATCAGCAGGGCGGTACGGCGAGGTCGAATAAAACTAACGTCGCACACAGCGCTGGCGGGAGAGACCTCACCCCCTAACCTATTAGGTCAGCCAATGGTAATGGTGACGAGGCCGAATGTGGACGATCGAAAAGGCAAGCATGCTAACCGAAGTGTGTTGCTAGTTACAGTGAACAGGTTGCGGCCACGCCTATTCGTTGCTTGCGTTCATGATATGTATGTAGGTATGGTAACATTGCTTGCAGAATGGAAAGAATTTTGACGGAAGGATTCCCTCGTTGATCTGTGAAAATGCAACAGTTGAAAAAGTTGTAGGAGTAAAATAGTATACTAAAACCTTCGGTTTCAGAGAATTATAGTCGTTGTCCAAGATGGTAGAGTAACATTTATGTGACTTCATGTTAGTAAGTCTGTAGCTAGCTACGGTATCGGATATGTATGTTGCGTATGTAGGCATGTAGGTCTAATATAGTTTATATGTATGTATGAATGCGTTATGTATGGATATGTTTGGTTCTTGTGTGGTTCTGTATGGGTATGGATGGACGGATGGGTAGATCTCTCGCTCTTGATTTGCAAGATGAGAAAAGAAAAACACCAGTAAGAATTAACTCGCTGTCTTATCTTTGGATGTCCGTTCGTCGAATAGTTGTTGAACACAAGCCACCCCCATCTCGAGGCTCTCGCTGTCGTACGAGAGGTAGGTCTAACGTAAGGTCGGTAAGAAATGTCTCGACGGACTTCCACGATCCGTATTGGACAGCATATGCAGATCTGGGGAAACCGCTTACAGGATAGAAAGACGCCGACATACTTGCGTACGTGGTAACAACAGAGATGCAGGCAGGGTATTTCTCGAGAGACCCTCAACGCTCTCTCAACGTAACGCAGCGAAAATCGGATGCTGTAGCTCGTGTTTCTCTTTCCGGCTCGCGGCACGAAATGCAGATTCTTTACGTACGTATGGGATTATACAAGCATCCAAAACATCCATCGGTGTTCAGCCTCAGGGTTGATTTGATTTGATTTCGAGAACACCATCTTCGAGTTTCGAAAAGAAACCCCATGAACACTTGTTCGGGAGGTAAGGAATGACTTTGCGACAAAAAGAAAAAGGGAAGACGAAATATGTCGGATCTTCCTTTTGACGCAGAAACGGGTTGATTAAGGAGGGACCTGATGACTTGGCTTCCTAGATGCCTGGTAATCCGGCAGTCTGGTGATGAGTAAGTTGAGATAGATTACCTCCTAGTTACCTAGGTAGGTAGCAGATAGCCTTAAGAATAGGCACTTCCGAAAAGAAATGGAGAAAAAAAAAGGAGCAAAATGTAGAAGTGAAAGAAAACAAAAAGACAGAAAAAAAAACACAAAAAAACAAGGCGGCTCCGACACAGGTTGCCGCAGGTTTCTCTCTGATCGAAACGACAAATGCCAATAGGCACGTGCAGATTGGTGCTGCTAGATTGCATCACGTTTTAGTTTATATACGACTCTATGACTTCGGATGAGTTGTATTGAGCCGTGATTGTGTCCTTATTTTAGGACTATCCGTAGATGGAATATGTAGGTTGAATGTAGGTCAAGATGTTGTATGTTGTATGTATTTAGGTAGTAGAGCGTAGCACCAGTAGTAATAATAGTTAGTCTAATAGCCCTGATGCTGCTTCTGCTTCTGGGGGCCGCTACTGCTAAATGAGTTGTAGAAAGTATGTAAAAGATGCAATGCAGGTTTTGGGTACACAGGTACCTATAAGATCGGTATTCGCCTGTAAAAAGCGGATTACCTATTCCTATCCTATCCATTTTCCATCGCTTCAAATTCGAAGGAGGTGCAATGGATGTACATATGTGATGTACCTATCATGCATGATACAACCTTACATGCCTACATATCCTCACCATAGTACATGTAGCTACCTACTTGTACACTACATACGTATATGCCCGTGCTGAGTATTTTTTTTTTTTCCCTCTTCTCTTTTTAACCCCCCCTTCCCTTTTCAGTGTTCACACATGTTCTAGTATTATGAGGAAGGAGTATTTAATTATCGCCTCAAGGCCTACGACGTCCTACTTTTTATAACCTTACACACACCTTACCCTACCTGCTTCCGAGTTCAACCTTACTATTTATTGATTGATTAATTGCTCCTAGCCATCCTTTCAATTTCTCATCAAAAGTGTCGTTCCACATTGAAGCAGACTTGAAATCGACAAGGTTACTTATTATTGGTTTAATCCTTGCTTTGCTTTGCTTCTCTACCTACATACATAAAATAACATCCATAACATCCATACATAATCACTTCAATACATACAACATATAACACATATAATACGCATATATACTACGTACTACATACATATTGCAGCATAACATCATAACATACTGGTTGCCTCTTTGGTACTACGATACGGTTTTGCAAAGTGGGACTCGGCTCATCTCAGGCAGCCCTCTGCGTGCGCGACATCATCATTATCGACAAGGGCGGGAACGTATCGACAAGAAAATCGTCGGAGAAAATCAAGAACAATAGCCCACTAATATATTCATATATACATTTCCGAGGAGTCGAATGGGCAGTGTTATCCCTTATTCTTTATATCCACGACGACCAACATTGCATACAAAAAATCAATATCAATTTCGTTTGAGAGCTATTGTACCCATCGTTTAAAAGAGAGAAACTCCACAACAGCTCATCCTGGCTTTGCGGGCTTGCAAAGGAGAAAAAAAAGACCAAAAAAAAAAAACTTAGGGGTCTCACTTTCTTTCGCAGTGCGCCACCTCTATTACTAGTTGGAAACAGGAAATCATTGGTCGGCTGTTTTGTGCCTCGCCAGGGAAACAGTGGCTTTGGGTCACTCTCCACCTCCGCTTCGCCATTCAAAATCATCCCGGCACGGGTACTGTACCGCACCTCCGGCTAGCAGGGCCTAGCGCTACAATCCCAGTTTCCCTCAACTGTATCGGTCGTCTTAGGAGTCTGGAATCTCCCTATCTCATGCGCTAAGAAAGTACCTTTTTTTTTCTGCTGCCCACATCGCTACATAGGTACATATACCTTTACATACATGCCTACGCTATTTTGGTTACCTTTACGCTACTCAGTACCTACGATACCCACGCTACATCCCATTTCAACTTCTTACCACCTTACCACGCTACTTAACTAATACTACTAATACCTGGCCTTACTTGACTTGCCTGACTTGCTTGGCCTACGCTTAATCTTCCAGCACCTAGGCAAGAGCTTAGGCCCTCCAAAATCTCAATTCTCCACAATCCACTACCACTACCAAGGTTCCTACTCTCTTGCTCCCCTCTGGCTCCTTGCTCCTGGTCCATCTCCTGGCTCCTGGCTATTCTCCTCCCCGTCGTCCCCGTTTCTTCGTCTTGTCTAAGCTAAAAAGTACGGACGTCGCTGCGATCATTACGACCTGGACCTTTCTCTCATTCTCTTCATTCCGACGAATTGACCACCAACCATTCTATTCCCTCCCATCCCATTCCAAAACATTTCTCTCCGTGCCATACCTACCATCTTGGCCACCTCCCACCGAATCAGATCTTCTACATAGCCGAATGCCTCAGCGGCCCGACGAACTTAGCCACCTCGCCTACTATCCGTGCTGAGTCCGACATCCCAGATCTTTTCTTTTCCCCACGACCTCATCTCAACCTCAACCTCTGTTTCCATCGTTCTGTCACTACGGAATTGAGAAAAAAAATAAGCAAAGAACATCATTTGGTTCTCCGAGACCACTTCTAATTCCAAAATGGCGGGAAAAATGGTGTTGTATAAATTGGTAGTACTGGGGGACGGTGGTGTCGGCAAAACGGCATTAACAATTCAGTTATGCCTACAACATTTCGTTGAAACGGTAAGTCTTACTAGCAAGAACTAGCAGCTGCTTATACCTATCCCCGCACGGGTGTCATAGACTATACCACCGGATATGGGGATGATCGCTAACAGTATCTTTTCATAGTATGACCCAACAATCGAAGACTCGTATAGAAAACAAGTCGTCATAGATGGTCAAGCATGCATGTTGGAGGTACTGGATACTGCGGGCCAAGAAGAATACACAGCATTAAGAGATCAATGGATACGAGATGGCGAAGGGTTCGTACTAGTATACAGCATTTCGTCCCGATCATCATTCTCGCGAATCAAGAGATTCCATCACCAGATCCAACGTGTGAAAGAATCATGCTCGGCATCGCCCACCTACCCCGGTTCTCCGATAACTGCCGCAACGCCCCCCAGCGCTGTACCTATTATGCTAGTTGGCAATAAGAGCGATCGGGTAACGGAACGAGAAGTATCGACCCAAGAGGGCCATGCTTTGGCACGGGAACTAGGATGCGAATTTGTCGAGGCCTCGGCTAAAAATTGCATAAATGTTGAGAAGGCTTTCTATGACGTTGTCAGAATCCTACGCAGACAAAGACAACAAGCAGCCCGACCACTACCACAAGCCGGTCGTCCACGAGCGCAAAATGGAGACGCACCTCATAGAGATCCCGGTGACAGGTACAGACGAGGCCGCCGAGGTGGAGGAGGAAATGGAGGACGATGCGTTATATTATAAATGGGAAATAATCCACATCATCACATGCGCGCGCGCGCGTTCACGACCGATACCCCAATCACGAAAATTACCCATTATCAATGCATCTATGCGCCGTCCCAATCCATCTACGACAGCGGAAAGATGACAGCACACCATCGATGCATGACACGATACTTGGGCAATGTCATGTTCATACATATTAGAGGGGTTATATGCCTCATCTCACACGCACTCTATACATCTACTAGCTTTCAAATCGGCGAATGGCGTACGAATTAAAAAGCGGCATCATTGGGCGCAAGTACCTTAGTTTCTTTGAGTAGGAACGAAGACATTTTTTGTGGGCAAGATGGGCAGGGTTGCTATGGTGGTGTTTTGGGAGTCTTGGGGCGTATCTTGCTCAAGTCAACGCAGATTTCGGTAGTCTAACCTTGGGTGTGTACTACCGAGGCGATCATAGCATCGTCAAATATGTGTTGGATGTAGAGCCACCAATGTTCGATTTCTTGTTTGGAAATCTAGCTCAAAAAGGAAATGCTTCAATGTGGTGGCTTGAAGTTTCGGAGTATTTAGTTTTGTTTTTACCACTCCAAGCCAAAACTATTTACCGTTACTCAAATCTAGAGTCTACATATCTATGTTCAGTGAATTGATCTACCTACTTGACCGCACTTAGACCATCGTCGGCACGATATCTTTCCATTTTGATCTTAAGTCACTTTGCTTTTCATTTCATGATTTATTGTATACTTTGTTGCCCCTGTCTGTGGCTGTGGTTCTTCTTACTCCTTTCAGACGGGTATGCCCCTTACCGGTTCTTAGATCAAACCAGCAAGCCTCAATTGTCAACCCCTTCATGAGTTAGTTGTAGGAGTTTTTCTGCCCAGTAATTCCAAATTCCCACGACGCCCTACCCCAATTGACAATCCTTCGAAACGGATGGAAAACTACTAACGTGTGTTAGGGCGTTGCGCGGGAACCGGACCGGGGTAGTTCGAGGCCAAGATGGCCCATAAACCCATCGTTTACCCACAGGGGGCCTGTGCTTCCCAGAAGGCCGCATCACGATACTGTACGATGGAGGAGCTTACTCGTGTAACAGAAAGGGTAAACGGTCGTGTTACCGGGGATTTCTAAGCATGAGTTGCCAAGTGGATTTTTTTTTTTTTCCTTCCTACTCCTTTACCAACCGACGGTTACAAATACACATTGGCCTTATTACTACATATTACACACATAGTAAATATCGGGCCAAGCAGTTCTTCGCATAATTGTAATAAGAACGGTGATGTATATAGAGGTAACAAAAAAAAAAAAAAAGACAACCTAGCTTCCATGTCGCCAATCAACACGCCTGGACCAGTCTCAAAACATTCCGGGTTCGCAGGTTGCAAGCGTTGTGGGGATTTTTCATTAGGCACCAAGAGCTTCTTGAAGTTGGTATTGGACCAACATGATCTACGTTTCGAGGGAGCCTCTGGTACCGTTAATATCGTGGATCCTGTTCCTGTTCGGCATCTGAGCCGAATTGACGAGCATCGTCAATAAACAAAACAAAACAAGGCAAGCCGAAGCAAGTCAGGATAGGAGCTCATCATCATATCTACCATCGTACATAAACAAGGCTTAAGGGTATAATAGTGTTACTAATGCAGCTATTATCAAGGACCTTTTTTAATCACATCCACATTCGCACAGACATATGTACATATTAAATGTACGTGCGTAAGGAGCAGCAGCACTACGATTATTCCCCCCTCCAGTTTGGACTAAGGATGGCTTTAAACATAAACGGCGAAAAGGGGAGCTATCAACCCCTACACACGTTCATCGGTAAATTTTCTTCGACGCTGATCCTGGTGGGCGGGTTTCTCTCCGGCTGCGTCTTTGAGCATTAGATCCATATGTTAGGTACTTACGATACTTACCCGGGTAGGATACATAGCTTCAATAGCTCAATAGCTCAATACATCATACCTGTCTGCTTAGCCGCGCAAGCTACATTCCTCACCTTACATCCGTCCGTACATATATCTGTATGTTAAGGTACATGTGCTTTGGTCGTACAAGGCACACGACAGTGATGTGACGACAACCCGACATATCAGCGTGCTCAGGGTAGGGTCGAATCCGCGGATAGGTGCGAGCAAGAAGGTCGGCGGCTATGCACACTCTGTCTTGTCACAGACACAGCACGAACGAGGACTCGGCAGGCCGAAGTAAGCGTGTCGGCATACCTTCTACAAACGTATATATGTACGGACGGACGACGGAGGAATACACTCAGACATCTAAGGTGTTTAACCTGTCAGCACGGTCCATCAGGATTACCCTGTTACCGCTCCGGGTCGTGGTGTTGCATGCATATTGCGCCATACTCTAGGTGCATATAGGTGTAATGTACTATGTAAATCCGTATATAGTTCATCTACATAACATATATATTCGCAGAAGGAAGCATGTATATATGATATAACTCCTTCTCATCTATGTAAATCAGATTCATGCGTACCACATATGTGTATCCCACCAACATGCAAATATAGATAAAAAAAAAAAAGATTTAAGAATTATAAAATAAGCTGTGACGGGGTTACACTGCCTAAGGTTTGACATTTACATACGTCAACCTCAATTAATTGATTAACCAAATGAAATTGACCGATGGAGTAACTTTATGTCCAAACAAAGTCAAAGTAAATTACTTCACGTGAGAAAGAGCTTAACTCAAAATTTAAAAAGTAGAATATCCACAACTTGGAGTAGAAGAGGGAAAATAAAATAAATAAGCCATCCAGGTTAAACAGCCATGCGACAAAAACTTCAAGCGGCCTATTCTGCGACCGCGACAGAAATCGATATGTACGAACTCCCCTACCTACCCTTACGTATGTTGAAATGTACCGACAGGGCTACCATACATCTATCCACATCCACATATGTACTTACATACGAAGTAGTACAGTTGAGTTATACCTAGGTAAGGGTATGTGGACAGATGGAATCCACCGACACCCAAACGGAAGACGGGGGAATTCTCGGTTTACCTTGCTTTCTCCTGCATTCACCTCGATTGGATGAATCAATTTTACCTTCTGACCCCCTCCCCTCCTTTCCAAGATACACCACTCGTTATCCGAGTTAAACGACAGCCGGACCCTAATAACACCTACATAATACCTAGGTATTTGTACTATATACTACTATATACTACTATAGTACTACGTCGCGCTTCTTTTCTACGGGACCTAAAAATCAATCAATGAATCCATGTACAACAGCAGGGGTGAGTCAATTCCCATGCCGGAGTATATAAAATATGCCTACGCTACTACCTATACACTATACAGAATTGAGACTAGGGCAACAACTTCATACCAAGGGGTAAATTTTTTTTCTCTTTCTATCTATCCTCTTGAGCTTCGGATCCGAATTTGAACCAGGAGGTATATGGTGAGTATGCCACAGTATATTAGTAGGCACGCAAGTATTTTCTCTCCCCTACACTAACATTCCCTCGGGTTTCACTTAGTTAGGTCTTAAAATTATGCCTGCCGGAATTCGGATACTTCACCCGGCACGGTACTGATGTCCGTGTGCTTAATACACTATAACAGACGCGATCTAGTACCCAGAATCTGATAATTCAAGGGTGTATATCTCTTGTCGACCCAGACGAACCTGCCGCCGGTTTATTACAATGTACTGCACATACATATGTGTATTGAGATGGCCTATCATAGCCTATCAGGTCTTGCTCCGCGCGATGACCTCGCTCCAACATCAAAAACGACCTACATCATACTATGGTACCATGTACAGTTTATACAGTCTAGGCCATGTCAGTCTTAGTCAGTTCGGAAACCTCATTGAGCTAGGATCGCCGATGAGAATGGACCGCTAGTCAATGCCGAGAAAGCTGTGAGTCCGCCCTTCTGTGATGCACGAATGCGGTCGGTCGTCTAAAATCTGTCGTAAGACTGGCGGACTACGACTTTCTCGGCTCTTCCCGCGACTATCCGTTCCTATTCGCACTTTGTCGGTCTCGAGTGGGCTAGCTGCGGTGACTCCGGCTCAGCCCTCGCCCAAGCCCCTCGCGGCCCGGCGCGGTTCGCTGCGAAGCGAGCCTCAATCTGCAATCCCCTCTTTACAAGTTTAAGTCTTACCTAGCTTGTATTCGTCACTCACCACGAATTGGCCGAGTGCCACGTATGACAACAGGATGGGGAAACGCTACGGTTGCGTTTGCATCGGTTAGGTAACTACTAGGTCTAAGTCCCACGTTTCATTATTGTGTTACCAATCTCAATCTCGCAAGACTCGACCGTTTTGCTTGGGTAGCCTTGTGGGGGGGTTTCCTGAGCCAAAGCGGAAGGTCGAGCGTTCTATTGCAATGAAAAGAAAATACTCCCATTTTTATCAGGGGTAATTTTTCCATCGATTTTGCATTACTATGCCCTTTGGGATTAGTTAACTTTTGAAGAGGCACATCGACATTATCTCAATCTCAAGGGTCCTATTCGCTTAGGGTTATAAGAGGCTCGCTACGAAGGTCTCTACTTGATTCGGCAGGCAGTATGATGCGAGCTGGCAGGCTCTTCGTTCGCATACTACTGATAATCGCACGCTATGTCCAACTGTCCAAGCACCACTCGATAGTTCATCTGGCGCGTGTTTCAAATCTCGAGTCTAACTTTTCTTTTTCACCGACTGTACAAGTGTTCATACGTGTCATATAACCAAGGTAAAAAAAGGCTTCCCCCATGTTGGGTGACCTCAACCTACCTTTGCCGGTTGAAATGTTCACCATGGGTTCATCTTCCTTTTCTGCTATTCTGCAGTTTTAGTGCTGACAAGCCACGCGGGAGCATCTTGTTATTCCTATCTAATCGCAGTTTAAGCTTGAATCTCAGATACCTCTTTTCCCATTTGCTATTATTATTGTTGACCATGTTCATAGGAGATGATGCCGGCCACCACTACTGCCACGATCACTACCTCCTATGTAATTACGGCCTTAAACGAGTCTCGCCCCCACGGTTGGTAAGCCCCTGAAGACGGACGATCGGGACAATCCCGTGATTACACAACCCCACAGCTTTAATCTTCCCAGTGCCACGGACGCGGTTTGAGTTCTGATTTTATCAATACCGCTCCCTAATGAAGAATGGCGCCTTAGTACATTCAGTCTTCGTAATTTTACGTGGTGGGACCGGTACCATTAATTACGAGAAGTCTTGTGTGATGATAAAAAGAAGGTATCGTCTTGTCGATCATTCTTCTTTCAGCCTCTGGACTACTATGTATGTATTCTGGGGGTGACCGGCATTCCGATCCTTCAACAACGTCGAGACGACTGTTCGGTTTTCCCCCACGTGCTGTGTGCTGGTTCGGACATGTTTCTAGGAATTCTGCACGAAAGAACGGCTAGCGTCATCAAAATCGGAAAACTCGAAGATGCACCCCAAAGGAGGAAAGGGACTGCGCTTGAAAGCGCATACATAAGGGTAGATACAAGTTATCTACCTTGTCAATAAGCAAGCATTACGACATCGGCACGTGGTGTAGGTATGCGGCACAGATACTTGGTCGTGAAGAGGGACAGCATTTTTTTTTTTTTACCACTCTGGTCATGCTACAGATGCGTTATGATGGTCTGACTTGATATCTGCCGTCAACCCTAAGAGGACTTACGAGATTTTTTTTCTCCCATCCTACAAATTTGGTCTATGATGGCGTGTTTTTCTCCTTCCTTTCTCGGCCGGCCCGTCCCGTCACCCTACGTATCGACCGGTGTACAAGCAGCGGGTTACTATTCAGGGGTCGTAATCCTTCCCGACAGCGACCTTCTGCTGGTTCGTGCTTGAACATCTATCTCATCGGCACTTTATGCTACATAATAAGCATAACTTCCCCTATATTAAGGCGATCTATTAACCGGCCTACGAATAGGAATTGTTGGATTTCGCCGACCAACGGGGCCGAGACGCAATTCTGCGGCCTTTTTTCTTTCGATTCGCCATTGCCGACCGTGCGCTGGCCTTTTTGTAATTTTGTAAGGGTCAATGGAACTTTCTCTTGTGCGCTCGGTTGTATATGCAGCGATGTACAACCGGCCGTATTTTCATTGCGACGCAAAGCAACTCCGCTCCATGCGCCGAATTCACTTGGATAATTTCGGGCCTAGTTTGTCGGCGTCGCCCCGCCTGGATAAATTCACGAACGGAGGCGACTTCGGCCACGATTCTAGCTTAACTATAGGCGGTGTTGAGTATTCTCGGGGACCTGCCGTCATTTGCGAGGATCATTTTTGATATACGGTGAATCCTGATGATCGCGAGAGCGTCATACCGGTTCGCTATGTGAACATCTCCCAACCTATGATCTCAACGTGGTGCTCAATTTCACCAACAGCCTAAGAGAGGAAATGCTGTTAGTTTGATGATCAGACTATACTCTTCTGATAGGTATGCAGATTCATGTGACTTTATATGAACGTCCACGGCAGTTATGAGATACTCTCCAAAAAGAAACAGTCACCTCCGATGGGATATCAACCAATACGAATACTTGTTATTGCTACCGTCCCTGATCTCGGAGATTCAACCTACAGAAGGGGAAGGTAGGTTGATACGTCACGCTGCAGATATGGCGGGATATAGGTTGTTTTTTGCCACCATTCGCACATTTACACACAAACGTACATATTTTTCTTCCTGTCCCCCACGGTTCAAATCTGCATCCTTCCCCCCCTTGCGTAAGGTGGGTGGTAGACAACGTCCCTGAAGGATCTAGATGGGGGACACACTCATACCTCCCTACCACGCGCGGCTCCGGTCCGAACGCTGATGATGTCTCGTTCATGCGCGTCCTAATGCAATGCATAGTCAGCACATACTGTAGGTAGGAATCAAAACGAACACTCGGGGCTTTTCTGGAATTTGCGGAGTGCATCGGTTAGATTGATACCGGGTTGTTAGTAGATCTAGGGCTCAGCCCTCTCTTTTTACTTGGATACTGATGAAATTTTTTTCGTTCATCCTTGTTACAAGAGAGGGATCATGTATGTTTGTATGTAGGTGTATGTAGGTGCGATACCCCTGGACTTACTATCGTAGGCAAGTGTATCCGGAAGGATGAGGGTTTGGTGTTTGATAATGTAGAGAAGTAGGTAGGTACTTAGATGTATCTAGATGGAAGAGACAGGTACCTACCTAGGTACGTATAGAGGTCAGCGGCGTGTGGAGTTTTTCCGATAGGTGTAGTTCGCTATCTTTATTGCCAGTACGACGGCTTCAAGGAATTCGTGTTTCTATGGAATATTGAAGCTGTTTTCTATTTTACATTAGGCATTCAAAATATGATAGCGGACATTCAATTTTGTCCTGTTTTGTCGTCCAGTTCGCTTGCGTACATGATATATCGAGTACGAAGAATGTTTATTGAATGCCAAGTCATGTACTCTTCTTATTGGTAACTCACCTCGCCTTCATTGTCAACGTACCTAGGTCACCCAGCTGTATCGTACCCGCTTAGTCACTTACCTATGTACATACAATACTAGTAATACTAGTACTTAAGATTTCATGATGCAATTCACAATTGTAGATACCGAAGTAACTGTATAATTTTGTATTGAAACGCTCCAACGGCGCCTATCTCCATAGCGTAGCAAGTACCCGGATAGGTACCTACCTCTCTGAGTAAACACCAAATATCCGGGTAGGAGGTAATTAAGCACCGATATCTCCATTTTTCCTTTATGCCGGTAGATAAAGACTCTAGAAAACTCTAGAAAGGACCTTCTTACCTGCTAATATATTTATATTGGGTCTTTGGAGATCTGTATATGCTAGATAGCGTACGGTTCATGAGATCTGTATGTACGACCGACGCCGTTCAGCCCCTTGTACCTCGTTTGAGTAGCAGATCAATAATATGTATGAGGCTAAAGTATTAAAGTGCGTTTACGGCTTTGCCTATGTTAGATTCTCCATCATATAGAAACCGTGTGATAGGAATCAACGCTATACTAGGTGCATAGTTGGTTGCTTACACTCTTGTAGCAAGACCCTCTCAAGACTGAGTCGAGCATACATATGAAACACATACATCTAAGTAGGAATATATTATCCTACCGTTACAATCGCCAAAGCACCTAGCTACCTACCTAGGTAAGTCACCGCCCTGGCCCCTATATTCTTTAGCGATATTCGATTAATCACACCCCTAAATAAAGGTCTACCGAGATTTAAAGATTTAGATCTAAACCAAGACACGCAAGATTAGATAGAAATACCACGATGGAGGATAATGTATTCATTTCCGCTCCACAGTACATATAATGCTGGTTTCCAACTTTCGGCTCAAATTGCCAACTTGAGGGGTTTGTGGCTTACTTATGTGCAGGTGTAGAACGCCACGGCTTTAAAAGGACATGCTTGGGTATTATGGTTGGCTGGAGAGCAACGCTTGGACATAGATTCTCAAGTAGACTTCATGGGAAGATGTGATAGGGGCTTAGGACGAGGGATTTCATTTTCCTTATTGTCCAGGTACGGTAGAGGATACGGCTGATAATTATGTCTTAGATCGCTATCGAAAGTATATATACATACTATCTTGTACGACTTCGCTTGCGAGACGGGAAGTACCACGTGGAGGAGGGGGCGGGCGAGGAAAAAGGAATTATTGAGTTCATGAACGTATCGATCGGAAGGTATACACCGAGCCATAAAATCATTATGTCTCGTAGGGGTTATAATTGGAGGGTGGGAAGTCATCTTAGCCCTGAGGACTACCTAGGGACGTACCGTCGTTTGGGATACCATTTCCCCGAGCTCTTTGTGCATTATTTGTTGAGGTTACATACCTAGGTATCTACCAGATTGATAGACGGCGCATCGAATTACCCCTACGGCTAGCTATGTATTGGAGGAACTGCATGTGATACATGGGAAAAGAAAGGAACTAAAAACCTAGGATATTTTGCACAAGTACCTACTGTTTAGGTATCCGGGCAAGATACTGATGGTTACTCCACGTTCTCTTTCCACCAGAGGAAATATCCAGAATCATATGGCGTCGAATGGTGCGTATGAAGCATCCAGCCTGTCTCAAGTTCGTATGCAAATAGATACATACAAGCAGCCATCAGCCCAACCACTATATATCAAACAAGCATGACAATTCCACTACTTCCATCTAATACCCTTCCCTACCAAGACACTGCTGCCTATTTCCCTTCCTCTTGGCAAGCCAAATAAATGCCGCCACCCGACCGGACATCGGATACATGCAGCGGACAGGCAAAAGCCAACCTGCGGTGCGAGTACCTTCGGACCGCCACCATCGGCGACCTCTCACCAATATTATGTATATCCCATCGCGCAAAAGCCCGGCTTGTCTTACTGACGTGCATACGATATTCGCCTCCCCGATTTCTAGACTTGCGTCTTGGCTTGCATATATCTAGGGGTCCGTGTACGGGACCGGAAGTGGACTGGAGTGTGGATCGAGGGCGATGGGAGGTGACACCGCAGTAGCAGTAGGCTACTGTACCTATGCAAATGGATCGAGCAAAAAGTATTGGGGGAAACGAAGCTTTTGCCTCGCAATAGAGAGTAATCGTAGTTTAATCACTGCTGTAGAAACTGTGAAAAATGATTTGTTATATTTAATATATCATTTGTCTAATTTTATGGTATCTGCAAGTAGACTGGTCACTGGATACTGGAGAAGCCTTATGTGTACTTGAAATATAACCCAAGTGTTGAGCAATCCTAGCCACAGCCTCGTACGAAGTACACCATCCCAACGATTCCATCTATAGCCTTAACTCTGTCACCAGCAAGTCACCCATACCATTATCCACAATCACAAGACCAGTCACAAGCAACAAAACACATCAATATAGCAGTTGGAACCCATCTTTATTTTCTTCATTTCCGGCCTCTAAAGCTCGCTCAGAGAAGGGGGGTTTAGGTCAGGTTAGGTTAGGTTTGGTACGCTGGACGAGCACATAGCCCTGGGAGTCGGCGGGGGGATACACTACATAGCAAAAGACAATAGAAGTAGATAGATATAGAAGACAGGCTAGCCGCCACAAATAAATATAGCGATACCAGCAACCAGTCTACCAGGGCGCGCGCGCTATAAATGAAACTTTGTCTGTTTCCATTTCATTCGTATCTCCAAGCCAAGACGCCGTACCGTATAAAGTAAAGTAAAAAAAAGGTTGTAGCAGCAGCAGTAGCAAGTAGTATCCAGCCTCCCCCAAAGCCTTTCGCGAGTCCTCGTTGTTGTTGATCGAATCGCAACGAGGTGGTATGATTTGAAAAAAGATAAAACTAGGGAATCACAACAAGAGTACGCGCGCAGGTTTTTACCGATCGATCCAACTATAACAAGAAAATAAAAGGAAAAGTCCAGACTAAGGAAGTAGATACTAGAAGTAGCTCTAAAAAACTAGACGAGTTATATCCCCATTTTCGCGCGTTTCCCATACACCATCATGATATTAGACATCACGTTAGATTCGCGGCTAGATTTTAATCCCGTACAGCATTTTCGTCACCGAAAGGACTACTTGTTCGTACCGCACCTATGGAAGGTTTGCGTTTGTTTTCTGTGGGTTGTTTCGCGGTTTCGCCCATTACTGCACTCAAGGAGCTCTTACTTTGATGACCACGACTGGGCGGGTCAGCGAAAGGTCCCTGATCTGCTGGAGGTTCATCCACGATTATCGTCACCGCATTTGGATCCTTATCTTTTTCCTTGCGTGAATTAAGTAGTTGGACTAGGGGTTCGGGGCCGTCAGACTCCTCAGCAGCAGTACTACCAGATTTCGACTTTACATCAACAGTCTTAGGACCACTACCAACGCGTACCATTTGAGGTCGTACGGCGGTCGCTGTTGATGCACTAGCGTTTTTGAAGAAAGTAGCACCGATGCTGAAGGCTGGAGACGGAGGTGGTTGTTCGTATTTTTCGTAATCGACAGCTGGCACAGGAGGCGTTGAACTGCCGCTGTTGCTGCTGGCAGCACGCGATTTGACACTGACGATAGACGGCTTGAGGAAGTTGCCCTTTTGGGCCGGAAGAGGGGACACTATAGCATTCTTGCCATATATGGTTGAAGCAACACTGGATCGAGGAGCATAAGAAGTTCGCGCAACGGATGAGCGATCGCTGTAACCAGAGATACCCGAGTATGTAGAATCGCGAAGGTCCCCAGGAACGAAAAATCGCTGTTCGTCGAAGGGCGAGTTGTTGCCACTTTCCGCGTGTTGGATAGGAATTGGAGGGACGGGGGGAACAAGTAATGTTGGTGAAGTAGGAGTGGCTCGGTTAGTGACGCCAGGAATGTAGGCAATTTGGATAATGTTGGAAGCGCGTGTAAGAACGGTGGAGGCGATCGAGTGTACGGTATGTGTCGAAGTTCGTTTCGACCGTCTCGATGCGAAGTCGTTATCTATAGCACCGCCTTCTTTGCTGTGTTCCACATCACCTTGCCATTGCTCCTGTTCGTATTGGCCCCTCTTGCTCTTGACGCAGAATCTCCAGAATAGGTATGTGATAATTCCAACGGCAACTAAACCTCCAATTACACCGCCCACGATAGCGCCGACATTTGGTCCACTGCTGACGGTAGGTTGAGAAGTCGCAGCTGTTGGGTCTGCGACACAGACAGCTCGAGGACATGTATCGCAAGTCCGTGTCTTCAATTGACATACTTCATCAGCGGCACAAGTAGGACAGGACGGCGACGTGTTCTCGCATTGTACACAACCGTTTTGTCTCTTGGAGAATGACGATGGGATGTCTTCGTCTAATTGATATGTATTAGAGGCGGCGGCGTCACTATAATAGAAGGAATTAAAACTCACTGAGAGAGAACCCAACGAAGCCGGGAATGTCCGCCATCGTCACTAAGCCTGTAAGAGTGAACTCTAATCCGACTTAAGAGGCGAACCGGTTTAACCTTAAGTTTAAAAGGGGTACTTCGAATTGGTTATGCTCGTTGAATGTTGGGGATCGACAAGTTGATACTCGACGTTGATGGAAGGCTTGGCTTGGCGATGAGATCGACCCTATGTAGATCGGTCTAAGCTGGCTATAGTGTTCCCTTTTTTTTCGACTTGCGATTGAATCTCTAAAACACAGCGCGCAATTAAATTCGTATTTTCCTTTCTTTTTTTTTCCGAAGGCGCAAATAAATTTACAATACGATATCGGATGATAAGACGTTTAACGTTGGTCGCGGTAGTCGTGAATTGAGTTGGCGTTGACGTGGAGAAAGGGGTGGTGTGCGTGTGTGTGTGTGTATGTGTCGGGCGGGTAAGAGGTCGTTATGGTGGCGTCGAATTGTTTGGCTGGGAATAAACGAGTGACAGAGAGACTAGCTCAAAGAAATAAATATCAATAGATGCAACTTAGGTTGCCATGAAGAAGAACATCTAAAAAATAATCCACTGGGTACCGAAAGCAACTGGTGCGAGCGATACGTTTTTTTGATGTTGATTGCTGTGTGGTGGTTTTGAAGTGTGACAGAGCGAGGAGTGGTAGGTGAAGAGAAGACGACGAGGATGAATCCCGCACGGAGAGTGGGCAGATGGTAGATGGGGGATGGGGGGGGAAGAGAGAAAGAGGGAAAGAACACTAACTATGGGTGCATAATGGCAAGGTTAGGCCGGCTTGATTAATTGAGGGATGGCCTGGGCGAAACAACTCTGAGGAACAATGGGCCAATTTGCGGGTACGTATACCGGTACGTACTACAAGAAACGTTGTACAGAATAACGAAATTACCTGATTTGGCGAAACAAACTGATCATACAGGGTTCTAAGACGGCTCCTCATTGGTTCGCTAGTCGCTACTAAATAATCCCTAAATATTTTAATTCCTTCAGCGTATTTCGTACCTTTCTAACTTTTTGAATCCAGGAACACCAGACTCAATACGGTAGGTACTTTTATTAGGTAAAAGTATTAGGAAGCCGGATAACAAAGGAATTAGGATCTTGTTGAGATTATGTAGGATTTTCATTTGACAATTCCACCATCATAAATAATCACTGATCCATTTGTCTAGAAATAAATTTAAACCCATACTTATGGATATCGAAAGAAAAGAAAATGTTTCATTGTTCAGTAAATTCGCGCGCCACGTACCTCAAACCCACAGGTACCTGAAGTACCTAACAAAGAGTTGTTGGTAGGGCCAGAACTTTGGATCTACAGGGCCCACGCGATGGGGCCAGTTAGTGAACCGGCTTTGTCTCTTTGTTAACCATCTGCACGTGAACTTACGTTATTTCGATCAAAATGTACCTACCTAGGTACTGAGTGCTGTTCCTGATGTAGTGTACCTAGGTACCTTATGGATGTAGGTAGTACCCCAAAATCAAGACTTCGTGGCGTACGAGCAATATAAATATTGAAATGACCCGGCCCCTCAACGGCACTATCGTCGAATAAGATGTTCCATTTCGGAATGGTATCATGTCGCCAGTTCCCCGGGTCGGTAGAATAATCAATTTGATCGGGAGAAGTTAAGTTGCCCGCTTTCTTGGCGGCGTTAGTCGATATCACCATATTCCCTCTTCATCGAACTATTTTGGAGGTTTGCTGCCGACCCTGCCGGGGATGTCGGGGACGAATATAAGAACAAACCACTTTCTCCTCCCGCAAGGAGTCATGAGAATTCATGACCTGAATGTCAGTTGCACATCCTCCTTACATTGGCAATTGACATTGGGAGGTTGGTGTGACTGAGAATGTTTGCTTTCTGGGTCTTATTATCTGTAGGGAATATCCTAACAAATTCTAATGTCGGGAAGAGGGATAAGTATAAGTAGTTAAATGAGAATCAATGCAAGATTATGACGTTGTAGAGTATTCTGAAGCTCCATATGCATGTGCATACAACCTGCGCGAGGTTATTCGATGGGACGGCGATGCCGTTGCATAATGCCTCTTTGAGATGTCGGTGAAGGAAAATTGAAGATGGATGAAACTGAAGCGTCGGCTCCTATTTGTGAGGTGCATATATCTTATTTGAAGTGAGTACCTATGGTATTGTCGTCTGCCAAGGGATTGAAAGACTTTCATGATATGATCGAAGATGACTAAGTACCTAGGTTAGGATGATATTGGAGGTTTCATACCTAAAAATCATGATAGCAAATTCGACCATTGCCTTGCTGCGCTAACGTGATTACTGGAAATGAACTATTGGATGGATGGGACATTAGACATCTTGGCTTTCGGTGCTGTTGTTGGAAGTCGTGGTAAATATAGGACTGGATGGCTACGATGATGAGGCTGAAGAAATAAATCAGCAGATCCAATAAGAATAATCTCGAATTGTTCGATTTATTCTAGATGACATTTGAATTGTTGGTTTAATCGTCGCTGCAAGTGAAATGTAACGTTGGTAGGGCTATAGCCTACGCATGAGTCTCTAAACTGAATATCGTCTAACTTAACTGCCTAAATGATCTGAATTTGAAGCTAAGGTATAGTTAAGATTTTATATAAATGGAAATCTTCACTCCTTTTGTCGCTATAATCTGCACCAATTCTAGCCAAAATGTCGAAATCTAGCTGAGGTGAGATAACATGGGCAATATGCTCGGCGTCAGCGATGAAAAAAGCCATTGGCGGATATGTACCTAATTCTTTGCACTGCCCCCATCGTTCGTATCCACATGTGCACTTAGACGATATCCCCCACCCAATGAGGCTGCCCTATCTCCACAGATGCCTCCTATTTTTGTTGCTATTTTTGGGGATGGGGGACCCTTATGGGGCTCAAGGCGCGTGCTGCAAATGCATCACCAAACCTAATGCGGCCCGTAAAGTAAGAATTTTATAGGTCTCGTCGTATCTCGTCGTAATAAATACAAAATTTTATCAGATCGACTTGATAATAGAATTTGATTTGACTTGATAGGAATAGTATGCGCCGAACTATACGATACAAACAACCCATAGAGTAAATTTGTCAAATTTGTACTCACGTACACGTAAGGCCCTGGGGGAAAATATGGGGCGTAGTTTCAAGCTAATAGGAGCTGAGGACGCCAACGAACAAAGCCGTTCAGGCGGTACCCCTAATGCCCCTAATGCATGCATACAGTAGCATACAGTACAATTATACCGTGGACATTGCCGTATGTAACTATTCGTATTCTTTAATAAAGTGTTTAAAATTTTGCATTGGGTGCATAATAATAGCCGTTTTGATGATACCCATTAATACTTGATATTTTCAAGATATCGTGGGATAGAATCAAGATTATAAGGAATGATGGCTGGTGGTGCAGTTTTGCCAACTTGCTCGTCTTATTCTCATCTCTGTGCTGACTTTGTAGCGTAGCCTATTGGGCTGACAGGTTATAAGTACATAAATACTTGTATAGTTGATATTGATATAGTGAATTGTATTGCGCCTTGTCGAGTTGACGCCATTTGCCAGTTCGCTTTTGTGGCTGAAGCCCCGAATGTTGGATCCGTCTCGAAAAACCTGCAAGTAAAAGACTTTTATTTTTCCCATCCTGGCCTCCTATCTTATGCGTACAACGATGCAATAACACAATGGATGAGAGAAAAAGGGAGAAACATAACTCATGGGATCTCATCGGAGGGTGACATCGTCGGATAGACAATCACGAGAATCATACACATACCTCATTTATATTAGTGACGTAGGTGGTGTTTCTGTATGTCTCTGTTGTGAGCAGGTGACGAATGAATTCGAACGTCTGTTAAGCAGATGGAATTGGAGAAATCAAGTAAAAAGCGGCCCGTTTCAGCCAACCACATATCAGCTTGGCAACGGTACTAACGTACTAATGTCTATAATACGGATTTTTGCTTGCTTGCTAGAGGTAACCGCACCTTCTAACCAACCACTTAAATTCACTACAAAATAGGAAAAGTACCTAAAAGTAGGTACCTATAGTAACGTTAACTACTAACGGTTTGAGACCGCTTGTAATTTTCAAGTATTTTTTTCATGCTAAGCCACATCAGCCCCCCCTGATCCAGCGCATTTTGTAGGGTTTGCATAGCTTGAAGTGGATACTTTTATTTTTTATTTTTCAAGGTATTGAAGTACCTACGTAGACGTCTCTTCTTTCTGCATGTCTCCTTTTACTGGTATTAGCAAACCTCTCATAAAGCCATAAAGCCGTATGGGGTGCTTTCCGACGCTGATCCCATCCCAACCTGAAAAAGAAAAATACGAACCGACTGCCCTTTCTTAGTTCTTCATCTTCCCCTTTAGAAAATACCTATTCCCTCCATCGCCATCGCGAGAAGTAAGAGGGTGATTGATTCATCAAATCCCTCTATCGATACTTTTATTTAGTATTGTTTTCTTTTCGCAGCATTAGACTCTTGCCTGCACATCGGGCTACCTTCGCTCTTTTTAATTCACCCTTCTCTCGTGGGGGAACATAGCTACCTACCTCTCCCTCGCGTGGCCCCTGGATCGATCTTACGTTTCTTCGTCCGCGTGTCAAAATAAACCAACTCTCCAACGAATTTCGCAACGAAAAAACAACCGAATAATTACCTACGCCTTATTTACAGGTTTGCCGTTGAGACTATTGAAAACGGCTGGTATAGCCGATAATTAAAGATGGCATACAACGGTGGTCACGATGAGTACGATGCTCATAGACTTCAAGACATGCCTGCTGGCAGCACGGTAAGGCATAACTTAACCTTAACTCAAACCAAAACCAGCGCTTTGGGTCATACTTAAATCTTTTACATTTTTATGACGTTTAAATCTGCAAGATTCAAGGTCGCACTGCTAATTTCAATTTCTTTCCTCTTTAGTATCACCTACCTCCCCAAGATCAAGACGAAGATGAATCGCAACGTCATCTCCTAGGACAAACTCCCGGTCTTCATTACGAGCAAGATCGGTTGGGCGCGCACACCCCTCCTGTACGACCTGTTTCGGCCTATTCTCTTACCGAATCATATGCAACCACCGCTCCCCCTCTTACCCAATCACCAGCACCCCAATATGGAGGAAGCGAGTATATGGGTGGTTATGGTGGACACCAGCTTGAGGATACCGGTTTCGGATACGGAAGACCCGCATCTACCGTTGACAGCGACGAGAGCTGGCTTCGTCGACAGCAACCCGGCGGTGGCGCCGGTGGTCTAAAGCGTTACGCTACTCGAAAAGTCAAGCTAGTTCAGGGCTCCGTTCTCAGCGCCGATTACCCGGTTCCCAGTGCTATCAAGAATGCTGTTCAAGCCAAATATCGCGATGCCGAAAGTGGCAGTGGTGAGTTCTTAAACATGCGATACACCGCTGCTACCTGCGATCCCAATGATTTCACACTGAAGAATGGTTACGATCTGCGACCCAGAATGTATAACCGACATACTGAGCTACTGATCGCCATTACGTACTACAACGAAGACAAGCAACTTTTCTCTCGTACGCTTCACGGTGTTATGCAAAATATTCGCGATATCGTCAACTTGAAGAAATCTACCTTCTGGAACAAGGGTGGTCCCGCCTGGCAGAAGATTGTGGTTTGCTTCGTTTTCGATGGTATTGACAAAGCTGACAAGGAAACCTTGGATGTCTTGGCTACTATTGGTGTTTTTCAAGATGGTGTCGTGAAGAAGGAAGTTAACGGTAAAGAAACCGTAGCTCACATTTTCGAATACACCACCCAGCTGTCTGTTACGCCTAATCAGCAGCTCATCCGACCGGTAGACGATAGTCCTCAGACTTTGCCTCCTGTCCAGATGATTTTCTGTTTGAAGCAGAAGAACACCAAGAAGATCAACTCTCACCGTTGGCTATTCAATGCTTTTGGCCGAATCCTGAATCCTGAAGTGTGTATTCTTCTTGATGCTGGTACCAAGCCTGGCTCAAAATCGCTTCTTGCGCTCTGGGAAGGTTTCTACAACGACAAGGACTTGGGTGGAGCTTGTGGTGAAATTCACGCCATGTTGGGTAAGGGCGGCAAGAAACTAATGAATCCTCTCGTTGCCGTCCAAAACTTCGAGTACAAGATTTCCAATATTTTGGATAAGCCTCTGGAAAGTTCTTTCGGTTATGTGTCTGTGTTGCCTGGTGCTTTCTCCGCCTACAGATTCCGAGCCATCATGGGCCGACCTCTCGAGCAATACTTCCATGGTGATCACACCCTTTCCAAGATCCTTGGACCTAAGGGTATCGAAGGCATGAACATTTTCAAGAAGAACATGTTCTTGGCCGAAGATCGTATTCTGTGTTTCGAACTTGTCGCAAAGGCTGGGTCTAAGTGGCATTTGACCTATATCAAAGCCGCCAAGGGTGAAACCGATGTGCCCGAAGGAGCTCCTGAATTCATCAGTCAGCGACGACGTTGGCTCAATGGTTCTTTTGCTGCCTCGCTTTACTCTTTGATGCATTTTGGTCGTATGTACAAGAGTGGTCACAATATTCTGCGCATGTTCTTCCTACACATTCAGCTTCTCTACAACATCGCAAACGTCTTGTTCACCTGGTTCAGTTTGGCTTCTTACTACCTCACAACAACGGTTATTATGGATCTAGTCGGAACTCCCACAGAACCTGGCCCAACGACTGCTGAACGACACGGTTGGCCCTTCGGCGACAGAGCTACCCCGATTATCAACATCATTCTCGAGTATCTCTACATTGCCTTCTTGATTCTACAGTTCGTACTAGCTCTTGGTAATCGCCCAAAGGGTTCCAAGTGGTCTTACATTACTTCGTTCGGTCTCTTCGGTCTTATTCAGCTCTACGTACTTATTCTTTCTGGTTACTTGGTCGTCAATGCGTTCCAACCGTCGAATTTGCCTAAAGGTGAAAGCGCTGGTGATGCTCTGAAGGATATGTTTACGGGTCAGTCTGAAGTTGCCATCATCATTTTGGCTTTGCTTGCGACGTTTGGTCTGTACTTCATAGCATCCTTCATGTACTTGGATCCCTGGCACATGTTCCACTCCTTCCCGGCTTATTTGATTCTCATGTCGACTTACATCAACATTCTCATGGTGTACGCCTTCAACAACTGGCACGATGTCTCGTGGGGTACCAAAGGTTCAGACAAAGCAGAAGCATTACCAGCAGCTCAGATTGTGAAGGACGAAAAGGGTGAAGCAGCCATCGAAGAAGTTGATAAACCCCAAGAGGATATCGATAGTCAGTTCGAGCAGACTGTCAAGCGTGCTTTGACTCCCTTCAAGCCTGAGGCCGAAGTCGAGCACAAGGATCTTGAAGATTCGTACAAGTCTTTCCGAACATCCTTGGTTATTGCGTGGCTATTCTCCAACTGTGCCCTTATTGTTGGTGTTACTAGTGATAAGCTATCCACGTTTGGTATCGGGGTAAGTTCCATTCCCATGTCGATATATATGAGAAAAATCAATATGCTAACCAATTTTAATAGGGTACGACCTCCGACAGAACGGCGCAGTTCTTCAAGTTCCTGCTTATCTGTACTGCAGCCCTTTCTCTAATCCGTTTCATCGGCTGCTGCTGGTTCTTGGGCCGAACTGGAATCATGTGCTGCTTCGCCAGACGGTGAAGTGGCAATATACCTAGCAGCAGGCGTAGTTGGGTTCTTAAGAAATTTATACCCCCTGAAACGTGTACAAATGTGGCCTTACTATCATCATCTCTCTCCAGGACCTGGCGTCGAACGAAGAACAAGCACTGTATTTGTTGTTTCTAAAGCTGGATAGATGGGGGGTTTGGCGACTTGAGAGAAGAGAGCAAGGAATATTTTTTCTTACGGCTTTTTCTTGTTTTTGTGTGTGGTTGTGAATTATGCAAATGCAAAGAGATTTATGGAAAGGGGAAGGGATTCAGAAAAAGTTATATGCGGCGGCTGCTACTACCTACACACAAACAACAACCCTTATTACCTATCTACGACTATTACGAATTGTTGCCGCTGTAGTTGGTCCTCCGCTGTTAAATCGTGCAGCATTGTCTCGGGCGTTGTTTGTTGTTAAATCGCTTTTCTCCTTTATATACTCCTAATGTGCCTAAAGCTGAATAATCAAGGTCAGTTGTTACGAATCTGGTTTTTATCGAAACGTATATCAAGTTAGTCTTATGATGTTCAAGTGCGATTTGATATTGAAAATGTGAGCCGTATACATATCATGATATATGTCTAAATATGTAGGTTTCCGTACTTATTCTCGCAGCGGTTTCGGCTGTATTCCAGGGTCCTAAGACGATCCTCTCACATCACGTCTCCCATAATTCAAACCCCGTTCTCCTCAAAAAACTCCCTAGCATCCGCAATTGCCTCTCTCAGCTCCTTCGTCATCCCAATCGTCTTATGCGCCTGGATCAACCCATGCGACGCCAACGGCGCCCCGTGAAATCGCACTAAATGTTCATCATTCTCGGCAACCATCTCTTGCGCGAAACTCCGTACTTGCTCGTGTAACGCCTCTCCCGTGCCCGCGCATAGCCAGAGCGGAACACTGGTCTTGAAGGGGTGGTGGAGGGGCGATATATACGGCAATGCGTAACGCGCTAAAGGCGTGGACGGGATGTATGATTCAACGCCCCATTGGAGGAGGGAGCGGACTAGTACGTCGCGTTGGGCGTTGGGGTAGGAGTCATAGTCTGATACTGCGGCGTGGGTTACGTGTATCCAGGGTGACCAGGCCATGGCTGCGCCGGGTAAAGGGTGGACGTTTTGGTCTTCTAGGTATCGTAGTAGGGCGAGAGCTAGGTTCCCACCGGCGGAATCTCCGGATAGGATGACGTCTTTTGGAGATACGCCGAGGGAGAGAATGTATAGGTATACGGTTAATATGTCCTGTACGGCGGCTGGGAAGCGTGCTTTGGGGCTACCGTCGGAGATCCGGTATTGTGGGAAGAACATGTATGATGCGCCGACGCCCAAGTCCGGGATTAGGGCTTCGGAGATGACCTGTCCGAATTCTTGGGTCCCGAAGGCAAGCACGAAGGCTCCGCCTGGGATATGTAAAATCACTTTCTGGCCTGGTGGGATTTGTTTTGGCGGTGCGTTCGGAAACCATATGCCCCCTACAGTCGCAGGTTGCGCTAGCCCTTGAGCAAGTACACTGGTGTAAGTGCGCGAATCGGCTGGATTTACGAGGGTGTAGCGAGATCCGGCTTTCTTTTGGTCAGATAGGACGCCGTCTAACCCTGTGGTTCGGGTGACTGTCATGTAATGGAAGACATGCTTGCATATGGCGTTTACAAAACAGATGGTGAAATTCCACTCCCGTATGGGACGGAATGCGTTGAAGCTAAATCGGATTGAGTAGAAGACTGAGAGAGGGAGGAGCTTGAGTACAAAGTATATGATATAGAGGCCCTTGAAGGGTTGTCTCGAGAATAGAGGTGCCATTATGTCTACCTAGTGAAAAACTTCATATATACAAGAGATAGAGTAGATGGTCATATTCTGTTGTTTATATATACCTACGTGTTGGAACCTGAGAGCCAGGAGGCTAGTTCACGTCAAGGGTGGCTGAATCACAACCCCGCGAAAGAGAGAAGATATGTTGGAGTGCTGCTCGAGTGGGAACTGAGCGGCGGCACAGCATCCTCGATAGACCTTGCATTTTACTAGCATGTCTTCCGAGTAGTCACTCCGTCGTACCCAAGCCCTATCGAAGATCTCACCGATGGTGTGCGCCGGGATGTGCCGCGAAGTTTGTGGCTTGAGTTTTACGATCAAATTTCGAGGATATCCCGATGTTAGGTAGGAAGGGGAAGAAGAGACGATGTAGCTGAAGCTAACAATTTAACCGCCTATAATTATAGTGCAATTAGGTAATGATAGCGCACTTCTCACCCCACCTATTCTTAGGTACCTAGGTAGGTACGATTTTACCCCACGTTGAAAGAAATGAAGCTTAAACTTCCCACGTGAATTCTAACTTTCAACCATCTTGACTTTACTACTCGCCCCGTCCTTATAACAGAGAGTTCAGATCCGTTATATCTTTTAGATTTAAGAATAATTGAGTGATACCCCATCATAAATCAACATGGAGTCCCTAGAAACAATACAAACCCGCCACCGAAAAGAACAACGCGAACTTCAAGCGCGAATCACGAACAAAAAGAAGAACGCGACCAAGAAGACACGAAAAGGCGTCAACGACGAGTGTGCCGAACTCGAGCGGCAATTAAAAGAGAAACATGAACAAGAAATAGCAGCTTTAAATGGGAATGGCGAGAATACAGAAAATGCGACCGAGGAGCAAAACCAACCCGAAGAAACCTCACAAGACCAACCTCCCACCGACGCGACGAACGGAATATCACAACAATTGAAAACTGTCACATTCTCCGATCCTGATCCCGAACCTGAACCGATAACACAACAATCCGGCCCAAAGAAACGCAATCGCCAAAAAGAACGCATGGCGCGCCGAGCCGCAGAACAAGAAGCTGCAGCTGAAGCGGCGGAGCAAGAAGCAGCCAACATGACCGACCACCGAAAAACCGAGAAGACGTACCTACTTAAAGAATTCAAAGCGAATAACCTCGTCGAGAAGGAGATACAACCAGATGGGCATTGCTTGTTCTCAGCTATAGCGGATCAGCTACAGACGAGAGGTGTGTCGTTAATATCAGGCTTGGGAGCAGGGAAGAGTGAAGAGGAGGTTAAGGGCAAACCACCGTATAGCATTGTGAGAATAGCGGCGACCAATTATATGAGAGCGCATGAGGATGACTTTGCGCCGTTTCTGGAAGAGCCGTTTGGGAGTTACGTGGCTAAGATACGGGATACGGCGGAGTGGGGTGGACAGTTGGAACTCCTGGCGCTGGCGAGTGCGTATGGAGTCGAGATCAAGGTGTTGCAGGATGGGCGGACGGAAACGATCGAGCCGAGAGACGATGCGAATAAGAAGGAGAATGGGGAGAGGCACAAGATATGGCTTGCGTATTATCGCCATGGGTATGGACTAGGGGAGCATTATAATTCGTTACGGAAAGCGGATTAAGTAGTGAAATGAAATAAACCGAATTCATGAGTCTGGATTGACTATGGTAGTGTCGTAAAGGTGTTACGTATCTTCCTCAAGCCTATACATCTATATGTTACAGTCCAGTCATCATGATCCTGTTCTCCCCTAAATAACCATGAAAACATCGTTCTATACGCCTTGAAATATCGGATCCGAGCTTTCCTCTTTGAACTTATGCTTCCATAGCGAACCAATGGGTTTTAACTTAAGCCTAGCTGATAATTCCTTAAGCTTAGCTACCCTGCTATCGTCGTGGACAATCCAAAGCACGATAGCCGATACCGCCCATGTGATGAATGCTATCATGATCGTAGAAATCAGGAACGCGGATTGACCACGACTAACATCGTCGTAGGCAAAGGCGTCCATACTAAATAGTGACTGGATGGTATTAGTATGAAAGCCTTTGAGCCTTTAGGCGTAAGTGAATAGCATACGGAAACATAGCTGAGTGGAAGGTAAAATATAGTAACAATCGTGAATACAAGGATGTATTGGTTCAGGACAGTTGCCCGAGATGCCTCACGCACAGATGTAGCACTGAAGAGCTAAATGAACATGTTAGCGATTTCGGAATGTACTCTAGCCTTAGATTTTATACGTACACCATCCCTAAAACTTTTTATCTCCTCTTCCTTCTTTTCGATGCGATATAGAAGGGATTTCGTGGAGGAACTATGAAAAGATATGGCTTCCTCCCATGCATCATCAATCCCTTTCATAAAATCATTTGGGGGCGCGTCGCTATGGTTTGAATCGGCAGAGCCGCGGCGACCTGAACCGGATTGAATATTCGAGTAGAAATCTTGTTTAAGCTGTTGAAGTTCCCGTTCGCCCTCTTGGATCCACTCGGAAAATATTCTTAATGCTTGAAGGACTGTAAAATAGAGACGAGATCTGTCGAATGTACTATCGAACATCATCGCGGCACCGCCTCGTTTTGGGTCTAGAAGATCATCGATCTATGTATATTAGCTAGGTCCTCGGAGTGGAATGACTGAGCTGTTGCTACCTTTACACCGACCAGGTTGTCCACCTCATTTAGAGTCTCAATCCACTTACGCTTCCATATAGGAAACACAGAGAGTAGAACTTTCAGGTATACCGCGACAGCTGTAAATCTTCCTCGGCTTGGCATATCTAGAGGACGCTCGCTCTCCATGAAGAGGCGCCGATATCCAGAGTCGCTTAAGCAGATAATAGTATAGGACGGCATATCTCCTGTATGAGAAGAAACGATCGCAATAGCGAACCTTTGTTCGATAATGCCGATATCATCCATGCCGTTAAGCGAACTAAGCTTGCCATGGACGCGAGCGGGGTGCAGTCCATTCTTCAGTTGGTACTCGTGGTCAGTCGGTAAGTACTGCTTGCCGGTTGATAGAACCCGAAGATGAAAGTGGAGGTGAATCCAACTGGACGATACCCAAACTTCGCTCGTTTGCATGAATCGTGGCCATTTCGATACGTAACAACTTAAGAAACGAAGAGCCTTTTTGGTTCCTAGCGTCATTTGGCTGACATCTCCTGCGACGGCCATCTGTGATAAGGCGAGATATATGCAGGCAAAGCTAAGGAGTCGCCGGTCATGAAACACTTGCCTTGATTTGCCAAATTAGTACTTATGATTATCGGACAGTCCACAACAAGTAGCTTACCATAATCTTCCGAAAACCTTCCCATCCCAAGGACATGATTGATCAATCTGTAACCTATGATCATCAGGCTATCAATGTGAGTCAGTATCGAGCTTTTTAGCTCTAGATTTGAAAGGAGATTACCTGGAGTTGACATAAAAGTGAGCGTTTTCCGCTTAGCCAAGGTGATCTGGAAAAGTGAGCACCAGATCTATCATAGCCTGATTGGTATAATATAGTCCTCGTGTCCCCTGGGCAGTTCAAGAGAAGAACAGAGTCGGAGACATCTGATTCAAACGGTACAGCAATTTCATCAGGATCCCGTATTGATCTTCCTTGATACAGCCAGTTTGCTCTGACTAGTGGAGCGACCTGGGTGAGTTTTCTGGCGAGATTTGGTTCTCTCATCTGGTCAATGTGTTTCCATGGAACTTCTATCGTTTGTGAACCCTCGCTAGTAGCTTGTTGAACTACGAGGATAACATCGCTAGAACTATCTCGTTCCCAGCCGTGCATGTGGATAAGTTCAATGGCGTCATATGAGCCAGATAGGATATGGAAGATGTTGAATTTTGCTAGGAACATGTCGCATAGCCAGGTCAGATCCGGATTTAGTGTGACCGAATGATACCTTTGTAGAGAGTAAGAACTCATCATATCAAGGCTTGGTTGGTATCGATTGATACTGATTTGAGAAGGAAACCCCGAGTTTTCTTTTTTATCAAGTGTTTGTTGGAGAATTTCTAGAAACTGTTCTTGCCTCCTACCCATTTCCACAAGTCGTCGATGGACCTTTTCGAGGTCGAGGTCTCGATTCTTCTGTTTCCTTGGGGAGAGGCATCTCGGACAAGGATCTGTCTTATTTGAAGATCTAGTATGTGAATTGGTTCTTCTCTTGCTAGTATTTATGTGACGAAATCTTCTTGACGTGGAAGGATGGTAAGGATGGTCCCATCTTCGAGAAAGGTCTTGATCTGTAGGTGGTGCCAACAGGGAGCGACTCTCGCTATGCTCCAGGGATGTATAGGTTGCAAGGCTCTGAGTGCTGCTTCGACTGACAAGGGTGACTTGTGTTGACAAGGGAGTTTTCAAATCTTGGTCCATACCAGGAAATTTAATCAGGTAATAGTATCAACGGTATTGGTCTAATTTCGTCAATATCAAATCTATTCATCTTCACATCACGGAATGGGAGATTCGGCTTAATAAGGCGCATTGTATTTCATTTACTCATGTTGAACCCTGGCGGCCTCGACAGAGCCTTACGCCTGCGCCTCAGTGGAATTATTTACTGATTAACCAGTCGGACAGGCTCTTAACCGCCAGGGTTCGGGAGAATATTCCCGATGTTGTACCTGAGCTGGCGCAACGCGTAATTGATCATCTCTGCCATTGTATATCTTTCGAATAATAGGGCTTCGAAAAGGAATCGATGTTTAGTTGGTGACCACCCGCGTTCTCACCGAAAAAGGATATTGATTATGAAACTGCCATTAGGATACCTACCCAGGTACCTAGGTAGGCAGAATTTTGAAAGCCAATATATTTCTTTTACGAACTAGAGAATAAGGCTTCATGATTGGTATTGGTATTTAGATCGTAGGAGGCTGGTGTTCACCCTGAATCACGCATATGCGATGTGATAGAGTGATGAGTTGACGAATCTAAGACAACGATCTTGACCTGAAAAAAGTAAAACCGGGCATTGTTGAGGATTAGCACACGGGTGCACGGACTACAAGATATACCGAGATGTGGCTAGAGAATTTATCTAAAAGCCACATTATGTACTCCTGTCTTGGACTAAAACAATAAGCACTAGCCACGTCTATAAAATTGCCGAGACGGGCCGCACTCGGAGTCAATTGTCATCCGTCATAGAAAGAAACTCTGAATTGTTCTAGTCTCTCCTCCTTAAAAAAGTTTCCCGTTGTGCTTAGGTACTAACTACCTACCCAGGTATGCAAGTTGTATTTCTAAGCTAATTGCGGGTTCGGTCGGGAACTTAGTCTTATAAATCAATTCTCTACTGTAGAGAGAGAGGGGCTCCACATGCATTTACTTAGGCGAACTAAGAAGAAGAAAAAAAGGAGTGAGAGGGAATAAAAAAAAAGTTAATACATATTTAGTTGTTCATCTCATCGTGAACCTTTAAATACTTATATTTTTAAACCTCTCATTAATCTTGGTGGATTAGACTACCATATGACCTAGTCTTACATCCGGTCCTCCCTTACTGTTCCCCTACTTCCACTTCTTTTCATAAATTTATTCCTAATCGGGAAGTCCAGGATCGTCGCTAAGGGCTCTAGATCTAAAGAACAAGCTGCCATCCGATCCAGTGGTATGACCAGAGAATTGCGTGCTTTCGCGCGGAGTTGACACATTCTACACATCGCCGGATCGCACCCATATTTCTAATTCGCGGCCATGGATTCGAGACCCTGAATTCGGTCCGTGGGGGTAGCCGTCTATTGCCGTGGTCTGCATTGTAGCCTAGTAGTCTACACTGGATTCCGACGGCGTAAGTCGCTAAGTTACTGACGCCACTTGGGAGTTTATCCCTTTCTATGTTTACGACTAGGGGCCTGTGATACGGTTAGGACGGTTAGGGTTTGCGACGCTATCACCATTCATAGTATCGCCCTACGTTAGAGCAAACTCGAAGTTCGAGAGGATCAAATATTGTTTGCCTTCTTTTTTTTTACGTTGTTCGTGGATCATCTACCATCTATCCATCTCCTATCATTCTTACGCACATATACCCGGGTACTTCCCAAGCCATATTCTCCATAAGAATCATATTTAGCGTCTTTTTCTCGAATTGTTCCGATACACGATACACCTATCCGAAGTGCCAATTTTACAATTAAGGAAATACTTGTGTCTTATCGGCTTGCACAGCTACGAACCATTCAGCGGCAAATATGGGTTTGCTGTATGTCGCCCCTCGGTGAAAGTCCGAAGACCAATCTAGTGATACGTGATCATTGACACTCAACTCCAGGGCTTTAGGAACGGCTCTTGATTGGCCCGATGCGCAGAAGCACGCGCAGCAAGTCAGGGAATGGGGTATCAAGGTAGTCCCTTATCGCCGCCTGCCTCGTAATCACTCCGGCGCCATGGCTGATCTCGTCATAGCAATTGCTGGAAATTTGGAATAAGGCTAAGCACAAGGAACGAGATGCTATGTTGTGGGGTGATGAAGTACTGTGTACATCCTATCTCCACCACCCAACATTGTCATTAACAAAACACACAGATAGAGTACCTGGTCGTGAAATATTCGAAAGACGACCCTAATGTCCTTTTATCACTGCGGCAAGCCGATATCCTAACAGCATTAGCAGCTGATGAGGAACTCTCGGATAAAGGCGGCTGTGTACCGGCGCTTCAGGATGTCGAGACCCCAAAACTGAACCCGCTGCCTGTCTTCCACCCCGAGTTTGGTAGGTTCATGCTCGAGGCTACGCCGGGGAAACCATGGGGTATTGGGTTTAAGGAACTCCTAGGCGTTGAACCTGACATGAAAAATAGGTATTATGATTCTTAATGCGCATCCTCACTAAGCTAACCAGTCATCAGGAGGAGAATCGCTAAGGACCATATGCAATCTGAAGAATATCCAATCACTCTCACTACCTTCCCCCGTTTAGGTGTACCAGGCGTCTTCACTGACCCCTATTATCGACCATCTGGGCCAAAGTTACGGTCACAATTTGTACCAGATGAGATCGCCAATCCACACATTCGATTCCCAACCCTAGCGGCAAACATACGATGGCGACGCGGAAGGAAAGTGCAAGTAAACGTCCCAGTTTTCCACGATGAGAATACACCAAATCCATGGAAGGATCCTACAATCAACTATGACCTTCACAATTGGCCAGAAGACGACGATGTTAGAAATGGCGCTGCCCCAGATAACTTCATTCATATGGATGCCATGGCGTTCGGAATGGGAAGTTGTTGCTTACAGATCACTTTCCAAGCGAAGAACATCACCGAAGGTAGACGGATGTACGACCAACTAAGCCCGATTGGCCCGATCATGTTAGCTCTAACGGCAGCGACGCCAATATATAAGGGTTTCCTAGCGGACACTGATGTCCGTTGGAATCAGATCAGCCGTGCTGTCGACGACCGAACCCCTGAAGAACTAGGAGAAAAGGTCAGTGCACCATATAGTAACTGGTTAATGGCAAGAAACTAATCGTTGTCAAGCCCCTGAAAAATAACCGATGGCGCATACCAAAATCTCGTTATGCGTCTAACTCCACCTATATCAGCACCGATGCGCGCTTAAGGCAAGAATACTTCGATCCCGATCTCGTTATCGATGAAGCGATCAAAAGAGAGCTCCTTGAGGGTGGTATGGATGACCGTCTCGCTACACATTTCGCACATCTGTTTATCCGCGATCCTATAGTAATCTTCAGTGAGGATCTCAAGGAGCTTGACCTAACTAAAGCCGACCATTTTGAGAACATCCAGAGTACCAATTGGCAGCACATGCGCTTCAAGCCACCACCACCAGGTTCCGACATCGGCTGGCGTGTCGAGTTCCGACCCATGGAGATCCAGGTTACAGATTTCGAAAATGCTGCATTCGCGGTGTTTATGGTATTGATCACTCGCGCGATTCTTAGCTTCGATCTTAACTTCTACATCCCCATCGTCAAGGTAGACGAGAACATGGAGACGGCGCATGCTCGCGACGCTGTCCTCGAGAAGAAATTCTACTTTCGCAAGAACCCGTTCCCGAACCGACCCCCGCGTAGCAGCGCCGCCGCGTCACGCGCCGGTTCGCCGAACGCTAGCAGACCCCCGACTCCTATTGGCCCGGTTGAGGATGAATACGCATTGATGACCGTCGATGAAATCATCAATGGCTCCGACGAGCACGGCTTCCCGGGTCTAATTCCGATCGTAGAGAGTTACCTTGACTCCGTCAATGTGGATGTGCAAACCCGTTGCGATTTAAGCACGTACCTAGATCTCATCCGCATGCGTGCTAGCGGTGAGCTATGGACTGCGGCGAAGTGGATTCGTCATTTTGTTGCCAAGCATCCCGAGTATAAGAAGGATAGCGTTGTCTCAGATCAGGTTACGAAAGACCTCGTTGCCGCTGTGATTGATATTGGGGATAGAGAACAGGAGGGACGTGGGTGGAAGGATTTAGACGTGCCCGATGTGAAGCACTTGCTTGGGTCGTTCAGGAGTAGTGGATGTGGTGGGTTATGATGCTCACGGGGGCTAATACGCTCATGGCTAAAGACTTAAGTGCATACATGGTCTCGTTTGTTGGTGGCTGCTTTCACTACGAACTACTTATGTGCCACCTACCTAGGTACACATGGTGCTGAGCATAGACTAGCGTAGTAATTCTATTCGTTTTACTTAAGCCCCCCTATCTCTGACGTGCCCACCATTCGCAGCGCGTTGCGTTGGTTGTTCTAACATTGCTAAACAACAATGCTTAAAGCGCGTATCTAATGTATCTACACGATAAAATTAACGTGATGTGACGTTGATTGTTCCTTTATGCTGTTTTATCACAAATAAAAATGTCGGGGTAGTGAATGGATCGATTCCACCCCCCTTATTCGGCGCCAAAGAAAAGAGCGCCTTAAATACCTAAGTCCATTAAAATAGCTACTCGAAACCGGAATCTAGGATCTTATTTCTAAGTGGTATACTATATATTTAACGCGACAGCTAACTATTTGCTTACTCGAATATCTCGAAACCGACAAGATCTGGCGCATATGAGTCCCCGCTCGTAGCGAAGACGAGCTGATTTGAACCTGCGACGAATCTATCAAGCTCAATGAGCAGCCTATCAGACTCATACCAGTCACCTCCCGAAATGGGAAACGCCCACCTCTTTGGCGTCCCACCATTCACTGCGATGGTCATGTTCCGCGTATTTGACCCCCAGTCCCAAGCGCTGTCAAGCGCGATATCGTGATTAATGAAATCGACACCAACTAGCTTCGTCCCCTCAGATTTCACAATCACGGAATCAAAAGACGCTTTTGCGCTTTTGCTAGCGATACTAACTTTACTACCCGCGGGCGCGCACTCGGAGTTATTGCAAGTAGTCACCGCAGAGCCTCCTGACAATGTAGCATTCGCAGCCGCGTAATAGACCCCCGTCGAAGTCGGCGCAGACGTCGACTTAAGAATATTACTCAGGACCAATAGTTTCATCTCATGGCCCGCGAGTTCAACCTTCTGGACCCCTGAGATCGTACCGATATCTTCCGCTGCCCAGACATCGCGAGCGGATGCCTCCGAAATGTTTACGCCAGAAAGGTCAAATTCCACTGTCTGAGAGTCGTTTTTCCAGTTCGCGATACCGACTACTTTTCTTGATCCGGAGAGCTCTCCGGCCCAGAGATCCCATTCTTCTTCGGTGTACCGTCTGATGAGGCGTGCTTGCTTGCCTAGGGGATCTTGGTTAACTGCTATAACTTCCTCGTTTCGAAGGACGTCGAGGGAGGCCGCTGGTGTGAGTTTCGCGTCGATTGGTGCTCCAATGTTAAGGGGTGATTTGTTGATTGCCCACATGCTAAAGTGAAATTTCTCTTCTTGGAGTGATAGGGCGTTAAGTCCGATGCTGTATCTGTGAATAAGGGTTATGCGATGCGGTGGAGATGGCTTTCCTTACATTAACATATCCAAGTCGGGATACGCACCAACGGTAGTAGTCTTGTGGAATGGCACGGCTTGATTTGTGATCCGCCATATGCTCCTCCAAGAGTTATATATGTCGTTGCTAATCCTGTAGACGTTACCGATTGGTGGTGCCCAGTCGCCTAGATCCTCGCCAATACCCCATTGGCATATGAAATAGGCGATATCTCGATCTACACCATTCAAAACAAAAGCCATCTTCTCATGACGCTCTGGTGAAGTGGATGCTGGCGAGACATAGTCGGCCATCTGGGTTTTGGATGAGGAATAGCAGTTATCATATCTGTAGGGTTAGCCACAAATAATCCTGCATTGTTAGAAAAGGGGGCACTCACTTCAAGGAGTCCCCTTCCCATTCAGAAAATGATTCCGCATCTATCTCTTCAAATCCTATACCCGAATTAGGACTGCACTGTGAAAAATAGGAGTATCCTCTGACTTCATACCAAGAGATGCTGGTAGATCCGTTGAACCACATTGATAGTAACCTGCGCCGGAATAGAGCCCGAATTTCAAGCCTAAGCTATGGATATATTCTCCTAGAGCTTTGCCCCCAGATGGGAAGAGGGTTGTGTTCCATTGCAAACGACTTTCAGAATCTCTATCTCTTGCCATCCATCCACAATCCGTCGTGACATACGTATAACCTAAATCAGCCAGACCCAAGTCTACAAGCCCCTGGGCGTTGGTTTTCATGATCTGTTCGGTTGGATTGCAGCCATAGTAATTGTAGCTGTTCCACCCCATCGGTGGTGCTTTTGACTTGTAGAGGGCGGCTTCTACCGTGGCCCCGATTATGAGCACTGCCACGATAACTCTCTTCATTTTGTGCTGCTTGTTTTTTATTCGAATAGGTGAAGCCCTCTAAGATTTGGCTCTGTAGGTAATTTCAGCGCGCCGACATCCTGCATTCAAGTTGTGAGGCCCTATCGTGACTCCCAATAGATACGTCATGGAAGCCGCCAAGATACCCCGTCGTCCTCGGTCCACAACGACCGAAGGCGTTCTAATTTCGCCGTATGGGTGCAATATCACATGGAGTCGGGATGGGATTCCCCATCACTGTTCCTCGGTGTACTCCAAATACGAGCTTGTTCAAGGTTGCTTGCGGGGAACCCAGTCCGGGAAGCTCTCCACAACCGTGCACGCATAAGTTCATTGTAACCATCTAGTCACTAGGCAATGCCGTACAAGCGGCCCTATGGGGGTTCGAGATGAAAGGGACATTACCGACATTCCCCGCGATGAACATACCTAGGTGGAGATAGGCTGTTTACTCACGGGCGGCAACTAGAGTTTGGAACAGCCTCTGATTAAGGATCACAGCATTATAGAAAGCTATTCATAAGTACGTAGGTAGGTAAGGATAGTGTGTCAATTTACCCTATAAGTAGAGGCTCGCAAATGTTACCTTGGAAGTTTCGATATATGAGCAAGACAGGGGCTGAATTGACTCCTAGAAAACACTCATGAACGTTATCGCGCCTCATAAAAGTTACGAATGTTCATTTAATTATTGAGGCTGGATTATTTATATAGGATTCTAGTATCGTGAAAACTTCTTGTAAGAGTTCAACCCTCGATGGCGCTTGGGAGTGAAACGAAATCGGGGATAGTATACTGTGTCTCAGATTATTTATTCTATAGAACTAACTAACACCACACATCAAGCTACCCCGCGTCACGATTTATTCATACAGCCTACCTACCCGTGATTGTAGCATACGTACCTAGGTGGGTATTACGCGATCGAAGCTGTCATAGCATCCATATCAGCCAGCAGTAAGCGGCATCGAGATACCGGCACAAAAGGACTCCAGGGATATTACGGCAACTACAGGTCAATGTGGCTGGCGTAAAGGACACTCGGGGGCTACTAAAGTGGAATGGATCTGAAACTCAGATCTACTGAAGTCGACCCCATACATAACATTTCAGACCGCATGTTTACTCCTACGTAGTGGGCGTCCATATCTTGTAATACACATGTCGGCTTGACCTTGTCTTAATTACGTGGCTCCTTACTAAAAGAGTAGATTGTCCCGTGTCTCTGATCGTGTAGGACGACGTTCGTGGTACTACCGGGCTGGACCGCAGCAAGGCAGAAAATAGACATATGTTTCTATTCCCAAGTAATTTCCTTGATACTTGCTCCCCGCTTCATGAACCGTTAGGTCTCGGTCCCGGAATGAGAGACAGTATGGTCGTCGTGGGTAAAGTGTTTCGGGAGAGGGCAGATCGGATCTCCGCGAGCTAGCAGACGGCAAAACGAAACATGAGGACCGGGGTCGGATGAGGCGTTGTGGCTACGTAGAAAATCAAGATTTCTGGAACATATCTTGCCTTTCTCACGACATTGCTTTGCCTGATGGCTCTGTTGGCGTAGCAAGGCGTCAGATCCAATACCAAGTATAGGGCATACTACGAACTACAATTTCCGACGTTCCACTATCTAGACTCTTTGACCGGCTTCAGTGAGACAATTTACCACAGGTCTGTCAACTACCGTGGTGTACCGTAAGCCTTGTGAAATTCTGTAGCGACTACAATATGTCTCAGTATCCCATACGCGGCTAATCTTTCCAACTTGATAGGGAGTATCTTTTGTGATTCCCTAACACAAAGGGTGTGGGTCGGAAGTACGATCTTCTTCCCGGCCTTCGTAAGAGGCTTAAAGTCGTCTAAGTATCCGGTAACGATGGGCTCCGTGTTCGTAACATGGATGCTCAGCCTGCTGTAGCGGCAACTCTTAACTATAGTCGGAGAACCTCACGCCCGATACCGATATACTGGAAAAGCCACTAACGATGGACGTAAGGGTGTATTGATTGACCCTTTTACGGAGGCAACTCCAGGCCTATAGCGGACTAGGTACTAGGCAAAACATGCCCTAGAGAGTGAACAAAGCATTTAGGTACTTGCCGTTAGGGCTAGTTGGCCCCCCAGAGCTAATAAAGACATGACATCAAGATCGTGTGAGTTTGGATTCAGAGTAACGAGGACAATCCAGGGAGAGTCACCAAAGTTAATTCGAGTCGGACTGCCACTAAGAATATTTTCAATCACTTGAGCAAACAAAATTCCATTAAAACCTCGTGATTTCCCAGTAAAGGTACACGCGTAAGAGCCGACGGTGCTGTCGGGGAAGTAACCAACCAACTGGCCAAGAAAAATATTGTCTGCCCCTCAGGTACTAGGGAAAACCTCACAGTTAGCATCCGACGTATTTCCACCAACCAGGCCGCCCTAGATGGCAGATCTCTTTCTGACGTCGACCATGCGTGAAGTCCACGTCCTTTTTCGGGGTAATTTCATGACTAGTGGCATTAAATGGATCTTGACCTAAAGAAAATCACCCGATTCTGAGTTTGCCGAGCTGTATAGTTCAATGGGGAAGTGGATATTTCGTTGGAAGAGAAGATGAAATCCACCTCACTAGCGAAACAGGAGGTACTTCCATATAGGGAGGTGCTAATATACCCTACCTATCCACATATAGAACCATTCTGGAATAGGTACTTTGGTTTATGCGGATAGGGCTACTACTGTCGCGTACCTAGGTACTAGATTGACGCCCAACTACGATCTAAAATCTGCTGGTGTAAGCGCCAGGCACCAATTTAAAGGGTTTTCTACAGTAGCGTATCGAATAGTTGAAGATCGTACAAGGAAATCGCCGAGTGGCTTTTACTAGCCGCGATTACAAACCAGACCGGTGACCAGGCCGGCGTTGCTTGGCGAGCAGGACACGAATTGTAGACCCGGTCTAAACTCGTCTGGTAACAAGGGGTCAAAATTAGTTACAGAGGCCTAACATGTTTGCAGTATACGGTCGCTAGAGACCGGGTTGGACCGTCTAGGTACTGTTTTAGTACTTATAATGTCCCGGAGAGAGTCCAACACATTACCCGATTGAAGGCGGCGAACACTAGGTATCCACGGGGGGACCATCTACCGCCAGGACGCATCTAGTTTAGGACACGGCTGGGCATGAACCGTCCGTGGATGTACATACTGTACCTAGGTATTTCACGTATCCGCCGATATTTCAACCCAAACAATCATAAAAAAGGGGTAGGATTTCAACATGACCACGGCGACCAATACTTACTGGACAGCAATATATGCAGATAAGACGATTGCCTGTGATGAGATCTTCGATTCCATTCGTATTGAATCTGATGGGAAAAGGGGCAAGAATGGGGACGGGGAAGATGTACCGACACGGTACACCTCGTATGCGAGATGTAAAGTGGGGGAAGCGATCTAGGATCTGAGAAGGATCTCGATTGGCAGACTGCTACACCACGTGGCCGGAAAGTACTTGTACTCTACATCCAGTACATTGATCAGTGTGTCTGTAGGTATTCGTGGGTGGTGGGTGTATCCGTCCCCTTACTAAGCCCATCTTACACAATTGAATTATTTTAAGCTCTTTAGCAGTTACAACACCTAGCTGACCATTGCGCACCTGAGTTTTCTATACTGGATGGGAGTTCTGAGTCTTGTCTTGTGAATCGTGATCCTAGACAAGAAACTTTACGTACCTAGGTAAGCGTAAAATTCGGGCGATAGCATCGATCTATTTCACATGGTAGGATTGAATGAAAATCAAGGAAGTTCGAGACGAGCCGTAGCAAACACTTATTTGCCCATCTCCATTATACCTAACACAAAATTTCCCATATACATACAAACAATTTCAAAGCTGCTTTAAGGATCATTAATAAAGATATACCAAATTTTGAAAATAGAGCAACGACTTGTGGTACTTTTTCGAAGGCTAAATCGTAGAGATTGATAAGGAATCACGACGGGGCGATGAGATCGATAGATCCCATGCCTTAGTTTTCTTGCTTCTTTTAGGATTGATACTCTATAGCGGTATGCTCGTGTCACGTCCAATATAAGATAAGGCCATCGTCATTCGATTGAGAGTGAATCAAGGATCGAACTATGTCTTAGATTCGTGCAATTCTAGATCTGCGGGAAAGGAGTTCACCTCATACAGACCACGCGGTCGCCGGGCGTACTTGTCTCGGTGATAATGATAGTAAAAGTGAATAAAAGACTTCTGGATACTCGACTACTAAACCCAATCTCAATACATACCTTGAAATCTGATATTTGGCATCTGTCAACCAGTCATGATCAAACTCAAAACCCTTCTCCGCGGCATGTTCCAACCGGAAAGGCTTGACGTAACTTAACTACGTACGCATACCTAAAATATCAGATGAAGTTTAAAGACCGCAGAGAAGGATGGTGATAAGGTTGAGTTTCGAGCCGAACGGGATTCCATCGGGGAACCCGAACTCTGTGCATAATAGACTATTAAGCAGCGTATAGTATAGACAGATAAAGTTAATAACGTTATTTACCTACCTGGGCACTTAGGTACCTAGGTAGGTAGTTGTAACTTGTTACCAGGTGCTAGAAACGACTCCGGCGAAGCACAGGGGTGAAGAGCGAGAAGAGCCGCGTAACGCTGATTCATTCATTTCATCTAGATCCTTCTATCCCACCCCCTCCCTCTGTCAGGAGGAAGAGATCGTAATACCACCTAGTTGCAGGTCGCGACCGATCTTGAGGTATGATTCGATTGAACTAAACTTCCTGCGGCAACACAACATCAAGGAATTCGTATCAGCCACCGCGCCCTCCTTGTGCGACCCCTAAGCAACTTTCGAGGATGTAGGTAACTAGCCCCAGACCCGATGTTGCATACCAACTTATTTCGCGATAGGTGGTGACCTAAAATGCGGCTTAATGCACATGGAGAAAAAAGTAGTAGCGGCGGCCTCTCCCATGCGACTTGCCGATGGCTGGCCGGCTTTCATCCCAGTGGACTAGGTTTATAGAGCAGCCCGCAAGCTGGTGCGTATCCGTCCCGTCCTTTAGCGAGCGGACTTGGCAACGTCTGCCTGGAGTAAATAAATGAGGAATCAGCAATATCGCCTAAATCAACCCTTCATTTTCATCTCATCCCTACTCAACTTGGGGGCCGCGATCCACACCCACCGTCGGGATGTTTGACAGACAAGATCTAACCCTGAGCAATGATGCAGATCCCGCCTTGCTGCATCGCGGCGAACCTGATTACCTGCAGCCCCCCTCTCTGGTGCGTCCGTCGGACAAAACAGGACACTGTGAAACGGAATAGGATAGGATAGATAACCAGATACCCTACCTGTTGTAACAGGCAGATAGATAAGAAGGGCGGTGATCGATAGTCGCCGGTTTCCTTGCTCTATCTACTGATTGATATGTAAGCGCGTGTGGTAGAAATAATTCCTCTTTTGTCGCCCTGCATACAACGCATTAAAAGGCTAGGCAGGGCGGGAATGCAATCACCCTCTTACGTACATACATACTATGTATGGCATGTTGTCGGCTGGTTTGTAAGAAAGTGACGATATGCGTGGAAAGTGACAGCCTTTTTTTTTTTTTTAAGAAAAAAATTCCTTTCTTCGCTTCGGCCAAGGCTATGGCCACGTAAGGAGGAAGGATGAGTAGGGGGGTATTATATATATGAGCCTCACGATTCACAACCTAACCTCCCCAGGTACCTTACACATGGCAGCAATAGGATCCTTCTATAGGGGTCTGCTTGGCGAATCGAGATTTTTTTTTCTAGTCCTTACTTGCTGACGTTCATATTCTATCACAAAATTTTCCCTGTTGTGACGCGGGGATACAAATGTGTGTGGAGGTGGTTCGATGTGCGAATGTGGTTCTTCGCATTTTCGTTCCGACCCTGTAGGTAGGCTTGCGGCACGGTTAGTATTTTTTTAAGAGGGTTCGACAATTGTTTCTCGAGCTTAATGATATGATCGCGTGTCTTGGTGTATGTTAGTTCTTATTGCGATAGGCCCGGTTGAAAAAAATTCAGTGTGCCACTCAATATTGGCAAGCAATGTGGCGTCGAGTAGATGTGCTTCCTGTCGATACAGAAGGCTTGATGATCTGATATGTATTGTCGTACATATATCTAGATACTGGACATGTATCCCTGGTATGGGCGCGATCCTGCCAGCCACACACGCAAGACGCCTTGAACAGACAGGAAAGGACCCTGGGGTCTCAGATCTATGTTTCACAAACTTGGTCCTTGGTTCGGTCCATAGCCAATCCGCTGACTTTCTTTTAAAATGCTATTTAGTCACCACAATCGTCGGCTATATTTACTTACAGCAAACTTGAAAGTAAGGTCAGAATGAGCGACCATCCGTCCTTTTTTTTCGGCCATAAGATAATGAAGATGAGTTTCATAATAGCCCTATATTCAGCCCAGACTTGCGGATATCAACCATGTAAGCGCAATAGCGACATCGGCTAACGTAGTTCAAGGTGCACGCCTATCAATCTGACAGGTCACGTAACACGGCGTCTGTGGAGAGTGTCCCGCCCGCTTCCCGCCGCGTGGGTGCGCGCGTGTGCGTCGTATATGCTGCACCTTGCCATCATCGCCTAGAAAGGCGGCTTCAATCCCCAATACCCTTCATATATACGATACCTACCTACTGCAGACCTGAGCTACGTGGCATCGTTCATCTATCCCTCTTTTAATGTTCTTTTCTTTCCCACACCTACAATAGGATCACCATCCGGCGCGTCTTTTACTCGTTATTTTTTTCACGGACGCGCGTGTGTGTATGTATGTAGGTATATGTGTGTGCTGTGCCACCGCACCGCGTACAACCCAACCTTCTCTAGGAGGTGTCGTGTCGTAAGAAGGGAAGCAGAGGGAAAAGAAGGTTAGCAGCGGCGGTGTACTAATTTAGCAATAGCTTATGGCTATCGGCTACGGTGGATTTGCAGATTAGGTGAACGGAGTAGCACAAATTCCCCACGTCGTGTGCCACGCATAGCGGGAGGTTGGGGAAGTACGCTTTTTTAGGAGGGAAGCAGAGGATCGTAGGACGGGTGAGGCATTTCGTGTTCTCTGATGCTATGATTCTATGCGGCTTTTGTTTCTGCGGAAGCCTTGGGTGTAATATACCTAGGTAGCTATGAGAGATATAGGTGAGGGAAGTGAGTAGTTAGCGCTTTACTAATGGGTTAGTAGCAGAATCTAGGGCGTAATCAACATAATTCAAACAACGGTAGGACACAGGTAGAGGTTACAACAGTGAGGTTAGTTTGACAGTAAATGTATTAACATCACTATATTTATTCCTAAAATTTCCAAGGCAGATAAATGTCCTCAAAGGAACGCTACCAACGAACTGAACTCGCGCCAATAGTCATCGCACCATCCTCTGACATGGTTTAAATAGAAGATTCAGTAAGTCAGGGCTCATTTCAGCACTGAAAAAAGACTTGCGTCGTAATCTCCGGGGCGAGGGAATGGAAATTAGTTTTAACCCCCGTCCGTCTATGACCACAAGATGCGTTAAGAATTTTGCTTGTTTTTGTTTTGGTAAATCCCATGCATCCCTCGGCTTTCTTCTCTTCATCGTACTTCTTGCGCTATTCAGATGCCAAATAAAACAACAATGTTAAAAAAATATTTCCCATATGTAACCTCACTGAGCCGGTCCCCTTTGCCTGGATTTCATGAACCCACCCGGAACATCAAATGGCACATGAATATCAAATAAATAGTGAAAACTTGAAAACAGCCAGACGCCTTGACGATGCCCTGACGAAAGCCTCCCGAGTCCTTTTGCCCAGTTGAGGGTATATACAACGAAAGCTGATAAGTGTCAAGAACTAAAACTGAGTTCAGATAAAAATAATAAAATCGTCATTTCGAGTCGGGTATAATAATTAGCACACGATATATAGTCCGGAACGTTATAAGATAATGACTGGCGACTTGGGTCGTAAGCGTCGCAAGATCGAGAAGGCGGCCGTCGATAGTGTCGATGGACTAAGTAATATGTAAAAGGAATGAAGGCTGAAAGTCGCTTTTCGTCCGGTTGCCCATGAAACCCTGTGCTGGCGTAGAAGTTCATCGGACTCTAGTCTCAAACTCGTTCTTCCACCGTTTTCGGTCGAATGGAACGTTGTTCCATTTGACGTTTCCTTTCGAGTTTGGCGTAGTGAAGCCCACAAGCGTTACACAAGGTCCTCGCACCATCTGGTCCTCGTCGCCATTCTGGAGTATCGATCCTGTTGCAACTGTGACACCGACCGGGTGGTGCTGCACGCTACAAAGGGTGGGTTAGTTTAAATGCCGGTTATATATAACGTATTGACTTACACCTCGCCGCTTCTTGACTTCGCTGAGCCCATAGGGTTGTTTTATGCTATCGCCGTACATACTTATATCGTCATCTCCTTCGTATGGTCCTTTTCCCCGACCCTCTCGGGCCTTCTCGGTCGCCAGGCTATGTTGCACCAATTCCCTCAGGTTTTCGAGAGAACGCTTCATATATTCTACGTTACCAAGCATACTCGACACCTCCTGATCGTTGGGCAGTCGTTCTGGAATGGGTTGTCCGCCGTGTTGCTCTGAGGCGATCTTACTATACGCTTCGGCGAAATTGCAGACCGTTCTTGATGTCCACACCAACTGCTGAATCCGTTAGCTAGGATGTTAGGTGCGCAATTGAACCATTGGAAACAGACCTTGTTTAGGCAATCCTGGTAACCCCAAGACTCGAAGTGCCTATTAAGAGTATTGTTGTCGTATCGATTTCGTGGCATCCCATATTCTTCATCGCTGTGGATAGGCGGCCTTGGTTGATCGTAAGGTGGAAGCGAGGGACCTAAATGATGCGGAGAAATTGGTGCTGGAGGCAAAGGATATTGACCCGGCGGGTATGGGATCTGGGGAGGTGGCCCATTTGTGTGGCCGCCACCGGATATGGGCTCTGGAGGTTTACTATGATCGCGCTCTGCGTACGAATACGCCGCACTGGGGGGACCAGGAGGGCCCGGTGGTGGCCCAACTTCAGACCGCTGAGGATAACGAAAGAATTTATCTTCATGTGAGGGCGGTGCCGGTCGTGAATCGGGTGGTAGCTCTGATCTTAACGGCGGAGGAGGAAGGGTATGAGAACCAGCTAAGGTTGTAGGAGTCGTCGGTGAATAGTGGCTAGGCTTAGCTCCTGAGAAAACTTCTGATAATGAAGGAAGAGACTGCCTTTGAGCAGGTTCCGCTTCATTAAGTGTCCTCCTGTTCTCCCCTGGTGAAATCATACCGGGCATCGATGGCGGAGGTGGCTGGTGGTAAGCGGGTGGGAATGGCGGTTTGTGAGGATATGCCGGGGCCGGAGCCGGGTTCATTAAAGCCGTAGCTGCCATCGTGGGCGCTTCGCGATTGTGTCGTTCTGCTGGTTCAGGAAGACGCTGGCTGTAGGAATCAAGTCTGCTAGCGGGAGTAAAACCACTAAGAGAAAGATATACTGATCAACTTGAGTTCGATGAGATGGTGCCGAGCGCACTAGAGCGAGTAGCTCCAAATAAGAACGGACCTTTGCCTAGTGCCAGATTCACCCGCTTCCATAGCGGGACTACTACCAATGGCGTTGCCAAAATCTCCAACCGATTAGTTAGGACGACCTATGCATCTGACTTGTTCGGGATACCCGGGAATGCGGGATCAATCGTCGTGGATATCGACCCTGGTGTGTAAGATCTCAAAACTTCTCACGTTCGTTGTGGACCTAGAAAGTTTGAAGAAGAATAGGAATCGGGTCAAGGTAGTTTGCTGTAACACGAACTACCTATAGACTAAGGCGACATAAGTCCCTAGACTAGTCCCGAATTAAAAAGGGTCTATATAACGGCCGGAGTTCACGCAGGAGTGGCGCCAGGATGTTAAAACTGTATCTTCGGGCCCAGTTTGATTAGAATAATCCAGATTAAGCAAGTATGCATGTGGCGGGACGGGAAGGGGAAAGGGGGGGGGTAATTAGAGCAACGGTACTTGTTAAGTAGACGTTGTCGATGGTGGGAACGCCTAGTATACGAGACACAAACTCGAATAACCACGAGGGGTGGCGATACGGGTATTCCCCTTAAGACATTCTTAGAACTCTTACCTTTTTTATAATGTAGCCACCAGGTGGGTCTAAGATATGACCCGAAGATGGGAACGACTATATGGTTCTGTATTCAACCTCGGGGCGTGCGTATGTGTAAGTATGTATCGCCGTGAATGCCTTGCTAGTATAGCCCGTCTTAAGTTGCTAAGACGTCGACAATGGTTGCGGAAATAGTCCTCTCTTATTAGACGATCGATATGCGCCGACTACTGTGACGGCGAGCCCGATACGCTATCCTGTGTGGAGAACAATAGATGGGTAGGGTGTTCAGCGAGATCGTAGATGGCGTCTAGAAAAGGACGGAACAGATGAAGTAAGATTTCTAAATGGCTAATACGATTTGAGGTTACTTAGGCCCCGTGACGTACAAATGGGGGAAGAGAGGAAAAGGGAAGAAAGGAGAAAAAAAGAAGATTCGACAGTAAATGACGAAAACGCGGGCGATGTGTCGTAGATAGGTTAAGAGAGTTTAGAGAAAATAAGCACAGCAGATTGGAACGAGATGTATGCTACCACTGTATGTATGATGTAGCATACATTAGATGGGCAAATATGCGTAATAAGGAACACTAACCTGTAGTGTACATACATACTTAATTCAGGACACCCCTGTCTACCCAATTTACTATTATTTGTGCAGTAACCACAGTACGGAGAGACTTTGACCTGGGTCACTGGAAGTGGGGGAGAAGACGGGGGACGAAATAGCCAGGACAAGGGTGAGAATCTCGCAAGTCAGGGCTTGCAAGCCAGTCAGCTGGTACAGCGCCCTCTCGGTTCTGTCAGAATCCCCGAGGGTTAGGTAGAAGAGGAGAATACTTCCATGCCTGTGGTTTCTGAGTACTGCCCTTGCCACACACCCCTTCTCCTTCTTCAGAGGAAAATGATCTATATTCAAAGATGTATTTTTTTTTAATTGCTGCCTAGGTCTTTTGAGATAAGTAGGTCTTAAGAACATGCTGCAATAAGCGTAGATTAGGAGACGAAAGAAAAGCGTAGTTGCTAATTTAGCAGTTCTGTTCTGGGATGCGGACGTGTGCAATACCTAGAGAAACAGCAGAAAAAAACCCACCTTGGCTCGATGCGAGCAAGGTTCAAGAGTGCAATGATACGGGTCGGCTATGATCGCCTGGGAATAGTGAGATGACGATCTTTTGTTTCTCAAACGTACGGTAGCCCCAGTTGCATGGGACTTGTGGGCGAATCTGAACGCGAACGGATCGCTCCCGACGGCCCAGGACTTGGGTTCAGTACAGTATAGGTATAGCACCTGGTTTGTATAGGAATGACGAGTCCCGAAACCTGTCAAGTCACGCCATTATCCTCACAGGAAATAAGGTGGCACCACTTTTTGGGTAGTTCCAAGGCTGCTAGACGGTGAAGGTTACAGGGTCCCTTGGTGGCGATGGGTCCCATCGACTAGCATCTCTGCCAACCCTTTGGCAGTTCAGATCGAAGATGAGATGGCGGTAGAATGACCGGGGGGGTTCCGCAAAGGAGTGTTCCTGATTGGGGAGGGAAGGGTATGATTCGGTACGCCTAGGAACCCGACCCTCATGACGATCTCTCGGTGACAATCTACAATCCAATAAGGATGCCCTCGCTTCAGGACAGCATTAGATTGTAGAGGAATAGGTACCTACCTAGGTACCTACACATCTAGGATAGTGTAGATGTATGTGCATAAGATAAGAGAGAGATAGCCAGAATTCGCCGACTACCCTATCCAGGTACAACATAAGCAAAAAAAAAAAAAACCTAAAGCCGCTGGGCACTGTATTCGCAAGAAAAAACCCAAGTTGAACAACGTGGTCCTAGGACAACTAAAGAATCATGCGGGTACCCTACGGGACCTCTAATAGTAGAAATACAAGGCCTTAAAATGGAGCTACAGACGAATATCATTGCTCTTTTAGTGTAAGGAAGAAAAAAAAAAAAGTGAGATTTCGGAGACAAGGGGTATGGAACATGGGATGGGGTTTGTGGGTTACGAGAGAACATGGCGAGCATGTGCTGCTGCTTGCTGTTGTTGCATGGGCTGAAAAAAAAAATACTTAGGTAGGTTACTAATATTAATATTTTATTATGAATATTGTTACCTATTGGCATTTGATTACCGGTACCCTAGGTACTTATTGTGTAGGTACAAATCTGGTTAGCCGTATTGTACATCCATGAACAGTTTACAAGGATAATGGGGTGAGTGGTACCTTAGCATGTACTCTATTATTTTAGAAGGTAGGGTACTGTAGTGTAGGGTAGATGGCTATCCAGATGGATCTCATTGAAATTTTATGGATCTACGGGGCCGCTCCTACGCATGCCCTAGCAGGCTATTACAGCCGTCGAAAATCTACCTAGACTAATGTACTAGAGGTAGTCTACCTACATAGTACATATTTTAGTCTAGTGGAGAAGAATTGGAAGTCTTCAGGGTTTAGGTATAGCGGCTGCAAGTTGCCGAAAGTATATATTTCCTACCTATAAGTATACGACTATGCACCTAAGGCCTAAGGTAATGCTTGTAATTGACTGAACCCTCTAAGTCTAAAATACTTCGACACGCTAAGTTTATGCCCCCCGACTTAGTCTGTCATGTGTCGCTCAATAAAGTATTTCATAGGTAAGTTAAGTAAGTTATTCCCATTCTATTACCCTGCGATTATGTATGTAATTGCCTAATTACCTAACTATCCAGGTCATAAGAAAAGTATTAGATCTTAATAGAAGATGTATGTTATCCACCTAGGTAGTTTATTTTTTTTCTGACGGTATAGACTCGGTTTCATCTAACAATATCGATATATCATCACATATATATCTTATGTATGTGTCATTTAAAGGCCCTATAAACTCTACGTGATGTGTATCTCCGATCTAGATGTGTCTCTCGGGGACCACGTAATCCGCTTACTCTCGAATCAACGACATACATATGTACCTAGGAATTAGGTCAAAGGAAATAGGAATGGTTGTTACTAATCTAGAAGTCTATAAGTGAAACATTGTGTCGATGATGTGACGGTTCTTAGGGAAAGTTTCTTCTGGGATACCTGTCTCTACCTAGGTATTAGATCGTAAGATAAATTGCGAACTGCGTATGTACCTAGGTAGGTATTACAAAAAATACTCTCGTATGTATACCTAGGTAGGTATGTAGGAATGAAAATCGCGGCTTCTTGCCTTAGGGATATGTATACGTTGTATGCAGTGGAGTTACAGTTGTAGGTGTTGTAACCCGTCTTGTCCGTTAAATCTTGCCTTTTTTTTTCTTCCTTCTCCCCCTTACATTAAAAAATTGATATGCAACCGTTAGGGTAGAACGTGTCGGAGAATACATTCAATACGTACCTAGTCTAATGTATGATTAGTACAGTAGATACATTGTCCGATGGGTGTTAACTTCAACATGTAGGTGTGTATTTCGAAATGAAATCTGTTTTCTCACGCCTATAACTACGTCCACATCTATCTTAGCCCGGCACATTGTTCAACAAGGTTATCAAACATAACATAAAAAAATCCCTTCCAAACTATAAACTAAACTAACTAACTAGGCAACTAACGTATTTAGCCGTTGACGCTGTCATCACCAAAGGCTCACGTCATTCAGTGCAATACGTGACAAAACTGCCTATCTTGTTGGTTGGTTGTTTGCGTCAGCCAATCCAAAATCTCCATCCCATCCCGGGGCTTTGGTCAGATTGGAGAACCATGTGGACAAATGGTTCGACTGCGGCTAGCGTGCAATTAATCGATCAGGACTCGTTCTCGGCTAGATTTCCCTGCGCCCCCATGCTACTAAGCATTTCTTTTCGGAGATCTTGCATTCAGATTGGCTTGTTTCGACAGATTAGCGACCGACACATCGAGACGTAACTCAGCAACTTGAAACCGTCTAGACGGATTTCATCGCAACCATGGTGGGAATACGCCCTGAGCAATTTGTCAGATATTCCAAACTTTTCTTTCTTTCTAACCGTTTCGAAAATGTTTGGTTTAGACCACTTTCTCGATCGCAGTGCCCAGAATATTATGGGTCCTGATCATATTGTCGTTGCCTTGCATACGCGTCCAGGTATACGTGACATGTATGTCGAGGGAGGCTGAGTTAAAATTCTTCAGGTGAATCGATGTGGCATTGTCAAATCGATTACGAAAAGAAGAGAAAGGAAACCGAAATCCATTTGGAACAGGCACCCTAGATGGTTGATGTGTCGGTACCTCTCTGGCTTGAACTAGAACCCGCAAAATAGTTGTTTAACGCCTTCTGATAAATTTCATTCTATTTTGAGACCGTCGAAGGAGCACGATCGTCTCCACGTTTCTTGTTCTCAGATCCAGGCTTATTCTTTTTCCCGGGGCTTTCTTACACAATACTTCGCCG